GTAGTAAAACCAACCCACTTGATGAGGTATTCCTTTTGGACGTTCTTGCCACGGCGTTGACGTTCAGAAAGGATGTGTTCGATAGGGAACTCCTCTTGCGAGGTTGGAGCATCTTCTAGAAAATCTAGGAGAGCAGGATCTTGACGCGGGTGGTCAGAGCAGGATCAGAGAGTCCAGTAGATTCGTCGAAACGAACGTCACGTGAGACAGCGACAGTGTCGCGTACTGGATCCCAGACATAATAACCTTTGGTGCCTTGTTGGTGAGCATAGCCCACTAGGTACGTCTCGGTAGCACGATTGCCATCTTGTCCCGGCCCTTGGGTGGAACTACAGTGTACGTGGGACATCCGAGCTCGCGCAGATGCGCGATGCTTGGGCGGCGACCGGTAAGGAATTCGGAGCGCGATTTGGCGTCCGGGGTTGCAACTGAATGCGGGTAGAGGTTGTGCAGGTAAGAGACAGCCTCCAGGATGTACGGCCAGAGCTTGCGGGGAAGCTGAGTGTCCGCGAAGATGGCGCATACGCGATCCAGCAACGTCCGATTGAGGCGCTCTGCTTTTCCGTTTTGTTGACTAGAATAACTCATGGGTAATCTCATTGTTGTGTAGGTACGACGTGAACGCGCCAGTGTATTCTCCTCCCCTATCCGTACGTAGGATCTTGAGGGAGACGCCAGTTTGATTCTTGAGCCACTTATGAAAGATCATAAACCTTGCGGTAACAGTGGATGCTTCCTTGTCCTTGATGGAGTAGGTACGGGCGAAATCGGAGCCGTTGTCGAGGAACGCGAGACTGTAGCGCTCTCCGTCGATGCCATGGATCCGAAAGGGACCTTGTAAATCGCTGTGTATCAGCTCGCCAGGTTTGTGTGGCGGGGATGTCGATTTAGGGAAGGTAAGGCGGGTAGCTTTGCCGAGAGCGCATGGAGTCCGGCGTAGCCCCCACTGAAGGCCAACCCTCTACTATCTTAGGCATAACCGGGAGATGTGGTTTCCAGGGTGTCCAAGACGTTGATGCAGAAGTTGGGGGGTTACGGAAGCGACCAGCGCATGTGCATTGGGATTGTAGGTAGTAACCCGTCCTTCTAAATAGTACGCGTCACCTTCGCGCATTCTCATCGCGAGTAAATGTCGGTCGGTATTGAACGTAACGACGTTGGTGGGGTGAAAGGAGACGGTAACGGCGTTATCAGTGCATTTAGCAACAGATATGAGCGGCTGGGCAAGACTGGGAACCAATAGAACGTCGCAAAGAGCGAGAACGTTGCCGCTGGACGTAGGGTGCATAAGTACGGTACCCTTCTTTTGAGAGGTAATGGTAGTCAAATCCGCGAGTCCAATAAGGCGTTGGTAGTCTTGGAGAGAAGATGGATCTAGATCCTCAGTATAGGGGATCATATGATCCGTACAACCGGAATCCACGTTTGCCTTTGTAATGTGTGTTGGGTTGTCCGGTTTTATTGGAGAACAACGTGTCAGTGAAAGACCTATCGCTGTCTAGGTGAAAGGCCTTCCGACCCGTCAGTGAAAGGCCTTCTGACCTGTCAGTGAAAGGCCTTTCCTAAGCACTCGGGCTTATGCCCTTCACGCTCAGGCTTACGCCCTTCACGCTCAGACAGTGTTCTCCAGTGGACCCCGACCACATGGGTACTATAACAGTGCTCGTCGCGAGTTCCTATTCACAACAAGTAGTTCTTTTACTACATACCGAATAGCAGCGCCGGCGAACACCCAGTCCGTCTACAATACCTTACAGCAAAGTAGTTATTGTATACGAACATCAATTATACAACCCGTGTGGAAGGTAGTGCACATCACGTGGTAGCACCACTCCTTCAAACAAAATGAGCTTCCTAGTAGTAAACACGTCGGCAACTTCAGCATCTCGAAATTGCGGACGTAGCAATCGTCACAGAACGTCGATACAACACTTCTAGACGATTCAAATAGCCTTCAGGACGTCCAGGACAACGTCCCCCTCAACTCCTGAAGCCCCTAGTGCGCTATAGTCGAAAAGCGCCGACCTCTAGGTTATTTACCTAGTGGAACGACCGATACGTCGCAACCACCTCGCTTTTCGCACCTGGATGGTTAAACAAACCTCTGTAACTCACAGTTTGCCATCCATACCTTACTCTTTTGGTAAATCAACATCGTGAGAGTATACGTTCAACGGTTGACACGTGGTCAACATAAACGCGTGTTTACTAGTAGCCAATTAGTAACACGTTCACGGATCGGAAATCTACCCCAGCAATTCGATCCCCTTCAAACTCAGAAACCTCGTAGAGCACACTGAGCCTAAAGACTTGTGAAAGTTTCAAAGAGATTCGACCTACGGACACGGAGATATCAAAAAACGCACTAAATCGTCGCTCCTATAACCTCCATATAGCAAAACTATCACAGTTTTGACCGAAACGACCCCAGAGAAGGTTTTTCCCGATCCCGAAAATTACCTTGAATTTACCTGAACGTTTTGGGATTTTTGAATCACAGCAAAACGAGTAATCCGTCATCGCCTTCGTCGTTAATTTGATACTTAAGCGAAAACGGGCGGATAGGAAAAGTCTTCCAGGTTTGGGACAGAGCTAAGCCGTTGGGGTTCTTCTTGATCCTCTCAAAGGTCTCCTTAAACTGATAGCTTCAGATCCTGTACAGGATCAACGCAGCCAAAACCCGCCGACATCGGACATGGTGGATTTTGGGGCTTTTCGCTCAAAAAGAGGGAAAATCTATGCCTGAATTTTGGTTATTGCATACGGCATATACCTGATTCAAAACCTAGTTGTTTGTGTGTATTTGCTCAAGGTACTGAGCTATACAACATCAACGGAGTACTTCTGTCCGCATTCTGGACGTATTCGTCGTTGTTTGAGGTTATTCAACCTGAAAACAAGATTACACTGGCCAGAAGGTTGTCATGAGTACGTCAACGGGTAGTACAGTTACCAGGAGTGAGGACACTACTCCCGGAGGTACAGCTGTTATTACTGAGATCGTTGAGGAGCCGGAGACTTCAGTTGACCAACCTCGTTTTGAAGTTCGCCTTCCTCTTCCTCCTCGAACGACGGGACCTGTTCCGATGGAGGGTATCCAGGTTGGTGGACCTCCTCTGCTTCCTGCTGGTAACCCGCCCGCTACGACTATTTTGACGCTCTCCGTGGAGGAGCTCAATGCCCAAATGAAGGCTGCTGCGGCTGCCGCGCGAGCAGAAGTTCGCGATCAACATGCCGAGGAACATCAGGCTCAACAGGATCGTTTGCGAGCTACGTTGGAGCGTGAATCCACCATGCGCTGTGAGGTGCTGCAGGATGGGTTGGTGGATTCATTCTATATCGAGCAGCGTAGACACCATGGTACATGGATCTCGCAGCATCCGTTCAATGGCAAACGGCGTGAGGCCGCTTTTGTCGACACGTTTTTGCAGAAGCATACGGACTTCATGGTTACTTTTGGTCTTCCGATTGATGACTTTAAGTACATGCAGAAGGTATCTAGCTCGCCTGAAGGCGACGCACGTACCTGGTTCGACACCGCATACAGGCTTGACATGCGGAAGGAGGATTTTGAAACGGCTTTCAAGTTAGCCTTCTATCCTACGAACGCGAAAACAAACGCGCTCAACGCTCTGCATCGTATGACGTATCATAAGTCGATGGATTCGTATGTGACGGAGTTCAAACGTATTGTTGCCGAGGCACAGCGCAACCTGGAGGTCATCACTCCTGACGATTTGAATAACCTGTTCCTTTGTGGTCTTGCTTGCGATAAGACCAATACCGTCGGCTACGAGATCGCCCAGTCGTTATTGCATACGATGGTCGATTATAGGGAGCAACACCCTCTGCTTGCATTTCCATTGATTCGTTTAATGGATCGTGCGCTTAGTTCGTTTGCTGTACGTCGCCTTGCCAATAAGGGGACCGTTGCGAACGATACACCGGTTGCTTCTGGTAGTAGTGCGCCTAAACGTGCCAATGTCTCTTCTGCCGCGAGTACTGCGGGCAAGAAGGGGGGGAAAGCTAAGAAGACGGAAGCTACTAAACCTTACGCACGCCCAGACCTCTCGCACATGAGGTGTTTCGATTGTGGCAAGATGGGTCATCGTGCGCGAGATTGTCCTAAAAAGAAGAGGGATAAGAAGTCCGACAAGGCTAAGGATAAGCCGCGTTGGGACGCTGGTCAGAAAAAGGGTTTTCAGTAGAGACGTTTAATAAAGACACCGTTTATTCGTCTCATTGTGCAATGGTGGCCATCGAAGAGGAACTTGAGGCTATACGCCCTGAGTCCGCTGATGGTATACTAGTTGACTGTAGCAATACGTCTGCTGCGGGGGCGCGCCTGTGCCGGCCAGACGAGACTGAAACCGTTCTGACGACCAGGCCTGAAGCACTGAAACTGCAACCCGATGCGTTGATCGCACGATGTGCATTTGTAGTTCATGGCAAGTTGAATGGCAAGGTTTGTCGCATTCTGATCGATACGGGATGCACAACACTGATGGTACGTCAGGGATGGGTGTCGAAACATGGTTTCCAAACCTATAACCCTAAACTGCCCATTGATGTCGCCTGGGGCGACGACGGCCATACATTCAACACCAACAAGTTATTTTGTGGCGATCTACAGTTATGGGGAGATGTACGACACTATTCCAGAGAAGGCAGCCGTCGGGATACGTTGTTGTTAGTGAGCCGCCAAGATTTTGTCGCCACCGAGATCCCATCACTGATCCCCGTACATCAATACCTGCGTATAATAAAAGCCTTCAATTTCGTGTGAGGCAGAGTCGTCCTCATTTTTGATGCAGCGTTCAGGCCAAGGTGGTGCTTAACAGGATACTGAGAAAGGGACGTGCGAGCATTAGCTGACCGTCAGCGTGGCTCATAAAAGAGATATGGGTCAGACACTTTTTTAACATGAAAAGCATGGGCAAAACACTTGCACGGACTGCCACCCTCCGGAGGGAACCTTGTACATACCATTCAAGAAGGGAAGGGGAGGCTCAAAACCAAGTGGAGCGCAAAGCACACATCTTTGACCCGGTGCGAGAGGGACGAACCCTTGTCAAACCACGAGGCGTCGGACGAACCGAAGGGCCTTGTAGCTGCCCCGGACCAGATGTGTGCATTTGCTGGAGGCGCCAAGCAAAACAAACTCGGCCCAGAGCGAGAGGGACGAACCCTTGTCAAACCCCGAGGCGTCGGACGAACCGAAGGGCCTCGAAACTGCCCTGAACCGACATTTTGCTGGCGGCTCCACATGATTGTGGACCAACAACTCGGCAGCTGTAATAAGAGCTGCACGTTAGTTTAAAGCCAACATTCCAAATAGCGAGGCAAAAGTGTGCATACATTTTGTTGGAGAAGTAAAACGCAAACCAAGTGGAGCGCAAAGCACACATCTTGCCCGGGGCGGCAAACCACGCGGCGTCGGACGAACCGAAGGGCCCTAATAGCTGCGCTGCCCCGGAACCAGATGTGTGCATATGCTGGGGGCGCCAAGCGAAACAGACTCGGCCCAAGTCAAAATACGCGGCGTCGGACGAACCGAAGGGCCTGTAGCTGCACTGGGCCGACGTTTTCGTCGGCGGCTCCACAAGGTGTGTCTCCGCGGTTCTAAGATCCTGTAAAGGTGAAGAAAGGAGATGTAACGTGTCCTTGCTGTTGCGAGTTGCGTGTATAGTGGGTAGTATATATGAGCGACGGTGCCAATGACTTACGTGCGCGGGGAGACTGGCAAGTGCGGCCAAATCCGAGAGGGCATCGTCACGGCAAGGGCGATTAGACAGCTGATCGCAAATCCGTGCCGTCACGCTGCGGGTGCAGGCTTTCTTCGACCTAGTAGCTATACAGAAACACGACGGCGTGGCTTTAGAATGATGCTCGTGTAGTGGCGTCCGGCGGCCGTGCATTTGCTATGATGTCTGGACACCACCGTGCGGCTTGATGGGCGGTGTGTGGGTGGCAGATGAGGGGGGGATGGGCTTTTGTGTTGTTCCTCTGTTCTCTGCGCCGTGATGCCGTAATGACGGACAATTAATGAAATAACCTTGAGAACGGGCACGCACTCTCTTAGTCTCTCACGCGCGCCTCGGGCCCCTGCGCTGTACTGTACAGTACATATATATACATACACTTTGGCCCGCGTTCTCGCGTTTTCGCGCCTCCGTCCGAACTTCCGAGCCTCCGGAGTCCGGACTCTAGGGAGACTGCGACAGGATCGCTCAGAGGTGTCCCAGCAGTTGGCGACCTGGAGAGTGGTTTGACGCCTGGTTGCGTTATCAAATCAACCAGATAGCATCCATATAGGAGCGTATTCGTCGGCAGCGTTCCTGGTTACTGCGAACATGGCCCGTCGGAAAGAAAAGCGGACGGAGTCCTCACTTTACAAAGCAAGAACGCCCTCCCTGAACGATGTTACTGCACAGCAGCCACCAATCCAGAATGAAGAGCGGCCGGCAGCCTCCAAGGGATTTATGCGTAAGGACCTGGCCCGGGTAATAGCAGAAGAACTCCACCGTGTGTACTGACTCGCTACCACCTCCTGTCTATGGCTGTTGTCTCGGCTTAGTCACCCGCCTACCAGGATGGGCGCAAGTCGTCGTGTACGCCTTACCTGTCCTGTCGATCATCATCACGAGGAACTGGGATATCATAAATAAGACCTACCAGCTGTGGAGCAGTCCCTTGCCCCCTCTGTCGAGACTACGTGGAGTTTTTGAAGAAGCTCCAGGGACTCGAGCGAATGCCGCGATCGTGGTTTTAGCCCGGAATCGCGATGCCGGGGAGGTTGTGCATACGCTGAAAACATTCGAGCCAACGTTCAATGCCAAGTGCGTGATGTTGAACCTCGCTTCGTCGCAACCCGATGGAATCGACCAATTCATGTTTGCGCGTGGTCCTATAGGTACCGGTACCCCTACGTATTTCTGAACGACAAGGACTGGGAACCGCAATTCAAGCAAACGATCGCAGACTTCTTGTCAGAAGTCCGCGCAGTCAACATATCTGTGAACGATACCCTCTATCTGCGATTCGGAAAGGTTAAGGAGGAGCACTGGTCATGGCCGGCACATGTGGACAAGACTGCGGCACTGAAAGACATGCGCCAGATGGCTGATCTTGGTGTCTTGCATGCGAATAAGGAAAGCTACCATCACATGTGTCGCTTCCAGAGCGGCTTTTTCTTTCAGCACGAACTGTTGAAGGATTTCAAGTGGTATTGGAGGGTACGCTGTCATGAATGAGCAAATCTGATGCGGCATAACGCATGGCTGATACGTTTGACCGCAGGTTGAGCCCGACGTTGACTTTTTCTGTCCCCTCCATTACGACCCTTTCATGTTCATGGAATCGCACAACAAAACCTATGGCTTCAACATTGTGGCCCCAGAGTTCATGGCAACTATCCCTTCCTTGGGCAAAACTGTAAAAGCATACATGCGCGAACGAAACATTACATCCATCCCGCCGACGTTGAAGCTCATGTGGAACGAGACCACAGATGATTACAGTGGGTTCCACTTCTGGTCCAATTTTGAAATCGGGTCCCTTGACTGGCTGCGGTCACGGGAATACGGAGAGTTCTTCGAGTATCTCGACGCAACTGGCAACTTTTTCCATGAGAGATGGGGCGACGCCCCCGTTCACTCTGTAGCAGCAGGGCTGCTATTACGGCCTGATGAACTGCATTACTTTGAAGACATTGGATACCGGCATGCCGATCGGATACACTGCCCCATTGTGAAGGAGAAACAAGGCGTTTACGGACCTTGTGAGTGCGATGTAGAAGAGCTGAAGAGGAGGCGAGTTCAATGGGGTATATGGGCCTACTCGGATCGGTGGATGAACGAACTGAAGAAATGGCAGAGATGGGCGAAGGCGTACCAAACGCCGGTCAACCTGGAGGACAAACGACAGGCGGCGCTCGTGGGACAGGCCTCCGATCCGCCGCCCGTCCTCCCATAAGATGTTTGGTTAGCCGACGTGGACAGGCATGCTGCTTCATTGATGGGAGGGTCAAATCACATAACGAGAAGGAAGAATCTCGTATCGTTTTAGCTAAGCAGAACTGCCCGCTGGTCAGCCTTAGATATACGCACTTCTCAGCTCGCCATTATATTCAATCATTTAAAAACGACTCTCACGACAATGATGTACTACAAACGTGCCCAGTCCTCCGTGCCTGAAGGAAAATGGATCTCTCGCAGCACTTATCGCTTGTCCGTCCATGTCAAGCGGAAACAGGAACCGGAACGTGACATCGATTGTCTTTCCATCAACAAAGGATCGCGCTCGTCCCGACGCCGCGCGGATCCTTGCCTGCCAATGCGACAGGCTCTTCGAGCAGAGGGGCTTCCTCACCGGGCACATCCAGTCCGCCGACCGCATCCAGTCCGCCGACCGCATCCAGTCCGGCGCCATACGACACATACTGCATAATATCCCTTGACCTGCCGATGGATGTGACCCGCTCCCGGGTAGCCTCGTTCAGCGCCAAATGCTCGTGATCAGTTTCCACCGTTTCGGCGATGCCCATAAAATGATTGATATCCAGCGATGTCAACCGCCGCTTGGCGTCGCGCGCGAACGTTGCGGAACCCGCAACACCAGCCCCAGCCACGAGTCCCCCAATGACAGCTCCCCCACTTTCCTCCCGCTCCTCCAGCGCGAGTTGTGTGTCTCGCGCCTCCAAGATCGCCGCGGCCGGGTCCCCGATGCCGTCGTCTATGGGTCGAATCCCCAGCGCCGCCGTGCTCACAATGGCAGCGTTTGGTCCCCCTAGGCTCTTCCTTCCTTTCGTGTTGTGACCTTCAGTCACAAGCGGGCCGACGACCGTGACTGCGCGTGGGTCGTGCAGGCGTGCGGGCGCGTCGCCGGAGATGTAGTGGTCGATGTCAAAGGAGGTGGTGGGAATGGAGTGCGGGTTAGTAGTAGAGGCGGGCGTGTGGTGGGTTATGACTTCCGCTTGGTCGATCTCGAAGTAGCTCACGAGCGGCGTCAGCGGGCTGTCCGGCACGACTTCGCGGGCGTCGTTTACGGATTGAGCGGCGACCGGGACGGGTTGCTGCACGTCCTCCCTCTCATTTGGTTCCTGAAGCATTTTGTCCGCTGATCCACGGGTGGGAGATGTTCCCACCAAAGTGCTCGCCGCATTGCTAGTATTCCGGCGTCGCGAGATCGTCCCCTCTCCCTCCCCTACATCAATCAATCCCGCAATATCTGCCATATTAGGCCGACGTATGGTACCATGTTGTTGCTGGTGGTGGTGCGGATGCTTTTTGCTTGCATCCGCGTCGGATCCCATGTTCATCAGCGCATTGATATCTTCAGCACCCCGCGACTCGTCGCGAATACATGCCGCAATCTCGCGAATCTCTTCACTGGGACTGCCATGAGGCGAGTGCGCCGCTGCATCGTCGTGATGGTGCTCACGATGGGTATATGTATTATGATATAGATCCCGCAGGTTGTCCAGACTCCGATGCATGAGGCCCTTGGACGGTGAAGTCGCTCGGCTCGGAGACGTGGCCACGCTAGAAAATGCTCGTGGCATGGCGGTGGCCGGGTCGTCCAACAACCCAAAATCGCCGGCGTCCGTGAAGGAGCGCGGGATGGACGCGGCGAGACCGGCGATTGGGTCGGGGTCCATGGCGAGCACCTCGTCGATGTCGGTTTGTTTGTCGTCCGAGAGAATAAGAATGGGTATGGGTATGTCCGGTCGGCTGGCAGATGTAGGCGCAGAAGGTAGGCTTCCTTGTTGCTGTTTGCCGCGACGCCCGGCGGTCCCCCTCGTTGCGCCCGGAGGCGGCGAACTCGACCGTCTCTCAACTGCAGCCCCGTCAGCATAGGCCCCCTCCGCTTCCCTAGATGTCGCGCCTGGAGTTTTGCTGCCCGGTTCATGCGACAAATCCGCCCACGATAACATCCTGTCAACATCAAACGCGTCCTTAACCATGCCGCCCTCACCAGCTTTCCCGTTTTCCGGAAGCCCTACGACATTCCCCGCCACCTGCGTGAATGGGTGACGCAGCCGCGCGGCAGCAGCCGTGCTCTGTGCCCGTTCCATACCCAACATGGGACCATCGCGGCCGATCCCCGTTAAAACGTCAATGTCCTCGGACGCCGCCGTCAGTGTCTGCGGGTAGTGACTCTCCGGCAACGACTCCGGATTTATGCTGGGGACCGGCGCTGAGAGGCCCGTCACATTCAAATCGAGGGTCGGGAACGCGATCGCCATCGACATCATCGACTCCCATACCACGCCCTCCGCCGGGGCGCTTTCCGTCCGTGGGGCCGAAGGAAGACCCACTGATGCCCGTGCCGTCGACATCCTCAGCCCGCCCACCAAACGCGATGCCAGAGATAATCGCCCAGCCGGCTGCGAGCCGCTCCCCGAGCGCTCCATCGTGCTCTGCCGCCGCTCAACGCGAACATATCCATCGATATCGCTCGTGATGGCGACCGTGCTCGAGCGCAGCGGGACCGTACCGCCGAAGCTTTTGCTGCGTTTGCGCAAACTGGCAAATTTTTCGCTCTTGCTCTGTTGTTCCTGCTGAGCTAGCTTCAGAGCAGCTTCCCCGGCTTCGAGGACTTGGTCGATGTCCTCGCCGCGGCCGACGATGTAAGGCGTGGGCAATTCGATGACGGAGTGGAGATGGGCGTGGGAGTGGGCGGCCAGGCCGCTAGGCGTCGGCTGAAGCGTGTGCGAGGCGACCGGCCCGCCGCTAACCGTCCGACTACGAGTCCGGTTGGCGGCCGGCCTGGCTGCCGCCGCCGCTCCAGTCGCTTGTGGTGAATCCAGATGCGATGGAGTTGGTACGGCGTCGATGGACATCATAGACGTGCTCTGCGGGGTATTCGATATTAATGCAAGAAGGAAAACTACCCAAGACAAAAAGGGCAAATTCAGCGGTGGGAGAAAACACACATCTCCGCCCGGAGAGAAAAAGCCACGACGTTATACGCAATTTCGCTCATGGCTTTTGTCCCTGACGGGTTATATCTGGGTTACCGCCGGGAAGCATAGTTACTAAATCGAGGCACAAAAAGTTCGTTGTGTGTATTAAACTCAGGTATGTGAACTTTGACGCGTAAACTCCACCACCGGTTTCCACGAGATCGCCCCAGCCCCTCGCTATGTGGCTTATATAATCTGTACAAAGGGCGTCAACTACAAGGAACCTAAACTAAGTCACCTTCCACATCAGTACGGGCGGCGGCGAAGTGGACTTCTGCTTCGTCTTCTGTTCCCGCGGGATGGACTGGGGCTCCTTCCCGTATATCCCTTCCTTGCATAAGTTCTTTCCCGGTCCTTTGAAACAGACCGTCGTCGCGTTGCTGATGCAGGCGGCGCCGGGTCCGGACGCGATAGCAACGCTTGCCGACCCGGATGAACGTGAGCAGACGGCGAGGGTGGTGGTTTACTGTAGTCAATCACGATGGAGCATGTGATGTCAAGACCGTCGATGTTTGCACCGTCCATATAGCGACATGCTTTCTGAGCCGGGGCTAATTCGTTGAAGATGATGAAGGCTCTGCCTCGCTCGGGACCTACTAGCAGATACCCGCTTAGAGTGAGATGCATGTTCCCGACGTTCCCTAACGGTGCGAGCATACTCACGGCCTTCGGTAAACTCCACGCCCTTCAGCTCCCCATAGTGTCCAAAAATCTCCAAAAGATGCTCCTTATTCACGTTCTTCGTCAATCCGGTCGCAACTACCTTTGTTGTCCTTGTCTCGACCGGCCGGACAGACTTTTGGGGTGGAGACGCTGGTGGCGATCGCGAACGTGATCTTGACTTCGATCTAGACAGTGAGCGGGAGCGAGAGCGAGACCGGGAGAGGGATCGTGAAAGAGACCGTGACACCGAGCGCGAACGTGAACGAGAATACGAGCTGCGGGTGTAAGAAGACCGGGAGCTGGAGCGCGAAGGCGAGCGAGATCGGGACCTAGGATTTCGGGTTTCAGCATAACCTTCAGCGAAAGGAAAGGGACGTTATGCCCCAGCCGAAGTAGGGATACATACCTGGAGCGACGGGTCGATCGGCCACGCTCAGGCGATCTCGAAGTAGTTGATTTTCTGAGTTCGCGAGAGTTGAGCGTTGGTGTCAGGATGGGACAGGGCTCCAAAATGAACGGTTTTACTCAAACTCAAGACTTACGGTGCCATCGGCGAGATTGGTGGATCCTTCTGGTTAACTAGCGTATGCGGGAGAGACGGGTATGCAAGCCCCTTGTGTTGGGTTTACTTTATGGGGAGGCGTCCGTTCTGCAAGGTCCAGTACGCTGTGGATGTGGAGAAGGCGCAAGATCAATTGTCAGGGCACATATGCAGACCCAGGCTTTCGTAATCACCACACGCTGTCCCGCAAAACGCGTTCCCCTGCGGACTTTGGAAACGTGAACACAAAACATAGGCGCTCTCCATCCAAGGTGCTTCCACTTCCTCCCGCACCGGATTGCAACACAATGTCCGCAGCAGCCTCAAACCCACCACCACCACTCCTCTCAGCAACCCACCACACTCCCTCATCCTACGACTCCTACGATGATCTCCTCAACACCGTCACCGCCCGCGTGAAAGACGTCCTCGCCGCCGACACAACCAGAGCTAAGGCACTCTCTTCAAGCACAAAGCCTCTTGCCCACCCAAATGCAACGCCGCAGAAGGGCCGCAAAGTGAAGAAAGTGGTGCCGGGTGCGCGAGCGACTTTAGATGATAGCGATGATAGTGAGGAGTTTGATGATAGCGAGGAAGAAGGTGATGAGCGCGGTGACGAGTGGGAGGAGGATGGGCTTGGTTGGGAGCTTCATGTGAGTGATATACTTGAGGCCCATGCAGACGCAAAGGAAACTCAAGGCTAACGATGAAACAAACTACCCCATCCTTGACAGGACAGACCGAACGCCCCCATCGAAGCCCCCTTAGCCTTCCGCAACCTCTCCACCGACCTCATCGCCCCCTCCGCCATCGCCCTCACCTCCCCTTTACTCGCAACCCCGCCAACACCCATAACACCCACCCTCCTCCGCCAAACCCTCGCCCAACTCGAACACGAGTTTCGCTCCGAATTGACCAAATCCACCATGCTGGTCGATCTGCAACACCGATACATGCAGCGGAGGCTCGCGATGCCTGGCGGTCGTGGTGGTGGGGCGGGAAAACGGGTGGGGAGCGAGGAGGAGAAGCGCGAGGCTGCGAGCGATATTTTGGGCATTTTGGTGGAGATTATGCGCGGGGGTGGGGGTGGTGCGGGCGGATCCATCCATGGTCATCACGCGGGCGACGAGGAGTTTGAAGATGGGGAGACGGAGGAGGCTGCCATCACTGCCGGTCCGACGGCGATACGGAGCGGGATGGAGGATCTAGGCGAGACGAACGACCTGCTGCTACAATTGCGTGAGCATCTCGAGCGGCGGTCGGAGTCACTTCCAGAAGATCATGATATTGCGGCAGCGGCGGTGGAAGGCAACGGGACCGACGTGCGGGTGTCTGCTTCAGAGCGGTCCAAGCAGTTTGCACGGTTCTTGCCGACAAAAGTCCCCAGTTTGGACTTTTGAACTTTCCCGTTGTTGGGCTTGATGTATGCGCGCGACATCTCCTTTTCCATTTCTGTACATTGTTCTTTAGTTTTCGTGTTCATTCGAATTCGATATGCGCCTCGGATCTCCGTCGTCCAGCTTCGCCTGAGAAGAGGTTCATCATCGCGGTCATTTCTGCACTCTCCTTGCAGACACAGAATCGAGAGAAAAGTTGAAGATTGGCAAAAATATCTATATATATAAGTATAAGAAACAGATTCGGGATGGCGTGTATGAAATAAGTTGGTGATGGGAACAGGCGAGGGTTCCATTTGCGAGGGGATGCAGAATGTTGTGTTCGTGGCGGATCGATCTAGCTCGGGACATAGTTGAAGAGGTAACTGTGGGACGGAATGGGTTCGTATGAGCAAGCGCACCAATATGCAGGTAACTGCGCATTGGTGCACACACCTGATGGACTCCCCATTGTGCGTCCTACGAGCAGCCTCCGCGAACGTCGACGACACATCGATCGTGTCTAGCTTCGGACATAACAACTTCTTATCGTCGTGAGGAATGGTATTTGTCTGCCAACAGAAGGTCGTGGATGAGACGTCCATTTCCACCCCTCCAATCTGAGTACGCGAAGCTCACCACCACAACCCGCTCCAGCACACTCTTGTTGATAACATCTATCGCCTTGCCCGAGAGCACCGCGTGTGTCACCATCGCATACACCTTGTTGGCCCCATTCTCCTTCAGCACTTTGGCAGCCAGTCCTAATGTCCCGCACGTGTCTGCCATGTCGTCAACGAGGATGCAGTCCCGGCCCTTGACGTCTCCAACGAGAACCATACGAGACACTTCGTTGGCCTTTTTGCGCTCTTTGTGGATGAGCGCAAATTCTAAATCCAGCTTATCGGCTATGGCAGTCGCCCTAGGTGTCATCAACAACTCACGCGTGAGTTCTTGCTTCTCCAAAGCAATGCTGGTGATGGCCTCTCCTCACCTCTTGGCACCCCCCGCATCCGGCGAGATAATCACAACATTCTTGTAATCCTCAATGTTATCCCTAATATACTTCAACGTGCTTGGTTCCGCATACAGGTTGTCGACCGGGATGTTAAAGAACCCCTGGATCTGCGAAGCGTGCAGGTCCATCGTTATAACGTGGTCGGCACCGGCAACGGTGAGCATGTTTGCAACGAGCTTTGCAGTGATGGGAGCGCGGGATTTGTCCTTTTTGTCCTGGCGGGCGTAAGGGAAGCAGGGGACGACGGCCGTGATGCGGCGGGCGGACGCGGTTTTGCAGGCGTTGATCATGATGAGGAGCTCCATTAAGTGGTCGTTGATTTCGCCACAGCCGGATTGGATAATGAAAACGTCTTCATCTCTGACTGAGTGAGGGTGTAGGTGGTGTAAGCAACTTCGAACAAGTTCCATTCCAAGGTCGACTTCCTTACCAGACTCCCCAATTGTCACTGACGTTTCCTGGTTCGAGTACTTAAGAACGACGCACTTTGCCAGTTCAAGTCCTAGCCGCCTGCGGTAACAGAAAGGTGAGTTTGGCAAGCAGCCTCCCATACTGGCTGAGGAGAGAGTGCGAGCTCACTTTGCGACCAGCTTTGCAAACTCAATATGCGAGTTGCCCGCAAATATCTTGATGGAGTTGGACATTGCAACGGGACTATGGGTTGACGGAGAGGGGGAGGTGCAACGACAGACGAGAACCGATATTCCTGTGGGCTTCTCTCCAGTTTGTTTGTTTGTTTGGTGTCGAGCGGTGGTTTCTGTTAGAGCAGCGGGGAATGTCGGACGAAAAAAACGTTGGAAAGACACCGAAATCTCAATCCAAATTCTGCGACTCTGTGAGGTGATGGAGAGACCGGCTGCGCGTTTCCGGCTGTGGCGCAAGAAGGGGCGCAGGGTGGCTTGCTCATTTGCTTACTCGTTTCTAAGCATGCATGTCCAACGCGTTGCTTCTTCCCCGCTCGTCTTGTCCACATTTCGGACATCCCATATGCGTGATATTTAAGCAGACAGGGTCAAGGTCGCCCTCCTCCCACAGAAATATACGTACCGACAGCACTCTCACCCACCAACGCAACAAAAATGCACACCGACACGAAAACCGATCGAATCCTCGTCACCGGGTCCGCCGGGGACCTCGGCAAAGTCCTCTACACAACCCTCAAGACCAAATACCCGACCACCGAAATCATAGGCCTGGACGTCCGTCCTTCGCCCACCACAACCCTCCTCGCCTCCATAACCGACAAGGTCGCCGTCGCGGAGGCCATGGAAGGCGTCACGATCGTCTTCAACGCCGCCGCTCTGCATCGGCCGCATATGGAGACGCATACCGATTCGGATTTTGTGGATACGAATGTTACGGGCACCTTGAACTTGTTGGAGGCGGCTACGGCGGACGGGTCGATGGTGCGCCGGTTCGTGCATACGTCCACGACGTCGGTTATGGTGCCCGCGGCGTTCTACGCCAAGACAGGTGGAGGGTCGCTTCCGATGAACGGAAGCAACACGGAGGTCCCACCATTGCCAGTGCTAGATGAGACCTCACCGACATTGCCACGCAACATCTACGGCGTGACGAAACTCACAGCTGAACACTTGTGTCGGATCTACGCGACCAAGCACTCGCTACCCATCACAGTGCTACGAACATCAAGGTTCTTCCCGGAAGAGCATGACTTGAACGTTAAGGCAAGCGATTACGGACCGCGAGAGAAGGCAATCGAGATCTTGTCCGGCCGGCGAGGCGCCGTGGCGGATATGGTCGATGCGCATATCGCCATGGCGTTTGGGGCGTCGCCGACACCGTCTGCACCGCTTTTCCGGACGTTTGTGGTGTCGGCGCGCTCGCCTCTGACGAACAGGCCAGAGCTGCGGGAGAGGGTCAAGGCGGATCCACATGCTGTGGTATTGGAGCTGTTCCCCGAGTATCCGGAAGCTTTTGTAAGTCGGGGATGGGAACCGGTACGGCCCGGAGAGATCGACCGAGTGTATTCAGTAGAGAAAATTGTACAGGAGGGTGGGTGGGCTCCGTCGGTTGGATTTAGGGAAATATTGGAAGGTGCAGACTTTTGATCAAGTGGCGTAGGAATAGATATGTAGACTTCTCTAAGCAACATCGATGCAACCGGAACGTTTCTCAATTGTAAATCATTTCTCAAATGGTCGTGTACACCGCAGTCTACATACGAGTGCATATGCTCCTGCCCTATCGTATATCGCTTAGCTGCCGTCACTGTTCTACCAGATATTTACAAGTCAATCTCGTTGAAGAAAGTGGCGACAATCTTAAAGGCTTCGCTAGCCGCCTCAGCGACCTTGGGGTCCGACCAATCTCCACGGGCTGCGCAGAATCCGTGGCTTTGGTCGTTGAAGCGACGGTGGAGGGATTTTGGTTGCGAGGCCTTGAGGTGGGTGTTGTACCATGATTCCTGAGAAAAGAAAAGACGGTTCCCAGTCAGCTCGAGATGACGTGCATAACAGGGACGGCACGAACAATATACTCACCAGCTGGTCGGTCTCATCCTTGGACGGCAAGATGGCCACAGGGAAGTGCGCTCCCTTGTAATCGTCCTCAGCAGGGAAAGAAGGGTGGCATTGCGCAACACCCTTAACTTCCACGAGGGAGTTGACCTCCTCATCCCTGGCTGCAAGGATAGCCATCTTTGCTCCCCAGCAGAATCCAACAAAGGCAACCTTCTTCACCGACTTTTGCTCCTTCAAGTACTTGACGGTGTCCACGATGCGTGCGCGGATGATCTTCTTGTAGTCCCCATTCTCCCCAATCCAGGCGACAAGCTTAGACATATCGCCGAGAAGTTCCTCGGGCATGCTCTTGCCGAGGAAGTAGTCGGGGACGATCACGAGCGTCTCCTTGGTGAGGTTAGCAATGCGGTCAGCGGCTTGGAAGGCATTGGGGTGGAAACCGAAGATGTCGTAGATGAAGATGACGGCGGAATGGGGTGTAGGGACGGAGAGTGGGGCGACGTAAGCGTGGAAGGGCGTCGTGGGCGTCGGGACATTATTGGATGGGATGGTGATCTCCTGACCCTGCTTTGTGTAGCTGGAGGTGACGGGCGGCAGGTTGCAGCAGGCGGTTGTGAGCGACATTGTTGGCGGTTGTTGAGGGTGGTGGTAGTCGGGAAGAAGCTTTGCAGTAGTGTATGATGCTGTGATGCAGGGGGGGATGCTGGGCAAGCGTTTATAAGCGGGAGAAAGCTGCGAAGTGAAGACGGCGATCGATCCTTTCCGTCGTTCCACAAGTGGGGCGCGCTGACGTAATGAGTTGCGCTCTCGGCTTTTACGCGTTCGCCGTCTGCCCGCTACTCTTCGCCCGTTAACGGAATATCTTGCCCATGTGGGTGTGCGATCGGGAATGGTAATGTAGCGTACTATACTGTACATACGCAGTCTGTGAGCTACCTGCGTAAAGTTATGTATTATGCCACCTGCTTGCCGATGTTGTGATTGAGGTGATAGACAACTTCAAATGTGGACCGCTTGAGACGGAAACAAGTCCTCGACTCGATCTCTAGAAGTTCATCTAGTTCTAGGGAAAACTCTACGAACTATTGATTTTGTATGGGGTTGCCCATTCTCTTGAATCCGGCCGTGACGCCGACGTTTTCCTGAACATATGTGCCCGATTCTGCAACGCAGTTCTCTCGCCCACTCCCAGTCAGTCCGACTCATTTGGGTCCATCTAGCATAGGAACGCATAACCCTCACGCATCCCCTTCTCCATCAGTTATGTCTTTCGTCGTTTTCACACTGTGACCCGCGCGATCGGGAGGCCGCCGGGCGACGAGCCCTGCGACTTCCGAGTCTACTTCTAGGAATTGTCCATCCACCGCTTCGCGGGCGCCCTCGGGTGTTGATTTGGAGAGATCGGGTAGCAAAGTGTTGAGCTGACTCCGCTCAAAACCCTTGAGAAGCATGTAAATGCTCTCAGTCATCCCGATGACGATCGCTCGCTGCAAGCAGAAAGAATCTTGAGTCGAGTTGTTTTTCAAAAATAACATATTTGCGCCTTACCTTTTGAACTGCCACTTCATCACCCGCCAACGCGCACCACACTTTCATGATGCCATCCCAGATCAGGAGGAGGAATCCACATACTAGGCCGACTATGAGCAAGATGTCGAAGCCACGACTGTTGTAAATATCATGGCTGATCTCATTCGATTTCACCGTATACTCCGCTGTGAGGGTGGTATTGGTGGCCGGATCCAGTAGTTCGGTCGTAAATGATGCTAGCGAGAGGGCGAGAAGTCGTGCCACAGAGACGGATATAGTCTTCATCTACGGCGTGAAAGGGAAAGCCATTAAATAGTGCCCCCACGCGTTCAGCATCTTGACAACGGAGAGGACTCGAACCTGGTTCGCCGGGTCGACGATGGCATTTCCTGCGGCATCCACTTGCAGCATCCCAATCAACGTGTCAAACCATGGAACTTGTCCCGACGCAGCTGAGCATCCAAGGATATCGCAGGTGACGTATTGTACGAACTGGCTCAAATAAAATGCCATCGGGTAACCGCTGGTCCCTTTCGACAAGGGATACGATGTCGGTGTGGTCGCATTTTGGGCAGAAGATATCGAAGCTTTCAACGACGGAGTCACGGACAGGATCTAAGGAATATATCGAGATCTGAGCAATGAAATTGTCTCGGCGGAAAGTGGTTTGCGTTCGAATGGCCACACCTCCATAATCCCAGCCACTTTTCCCAGCTTGACTCCGGCGGAGCAGAGAGCCGTACTGTATTGAACCGTAGCGTTAAGATCCTTGTGCGCTTCGGATACACTGTTGTCCATGTTTTCAAAAACCGTCCCGTCGAGGTTGTTTGTCAGAACTCCAAAGTAGACCCTGTCGTCCAGCACGTATGGTGTAAAGTGCTCCGCGTCATGGTCGTCAATTTCCAAGGATACCAAAGAAACTTGAGGGCCTCGTATGTACCATGTCTCGAGGGCATAGTTGGCATACGCCAGGGGAGTGCCGTCCGGTGCGTTGGTCTGATAGTACCAATAGTCGACGACGCTCTTATTTATATAGAATGCCTGCGGGGAACACGAAACGTCGACAGATAGCGAAGAGACTTCTCCGATGACACGATCATTCCTGGCCGTACTTTCCCATGGTCCCGGCCACGGCCACTTCCAGAAAGCACCTTCAGTCGAAGCTGACGGGGCCATGGGCGAAAGGATAACAGAACTGGTCCCCGTGCAGCCCGTCTCAGAGCAATCAGAGAGCGTGCTGTTTGGGATTAGCAAACCATCCAAGGTCATAGGATCGTAGAGCTGACCTAGGCTCAAGATCGTTCTACAGAGCGACACAGAGGTACTGTGAGATACGGTGGCACCACCGCGTGGGGTCCAGTTGTCGGAATAACTTCACCTCAGTGCTAGCTCGGTAATGTAAGGCCCTTCCTCGAAGGTCGTCATATTGCTTTGAAACGGCCCCAGTAATGGTACCGGAGAGACGAACCGCACCGCCGTCAATGGAGCTTTGTAGTACAGAGACCCAATGCCACCTGGATGAATCGGACAGGTATATCAGCATCAGCCGGACTGTTTTATGCTGCCAGAAGAGATTCCTACCAATCACAACAATTTCTGCGATATAAACAGTCAGCATAAACAAAGTAATCGTAATCCAGCCTCGCCAGATGTCCTCAACTCCGCGATGCGAGTTGCAGTATATAGCCGACCAAGCCGTCACCATTTGTCGGCATGGAATGCCATGAGAGACGATTTTCGATGCGAGCCAAAGCTGGCATATTTTTCGACCAAGCTGAAGGGGTCCCAAAAGAGCTATTTGGACGACAATTCCGTATCCAAAGGTTATGAGTTGTTCCGACCATAGGTTCCAATGCGCTGCGCTCTGCGGCACAGTATTTAGCGATAGGTAGCCAAGGTTGCCGAGGGCGAGACTGGCAATGCAGACCCCCATGATGCCAAGCTCCAAGAGGATCGGCAACGGGTTCCATCTTGCGGGCTTGGTTCGCTTGGGAGCTTTCGGAGGAGCTTGACTTGGGCGTAGCGACCCTTTGGAGTTTGCAAGTTTGGATTCCATCTTCAATATCGGAAACCCATGGGTTCAAGTCGACAATATTAATTTTTGCAAGGCTTTGACGACAATTACAGGGTCGCCAAGGGTCAAGTTGGAGGCTACCCTGGTTTCCCAGGGTGAGTTCGACTCTGGAACGGACACCAGGCTTCGAGGTCGTCACTGCGCAGTCCATTTCGTAAGCAAAGGGTGAAATTCGACAGCGCGAGGCATGATAAAGCTCGTAGGCTTAGCGATCGCCGGTAACGCAAAAGTGGAGAAGCCTCATTTGTCGTTTCACTTATTACTGTCTAGTTTCATTTCACGCTTTCTCTGCCCCTCCAACAGTCATCTGCTGTAGATAAGAGCCACAGCCCTTCTACGCACTCACTACTTGACGACCTTCGGCCATACCGAGTATCTCTCTTCCTCTGTGCAAGTCCAGCAACTCTCCCTACACCGCGCTGTTTGAACGAAATCTTCCGATGCTGACATAGAAGTCTCGTCCGCGGAGCTTCCTGGCGTCGATCTTAGCGCCCCCGAAAACCGCACCATGCCGAGCACGCTGATTTCGCGCGATCGCTACTCTCGGGAAGCATATACGTGTCACCTACGCCAATTTGCAGAGCTCCCAATTGTCTAATGGTTCAATCATGGGCTTCCTCCAAACCAACCTCCGAGATCAGCACCTTCCCTTGGAACAAAAGCGGCTGGGGCATCGCAAGTTCACCCACGAGGTTGCGGAAGAGTTTGGCGGGGGTTCGGTTCGCGCCGTGTTTTCCGTCCCAAGGAAGACAGATATTTATCGTCATGGGATGTGGTCCTTTTGGTGATGTTCTTTGCCATGGAGGACAAGGAGGGATGACAACTCCGCTCTCGTTGTTTTCGACGAAGTCAAGGAGAACGGAATAGCTGAAGTGCTTACAAGGAAGCGCGTCGATATCTACAGTGATTGGAAGGAGAGAGATAAAGAGTCATGGATGTACAGTACCAAGAAGTGCAGGCCTTGCATCATGCTCCGGACCACCCGCATCTGGTCCAGCTGCGCGCCTTGTACAAGCAAGACGATGAAAATTATCTTTATCCTGCGGCCCTGGGCACAGCACGACTTGGAACGCTTTCTGGCGGACAATGATCAAGCTTGGTGGGGGGAGATCGTGAATGACGCTTTGCATGGCATCGGCCGTCACAGCGTTGCACAGGGCAGAGATTCAAGACATAGACTTAATAACCTGCAATGTGATGTTACACGTTGTGGACGGAGTGCCGCACCCCGGTTCTTTGCGAATAAGCTGCGCCAAAAGACCTTCGACGTGATCTGAACTTTGCCTGTCGAGATGGACGCTCGTACCCACCGCCGCAGAATGAGGATCCTTCGCCCGGTTGCCAAGCCGACCTATTCAACCTGGGTACCATCTACTTGGAGCTTTGCACACAAATGGCCGGGATCAAAGTGCGGTGGTTCCGACCCCAGCTACGCACATTTCGTTGGCTATGGACAACTGAAAACCATCGTCGGCATCCTTCCCAACGAAATCGAGTTTGGAGTGGAGATAAAAGCGTTGTTGCGCGACATGATGGCTTTCGCCCTGATTAACGTTCGACCTGAAGGCGGTGTGGAAGCGCCTAGCAAGTTTGTTCGAGGAAGATCTCCCCGACGCACGTTGTCCATAGCCGAATCTGGCCGCGGTACAGGCAAGCGAGCCGAGAGGGCTTGTTAGTGTACACCATACCTCATGGATGTCTATCTTATTTTTTTGCCAGTAGTTCCCAAGCTAATGTTGCGAGTTTTGTCGTTTTCGGTTGGACCCATCAAAGGAGTCTCGGGCGAGCTCAGGATTTCTCCTCATCTTGGAAGTCCGAACACTTGACTTTCTCTCGCCGCGATATGGACTTGATGTACTGTATTCAGAGTAACATTTTCGTTGCTTCACTTGCCAACAGTGAGCAATGATAGAGTCCTATTATTTATCTCGCTCACTCGCATCCATATACTGACAATCGTGCCCACCCCGTCGGAGTTAATCCCGCGTAGAATTGTTGGCCGGATCACGTGACTGGGCGGCTAGGAGCAGGACAACCCAGAGGACAACCAAACCTCTGCGAGAAGTCACGAACGTTGGCATCGACACCAAACAGCACGACGTGAGAACGATCAACACCGCCAGCAGTCACTTCAAACGGCACTCCGGTATCATACGCAACAAGAAAAAGTGGTCCAGTGGAGTCCCCGCCTGCCATTTTCGCAACCATGCTTCCCCGCCCATCCCCCATCCACCTCCTCAAACGGCATCTCGCCACCGCCGCGCCCTCCACCCCGCACGTCGGCATCCTCCTCAAACGCAACCCCATAATCCTCCGCACCCTCAGCGAATTCGAGCACGCCTACCTCGCCTACCGTGACAGTCTGGAGCACTCCGAATCCCGGCCATTCGACCCTTCCTTCTATTTCAAAAAGGGGAGCACGGCCGAGAAGCGGTGGGTGGATGCCCAGGAGCAACAGGCGGAGACGGTGACAGTGGAGGAGGGTGAGAAGATCCCGCTCGTGCAGCCCCGCGACGAGTTATCGACAGACGAGATTGCGCCCCGGCGGACGAAAGCGGATGAAGTACGGGATATGAAATCGTTGGACAGGGCGTTGGAAAGGACGTTGTACCTTGTGGTGAAGCGGAAGGATGGCGGGTGGAGATTTCCGGCGGGGAAGTTGGAGGGGCAGGAGGTTTTGAGTGAGGGTGCGGCGAGGCATTTGCGGACCGAGGTTGGGAAGGATTTGGAGACGTGGGTGGTCGGGAACACGCCTGTCGGGGTTTGGAAGGGGGATAAGGAGAAGGTGCGTTGCTTTGTTCCATTGCACATTGTTTTTTATTTACCCAGCAATGCGAGGCATCCTGGTTTTTTCCCCGCTCGCATCAGTGTTGACTCGTGGTCTTTCCAGGTTTTCTACATGAAAGCTCACATCCTATCCGGCAAGATATCCGCGAATCCAAAACTTGTCGAGGACCACGCATGGGCCACCAAGCAGGAGCTGAAGGAGTACCTCTCCCCCGACTATTACCAATCGGTGCAGCGGATGCTAGCCGAGCTATGAAGTTGGCCTGTGAGGATGACGGCGGCGTTTAGGTTTTTGGGTCGGAGATTGTCGGATGGAACGCGTTGGGCTGGTTTTCAGGGGGGAGGGATCAGATGATGTGGAATACGGAGCATCGTTTGCTTAGACTAAGTTATAGAGCATCACTATTGTATATAGCGTTGGAAAGAAGGCTCGAGTGAGCTTGCATCTTCTATGCCGCGTACGCAACGAGAATTAAATTTACAATTAGAAGGAAACACAGATGGTAAGGCAAGGAGAAACATCTACGTATGTACAGGGAAAACGAGACACAATCTTCTACAACAACCCAACGACCCGCAGTGGCAAACATACCTACGGACTATCCTACGCATCCCATCTACTCCTTCCCGACGTAGTGCACGCTGAGGGCAGGCATCTATCGCAAATCCGCAGACAACCCTCCCGCGCCCACCTTCGCCGAAGCGCCCGCACCAACGCTCCTAGGCCCTACATCGCTCAACGCCCAACACTTCCAAAACTTCAGATTCTCGTCCCCGCTTCCCGTCACAACCACTTCTCCCCCCGGGGAGACGGCGAGGAACAGTGGTCTTTGAGTGTGTCCCGGCAAGCGCCCGACCTCGCGCATGGAGGGCCAGTGCCAAATGATGAGCTGGTCGCCGAGGGTGTGGTGGGTGGAGATGAGCTCGCGGTGGTGGTTTTGGGCGTAGGGGGACCAGTGGAGGGAGCAGACCTGGGAGCCGGTTTCGATTTCGAGCCGCTTTTCGCCTAGAGTCCATGTGAAATCGTCAGAACGCTGATTTTCCAACATACTTGACAGACGGACGATCCAATGCTTACCTCGACTTGTATACACCCGAATTTTCCGATCATCCAGACCCCCTCCCGTAGCTAACAGATCCTCGTCCCAAGGACACCAATCCAGCGCTCTCACAGCCGACATATGATCCCTAATGATATGTTTCGGCGTCTCCCTCTCCAGCTGCCATATAACGACCAAGTTATCGTTCCCGCCACTCGCCAGTAGCCTCGCGTCCTTTGTCCATTTCAGTCCGACGATGCGGTCCGTATGCGTTCCCTCCCACTCCCGCACCAAAACACAATGCGTGCGTTGCTGCAGCGATTGGCCGGCGCTGGCGCCTGCGCGGCGTTCGGTGGTGTTGTAGACGCGGATGGTGCCCTTTTTGTCGCCGGTGGTGAGATAGAGGTTGTCGTCCTTTTTGCACCAGATGAGAGCGCCAAGGCCGTCTCGATGGCGGATGCGGGCGAGGCAGCGGCCTTCTTTGAACCTGAGGCGGGGGACGGTGAAGATCTCGCAGCGACCTTCGTTAGTGCCGACTGCAAGGCGGGAGCCGTCGGGCGAGAACTTGCAAGAGGCGATGTAGTCATCTTCGTCTACGGTCCAGAGCTCGTGTATTGCGGATGTGTGCTATGGTGGGACAATGGACGGGGTCAGTCACGCCGAAGCGAGACGGCCAGGATGGAAGATGATCGCAGATGCACTGTACCTCCTCCCATAGGTACACTTTATTCCCAAGTCCAACTGCCAGGATATTATCTGCGGACCTGCGAGCGGATCATCCCGCGTTAGGTTCCGAAGACATTCAGAGCTCCGAGAGGACAACCATCAGTACCCACCAGTCTAGTACGTCTATATAATAGTCATTCCGCATCCCTGGCGCATCAAGGACTCTCTCCGGCGTTCTTGGAATGATTCTCTGTTTCGTCAATGCCCTCTCGTCTTCCAACGGGAACGCGCGCTCGCCATGCTTCGTTGGCGTGGCTGTGAGGCGATCCAGTGTCAGTTGTTCGGGAGCCGTAGGTGTAGTGGGGGAGACCCCATGTTGTAGTAGTCGGCCATCAATGTTGGTATCTACCCCGAGTGAGCTGGCGTACAGGGATTTCGGAGTGGTGCGGGGTGTTGGTGGTTGTGGTGGTGACGTGCCTGTGTGGGCGGAAGATTCAAACATTCAGCCAAGGGCCCGCTGACGTGAACACCAAAAGAGCACCTACCACCGTGGTGCCTGAAAGCATGTCGTAGCTGGGGCGTAGCGAGCGGACTGACCCCCGACGCCACGAATCTATCAAATGGCCCTCTCGACGCGAACTCGTCCGCGCCATCGGTCTCTGACCACCGGCGTTTCCGCGGCGTCGCTGTCGTCGGGGTCGGTAATGGCTGCAGCGCAGCGCTCCCTGACGACGACGAGGACGTTGACCCGGGAGTAGTGGGTTTCTGAGGGGTCGTCATTCCTGGACCTGCCATTCCTGCAGACTAGATTCTTTACGAAAGAAGGTTTGCTCTCGTTCTCGTGTGGTGCGATTTGACAGGAGGGAAGATTCTGCTTGATTGTGTCTTCGGGGTATTGCAGGCAGCGTGAATCCTTCCAAGGGCCCTCCAGCGATAGTACAGCCTGATGAAGTCAGAAGTCGCCGGTCTGACTGGGAAAACTACTATCGGGTCAATGGGTCTCCTCTTGTATCCTGTCTCGTCCGTCGGGCAGCAATCGGGCTAAGAGGGCCTGCCCCTTCTCTATAACAGAAGCAGCTGGCGGCCGAGTATCGCAGGTCGTCGTCGCCGTCGTCGTCGTACCACCCTCAACCAAAGCGAGCCGAAGAGAGCCAAAGAGGGGAGCCCGGAAGAGCAGGAAGGACAGGAATGTCGCGCGTGCCCCGAAAGAGCGAAAGGGAGTTGGTGGTGACAACTTCGAGGAGGACTGCAATTGAGGCAAGCAGTTTCCCACAGCACAAACCGACGGGCACCAAGGCCCACCAGCAACCCCTGAGAGCATACTGAAGGCTAGAACTCAAAGCAACGCCCTGCCTCGCGCTCCTCCCCCCGGAAAGTGTATACCCACGAAATAGCAGTCATGGCCACACCAATGGAGACAGACGACCCTATCCCCACAGACCCCGCTGCTCAGCCGTCCAAGATCGTTAGCGAGACGCCTTCTGCTTCCGGGCTTCTTATCACCTTGTGAGTGGTCTTTGCGCGATATTTCAATGGGCTTTCTGGATGCTGGAGTCGTGTGTCTGACCGGTGTCCCAAATTTCAGGCATCCGCTAGTCATCTTGAATGCATCAGATCACTGGACGAGAGTCAAGATGCAGAGCGAAGGGAACGCGAATCCGCAAGGTGGGGGTCAAGCTCCCTCCTGTGCTTGGTTTCATCAAGCCGCATTCTCATCACTCTTCAATCCCTTCCGATACTCATAGTCATTGGAGCGCTGATGGGCATACAAACGGGGCGAGAAATCGAAATCATGGACTCGTTTGAGATCCCAATCACACAGATAGCGGATGACAGCCCAGGGCCGGTCCTGGATGCTGCCTTCTTGATTGACAAACTTGAGAAATGTAGGTAGGGGGTTGACTACAGCAGTTCGGGGATAACCTATGCGCGGAGAGGCAGCGACGGAGGAGACGCTAACCTTCCCTCCCGCAGTCAAACAGGTCTTCCCCCGCTACGACCTCCTCGGCTGGTACTCCACCGGCCGCACCCCCACCTCCACCGAGCTCCACCTGCACCAACAAATGATCGACCATAACGAATCGCCCCTCTTCATGCAACTCAACCCGCTCATCCCCCCTCACGCGAAAGACTTCCCGATCAGCATCTACGAATCGGTGATTGATCTGGTCGGCGGGCAGGCGCAGCTGCTGTTTTTGCCGTCGCAGTATAAGATTGAGACGGGAGAGGCGGAGCGGATTGCGGTGGATCATGTGGCGCATGCGACGAATGACGGGGCGGAGGCGGGGAGTGGGTGTGAGTTTTCGTGATGGGCTGGGCGGATGGACGAAAGACGGAACAAATGGATCTGAACGGCTTTTTTTTTGCACCTCCGGCTAGTGATCGCCCAGCTAACAGGCCAACGCAACGCTATCAAGATGCTGCACTCACGGATAAGCCTGCTCCACAAATACGTCGCGGATGTCGAGCAAGGTAAACGCCGCATCATGCCCCCGCAGATCTCTTCCAGTCTCCTCTAACCGACCGCTTAACACCTACGCGCGAATAGGAAGACTCCCCCGCGACCACAACATCATGCGCCAAATCGGAAGCCTCTGCAACCGGCTGCCGACGATCGACAGCCCGGATTTCAGGGAGGAGTTCTTGGTGGTGCGTTTCCATCCATCTTGCGTCCCATTCATCTCGCCGTCTTCCCGCCCCTCCCATGTCCTGCTTTTCAATGACTCACCCCACCGTGTGTTTCTCGTTCTCACAGAGCTACAACGACGTCCTCCTAATGACCTACCTCGCGACCGTAACAAAAGGCGCCAATGCCGTGTCTGAGGTGCGTTAGCATGCGGTCACTGTCCCGGATCTCGCCGTCGGATGAACGCCCCTTCTAACGTGTATGGAACTTCTTTCACTAGCTGGTGGACAAGTTCAACGTGGTCGGCAGCAAACGCGCGACTGGCACGTTTCCGAGGGGTGGGGTGGCGTATATGTGATGGGTGGGTGCGTTTGGGCGGTATATACCACGCGACGGTGAACATTGCCAGCGAGCCCCTCCACCAACACACCGGCCCCGTTTGTCTGTGTCGGCATGAACCCTTACCGCAACCACGAGCGAGGCCGGCACCGGGGTGCCTACTACACATACGCACATGCTCATCCGCACGGATCATCACACAAAGGCACGAGGTTGTTCCTTTCAGAAACCACACATCGAAAACGGATAACGCAGAAAGATTGTACATTTTGGCAAGGCAGAAAAGCTCAAGGCGGGGACGTAAGCAGCGGGCAGCCGGGCGGGGGAGGATGAGGTCAGGGGTAGTATCGAGTTGCGAGTAGTGAAGATGAGGCGCCCGCGCGTACGAATGAGGGGGTGTGGAACGCATCAATAGCTGTATCTTTTTTTGTATATGCACTTCATGAAAGAAGAGGGGGGAGATCCGACGCTTTTGCTCTGCAGCCACATGCTCTGTTATTTTGGCCGGACACGTATGGTTATAGGTGATTTTCCTGTGCGTTTCTCTCGGGGTACAGAGGACGTTTGGTTTTACACGATTGGGAGTTGTCCGATTGTTGGGTTTCCGCTGGAATATGAGGGGTACCGATAAAGATGCGGCTGGTCATCAAGTCGTCGAGCTCAGGATGGACCCTCGAGTTGAGCTGACCGATCGAGACGACCGGCGGTCTGCTGTAGGAACAGAAATGGATGAGTATCGTGAGCCCAACAAAACGATATTTCAACATAAGATCAACACCCACCACCACCATATCTCCCTTGCCCCGGCCCATGATCGATCCCCACCACCGAATGTTCGCTCGTACTCCTACTCCTGCTGCTCCCCAGACTCCCTCCCAACACCAAATTCCCCGCACTCGGACTCCTCGTCGGGGGCGGGTTGGGCACGACAAACGCCGGGTACGTGCGATCGATGTCGTCGACTGGGATGGAGAGCTTTTGGCGTAAGGCGACGACCTCGTCGCGGAGTTGCATGTAGTGGGTTTGGATGGATTTGAGAACTTCGATGTGTTCGAGGTCGTGCGTGTGGATGCGCGTTTTGAGGGCGTTTACCTTGGGACGGAAGAAGTGGGTGAGTGAGTTGGTTTGGGTTTGGGGTGAGAGGGAGGGATGTGGGACATACCTCTGCGCGCAGAACCTCGGTTACGCCGGGCGATACGGGAAAGTCGGACAACGATGCACTGGGGCTGTGTGATGTGTGGGAGAGCTTTCTCCTGTTTACACGAGTGTGAATTTTTCCCTTCTCGCCAACAGTTCTCCGACATGTGCGAATTCCTTACGGGGGTCCACCAGCCGATTGCTGCATCCTCAGGCTCTCCAGTTGCTTTTGCAGCCTGTTGACGATAAATTCCTGTTCCTGTTCCAAGGCGACCTCCATATCGATCTTTTCCTTTTGAAGCTGTTCAGGGATCGGATCAGCAAGACGCTCTCAGCGCGAAGTGACAGCCTCGCTATTCCACTTTCGCCAACTCACTTGCGACAACTTCTTCTGTAATGTATTTGTGATCATCTCCTCTTCCTGTTCTACTTTCAACAGCAGCTCCCCTTTCTCCTTCTTGAGGTTGTTGATTCGTTTCATCAACTTGTTGGCGATATATTCTTCCTCCTGTTCAGCTGAGGCCTGCAGTTCTACGGTCATTTGTCGCAGCTTTTGATTCTCGGCGCTATCGTATATGGTCAGTTCAGGCGCACCCCGTTCAGTGGATATTCCCAGGGGCTCTATCTGGTTCCCGATTCTCACCGCAGGATATTGACATGCCCACACTCCATGTCCAACTCAAACTTCAACTTTTTGATCAAGGTGTCATGAGCTTCTAGCTTGTCTGTCAGAGTCTCCACAAGGTGTTTGACATGATTGATGTCGGTCGACGCGAGAGCCTCTGCGACACTGGGTCGGAGTTTTGCATCGTCGTTGATTTGGCTGTGTATTTATCATGGGCGATGGATGGTTAGACAACGGACGAACGATACCATGCTCGCTCCGCTCGCGACAAGGATGTTGGGCTGCGGTGGGCGGAACGTAGCTCCCCTCGCTCGCAAAACATCCAACGCGCGCAGAGCCTCGCTAATAGCTGTGGTTACGAGTATTGCGCCTTTTGCGCAAGGAACTCGCTTCGCTCGCAAATGCGTTCGATCTGTTCCAGCCAAAGCTCGTTTATGGCTCGCCTGCCTCAAGCAATCCTGCGCCCCGCGTCGGCTCGCCTTCACTCTCCCTCGCTCGTCCGTCACACTCATCCCCTCCCTCATCTCCACATACCTATCAGCCTCCACGCGCAACTTCTGCAGCTGTTTCTGAAACTCCTCGGATCTGACTTGCTGGTTCTGTTTCAAATTCTGGAGCGAAGACTCGAGGTGATCTTTCTCACGCGTAGACTATATGTGGAGAGAATGCTGCGTCAGAATTTCTCCCGGCAACCAGAAAAGCGATTGAAAAGCCACAACATACAGTGCTGAGATGAACTTCCAAAGCTTCCTTGAAGGTCTGTTCGGTAGCTTCTACCTTGCTCAAGAGCGCCTCGTTTTCCTTGAACGGAATGCCATCACAGGAAGATGCACGCGTGAGAAAATGCAACCCCAGCTGTGCTGAGCCGCAGTCTGTGCCTGCGAGCGAGTAGAGCAATAACCTACCGCAATGAGCTTGGCCAGCTGTGTGGCCTGAGTGCGGACAATGTCCTGCAACTCTGAGGTAGTTTCGGGGAGTTGAGCGTCGTTGGCAGACATTTCGACCAGGAACTATTAATTCGGAAGCTATGAGCGATAGTTTGCGAGCGTGCCAGACTATGCACCGGTTGCGGAAGAGGTCCGTAGCGGTGGGTCTCCGTTACATACGTTGGCAGGTGTAATTCACTTCTCTTCCTATCTGTCTAGTTGAGCGAGACGGCGTTCGTTCGTTTGACTGCCCGTGGGAAGGTGCGCAAAACGTGAGCGAGGGAGTGTCACCAGGGCCTGAGGGTGTGGAGTGCGGGTCACGTGGCGGAAGGGACAGACAAATAAATAAAATCTCTCTCTCTCTCTCTCTCTCTCTCTCTCTCTCTCTCTCTCTCTCTCTCTCTCTCTCTCTCTCTCTCTCTCTCTCTCTCTCTCCCGGGGTGACACGGAGACGGAGGAGGCATATGTACAGTACAGTGTATGTATGATATATACAGGGCAGGGCAATTCTTCCGTATAACTGATTTGATTTGAAAAAAAAAATGTGTTGCGGGAATGTGCAAAACAGACTCGTTCGTTCATTTCTGCGTTCACATCCGGACCTCCCTGCCCAAAAAAAAAAGGAGCCCTCCTCACCACCCTTTCTAACTCCCAAACTTTGCGGCGGCGTTTCCAACTCTGTTCTCGCATTTCCCATTCCCCGACCCTCTTTCCCGGCGCCGAGAAGGTGCGTTGATGCACATCTATCGCGCCCGTTGACTGCGATGGGTGGTAGGATCGCTGGTTCCGCTTTCATAGCCCCCGCGTAATGTTGTGTTTCGCTCCCCTCGTTCATACCCCACAGTACACACTCCATCCCATCCCACCCCCCACCACTCAAAACGCGGCAGATCCCCCGCCCCGCACAGCAGCGGCGCTCTGCGCCGCCCGCGCGGCCTGGAAGCGGGCGAAGCGGGACGAGAGGGGTGCGGCGCGGCGGTCGCTGTTGTCGTTCGTGGTCGCGTAGGTATTGCTGGAGTTGTTCGCATAGTTGGCGGGCCTGGCGTGTGCGTTAGCGGGATTGATGTAGGCTCGGTCGTACGTCTGGGTTCCGGCATCATCACACCTAAAAAGAAACAAAATGGAGGTTGAAGCCTGCCGAAAACACACGACCGTCCCTATCCCCCCGCCCTCCCCCAACGATATGCGCTTACCCGTCCCTCCACCGATCGTTGACGATCGAGATCCGCATCGCCAGCCCGTCCGGGAGCGCGTATCCACCGCCGCCGTGGTACCGTCCGCCGGGGTATCTGTTGCGGTTCAGGGCGGTGGACTGCTTGTACGGGTGATGGGTTGTGCTGTAGGGCTGGTTACGGGCGTGGCGATTGTGGCGGTTGTGCAGGCCGGATGTGAAGAGGGGGGTGAGGGTCTGGGGAGTGGGGGACCGGGGAGGGATGAGGGGGAGAATTTCGGATGCGGTGGAGTATGAGTGGAAGTCTACTTACGTTCCCACCATCAAGCGCGCGGCCGCGAGTGTCAGCCAGATTGCCGTTCTTGTCATGGAACCCGAGAGACTTGTGCTTGTAGAGGTTGAAGCGAGCTGCGTTGCTGAACTTGTTGTTGTTGGTGTTGATGTTGTTGTGACCTTCCTTTTCGCGTTGTTTTTGGATGATTTCGTCTGTGGAATGGAAGGGAGGGGCGGTGATTCATATGGTGTGACAACGATGTTGCGGGGGTTGAGGAAATACTAGGGGAGGTGTCAAAGCGAAAAAAGACCGCTGGGACGGGTGTAGAAAGAAAACTCACCCAGAGACAACGTGAGCTTGCTCTGAACGTCAATGTCCATAGGTTGCGGATTCATCTTTTCAGCTGTTGTTTTTCTTGTTTCGCAGGTGAGTTTCCTATCCTCTGCTGTTTGCTGTTTGTGAGTTCCACGTTGGTCGATGCGTGAGGGCGGTGAAGAAAGGGATGTGGTGAACTTTTCTGAGGAGAGGGGATTGGTTGTGGTGCGACTTCCAAAAGGTGTTTGAAAAAGCCTGGGATTGGCACACGAAACTTCTGGGACTGGAGGGGATCTATCTGTATATGAGGGAAAACATGTGGAGAGGGGCAAGTGTCTCCAGCGACGATGTGCCGTCAGTGGTGTCGAAATGGGAATCTATTGTAAACCCAGTTCCGGTAGCGTCGAACCCGCTTTGCAACCAACATGAATACCGGGTAACGATGCGCCGGTGAGTGTTTGGGGGCCATGAAACGGGGCGCGGATCCTTCCAAGAGGAAGGGAAAGTTGATGACCGAACTAACTTATCACAGGCGGCCGCTTGCCCCAAATCAGTATATAGCGGTCTTCCCAGCAGCCTTGATTGAAGTGGATTCCTTCGTTCCTTGCGCCGGACGGGAAAGCCCTGTTGCTGCCTTGTTCTCCGTGTTGCTGGCTGCCTGCCTGCCTGGGAAAGAAACTCGCTCTGCACTCGCTCGGCTTGACTCCCCAGACATCCCTACCTCCCACCTCTCGAGCACTTTCCATCGCATAGAATATATTCTCTTTCACTGCTTGACATTTCTGACGGGCGGAGATCCCTACGCGTAGTGCCGTCTTCAACGAGGTTAGACCGTGCTGCCCAACGAAAGTCGCAACAACTGGCTTCTCCGACTGAACTCGTGGTAGGTGTCTCTTGTGTATTCCGTGGCCAAAGGCGCCAGGTGTGGTGTGAAATGTCGGCTCGACAGCTTGCGCTACCAAACTGGCCTTCAAATCCACACGTCCTTTTCAGCTGACGGAAACCGTTTTTCCACTTCTCTAAGGTGTCAAACGAGGTGAACTACAACCCTCACCGAACAATATGCAGGGCACCACTGAGAACCGCCCTCAGAATGGCGGTGCCGGCGGCAAACCCAGCAAAGCCATGACCGCCGAAGAGTTCGAACGGCTAGTTCAACAAGAAAAGACCACCACCCGCATATCCCTATCCAACAGCCGTCGCAACGCCAACCCAGACGACGGATACAATTCCGATGCCTCCATCGACAGAGCGCTTGGATCGCCTGCTGCCTTCTTTGACTATGTCGCAAATGGTCCTACCCAGCAGAACCGGCTCTCTATTGCGCCCCAGTTCCAGCCTCAACCTCAGACGTCAAATTCCCAACGGAAGCAGCAGAAGAGGGAGCAACGGGAACAGCAACGTACCGAACAGAGGGAACAAAGGGAGCAGAGGGACCAGAGGGACCAGAGGGAGCAGAGGGAGCAGAGGGAGGTGAGGGACCCAAGGGACCCGAGGGATCCGCAATATGGCGGTATGATGGGTGGGCCCGAGGAAGGCCCACAGCAACAACAACAAATGCAAGGACGTGGACACCCACAGCAGCAGCAGCAACAGCAGCAGCAAGCGCAACAACAACAACAGCGCATGTCTGTAGCCCCCGGCGGACCTGGTGCGCCAAGAGTATTCCCGGGGGCATTACCCCCAAGAACGCATCCCATGCGGCAGTCCATGGGCCCGCAAGGGCCCTATATAGCTGGACCAGAGGAGAAGATGTATCAGGAACAGCCTCAACCCCAACAACGACAGCAGCAGCAGCCACAAATGGTGGTCCCACCGCAGCAACAGAATCCTCAGCGAATGCAGCAGGAGCGAGCTCCCCAACAACAACAACCACCGCTCGGCTCCGACATCAAGTTTACAGGACCACCCATCCAGCACGCACCCCCTGCGGAGCGCTCAGGCCCACCCTTCAGCTCCTCCAAAAAGTCAACCCCAGTCGAGCCCGCTGGTCAGACCAGCAGCACCGGCAGCGCATCTGGGTCCTTCCCGGAGCAAAAGGACAAAAAGAAGAAAAAGGGCGGGTTCTTTGGTTTCGGTAAGAAAAAGAAGAACAACAAGGATGAGGACAAGCAGCAGCAGAATGGCGTTGCGCCGACTCATATCCGTGACCCCCCTGCTCGCGGCGGTGGTGGTCAAGATAGCTGGGATCAGGGCGGATCATACGAGCGCACAAATGTGTTCCATGGTGCTCAGCAGGGTCGGACCGGTGATGACCTGTTGAGTATTCCTTCCCATATATCGAACAAGGAAGTCAGGAGGAGCATCATCATTGCGGAGGATGAAGGGAGGTTCGGAGCGCCGTTGATCGATGTGAACGCTATCTCCCAGCGGCCTCGTAGGCCTGAAAGTCTCCTGAAGGATCAGAATCAGAATGGGGGACAATATCAGCAGCATCACCATCAACATCACCATCAACAACACCACATCGCTCAACCCCAATCTCAAACACGGGCGTCCCCGCCTAGTGGTCAAGGCTCACGAGGAGCCTCCCCACAGCAGGGCGGTCACCCAGACAACCGCGGACAACCACCCGCTGGTCCCGTGCAACATTCCCAGGGCCGCTGGCAACGGGATGAAAAGGGCGGGCTCATTTGGGTCACGGAGCCCATGACACCCGTAACACTCGCCGCGGGTCAGTCGCCGCAGCTCCAACACAAGGGGAGCAACTCGCAATTGCAAAATGCCGCCACCGGTCCGACCCGGACGTCATCTATCAATGGTGCTTACCGCATGTCGCAGGTGCCACCCGGTGCGATGGGTCAAGCCATGTCCCTGAACACCAGTGACATGCAAAAGGATCCCAACGCACGGCCCCAATCCCAGTCCCAACAAGCCCAACGCCCCATCTCCACCGCCAACCCTCAAACCTGGCCCGCCTACCAACAGCCCACCCCGCAAGACCGCACCTCCCACCTCCTCGTCGTTCCCAACCCCGAACGTGACTACATCCCCGGCGACGGCAGCGACTGGTCTTCCTCCTCCTCCGACGGCCACCACGACGACTACGACCTCAACAGCACAGACGGCTACGACGACCCCTACAACAACGACGCCGACCACGAAGACAACTACGACGAACTCGACGACGAAACCCTGCACAACACCGAGCTGAACGCGGTTACGAATTACGGGATGCATCAGCCGTTACCTTTACCCGGATCTCACCCGGCTGTTAGGGCCGCGAGGAAGAAGCAGGGCGTGGGCGTAGAGTTCTCGACGGTTATGGAGGAATGTTTGGGGGCTGTGGAGGATAGTGATGGGGAGAAGGAGTACGGGGAGACGAGGAGGGAGATGGTGCCGTTGAGGGATCGGACGGGGCTGGCGAGTGATTTGGATGAGGAAGACGAGGATGAAGACGATGAGGATGAGGATGAGGAGGAGGAGACGGCAGGGGAACGGGCGGCTTTACCTGTTGCGAGCAGGGGGAGCAGCTTGCAGTACGGCAAAGACGCGCGGGAGGACGCAAACGAGGGTCGCAGCGTGTCCCCAAACAACGCCAACCAGCAGGACGCTCGGATGCATATCTCGGCCCCGCGCGATGCTGACATTTCGCCAGCGAAGCTGATGCTCAGCCCGCCGATGGAGTACATCATCCCGCCAATGTCCCTCCCGAGCCCCGAGATCTTCCCGCCCGCGGCGCCGATGCCGCTCACCCCACCTCCCCCGCCGCCAACTGCGGCACCAGCTCCCCCAACCCCGGCAGCGAGTAGTAGCAAGACGGTGATTTTTGGCACCGCCGCGGCGTCAGGGGAACGGTCCGTTGCGGAGACCGTGCAATGGGATCATGAGGTTGTCGGGCACACAGCGGAGATTGTATCCGTCGCGCCGGCTGCCGAGCTCCCACCGCAGCATCCGGCACTGCATCTGGCGTCCCCTGGGTCCCCGCCCACGACCCCGCCGCCGTCTGCGTTACCTCCCACACCAACACCCAACGGCGCATACGAGTTGGAGATCATCAAGCCCGTGCACTCGACAAGCACAGGCACGGATACGAACTTGGACCTCGACCCCCTGCCCCCCCGTATCCCCGCTGCCTCCTCAGCTCCCCCGCAACAACAACTTCCCCCAATCCCCTCCTCCATCCACCAACAACAACAACAACAACACATCGACCGCACAACCTCCCCCGCTCACACAAAACCCGCGCCCACAAAACCTACCCCCACCCCCACAACAACATCAGCAGGAGCCCCGCAAACAGCGCTGCCCCCGACCCCCCGCCGCAAAAAAGTCCGCCACGTCCAAATCCAAACCCGCGCGCCCCCCACAACCACAACCGCCACGCAAACCTCCCCCTCCGAAGAACTCACCACCGAGAACCGCGACCTGTTAGCCGAGGTCGTCCGGCTTCGCTCCCTCGTGCACGGTCTGACGACGGAACGCGAACGCGAGCGCGAGACCAGGGAGGTCGAACGGGGCCGGTATGAGGCCTTGAGCGAGGGTGCGGTCCGCAAGATCAGGGAGCTGGTGAGGGAGGTGGAGGAGTACAAGGTCGAGTGTGAGGCCCTGAAGGGTGTGGTATGTATCCTTGTTGTTTTGAGTCGTAGGGTACGATGCAGGCGATCGTGATGCTTACCATCTTGTTTTGGTTTTTTGTTTTTTTTTGTAGATTGAGGGATTTGAAATGCACCAGCAGGAATGGGAGGGTGTGTCGTCGGCGGCGGCTGTGGACGGGTCTGCGATGGATTTCCGATGAACACCCCCCCGGCCCTGCACTCTATATATACACGACACAACACGAAACACCACATTTGCAATGTACAGCACATACACCTAGACCATACATAGAACCGACCCCTTTAGTTAAGACATTTCGCATTTAGATACACTCGGTTCTTTTTTGTGCGTAGCGTAGGAGCGTAGACAGGCACATTGGACTTTTCTCCTTTTTTTTTTTTATGGCATTATATTACTTTGGTTCGGTTGAGTTGAGTTGGATTTGGAGGAGTGAGGCGGTGAGGGTTGGGGAGCCTGCTCAACGGAGGAGCGAATGAGGGAGCCGGAAGCAACCAGCCGGTCGACGAATGTCATGACTGTGCTTTAGATCCCGTTCCGTTTCGGACCCAGAGTCGGCTCCGCATCTAGGGAGATTCGTACTCTTATTGGGGGTCGACACCTGGTCAACGGGGGGAGTCAGGTCCCCATTTGACCCAGGGGAGATCCCGCCGTTGCATATCGAAGGCGCGGCAGATATTCTACGCCAAAGCGGGGGGGAATGTTCCAACCGGGCTTTTCGAGAACTGTTGGAGGGCGGCATGTCGTTGATCGGCGTGGCCATGCTGCATGTCTGCGGGAATGGGATGGGTCTGCCGAACTTTGAGAAAACGAAACAGAGATGGAGACGCAGGGGGATGAAGAATGCGTGTCGGTGCTCGTCCCTTGTGTGATCAGATCGCCTGCTGAAGATCCCTCTCGACCGTTTGTGGATATCCACACATCGGTCCAGCAGAAGGACCCCTCATGGCATCAGCGAGCGCATAGCGCATTATTATCCACCATTGGTACCAGGTGCGTCCGTACCCGGTCTGCGTGCAATTTCAGGGGAACGCAGTACAGGGCCAAGCAGGAAGGACTGGCAACGATAGGCTAGGGAACCCAATGTGGCTAACCTGTAGCCAACAAAGCGATACGGCTCAATCATCCGAATCTGCACGCAGTATGTCGATTCCCAAAAACGGGAACTAAGTGCATGTACAGGAGTCTACGCCGTAAGTCGAGGGGAAGATCTACATAATATACGAAGGGGATGTCTCCGCTATCGATTTCTACACTTTCCCATTTTCTAGCTAGCTCCCCACTCAAATCCAAGCAAACGTCACCGCCAACGCCGCGGCCGCCACCGCAACCGCTCCCGAAGCAACGGCGGGTCCAAGCCCGCCCGCCGCCGCATTCTTGGCCGCCTCCCCATTCGCCGCGCCGGTGGTGTTCCCGTTCCCATTCGTCCCGTTGTTGGGCACAACCGTTCCGTTCCCCGTCACGACGGTTCCATTCCCACCGCTCCCAGCGTTCCCAGCGTTTCCGTTGACGGTCGCACAGTCCCCCTTCCACCCCACCGCATTCGTTGCGTTGACGTTGGCCCCGCCGGTCTGGGCGCACGCGGTGTTGCGGGCGCACGTGACGGCAGGGAAGTCGGCGGAGGAGGAGCAGAAGTTGATGTAGCAGAAGACGAGCTGGTTCTTTTCGCGGCAGAGACAGGCGGCGTCGGTGGGCCCGCAGGCTGTTATGAGGTTGTTTTGGTTTTTGAGGCACTGTGGCGGGGTACAGAAAGAAGGGGGAGTTAGGGAAAAAAAAAGGTATCAGCCCACATCAAACCAAAGGTGAGAGAGGTATCGTGGCTTCGCTTCGCTCGCGAAGGACCACAGTGAGAGGAGCATTGCGCCTCCGCGGAACTATCGGCCTCCCAGAACGAACCGCCGTTGAGGGGGGTGTTTGTTTCACAATACGCTACCTCAGTGAAAGCATCCTGGGCGACGCAGGTAGTGTTTTGGCCCTGAACGACGACGGCGGTCGCAGCAAAGAGCGCTGCGGCGAAAGTGGAGGTTATGACCTTCATGTTTGGCAGAGTGAGACGTGGATTACTATGGATAGAAAGGAAAGAATGCTTCGGTGTTGCGAAAGATCGGAGGGGACGACGAACGACGACGAATTTGGCACCGACCCTTTTATGTATGCGGATCCTCGCGCGCGGGAGGGTTGGGGACCAGCAAGAAAGCTCTGAAACACCCAAGAGCCAGTGAGCGGTTTTTCTCGCCACGGGAGCGAGATAGCGCTTTGCGGGTTGGGGTCGTTGGGGGCCGTTGGGAATCAGAGGGATCCCTTCATCGCGAATCGGTCGGTGGCGGAGTCGCAATGACGCGCGCTGTCAAATTCCTTCCTATTCTCGTCTCGGACTCCCTTACACCCTTCGAGAGCATTACATGAACCCCTCGCAATAACTGATTGGCCCTACATACTGTATAGTAAATGAGGCATCTTGCGTAGCGGAGGGGGCTTGTGGGCAGGAGAGCTTTGCTGTTGCGACTTGCAATTTTCCTTCCGCTAGAGCCACGCCGAACTCTGGCGAATGCTCAATGTCGTCTCCATCTCCGCTTTCAATACGTCCGGGGTGCGGGCTGGATGGCGGTGGAGAGGAGGAAGATCTCAAGTCGGTTTCCTCCCAGGGTTTCCTGGAGGCCACTGGAACCATATTGGCTTTCCAGCGCTGACCTGTGCCACTCTCGCGACTCTCGGGACTTGCAAGGACTTAGTATAGATTTCCCATGTTTAGTGGCACAACAAACATGAACAAGTTGAAGAAGGGTCCAGAGTTATAAAGCATCGCAATGACTCTCTCGCACCTATCCACCACCTCCACTCCCTTAATCTCCATTTTCATAAACATTTCATTGAGCCGAGGAGAACCGACTCGTGGTTTCAGGCCAAGAATACGGTTGGAAAGGTGGTTTGCTAGATGTGCTGAACCACAGTTTGGTGCCGTGTTTGCTGATTGGTCTACATAATAACCCCTAGCTAGGTGACCCGCCGGCAAAAACGGATGTCGAACGTCGGCGGCTTTCTGCAGAGGGGGAGACAGAGTGACATGAGCGCATGGAGCACAACCACGCATCACTTCATGAGCTCCCCGTGCTACTAGTGGTCTCGCCGCACCAATCCAGGCCAACACTACAGCCTTCGCCGCCTGGCCCTACGCAGAGTCCCAGCGTTGAAGTCCCGATCCACGCCTCCATGTTCAGGTCCGTGTTTAGGAGGTGAGCTTACCAATATTCTCAACCTGGACGTCATCGTTTGACGCGGGTTGGTTTGACAGGTATTGATGGTAAGGATCCCATTCAGAGCGGGACAAGATGACACCCCAAAAGGCCCCTCCCACCCCATTTGCGCGGTACGAGGGCGAGGTCGTGCTTTTCGCCGTTACGCAAGACGAGGACTTTGATGCGTTGCTGCAGAAAAAGGGCGCGTTAGCTAACCTGCAAGGAACAATCTGTTCGTAAGGATTAGAACGTACGTTTTCGACGACGGCGCTGGGCAGTTGTTTCAGGGGCTCCGTGTGGGATGTTGCTGTTATTGTTGCAAATCTATACGACAGATGACGATACGTTGGGCGACGGATGAATGGTATGCATGAACAGTAGAAAGATTTAGGACAAACCGTAGGATAAGATCGTTCCGCGCCAATCCTGCCGCGCTGGCGGGACTGTCGGGGGCTACTGCATCGATCTTGGCAAACGGTGACAGTGCTTCTTCTGCAAAGTAAAAGGGAAGGTCAACCAGCGATGCTTCTTCCTGGAATGATGGATGAGGCTCGCTATCTCTCAGGCATCTATGCGCCCCTCTTCACCCAGAAGTTTTCTCAGTGAGCTTCCTTTGCTCGTGGTGTCGCACACCCTCGCTCGCGTAATCATTCACCATCCTCACTCCAACTTCCCCCTCGCCTTCCCGGCGAAACGTACCATTCCCCCCTTCCCCACCCGCTACCCCACTCCTCCCCTCCCTCCTCGCCCCCTCATGCACCTCGGCAAGCGCCTTCTCTATCCTCCCCATCATCTCCTGATGGTCATTCCGCAACCGAATGATCTCCACGCGCACATGTCGGATATTATATACGTCAATGTCGGCGCGCGGGAAGCCGTCGGCGTCCGTTAGGGGGGTTGTCATTGTTAGGTTTTGCTGTTGGAGTAGAGGGAAGGGGGTTAAGTTGAGGGGGATGGGAGAGGGGAAGGGGCGTTGGGACGTACGGAGGACAGGACTTGCTCGAGGGAGCGGATGCGGTCTTCTATGGCGTCTTTTTCGGCGATGAGACGGCGGGTCGTTGTGACGATGTCGTCGTAGGTTGAGGCTGTCATGGCTGGGGCTGGATACCTTTGCGAGAACGGTACAGAGACGAGAGAGAGAGATAGATTGCAGTTTGGGGCGACAAGGGAAGTGTGAGAAACCTCCTGCGAACGAACGCGCGTGAAAGCAGTCCGACGCTGTCGAATCTCTTCCCAAACGAGTTGGGGCAGGCATTGTTTCTACAAGTTCTATTTCACAAAAAGAAATATGCAAATATCCCTTTCCCTCCCGGTATCTCCAAAACTCCGCAGCGTCCCCCCAATGTCGCCCCTATCCCCCAAAAAGCTCGAAACTCCCCAAACACACGCTAATGCACAGCCCTCATCCGCCCCATCTCCTGTCCCTCCCCTTTCGCAGCCTTCTCCGACTGCTCCTTCAGATAAACGAGCACGGCCTCCGTCCCGCGTACAATCACATGCTGAGGCGGTGAATCGAACGGGTTGTCGCGGAGATCCAGTTTCTACCAACCCAAAAAAAAGCAGCAATGCATGGTCAGAAAGGCACATGAGATGCGACATGTAGTCAATGACCAGCGCACCTGCAAATTGGTCATGGTATGCATCGAAGGCGGCAGATCGCTGATCCGGTTATGCGATAGATCCATCCTGTTCAACGACGTCAGTTCCGAGATCTCACTGGGTAGGAAGTTCATTGTGTTGCTTCGGAGTTCTAGCACTGTCAGCTTCTTCAGCTTCCTAAATTTGATCATTTCCAGGACAAGACAACGTTCATCAGCATGGCAATCCCAGAACCCCGCTGGTTGAAGCTCAGATACTGACCCGATGGAAGCGGGTACGGTCTCCAGCTTGTTGTTGCTTGCAAAGAGCCGGTCCAGCTGGTCTAGGTTGCCGATATCTTCCGGGAGCGAGATGATTAGGTTGTGCGAGATGTCTAGCTCTGTTAGGGTGCGGATCTCGCAGATTTCGTCGGGGAGGATTTCGATCATGTTGTTGCTACGATGGGAGAGGGTGAGAAAATAAGAAATGGGAAGTTGAGAAATCCTGCCTCTTTGACGTTGTCTGCGCAAAGAACCAAAACTCACTTCAAAAACAGCTTCACCAATAGCTTCAGCGTCCGTATCGTAGTAGGTATCGCGAACGAGTTCAGCTGGTTGTGCCGCAGATCCAGATGCTGCAAGTTCTGCAACCCGCCGATCTGGTCCGGCACCTGGCTGATCGAGCAGCTGTCGCAGTTTAGCACTTTTAGCGCTCTCAGGTTGCCGAGAATCTCTATTGTGCGTATGTGTGAGCAGAGTCCCAGATGCATTAACGCAAAAGAAGAGACGTGGCGCGTACCAGGCAAATCCTCCATCTGCCCATTATCCTTCATAATCAGCTCCGTCAGCAGCGTCCAATTCCGCACGCCCAGGGGTATCTTCTCCAGCTTCGTATTCCGCATGTTGAACTTAAGCATCTTGGTGCAACGCGAGAGGGAGGAGGGGAGGTCGTCAAGCTGGTGGTTTTCTTGGATGTCGAGTTCTTCTAGGTTGATTAGGTTGCCGCCTGTGTGGGTGTGATTGGTGGGCATTTGTGTGCGTTTGGCTCTCCCAGTAATATGATTGATAACAGCGCCCATTACTTACACGAATCCGGCAGCGTCCTCAACGCATTATTCCCTAACGCCAGCCACCTGAGCGTCGTCACTTTCCCGATGGATTCCGGCAACTTCACCAGCAGATTGCTGCTGATATCGAACCTCTGCCCAGCGCAAAACAAAAATCAGCCCGACTGTCGGCAACAACCGTTGATTTGCTGATGTCTCACACACACCTGTAGCGTCTTGAGCCCCCCGATATCGTCGCTGACAGTCTTGATCTTGTTGAAGCCGACGTCGAGTTGCTCAAGGGAGGGGAGGACGAAGATGCAGCGGGGAAGACCCTTTATCGTTCCGAGTTGACAAAACAAATTAGTCCCGCACATCGTATGATGTGCCACCCCCTAACGCGCCAAAATTGTCGGTCCCCCACCTTGAGATCGTTATGATGCAGCTGCAACACTTTAAGATTGTGCAGATTGCCAACCTCGGGTATGATGTCCCTGCGTGCGAGGCATGGACGAGACCTGATCAGCCGTACGTCCCTCTCTCCGCGAGACACAGTGAGCACTCCCGCCCGCACAACTCACTCCAACTGATTTCCGCTCAAGTCCAACGTGAGAAGATTCGATAGCTCGCCGATTAGCGGCGTCATGGGTGAATAGAAGAGGCGATTGTTGCCTACAGATGAACCGGAATGATCAACACCTGCCTCTCCCAAATGGGCATTGTCAATGGAATACGAGGCGGGAAGGTTTGTAAATACCGGCATGAATCTCCACCAAAGATTTCGGCAATGACGGTGGGAAATAGTTGACATTGTTTTGCGAAAAATCCAATATTTGCAGCTTCGTGAGCCTTCCTATTCCGCCCCATCATATTCGTGTTAGGGACTACATCACCACGTCCAGTACGATCTGCAAAAGTTCTTGGCCACTCACCCAACTCCGGCGGCAAATCAATCAACAAGTTGCTCGAGAGATTCAACGTTGTCAGTTTCTTGCAGGCCTTGATATCCTTGGGCAGTATTTTGATGTCGCGCTTGGATAGGTCTAGCGTTGTTTTCCTGCGCGCCTTGCGGATGTCTTTTGAGAGGGCTGAGCCCATCTTCGGTAGTTATAATGTGGAGAGAGAGAGAGTGTGTGTGTATGCTTACGAAAAAACGAGACAGAGAAAGCGAGGGACAGGGAAAAGTGACAGCTTCCGACCAGCGACGCGCTGTCGCTTCGGGCTTTCAAATTTCCTCAAACCAAGGGGAATTCGAACCTTTGAACGGGACTTCCCACCCTTGCCCTCCGTCGGCAGCCGCCTCGTTGAAAACCCGTACGAGTTCAACGACGGCTTTGACGCACTCGAAGACTTGCGCGAAAGGAGAAGCACGGGCATGCTCAGGACGGGACACGTACATACAGTATGTGTCCAGCGATGGTGGCAGCGGCCCATTGTAGTCGGATTCGAATGGTCAACCCAGACAACGGAGAAGCGCATTGTACATTGCAGGGCGTCGTGACGGCTGCCACTGCTATATCACACTCTTGGCAACATACGTTCAGCGTTTGGTGACCACTGGCAAGAACTTTGCTTTGGAATGAGCAATGCGAAGGGTAAACCGTTCAAGACCGAGGGGGATGAGGAAGAGCGCAGCCGTAGACGTCGCCGTTGATGGAACTACCATACCTCTGCAGTTGTTGTTGATGGGAAGCGGAAATACCCATCACACGCACAGGCAACCTAGTGTCATCCTACAGCAATTAACGAGCTCTTGGTTGGTTTGGTCGCCACAGAGGGGCGGGACAAAGGACTTGCAATGAGTCCGTGCTTGGAAGCCGTCATCGCCAAGCAAAGCCTCTGAGATGGAATGTTAGCGAAGTTTGAGTCCAAACTGCGGCCATCGATGAAGTCGATGGGTATGAAAATATAGAACGTACATTTTGCGTACTTCGGGGAATCTTTCCGTCTTTGCTGCCTAAGCCTTGAATAATCAACATCATTGGCAAATGCCTTCGTATTTGTGCCGCTATTCGATGCGTTTCCTTGTGCTGGCATTGGGTGAATCGACAGCGTCTCTCATCAACCTCCGACAAGTGACGGTCGCGTTGAGATCTGCTCCCTTCCGCTTTCTCCCGATCGCTGTCCCAAGCCGCAAGGCTGTCCCAAGTCCGCACAGTTCTCCCAAGATCGCACCCAATACAACAAAATGGCGAAGAAACAAGAGCCCAAAATCCCTGTCACGGTTCTCGGCGCTGGCGTCACCGGGCTAACGACAGGTAGGTGGCCCTTCCAGACTTCACATTCATATGCAATTGCGTCCCTGTTGTGAACTCACCTTCGCGTTCGTTCGACAGCATGGTATGTTTGTCCGCAGTCCGACCACAGCTGCGTCAGCCTACGACAACAGCAGTCGTCTCGAAGTTGCTGTAAATGACTGAATGTTATATTTGACAATCGCGATTCCAGTATATTGCAGAACAGGGGCTATCAGGTCACTGTGGTGAGCCGGGCGTTTCCGGGGAACCCTGACGTAGACCCGATCTACACGTCGCCTGGTGAGTTTACTGGACGGGCGACAGGAAGGGTTCATGCGCGTGGAAGCAGGGCATGGATCAGATCACTATGGAAAGCTGACTGTAGTATTAATATCGACGCTATGGAACAGCGGCTGGGGCGCACTGGAGGAGCTACGCGGCGAACGATGATTACAGGGGACAAGGTGAGGAATGCGTCCCAGCTCGGTCTCCCGTTTTATTCTCGCACATCGTATGCTAAACCGAATGGTTTCTCAGAATGGGATGAGTTGACCTTCCAAACACTGCTACGACTATGCTCGGTACCAGGGACGGGGCTTATGATCGCGCCAGGTACGATCCATGAGCCTAATCAAATGGGTATTTCGTTTCCCACGACGAAGGGGTTCAAGCTGATCAGGTGGATATGCATAGGCTACGAGTTCTGGGCGGAGAAGCCGGATGTATGGCAAGATCCGTTCTTTGCGCGGTTTATCCCGAAATATCAGCGGTTGGAGGCGGAAGCGTTACCGCAAGGTTGCAAGTTTGGGATCTCTTACGAGACTGGTGGGTACCCTCGTTCTTTTCCCGCGGTGAGTGTATCATAACAACCATCAACGCTTACACTCCCCTCTCGCGAAAACAGTGTGCATAAACGTCCCGAAATACCTCCCCTGGCTCCTCGACCAGTTTCTCTATCTCGGCGGCAAGACCGAAGAGCGCGACGTGTCACACATTGACGAGCTGTTCCAAGGCAAACATGCCGCGAACGTCGTGGTCAACTGCACGGGGTTTGGGGCGCGCACGCTACCGGGTGTCGCGGACGGGCATGTGTACCCGACGAGGGGACAGATTGTGCAGGTGTTTGCGCCGCATGTGAGGCATACGGTTACGCGGCTGGGGACTATGCATGAGGACTTTACGTATATCATTCCCAGAGACGACGGGATCGTTGTGCTCGGCGGGACTTACCAAGCGGACAACCAGTAAGTCTGTTCTCAATCTCTCTACCTCCCGTTCACGCGACTGATATTTCCCTCTTCCCACAGCTCACTCGAAGCGGATCCAAAAACCGCCGACGACATCATCGAGCGGTGCCTCGCGATATGTCCGGAATTGAAACCGGAGGGCAAGTCGCTGGAGATCGTGGCGCATAAGGTCGGGTTACGTCCGACGAGGGTTGGGGGGACGCGGTGTGAGGCTGAGTGGCGAGGTGAGTGAGGCACAGGCTTGGTCGGAAGTAGGGGGTCCGTTACTGACGCGACAACTTGTTGCAGAACTAGATAATGGGCGGAAAGTGTTGCTTGTACATAGCTACGGCCATGGTTAGAGAGGCAACGGTCGTATGACTTGGCCCCACGATTGGAATGCTAACGGTTCATCTGTTGCACAGGAGGCTACGGCTACCAATCAAGTTACGGCTCGGCAGCAACAGTAACCAAAATCGTAGACAGCGAGCTGGCACAGCAGCGGGCGTCGGCCCGGGCGGCCTCTAACGGTGCGGCGGCAGGGAGGGGGAGGGGCGGTAACGCTAAGCTGTAGATTTTTGCGTAACTTTAGGAAAATGTACACAGAAAGGTGGGAAACGGGGGCATGTGTGTAGGGTGAAGGAGGTTTTATGTAGGGCTTTTAGAGCATTTACCGTATAGTGGTTGTGAGAAGGTTCATTTTACATATGTAGCACAAGTAGTATCATTCCTATCGGAGTCTTCTCGTCTTCTCACGTCAAGGTGGCTGCGTTGATGTGAGGGTGTCCGGATGCAGGTTGCACAGCCACCGCCTTGCTTGCCGCGTGTCGTTCCCTCGCTTTCGGACGGCACGCGCGACAGAGGGAAGCGAAAGGCTTGCACCTCCAACCTCTCAAGCACAGCAGCAGGAAAGAATAGAGATTGAGAAAAGCAGAGGCATTCGTTCCAACGTCCTTAGCTGCACGGGCACTATGTCAACCCCCCTCCGCCCCCGCCCGACCTCCTCCAACGCTCTCCCATCCTCAGCCTCGTCCACCAACCACCACCACGCGCTCTTCTCATCCCCACCGCCTCTCCGACCAACCGCCCACCACCCGTTTGAGAACGCTTCCTCGCCGTTGAAGGCTCCTAGTCCGTGTCATGGACTGAATGACTGCGGACGGAGGGAGGGTGATGGTATGTGTATCAAAGAAATATCGGCGCGCGTTTGTACGTGGTGCTAAGCTGAGCCTTTACTGGGTTTTGTATGTCTCATATAAATAGATGTGGAACTTTTTGCAATGTTACCCTTATCGTCGCCATGTCGCGGTAGCAGCAATGGCAGCAGAAGCTCGATCAGTGATGTGGGTGTAGGGCATAAACGCCCGCGGGAGGAACCAGGCTGCGTGTTGCGAGAGATGGACTGGAAGGAGAACGCAACGGGATCCGACGAACACATGGACGGTGCCCCGGAGCTTGCTGAGAACCCTCTGAATGCACTCCCAGTGTCGCGGCCCGGGTGGCGAAAGTACCCGCTTCACTATATGGAACAGGAGAAACCTCCGGCCACGGGATGGTCGCCGTTGGTGCGCAAGAAGCCGGCGGTATCGCGGGACTCGAAAACGCTCTTCTCGGGTGCCGCGTGGGCGAGCGGCAAGCAGTTTGCATTTCCTTTGGCGCCGCATAGGGCTTTGGTTGGGAGGGAGATGTTTGGTGGGTCGTTAAGGGGTCGGATACGACGTAAGTGCGAGTGATTATACTCGTTAGGTCGGGGGTACAGGAGTGGGCAGCTGATCTCTGTATGTTGTGGACCCATACCAGCGTCTTTGAGAAGGTATCTGACGCACTTAGTGAGCACCGAGCACGATATCTACCGGACGGTGGGAGAAGCCGGTGTCGAGGTGCCGCCTTTCGCATGCGCTTTCAAGAACGGTGAGAATTCTTCGGAAAGATTAGTCTGGACTGCACGGATTGGAAACACTGACAATGACATACTTTATTTGTACCAGACGCGTCAACGAGCAACATCCTGGCCGTAGCAGATGAGGACGGCACCATCGGCCTGATCAATGCACAGCACGATTCTCGTTACGAGTCCCGTAAGTCCCCACTCCAGGATATCACGTATCCAACCCGCAAATCATGCTAACGAACGGCCGATCACAATTCCCAAACACAGACACCCCACGAACTGAATGGGCCGCACACCAAAACGCGATATTCGACATCTGCTGGTCCAATGACGATCGCCACATTGTATCTGCGTCGGGCGACCAGACCGTGCGTGTGTGGGATGTGGAGACACAGAAATGCGTGCGCGTGTTTGAGGGGAATACGTCGAGTGTTAAGTGTGTCACGCGCAATGAGCGAAATCCGAGTGAGTGGGGATGAGGAGACTGCTTGGCGGGGATAAGGATGATGGGGAATGGGCACTGACGTGCATCGTGATTTTGACAGATATCTTTGCGACGGCAGCCCGAGATGGTAAAATCATGACTTGGGATGTACGATGCAGCTCGTTTGGCAATGATGAAGGTAAGAAACGCTTGAGAACTACCTTGCGCGAGCTCCCCCCGAGCCCATGCCTTATGTCCGTTCTACAATTCTCCAATCACGCAGTGGCAGGCCAATACCATCGACCAACATGCACCATCCGCAATGCGCATTCGCTCTCGTCGAATGCCTCGAAAAAGTTGAGGAGGTTGACGACGACACCTGCCCAGTCGGGCCAATCGCAGAGTGTAACGGGAGTGAGATTTATACCCAATGTGGAGACGATGTTGGTGTCTTCGGGTGCTGCTGATGGGTATGTGGTCATTTCTATCACGCTCTCTGTGCGTAAGTGAAAGTTCCCGCCGTAATGATTATACCGCAGGCTATTGAAGATATGGGACATGCGGAATGCGGTGTCGTATTCGAGGAAGGACCCGCCGGTCCCGTATGCAAGTTCCTCGCCTTCTGCAGGGTCCAAGCGCGCTAGAGGTATGTAGCTTAATAGTCAGACACATACAGGCGCGACAAGATTACTGATATATTATTCTGTAGGGTTTTCATCGTTCAGCGTAAGCGCTGACGGAAGCCGGATCTACGCCGCCTGCACAGACAATAAGTACGTCCATATCCCAACTCCCCAATCCTCCCCTCCCACAGTGCACACCAATCAACTCACATACCTCCCCCGTTCCAGCATCCACGCCTACGACGCCCAAAACCTCGGCTCTCCCCTCCGCACCTACTCTGCCTCCGGGTTCCGTGTCAGCACCTTCTACATCAAGACAGCCCTCTCGCCCGACGACACCTTCCTCGCGGCGGGTTCGTCCGACCATAATATCTATGTCTGGGAGCTGGATGCGGGAGAGGATCGGCCGCCTTTGGTATTGAGGGCGCATACGGGGGAGGTTACCGCTGTGAGTTGGTGTGGTGGGGATTTCGGGAAGGTAAGAATCTGGAATATGGCAGGGTAGACATTTGCCTGTTGTTTGAAAGATGGGTTGATCAAATCCTTATCGCAATCCTCTTTCTACTTCTCTTGATACCCCAGCTCGCATCATGCGCCGACGACGCCACCATCCGGCTCTGGAACGCCGACCTGGCCTATGACGAAACCAAGCAAGACCCAGCCTACAAATCCCAGCGCGGGGTGGCCGAGGAAGGCCAACTGCGGAAAATCTTCTCCGTGCTCGATTCCAGTAGCTATACCCTCGACCCGCAGCAGAGGCGGAGAGCGTCGCCTGAGGATGATGCTGTGACGCCGGTGCGGAGGAGGGATGAGAATGATGAGGACGGACCCGGGGACGGGGAGGTGGACGAGGATGCCGAAAATGTGCCACCGGTGCTACCGATGGCGGGGCAGGGGTCTCTGGGTGCTGTGCCTTTGCCTGTACTGCGGCCGCTAGGGATCATACAGGCCGGAGATGTAGCCGGCATGACGACTATAGCAACAACGCCAGCAGCGAACACGACGACGCCACGACGAGCTCCTGGCACCGGCAGTAGCGGCGGTAGCAGTGGGGTTTCATCGACGCGACGGCCCACATCAACATCGGCGTTGAGACCGCGGTCCATTGCGGAGTATTTTGCCCCGCCCAATTCCTGAGCGATAACGCTTGGCTGAATCCCATACATCAAAGAGACTGGGGCGCGAGCTCTTCTGTAAATACGTAGCACTTTCTTTCATGGCCGGACACGGGGACACACTGTACAGAACACACCGGCGGTCATACCCCCCGCAAGTATCGGGGAGAAACGGCGCCTGAGGCCAGTAGAATTCATACATACCTTTTCGTTGTGGGATGATTTTGTCGTCCGTACAATATACACCCAAACAAGGACTTTTTGATTTGAGGATGATGGATGATGCGAGATTTTAGATATTAAGTTAGGTTGTCCTGTGCTATACGCTCTATCATAATGACGGATTGCCGACTGAACGCTATATATACGACCTATCAGTCTACATAGTGTGCCACTAGTTCATGCCGATTCGGATACTCTGTGCGATCCCATATGCCCGCAGCTGACTTTTGTCGGTACCGTGTTCTTCACATTGATATTTACATGTGTGGAGCTTCCTTCCGGCTTAGAAGCCTGACGGGATGGGTGTTGCTCGTGTGTGCCGAAGAGGCCCGACCCGGTCGAATGATTGTACACTGTGAGAACCCAGCTCCAAGGCCAAATCCTCCGTTTCGGTCCGCTACGCCAAATCCCGCATCAGCACAGTTACAGCGCCCTGGTACAGCTCATCGTTGATGCCAACCAACTGCTCGTTCTGCTGCTGGAGCTGTTGCACCTGCTGCTGCAGTTTCGCGTGGGCGGTTTCCAGGGCCGATTCCGAGGGGGTGGAGTCGAGGGTGCGGAGCTTGTCGGAGATGGAGGTAAGGAAGGTGGGTTGGAGGGTGGTTGTTGGGTGGGAGGTCTGTTGGATCGGTGGGTGGAATGGGGTTAGCAGCTGCGGGTGCATAGGAGATGAGACGGGGACGGGACGCACAGAAGTCAAATCGCCAGCAAGGGTCGGAAGCTCGACACTGGGATCGTGGCGCACTTCCCCGGCGGGCAGGACGTGGCGCGCCCATGGCTTGATGGGGAAGAAGTTGTGAGCGGATGCGGAAGGGTCCATTAGGTGTGGCGGTTTGAGGAGGATCTTTACGTCTGTCACTGGGGCTATGTGCAGGTTTGGTGTGTGAGGGTTGTGAACGAGGCGTTTGAGCAGGATCCAGTGAGGAAGACATACCTTTGTGGGTGGAGAAGGTCCGGAGCGCTTGGCTGCTGGTGGTATCCCACACCATTGCAGTTCCGTCAATCGAACCCGACAATAGGATTGAGCCGTCGAACGACAGTGCCAGACTCGTTATCGACTGTCTGTTGATCAGAACGCATCAGCATGTGACGCTCCTCCTCATGCAACCTTTTCACCGTAACTCACGAGTGTCCCATCAAAACGCTCTCATCACTCCGGATATCGTCCACGCCCTGCCTCAAACCAACAGCCTCCCCGCCCGCCGACCGATGGTACAGATTCGTCCTATATATCAGTCCCTCAGACGACCCAGCAAACAGGCGTGTCTCAGTGACATCGAGCGCGATGCTCGTGATGGGTTTATGGTACACAATGGTAGTCAGTAAATCCCCGCTGAGGGCTTCCCAGACTTTACACGTTCGGTCAGCCGAGCTCGTGAAAATCCGTGCGCTTCCAAAGAGGCCGACTCCGACTGCGATGTCTGTGATGGGTAGTGCGTGCCCCGAGAGGGAGCGGTGCGGGCTGGGGTCAGTGTCTGCTTGCGGGTCGATGGTGCTGGCTAGCAGCCAAACGTTTGCGACAGAGTCCTCTCCGCCGGTGATGAAAGCTAGATCGTCGGTGGTGAATCGGATCACTTTTACCGCTTTATAGTGGCCGTCGAATGCTCGGAGAAGCTGGCCGGTGTTCATCTGCCATATGTACACTCTCCCGGACTGTCCTCCACCAACAGCATAGATTCCCGAGTTTGACATCGCCAAAGAAGTCAGGTTCTCTGGCAACACGAACTTTGTCAACAACTGGGCCTACATGAAGTGAGACAGACCGAATCAGTCAGTTCTGCCCGCAACTGTCCGCCCCAATGAGCCCCGCCCTCCCAAACTAACCTTGGCCCAATTCCACGCATGCACCAAGCCCCTATCATTCTGCGCCGCCAAAAACGTCGACGAGATCAGGGCGCCTCCCAGGTGCGAGGGCAGAGGCAGCGTCGCCGTGGCCCTTGCGTTGCTCTTGTTACCCTTCAGCGTCCCAAGCACGGCTCCGGACCGCAAGTCCCAGATATGCACCGCCGGGTCAGTGGAGGACGCCGTTACTGCGACTTCTGTTATTGACATATTATCGTTTTGTGCGGTGCTGTGGCTGTAGACTCCAGGTAATGGAGTGAGAAATTCTGTTTACTCCAACCAAAGCCATGGCACTGACAAAGGCAAGTTGGGAACAAGTCGTCTTCCGTAAACACCCTCCCGTTCGCCGATTCAATGAACCATATGCCGACGTTCCTACTGCTGTGCCAGAAAAAAACAGGTGACCCACAAACTCACCTGTATCAGATTACCTTACAGACAGCGATAAGTGTATGCTTTTCCGAGGGGGGGCCGACGGTGAAAGAACACGAGGAAGGGTTCCCAGGCAGTGTTTGACCTGTATTGCTGTTGTCCAATTCTTCCAAATTGAGACGGGCGGAGGACACGGACGACTTGCGAAAAGTGCGAAAACGCGTGCAGGAAGTGAAGGCCAAGTCCAAAAACAGAAGGCCCTCTTAAAGGGGATCCATGCTGCTCCTCCGAGTGCCCTTTGAGACCTTTCGACACGAGGTTTTCCCCACGATCGAGCGAGCTCCATTATGAAATATTGCGAGAGCTGCTCGGGAACGACTGGTTGAGAAAGGCAGCGTCGTCACCAACTTGTATAGGGTGGACCTTACTGTCTGAATAATGACCGACGAGGTAACTCGGCAAAGTGAGAAAGGTTTCCACAACTTTTCTGGCTGGATGACAGCCCCCGGTTCGTCTGTCTATGTGTCTACATGAGAATTGCGCTTCACTTCCATCCAAACCATTCCCCGCAGGCAGTCGAACACCCAGTAAGGCAATGATGGAAACGTTCCATTGAGGCAAGAAAGAGCTCTAGCCGCTTCATATAAATAACAATAGTGAACAAAACCGGGATCACGCCTACAATCCGAAATGACGAGAATCTGCCTATGTGGTGACCTTATCCGCCAGGGGCCTACGTATCTATTCAACGGGGGGATGCGGCGCCTTCATCCATTTCTCGACCGTCCCCTACGCCCGCCTATCCTTCCACCTCATTCGCGGGAACACAGTCGCCGCGTTTCCGCACGTCGGCGTGGTGGTGGCCCCATGCAGAATCAGCAATCACCTCTCCAACCCTATCCGGGGGGCTGCGGGAAACCAAGTTCAGCGGCGTAATTGCGTTTTGCGTTGGGATACAGGGTTCAGATAGTTGTCCGGAGTCACAGAATTGTGAATGATATGTACATAGACATGTGCGTGTGGTGTGCGTATATATGTGTGCGTGTGTTTATGTGTATAGCGTGTGAGTGTGCGTTCTTGCATGCGATTCCGTGTAATTCGATAATTCTTCTGCTGTACATTCGTATGAGAAGCATTTCGTATTTTGTCCGCTCGTCCGTCTCATCGTTGCTTATCGACCTGGAGGTTACGAGTTGCGCTCGGTAGTTTGACGGTGACTCCGTCAAGCTCCGGGCTCATGATCACTTGGCAGCCTAGCCGAGAGCTAGACATTGAGCAGGCTCGTCAGTCGTATGCCCCGATAATTCATGCAAAAACGATCCAAAATCGCTCGCTCAATACGCACGTCTCAGTCAACCCAAACGCCAAATCCAGCATATCGTTCTCCTCATCAGACGGCTCTTCCAACTTATCGTAATACTTCTCCTCCACAATGACATGACAGGTCGAGCAGGCCAGCGATCCTTCGCATGCTCCTAAAAAACCCAGAGTGTGAGCTCAATCAATCTGCATATGCGCATCGACCGAAAACGGGTGAGAACGGGACGGTACCTTCAAGGTCAATATCATATGCGTGCGCCAAATCTAGCAGATTGTCGCCCTCGTTGGCTTCTACGGTGATCTTCTCACCCTCTGCCGTTACATACGTCACCTTTAAGCTACGTAAAGTGTGGGTATGAGCAAAAACCTTCCCGAAGTGATCTACCACCGTCCATTCTCTCCGCATGTCTCTCCCATGTGACCCCCCAAGGGTGCAATTACATACCCCGTGCCCGGCGCTGGCTTCTTTATCTCCGCATGCCTTAGCGGTATGGAAGAGTGGATAGCGGCGGCTCTGGGAAGAAACGGGGAGGTGCGGCGGGAAGTCACATGTATTCTGGGGATGGACAGGTTCCGTGGTGATGGTGATGTGGCGAGATTGCGAAGCTGGGCGGCTCCTCGCAGTGACCGTAGTAGGACAGTGCTGGGCCGCAGTGCTGCTGCTGCTGTTGTCGAAAGCATTGTGTGAGGGATGCGGTGTTGGGTTGAAGGAACGAGGATGGCCACTGGCCAGAGAAACCGCAACTTCCGTCAAGTCCTTCTCCGCGTGTCCCTTTTTCCAAACGACATTTCGCTCTGGGGAAGCAGTCGATCCCACAGCAACATCACCATCACAACGCACTCTGATAGCTGCGCTTTACACTTACTCAGCCTGAGCACCCACTACAAACTTCCGCTATGGCCACCGCCCAGCAACCCACCGCCACCCTGTAAGCACCCACAATCGCCCATCCCCACTACCCCACTCCCTAACCCCACTTCGTTCCAACGCAGCCACCCTCTCTCGAACTACACATTCGGCGTCAAGGATGCGCAACCAGAAGAAGACCCGTCCGTTGCGGCACGGCTGATGCGGCTACAGAGCGAGTACGCCACGCAGGGGATGCGGATCACCGTCGAGGCAGTTCTGGTCGTGCATGAGCATGGACATCCCCATGTGTTGATGTTGCAGATTGCTAATACTTTTTTCAAACTGTAAGGGAGGGCCTGTTGTATAGCAGTGGATTCGGCGTGGAGAGGCCGTGATGTATGTGGTACTAATGTTCGATGGTTGTTAGGCCTGGGGACTCGTTGAAACCGGGAGAAGACGACGTGGAGGGTCTGAAAGCGCGACTGAATAAGAAGCTGGCGCCGCCGGGTAGCGGGGCGGACGTGCCGACGGTAGATTGGGAGGTCGGAGAACTGCTGGCTGTGTGGTGGAGGCCGAACTTTGAGACTTTTATGGTATGTATGAGACTGTGGTCCAACTGCATGGGAGTCTCTCGATGCGAATGTTCGTACTGAATTCCCTTGCCTGTAGTACCCGTATATCCCAGCTCACATCACAGTAAGCGCTCAGCATTGATCCAGACCTATTCTCAACGAGTGAAACATCCTAATCTCCAAACCGCACCCGCATCCCAGAAACCAAAAGAGATGAAGAAGGTCTACCTAGTCCATCTCCCCGACAAGAGTACGTTCTGACCCCTCTCCCACCCGCCCCCCACACAACGCTAACCGAATCTCCCAACCCACCACACATAACAGAACTCCTCTCAGTCCCGAAAAACATGAAACTGCTAGCAGTGCCGCTGTTTGAACTGTACGACAATGCCGCGCGGTACGGGCCGCAGTTGTCGGCGTTGGCGCACTTGTTGTCGAGGTTTCATTTTATTTATGAGTAGTAGGTTGGAGTGTTTGTGTGAAGGAGGGGGAGGAGGGGAGGGGGATGGCGAGGGGGGGACGGATATGTACATTGGCGTAAGGATGACAGGGATCGTGCGGGAGGGGTGGAGAGGAGAGCTGACTGGGAATAGGCGACAGTTTCCACGGAGCTGCACATGCCGCGCTGCGCATGACCACGATTTGGATTAGCATCCGCCACGAACATTGGGCATGAATGCCCATGTCCACGGTGGGGAGGGGTCGGGAAGCGAGAGACGTCAGCGAGTTGAGGGGTAGGAGATGCCTGATAGGGAGGGAAGCCACCAACTAAGTGACGTTTGGACGTAAGAGGACTGCCCATCCAGCGGCATCGAATGGCGGTAGAGAACCTCGACCTCTGGCGTATTGAAAACCCGGGCCACACCTCCACACTTTCCACCATTGTGGTCCCCGCCGATTCATCTGGGTTCATATCTTCTACGCAATGAAAACGCCAAAATAACATGCGTCTGAGTTGAAGAGCGATGGCTTGCCTTGTTGGTTGCATATATACATAGAATCAGTTTTAAAAAAGCCTGGCAGTGCGGGATAGATAGAGGAACGCAAGACTACGACACGAGATCCGCGCGATGTTTCCAATACTTTCGACGGACGGGGTCGGTGTTCTCTAACCTTGCGCATATCTGCGATAACAAAGCATCTATCAGAAACGGCGTCTCATGACATATGCAGTATTCCGAGCGAAAAACCAAACTCACATCTTTACAAGCCACCGTATCCTTCCTCGCTTCCGCGATATCGAGCAGGAATGCCGACGCGTGCGGACCGTGATCGGCGTATTCGTTGCATAGTGTTTCCAGGTCGGGGAAATCGGTGAGTTGTTTGCCGGCCAGTTTGATGATCCTAGCGTGAGGAGACCCCATCTTGTCAGCAAAAAACGGCGCGAAACATCGGTCCCCTGCGAATCTCAGTGTCCTCACCCCCTAAGATAAGCCCAAGGACTCTCATTCCTTGGCGACAACCTAATCTTCCCCACCACGTACCCAATCTCCTCCTCCAAATTCCCCTCCTCAAACCCCTCGGGTCGATTCCTCATAACCCAATACCTCTGATTCCACGCCGAATTATTCCTCACGTCCTCGTCAACCAGCTTCTCGACATCCGGCAGCTCCTTCTCCCACAGAGCAAACCGCGACACGGCCCACTGGCGGTACGACCAGCAATGGTAATTTTTCGAGTCGACGGCGAGCTGCTCATTGATGAAGGCGTGCTCGGCGGAGGCGTCGTTGAGGTGGGAGATCAGCGCTTGGCGGTAGTGCCAGATTTGGTAGGATTTGGGGGTTTCCGAGGCCATTTCGTCGATGAAGGTTAGTTCGGGGGGAATGGAGGAGGAGAGGGCGAGGACGGTGTCGAGGCGGTATTTCCTGTTATGAGACGCGTGTGAGATCACGCTCATTCACACACTGCATCAAGGGGTGTGCAACCCGGCGAAGCGATGGATGTATACCATACAGTGTAGTGCGCCGGGTTCTGACGCACGAGGAACTTGGTGAGCTCGAGGACACGCGGGCTTCGCTCTTCGGAACGGAGGATTGCTCGGAAGCAATTCATCGCGTCGGCGTCTAATCGGAGTAGAGGCAGGGTAAATACGGATGCTTAAGTGAGGGATCCAAAGGGAAGCAGGCGCTCACAATCCGGGGCATATGCGATCGGGACGAGAGGAGTGGGCCCCTCGTCTTGGGGGATGGGCGTGATGTCTGCCCATTCTGGTCGTTTGCTGAAGAGGGTCTCCTCTTTGTCGTCGCTGCTCGCCATGGCGATAAATATGCTATTGCCAATATAGAAAACCGACTGCTTTACTCCGAGGAAGGAAGGAGAGGGCTGATCAGCGATGACTCTTGTGTATGGGCTGTTCGGGGCTCCTCGGTGTGTTTCCAATCCCGCTGAAATGGCGTCCCCAAATTCACGGCGGCGCGACGAGAGAATGGAGAGAGAGAGATGAAAGCCACGCCTCCCTCCGGTCCTTCCCGCAACATCCGTCACATAAACACATCGAGGCCATCGTCGCCATCCCTCGCTCTCAGCCCACCGCTCACTCCCACCGCAGGGCACATACGCCTCCCCACCGTTTGACCACCCGACGCTGCTGCACATTGTCCCCCCCACTCGTAACACAAAATGGAAGCCCTCAACGCATTACTCGCGTCAGGACAGCACCATGACCTGCTGTCCATCGTCAAAGGGTTCCGCAATGGCGCTGTTTACGGTACGTCTCTCTTTGAACGACTGCTCACTCGTGGGGTACAGCCAGTCCTCCGTTTATGCAGTAATTCAGTCATTGGCAATGTTCTAATTTGCCTCTCGCTTGGTGTACGATGATGTCTGTTTTCAGGAGCGAAAGTGCGCTTCCCACACGCGCTAGTCATGACCTTCCTCTTCCGGACCGGCAGGTAAAGCCATGTTTTCCCCCTCACCCACTGCTCCTCACGTTCATCTTACGATCGCCCCCGCAATAGCCTCCAAGAAAAGCTCCGTTTCATCCTAAAAGCGACGTACCAGCACTCGCGCAACCTGGCCTTCTTTGTGACGATCTACAAGTCGCTGATGCTGCTGCAGCGGACGGTCAAAGGCGGGAAGGAGCATGGCGCGGACGCATTTGTGGCGGGGGTTGTGGGAGGGTATGTTGTTTTTGGAAAGAATAATAATGTTAATAATCAGGTATGGGTTGCGAGGTGGGGATGTGGGTAGGGGATGTGAGCGGGAGAGAGTGGGTAGATGTGGGTGGGTGTGCAAGCGGGAGTGAAGTGACGAGCGACAACGAGCATAGCACGAGCAGTGGCGAGCCGGTTTGCGGGACCATCCTTGGACGAAATGCACGCGAAGCGGGCCACGTCGCTCGCCCAATGATACCTTCACGAGCAGTCAGCAAGCAGGATCAACCATTCCTTCACTCGGTCACCTAATCACTCTCACACCCCACGCAGATCGTGCTATACCTCTTCTCCCGCATCATGATCGGCCTCGCCAAACTCGCGGTCAAGAAGCAAGTGCTGCCGGAACCCAAGCACACCTTCCCCGTGTTTGCTGCCCTCGTCTGGGGTATGTGCCATTTTCATCACATTTGTTATACTTCGTTGCGGACTGGGACTGATTCTATCTGATTCATGCAGGTATCGTGATGTGGCTATTCAGACATAACCGCGACACACTACAAGGATCGTTGCAGGCGTCGATGCATTACTTGTACAACGATTCGGACAACTTTGATACCTTCAAGAACTTTCTGTGGCATAATCGTTGAGCTGGATTGATGGGGTGGAGGCGGTAGTGGGCCCGGGGAAAAGTTTTGCAATCGCGACGAGGAGGAGTTGTGAAGGTTTTCTTGAATGAAGAGCTTTTTTCATTTCTGTCTTGTTTTGTGTGTATATACAGTTTGAGAAAAACACTTTTTGCATGATCGAAGGAAGAGGATACAGTTGAAGCTAGACTAGTACTGAAGAGTGAGGGTATGGAATCATTACACAAGCCGCATTGGGGGGGGGGGGGGGATTAGCGCAGGGATTATAAACAGATATGCAAGACAAAGTGAGAAAGACAACTTTCCCTCACTGTCTCAAATCAATCATCAAGCATCGCCCCCGCCTTACTCCTCCTCCCCGCCTGCACATCCCTCTTGACCGCCCTTTCCTTATCCTTCCTCGCATACTCCATCTGCCGCTTCGCATTCCGATCCCTCAACGGCTTGACCGGTTTCCCCCCTTCCTCGGCGTTATCATCCTCATCCGACACCTGCCTCGACGACCGTCCCGATTTCCCGCCAACGACCCCGCGCGTAACCTCCTTCCCGGCATCGGCCGCGTACCGTTTCGCGACGTATCGTACCAAGATCGCGTCGCCGGCCCTCCACGCGCGTTTCAACTTATTCTCGATAGTGGAATTCTCCAGTGCCTCGACACGGTGTGTGAACAGCGCGAATTCGGTGGTGAGGGAGTCTACCGCGAGGGGAGGCGGCGCGTCGACGGATTCGAGGGAGAGGTCGGAGAGGTTGTCCGCGATATCGGATGCATTGTCGGCGTCTTCGCTCCCGTCTTCGTCAGAGTAGCCCCCGTCTTCGCCCTCGGCTTCGTCGTCGGTGTCGTAGTATTCTTTACGCCAGGCTGTACCTTTCTCTTCGGTGCCGGCGTCATCGGATTCGAAAAGCTCCGAGTCATCGTTGGTGTCATCCCCCTCGGCGCCGGCTTCGACGTCTTCGGCGGTGACGGAGGGTGAGCCGGTGAGGACTGCCAGACGGCCCATTTCAACCAAGGCGCGCACAGAGGCGGGGAGTTGGCGCGGGATGTCGGGGTTGTCTTCGAGGTCGAGGATCTCGAGGTCGTCGAGGTCGGAGATGCTGGAGGGGATGCTGGTGATTTTGTTGGCGGAGGCGTCGAGGTAGGTCAGGCGGGGGAAGAGGGTGGAGAGGCCGTTGGGGAGGGATGTTAGCCGATTCTGGCCGCTGTGAATGAGGGAGTGTGTCAGTGCCAGTTGGGTGTCTGAGTGAATTGCGACGGATGATGGATGATGGATGAAGACGATGGATGGTAATGACATCCTGCTCGCCATGCTCGCGACAAGGAGGTTGGGCTGGTGTGTGGTCCGCAATCCTGGCCCTCCGGCCCAGTTGGGCTTGCTCACGGCCGCATTCTCCTCGCTTCGCTCGGAGCATCCCTCGCTATCGCTATCGCTCTCTCCACTCACATCAGTAAAGCAAGCAGATCACTCAGTTTCTCGGCGGCCACCGGCAATTTCCCCAGATTGAGACTCCTCAAGTCCAGTACACCCGTCTTTCTCGCCTCTGCGATTCTCTGCCTGACCGTGGGCGTATCCTCTTCTGGAGCAGCCTCTGTCTTTTTTGAGGCAGCGAATGTCGCTTTCGTGCGAGTTCGCCTGTGGCCTGATTTTGCGTTTGTGTTGAACATAGTTCTTGATGTTGGGGCGGTTGGATGGATGATGCTGTGGGGTTGGGTGTTGGGGGTTTGGTTTGGAGGGTCAGCTCTGGGATGGGGCTTTTTGGAGAGGGTGACGTCGTCCTTTTGCGACAAAAGAGGCTAAAGAGGGCGGAAGGAAGGAATCGAACCCGCGGCCGCCCTGTGGAGGGAGTAACCCTAACCCCGCGCGAGAGAATCCACCCGCTCTCATAGTAGAGATCTGTCTGGACATGATTCGCAACACCCAGGAACACTCGCTTTCTCGCTTGGTCTACCCACAGGCAACCGGTAACCCTAGCGGACCACGGCATCTTGCAAACCCACGCTGATTGCCTGCTTGACTGGTCCGCCCTTCATACGTATCGGTCGTCCTCATGTGGTCATTACGGGGACAACCTATTCAGGTAAGTCAAGATGTGTTGCATCTGCCCCCTGCTGAGCTCAATATGGCATTTTGCAGACACCGACAACCGCCGAGTCCTTCATCCGCGAGCTCGACCACGACGAAGACCTCGAAAGCTTCGTACACAGGGAAGAACAAGAGATCACCCTAGCTGCCGGCGGGTCATTCGACCTCCTCCCACAGGGAGAACCAACGAACTTGGACGACGACCCTTTCTCGACCTCTTTTGACCACTTTGCACCAGCGATGGGCGCCCGAATGGATTGTTATATGGGCATGGATATGGAGCCGGGGGTGGACAACTGGACGGGGCATCCCCATGATTCCATGCAGCATTTGGGGGATGTGGGTGGGCAAGAGGCGATTGATCTGGACCAGTATGCGGACATTGCAGACATATCTCATCCGCAGATGGCCCAGGCGAACGTGGCTTACGCGAACGTAGCGCATGCGAGCGTGGCTCACGGGAGCATGTCTGCGGAACAGATACCCACGAGACAGATCCCAGAAGCGATGCAGCATGGTCATCATCACTCACACCCGCAAACGGTACGAGACATAACACCGACACTGGAGGATGCCGCGATAGACGACTTTGCCATGCGACTGGACGACTCGGGAGCGAATGGTGCTGTGAACGGCGTAGAAGAAGAGGATTATGAGGACAACGGGGAAGGCTTCGCCGTTACCGAAGTGCCGTCATCTCCAACGCCCTCCGCCACCACCCACATCCCCGCACCTAGCTCCGGCACCGCCCTCTACTACGACCCCGCCCTCCTGTCACATCGAAACCTCTTTTGCAACCAAGCCGACGCCGATGACTACCCGGAAACGCCAGAACGAGTCCACAACGCGTACGAGACGCTCAAAACGCACGGATTGGTCGACCGGTGTGTCCGCCTGGCCGCACGGTCTGCCACCTCGCACGAGCTGCGGCGGGTCCACACTGAAGGCCACATCGAAGAGATCAACAAAACGCGGACCATGGACCTCGTTCGACTAAAGGATATGTCGGAGCGGCGGTACAATGATGTGTTCTTTTCCTCCGAGACCGCAGACGTCGCGAGACTCTCGTGTGGTGGGGCCATTGCCGCTGCGGAAGCGGTCTGGACGGGCAAAGTACGCAACGCGGTGGCGCTGATCAGACCGCCAGGCCACCACGCCGAATCAACAAAAGCGATGGGGTTCTGCATCTACAACAACGTCGCCGTCGCCGCCAAAGCCCTTCAAAGCGCCCACGGCGCCCAGCGCATCATGATCCTCGACTGGGACGTGCACCATGGCAACGGCACCCAAAAGGTCTTCTACAACGACCCCAACGTCCTCTACGTCAGCCTGCACCGCTTCGACGACGGCAAGTTCTTTCCCTACCTCACCATCGGCGGGATGGACTACGTCGGCGGCAAAGGCGCGGAAGGCAAGAACGTGAATATACCATGGCCGTGCGAGGGCATGGCCGACGCGGACTACATTCACGCCTTCCACCGCGTCGTCATGCCCATCGCGTACGAATTCAACCCGCAGATCGTCCTCGTTTCCGCAGGCTTCGATGCGGCTGCGGGTGACCCGCTCGGGAACTGCGGCGTCACCCCCGCCGGGTACGCACAGATGACACTGATGCTGAGCGGGTTGGCGGGCGGGAAGGTCGTGATGTGTCTTGAGGGCGGGTACCATGTTGATGCGGTGGCGTCGTCGGTGGTGGCGGTCACGAGGGCGTTGTTGGGGGATGGGGTGCCGTGCGTGGATGTGGCGCGGGGGCCGGGGGAGGTGGCGGTGGAGACGGTGCAGAGGGTGACGGAGGTGCAGTCGTTGTATTGGAGGTGTTTGAGGCCCGTGTTTGAGAATACGAAGGTTAAGGCGGCGGCTTATGAGTTGCAACGGCGTATGGTTTCTTTACCTGGTAAGCCTCATATCGAATATGACAGCCCAGCTATCCTGAATCTCCCACTCACCATCCTCCTCCCATGCAGACATATTAAATGGCTACCGGGAACACTACCTCTCCACGAAGCACGGCCTAATCCACCACACGATCAAGAACGATCCCCTCGCTGACCGGTTCAACGGTCAGATTCATCTCAGTCCCAATCTCTCGTCACATACGGGATTACTATTCATCTTCATACATCCGAGTTTTGACGAAACAAAGTACGCAGAACGCACACCGGTTGGAAGGACATGATTTCTGACCATGTGTTTTAATCACACAACTACAGGGGCCGGTTAAGCGCACATACAAACACGCTGAAAATCACCGAAACGTACGTGGTACGTATCGGTCCCGTCTCGTGAACCACGCCATATGAACACCTATTAAGCTTACACTCACTACCGCGCTGTAACCAGTACGACCCAACCACACAATACATCGACAGCATCATCTCGGGCGGGCATGCCTTCATTGACGTGCAGCCCGGGATCGGCGGTGATGTGGTACGTTTTTCGTCCGTTTCGTAGAGGGGTATAGGAGCGCCGTTGATGATTGATTGCTGATGGGATTCATAGGACGAGACGGCGTTGATTGTGAAGGAGGTGGCGAAATACGTCTGGGATAAACATGGCCGGTGAGTAATAGCCCGTCAGGGGTCTTTCAGTAGTCCGATAGATGGATTAACACGTGGACCCGTAACTTCCAAAGCACCTCCCCAGCCCGCAGAGTAATCCTCCTCGGCGTCAACGAAGGCGCCGGTGCGCTGCTTAACTTGGTCGCGCTCAGACGTGAGTATTTCCCCGTTCCTCTCCCGCATTTCGAGGATGATGGCGTTTATTGAGGTACGTTTGAACGCGAAAAGCGGACCTGCAAAAACGCACCCTGTCCATCGTGTCGCTCATAGCTGCTGGAACGCCGCCGCCGATGCACTCGAGTTGCGCTGAGTGGTATTTTAACGTATGTTGCCGGCCATCCCGTATGTACCTGGGTTTTACCCCTTTGCTTATCCGTACTTGACGTTGGGAACAACAGAACTCGCGCGTGTACACATGGTCCGAAGACAAACTGGGCGCCCCGATCAAGACGGAGATGACGGAGATGAAGCGCGGGAAATGTTTTTCGGCTGGACCTCGTGAGTCTTCCTTCATTGCACATGCCCCTCCCTTTCCCCCCTTTTTCATTTTCTTACGAACGTTCTTCGATTTCCCTACAGAACCTCCCACCCCAACATCCTCCATCCTCCTCGACATGCTCCACCTCCGCGTCTTCTCCTACCTCGCGCGAACGCTCGGCGTCGTCTACGCCGCGCAACTGGCTGCCAAACCACTGGGTGAATCCATCACTATCGATGACAGTAATGAGACGGGGCGGAGTGTGGGGGATCAAAGGAAGGGAAAGGACGCAGCGACGGTACCACAGCGGGTATCACGGCCGACAGCAGGCGGGGTGTCGTTACCACTCCCCCCATCATCATCATCTTCATCATCACGTCCCCACCAACAACAGACCATGCAAAGCACAACACCGAAACCCCGTAAACGCGCCCGCTCCGAAACACCCACCCCGCCCCCGGAGCTCATCGACGTGTTCGACGAGCCGTTGTCGCCCGAACCCGCCCCACGGAGCGCACCCGTCTCTAAACACACGCCAGCATCATCGACGTCGAGATCGGCGGGGTTGGGCACGAGGGTGAAGATGGCGAGTGAGAAAGGGTTCCCGCCGAGGAGGCCGAAGGGGACGGAGGTTGTGGTGGAGATTAGGAGTGCGTCGCCGGCGGGGAGGAGGGATGGTGGGGCGGGTGAATAGGATGGAAGGGGATGGGTACGGGCGGTAGGTAGCACTCAAACGGCTTATTGGTGGGGATATGCAGGTGTTTTGGCCGTGTGGGAAGATGCGCGGATGGCGAGTCTGTAGGCTCGGGGATTTGGGGGAATGTTAAACATACATGTACATACATGTGGTTTGTTGGATGAAACCCCCGTCATGCCTGTTCTCTGTTCTCCCTCAAGGCCCTCCTTCTCCTCCTTCCCCGTCGACATCGACCAGATCTTAACTGATTCAACCTAGAAAGTAAAGTAGCAATATAATGGCTATCACGGCAAATAAACGGGCAAATATGGGACCATAAACCTGCGCCCACCCCCAATGAAATCAGTCTCGGACCAGTTGGACAAGCCGACTCTCGAGGGGCGGGCAAAACTCTGACGGGTGGGCGCTGCTTTATGGTCCCATACATGTACTTCTTCCCCTCCGGCGTCCGCACGCTGTTCGGCCTGATGAAAGCAAGCCAAAACACCGCACAATAGCCAAAGAACAAACTGCATCCACCAACGCATCGGAGGCACACTGGTCAGATAGTTGTCTCCAACACTGCCGTCTCTTCACGGACCTTGATATGGCTCAGGAGGACGATGGTTTCGCTCATCCCGAGCCTGAAGTTCGCGCCGGCCGCTCAACGAGTCTCGTATATCCTTCACATCCTGGCGCCAATCCGAGAAAAATCTGGAAGAAGACGTTTTCATTCCGGGGGCACCCGACGAGCTTGGATCTGCCGTACTTTCTGCAGCACGCTTTGCACCTAACGATGCCATGTCAAGATGTTTGGATGCGCTCCCAATCTGGAGCATTTTTGGTCTCCACTCGGACTTTTCAAATTACCATGCAAGGAAGTGGATGTTCTTGGACCGGGGGTCCCGGACCCCTGGTCCAAAAAGACTAGTTACGCGATGCAAACCGACCAGATTGGCGTGCTTGTCAACGGCCGACGTCTAGCTTTCGGTTCTTGGAGTGCATCTCGACTTGCAATGCCAAATTCGGACAACTGCCGTTACCCCTGACGATCCGTCGCATACGATCCTCCCACCACGCGGAAGGAGTGCCTCTTGAAATTGGAGGCTGACTCGTTTCGAAGCTGTCGCACCTGTCGTCGTCGGTGCACAATCACGATGTGAGACGCGTTTGCGAGTATGTCGAAGGTCTGGTGGGCCTGAAATTGACAGGTCAAACTGACGGCTTTTTCACAGTGTCGCTCGTCGCCGGGCAGGACCAGACATGCCTTGAGCTCAACGTTGAGCTCGGCCAAGGGAGCGTCTAGCAGTGCATGAGAGCTTCGACTTTGAAACGGCGAATGTCTTGGAGGGTCTGAGTGGGCCCCGAAGATCCAGTTATCATGCTGTTGATGCGGAGCGCCCCCGCAGGGCGAGGGGTCTCATGCGCAATGATCATTATGACATGGATCAGATGCTCGTCCAGTTGGAGGACGCGCGCTTCTGTGGTGCTGTCCTCGAACTGGAGCAGCCGCTTCGAAAACCGAAGGAACATTACCCCCTTCACGAGCTCCGCCAAAACGCGGGCATCCGTCCTCCATGACGTTCGATTTCCTGCCGCTTTATCGTGTTCGACGACGTTGCGGGCACAGTGCCCTCCATCAACCATCGCATCCGCATGTGCTACCGGTATGCGCTTCCCACGCATTGGCCCCTGCATTGGCCCAGACGTGAGATGGGCAAGCGCCAATATAAGATATGGCACGTATGCTCTCCTGCCAATTCTGCATCATGCTATCTGAACAATATGTACAGCAAATTTGGAGGTTGTACTGTCCTTTGAATGAAATATGGCAAAAATGGGATGCCATTTTGATTATGTGCGCTGTAATTGTTTCCTTCAGCACGTATATATTGCACTTTGCAGGAAGGTGGGAGCCAGGAGGAGAGGGAGGACAGGGAGACTAAACTACAGGTATCTGGCTGGGACAACCCGCATGCTTCAACCAGCATGCTTCACTCATGCGTACTGTACCTCAATGGGATCACTTTTAGCGCGAGTTGTGCATTCCTTAGCCACGCCCCTCCAAGACAGATGACAAAACTGACAGCTCACTTCCCGACGCGTCTTAACTTACATCATCACCCATTGACAGTATCCCGCCAACCAGGATGCTGTCAGCAAAAGCTGACGTTGGGTCCGCACCCGTCTTCCCCCTGGTGGTTTTTGAGCTCACCTTTGGCACGCTTATCGCAGTCCAGCTTACAGTGTGTCGATCGGGTATGGTCCGGGGTCTGGGGTTGATGGGTAAGCGGAACCGCTGAGCCGCAAGTTGTCATAAGATGTGTCAAAGGAATTTGCAATACTACCAACGTCGGTTTTGAGCCGTTTACGTATGAGGGGAGGCCGGGGTGCGATTCGATGAGCGGGTCGGGACCTCCGGGTCTTTTAGGTTTGATCTCATGCCAAGCAATCCCGGGGGGAGTGCTAGACAGGACGTGTGAAGGAAAATAGTGCGAGGCCGACGCGGGAAAAAGGCGGGTCATCGGGATATAAAAACGCCGGGCGGGTCCTTCGTGCTTGAAGCTCTCTGTCACCTCATCGGGTTGTTTCGCGCTGTAGTGAAGCCAATCCTGGTACTCGTAACTGCTGTGTCGGCGTACTATCAAGTATCCCGAACGACGTTGAGTTCAAGAGGTGCTCATCCAAAGAAAGGAGTCCTCGCCAATCCAGCCGTCCTTTTCCCACATCACTCCTCACCTCACCGTTCAAAATGCTACCAACAAGAACACTCCCACCTATCCTTACCCTCTTCCTCGCCACATCCGCCCAAGCCCTCTTTGCTCCCGCGCGGTTCTGGGCGCCAAAGGCCACCACGCCGACACCCATACCCACCGCCAAACCAGCACCGCCAGTCGTTGTCGCGCCGCCTGTAGTCGCGCCGAAGCCGACGCCAAAGCCACCCACCGCCAAACCGGCGCCGCCCGTGGCTGTCCCGCCGCCTGTAGTCGCGCCGACGCCAACGGCCAGGCAGAGTGTTGCTCCCGTGCCTGTGTCTACACCTGTGGTTGTCGACACAGCGGGTGGGGGAGTGACGTATACGGGAAGGTTGTCGTATTATGGGGATGGATGTAAGTCGCCCCAACTTTCCAAGCCCATCTCTGACTGATACCAGTATACTAATCCCCAAAAATTGTGTATAGACAAGACCCTGCAGAACGGGAACGACCCACCGCCAATCGGGCCAGAGAACGGGGGCTGGTATGGCGCGTGCTATAACACGTTCTGGGAGATGGCCAAGCCGCTTGTGCCGAGGAATTTCAACTTGTTTGCTGCACTGGTATGTCCCCCTGAAAAGAAGGCTAAAATTCCACTTGTTCGATCCTTTTCTCACCCCTCGCTTCACTCCCAACAGAACTCGGCTCAATTCCAATCCCTCACCCCCCGCTCCGCCTGCGGAGTCTGCGCCGCCATAACCCACCCCCTCCTCCAAACCCGCGTCGTCGTCGAAATCGTCGACAGCTGCCCCGGCTGCCCCTTGCACGGCCTCGACATCTCCCACCAAGCGTTCGCGCAACTTCTCGGCGGGTCATCTGCGCTCTCCAACAGTGCGGCGGCGGCGGTGGGTATCATTGAAGCGTTTGTAGATCCGCTGCATTGGGAGAAGACGATCGCGGTGGGTATTGTGGGAAACGTGCAATGGGAATTTACGAATTGTTCGGGGATTGTAGAGGATGCGACTTTTAGGGTTGATGGGGTACCGGCGGATTGGGTTATTGAGGGGAAGGTGAAGAGGAGGGATGAGGATGAGAGGCGGAGGGGGGTGGTTTTGTCGAATGCTGTGACGCTGGTTCCGTTGCATGCGACATGAAGGCGGCCTTCCAACTCCCGAATCCTTGGGCATCATCTGCATCCCTGCTATGGCCCACTACATATGTATATCTGCTGTGTGTTGTAAATCCGTCCTCATGTCGTATATGTAACATATGCAACGTAAAGAGATTTGGCGTGTTCCTCGCGTAAGTCAATACAATTGTAATACTACTGGAGTTTCATTAGCAGCGAAAAAAGTGTATGCCGTATTCGATTCAATATTCACAACCTATCTATCTACTCAAATCTAAATTACTCGTTCGCTGTACTCACGTCCTTTCGGCGATGGCCCGCGCAGAGGCTTTGTCACACGCGACGGACGACTGTGAGGCAGAAGTCGGCGAGGCCAGCCATGATGGATGTACGAACTTTCGTGCGGAGCGATGATTTGCATGACTATGGATGTACGCCTGATGTTCTTCGCATCGATTTTCGCGGGTGAATATGCCTCTCCCATATCCACCAGCACCATCACCCATCTCCTCTAACCGCCCGTCCCAAAATACCTATCCCCAAAGTTCCCAAAGCCCGGCACAACATGGCCTAGCTCATCAACCTCAATGTCCACCTCGGCGGTGACCACTTTGACCTGCGGGAAGGCGTTGGCGATGGTGTGGATGCCGAGCGGCGAGGCGATGAGGGAGAGGAAGAGGATGCGATCTTGCGGGACGTCGTGGTCGAGGATGACGCGGATGGCCATTAGGGCTGCTGCGCCTGATGGGGAAAGAAAAGGGAGGAGTGTTGGTACGTCAAGCCGGATGGACAGACACCGGTGAAGTAAACACAACTCCGAGGGTGTTCACACTCGCCAAAAACACCGTGCATACCAGTAGCAATCTGCGCATCGGAAATAAGCACATATCGCGACGCGATATCTTCGGGCAGCTTGCAGTAATGCAGCTGCGGCTCGCCCGTCGAGGGTTCGGTCTGGATCAGGATCTTGCCGATGGGGATATCCTTCACCACACTGCGGAGACCGCGCTCCATCGTTACGCCTGAGCGCACGACCGAGACTGCACAGAGCTGAAGAGGGGTTCAGGTGTGAGACGACAGTTGGGGTGGAGGGCGTGTGTAGGAATGGGACAACTCACCTCCGCGCTGGAGACTGCGCCGTGGTAGACTTGCCCGATCGGGGTTGTGACCTCCATCGGCTTGAACGGGACTTCCACCAAACTCCTACACGCCAGAACCTTTCATTCAGCAAACACCCTCCACCCTACTCCCCAGTCCCACCTCCCAATCAGTCCCTACCTCTCAACAATAACCCTCGACAACCGCTCCGCATAAAAGATGAAATCATGCCTCGACGTATTCCGGTCCCTCACGATCGTCAGCAGCGCTTTCAATTCGTTCGTTGGTCGCAGTTTGAGTAGTGTGGGTGGGAGTTCCTTGTTGAGCGTCGTTTTGTTGGCGAGCGCGACTTTGAGCGTTAGTCCACGGTCGTTGAGTTGTCGGGCGAGGTGTTTGGTTATTACGTCGATTGCGGCTGTGTCGAAAAAGGGTCGGCAATGTTATTGATTGATTTGAGGTGTGATGATTGCCGACTTCGTTACATACCGACGTTGTCTAGACCCCGTGGGATGATGACTGGACGTGACGTGTGAAGGTTGAGCCACAGGAATCATCCGGAACCCATACTGCAGCTGCAATCCCACTCACTATCAGCGTATTTCATAGTCGGATAAATGTGCTCGTCGAAAGCCGGCTTCACAAATCGTTGGTACTGCGACAGCACGCCCCTGACATCTCTTCCTCGTTCCGCAATGTCTCGCTTAACTGGAAAATCCAAACAGCTCCATCAGTTCCCTCCGCGCCGTCCTCGCAAATCGTGGCTACCCCCCTTTCGAACTCACGTCGCCTCGCTAACCGCACATCTGCATCGGTATCTACAAAGATCTTCAGGTCCATCAGATCCCTCACTGCCTTGTCGTACAGAGCAAAGATTCCTTCGAAAACGACGATGTTGGCTCCATATACTGTTTGTGTCTTGTCCAGCCTTCCAACATGAAGCATCAAGGATCAGTAACCTCGTCTCTCCACACAGCGATTCGTAATAGACTGATAGGAAATGGGCCTCTCACCGGCTGTGTGTTGAAAAATCGTAGATAGGGACATCGACTTTCACTCTATCGTTGTAAACCATCCATCGGTCGTTAGCGCTTCCTTCTCCACCACCCTTCAGCTCCGAACCTCTGCGCTCACCCTCTCTTCAAATCCTTCAAAGTCTGCTGAAGAGCCTCGTAATCGAAAGCGTCTGTTTGGTGCAACGGCGGAATAAGCCATCAGCTTCCTATACCCTCTCATCTCCCACATCTTACGCTAAATTGCGCAAATTCCTTCCTCCCGCATCTCGCGCTGAGTCAGCTCCTCACCTGGATGATCGAAATCATAGTCACTACAAGAATCGGAACCCAAAATCAGCGACATATTCCCAAACTCCAGCCCAAATCAAAGTCGGGGCCTCTCTCGCAAACTTACTTGCGATGAGCAGCCTCACTCTGCTCCTTCGTCAACGGCTTGTAGAACGAGTCCATAGACAACAGAATCACCCATGGCACGCCCAAATTCCTGATGATCCGCGTCGACACGCTGGTCTTCCCGCTAGCGCTCCCGCCAGCCATGCCGATGATGAAGGGTTCCACGCATTTTCCGTCGATGTTGTACCTGTTGGTTGGTGAAGATCGTTGTGAGGATTCCTAGAGACTTGGGCGCGGAAATGGACGTTCTGAGAAAAGGAGGAGTGGGTCTTACCAGGGAAACCGGCCGGAAGAGAGGAAGGTACTCGTCTTGCGGTGACCTTGGGGTGCGTTTTGGACGTTGGACATTGTTAAGTTGGGTTGAAGCTTGGCGGACGGGGCTTACAGAGGCCACTTTGAAAAGCCGTGTATTCGCAAAATGCCGGTGGCCGAAGCTCCGAAGTTCGTAGTCCAGAGGGCGTGGCTTGTCCGGTGACTGCGCCTTCGGACACACCGACGACGAGAGAGGAGGACTCTAATGAAGAGGTATGTACTGTACGAGTGATACAGGCTCGTTCGGAAGAAGGGCAAACAGGTGCGGTGAAGGGTGGAGTGGCCCGTGGCGGGTGTCCTTTGCTGTGTCTGTGTTATCGATGGGACTCGCACTTGTCACGAGAGTCATACGAAGCGACGGCGACGATGTCGTGCTCGCGGTGTCTTCGCCGTTGCTTTTCCACAGCTTCCTCCCTCGCATAAAGGCTATCAAAGGGCCTTCATATGCTCGCGGCCTTCCTGTCCTTCTCCTCACACCCCAATAGGAAGTTCTACCCCTCCCAAAAGCTACTCGCAAAATGTCGGCCACCACAGCACCCCATCTCCTCCCGCTCCACCGCCCCCTCCACTCCCACAACCTCGTCCTCACCCCGCTCACCGCCGCCGACCTCCCGTACCTCTACGACCTCTCCCACCCCTTGCCAACAGCAACCTCCTCCTCCATCTACACCTACCTGCCCTACGGCCCCTTCGCCTCGCTAGCCGAATACACCGCCTTCGCTACCGAAACTTACCTCGAGCCTCCGACGCGAGACGGCTCGCTTGCCGCGTTCGTTATCCGTCTCGCAGGTGGCAGCAGCGAGAACGGAGCCGAACCGGAACCCATCGGTCTGATCGCCTATCTTAACGTCGTTCCACTCCACCGCCGGGTGGAAATCGGACATATCTGGACCGCCCCGATCGATAGATTGCGCGGGAAGGGGTACGGCGCGGAGGCTGCCTTCCTATTGATGCAGAACGCATTTGATGTGAAAGCAGAGGACGGTGGTCGTGCGCCGTGGTATAGAGTGGAATGGAAAACGCACCACGAGAACGTTGCGAGCCAGAAGACGGCTTCTCGGTTGGGTTTTACGAAGGAGGGCGTTTTTAGGTACCATATGTGGTATGGAGAGGAGCCGAGACACACCCTCTACTATGCAATCGCTCGTGATGAGTGGGAGGGTGAGGATGGTGTGGGAGCGAAGGGCAGGAAGCGGTTTCTGTAAATGTTGGGACCTCCAGTGGGAGGGAGTCAGTGCAAACTTCACAGATAGATGGAAGACTAGACGGGGAAGTTTGTTTTGATGGACAGGACGATATGTATTATGTGTCTTACTAGTTATGTACGATACTTGTGACGCTCAAAAGAAGGAATGGGGTTGTGAAACCAACTGCCTGTACAGGTATCAGAGAGTGACAGTGTCTTAGGTCCTTGGCGCGGAAAAGGGGAGGGGGAAAGGTTTTCGGGGAAATTATACCGGGAAGCAAAGGAGAAAGGGCGAGTAGCTACAACGCCTCGGACTATACAGTCTCAATGTAGCGTTTGATCTGTCAACGAAGACAGCTTCAGTACAATTGCGAGGGTCGGCTTCCGCCATGCCCGGCATCCAATCAGGACTCACCTCCCAATTAGTCACAGCAGTCTCCCACTGTTTCCACTCATGTAACCTCGTCCGTCCGAAGTGCTCCACAAACCCATCCCCCAAAACCTCTCTCGCAACACTCCCCGGCGCCATCATCAAATTCACGGCATCCTTCAAGGTCCTCGGCAGCCGTTCACCCAAAACCCCGTTATCGCCGCCCTGAACAGGCGGGAATTTCGGCTCGATCTTCTTTTTGATCCCGCGCACGCCTGCGGCGATGCATCCGGCGATGCCGAGGTAGGCGTTGACATCGGCGCCGGGGACGCGGAGCTCGAGGCGGGTGGCGGACTTGGGACAGGTTGGGGGCGCGATGAGGCGGATGGCTGCGATGCGGTTTTCGATGCCGTAGGAGACTGTGATTGGGGCCCAGTTGTTTTCTACTAGGCGTTTGTAGCTGGGGGTGAATAGACGTTAGTGGGCTGTGGGAACGCGAGGACCGGTCTCCAACGGGTCATACCTGTTGATGGTTGGCAACATCAACGGCAGAATACTCGGCAGCGCTTCCAACAACCCCGCAATGAAATGCCTCATCGTATCGCTCATCCCTTTCATAGCAGCCTTCGCCTCGTTCCCGCCAGCCGACTCTTCGTTGCCATCATCAACAAACGCGTTGGCCCCCGTTTTGATGTCCTTCAAACTGAAGTGCATGTGACCCGAGCAGCCAGGAAGATCCGCATATGGCTTTGCCATGAACGACGATATTATGCCGTGTTTCAGCGCGATTTGCTTCACGGCCTTTTTGAACAGGTGCGCTCGGTCGGCTATTTCGAGCGCGTCACCGTATTCGAGAGCTGCCTCAAATACACCGGGACCTATTCGCGCGATGCAGAGAAACGATTAGGCGCCTATCCGGAACGCAATCGAATGTGCTCCATTCATACCGGTCTCCGTGTGGAACCCTTCAATAGGAATCCCATACGCCAAACAATGATGGTACACCTCGTCGAAGAACTTGCTGTTCAGAGTGGGCCGAAGTAATGAGTAACCAAACATCCCAGGCGTGAGTGCCGTGAGATTTACGCCGTTTTTGGCATTGATGGATTCAGGAGTCTCTACGAACCGAGCAAGAGTATGTTGAGATTGAGCAAACGGCATCCACTACAAGGCCATGCCCTTCCGACGTTGACCATGCCGGACATACCCTTGAAGTTGTAAAACTCAAACTCTACGCCACAGAGAGGCGCAAATCCCAGGTCATTGCAATCCTTGATGGCCTTCTTCAGCAAACTTCTCGGACACGCCTTGAAAGGAGAATTGGCAATCGGGTCGTGGAAATCAAAGAGAAAATGTGGGACGTTGTTTTCGTATGGAATCCGGCGGAAGCTGGAAAGATCGATCTTGGCCAGGAGATCCGAGTACCCTGTTGACAGCAAAGTGGATGGCGTCAATAAACGTACGATGTACTAAGACACCACTGGTATGCACTCTACCTCGCTCGACTTGCACAGACTCGTCGTAAGTCTTATCTAGCATGTCCCATCCGAAAGCCACGTTACAAAAACCTGCAGGTATGGAGGAGAAGTTTCCACGGTCAGCCAAAACGGCTTTCCCGGCGTGAAAGCTCCCAGGCGCTCTCTGAAGGAACTTCCACTTCGAGCACTTACCGAAGCCTTCCTCGAGCGACTTCACGAACTTGGCCTTCGTGATGATCTTGCCTCTGTTGCCGTTACGCGACGCAGTATAGTGACGATGAAGGTCAAGATGGCTGCCGCAAATCTACTGGTCATCAGGAAAGAGACGTCTCACCTGGGAATGCCATCGATATCCGAACCGGAAACCTTGACGCAGACATCGTTTTCCAGTTCTTTGGCGATGGTTTCGGCGGTATGCACCTTTCGGGTGTCGTTTGGTGCCATGCTGGGTGCAATCGCGTGAAAAGGCCTATCGTTCTCTCTCAAGCGCACGATGGTACGGGAGCTGGAGTGGGTGGTTATGTGACAAGTGGGAGTTCCATGAATGCAGACAGAATCTTTACGACGGGAAGAAGCTGGGCCGGTGGTTACTTAGTGTGGGAAGGTGATGACGAAGGAGTTTCTGTTTATGGAGCCTTCGTCAACTTCCACATTCACCGCGCACGAGAAGGACAGGGCGGGCCCCATCATGATGCCCTTCCCATGCATGGTTCCTCTTTCCCCTTTCCATCGCATATTGTGTTCTGGTCACATTTCCAGGCGGCGATTCCAGCAATTCCAGGCTTGCGCAACGTCACGCCCGATGACACACCACATCGTTCCGCCCAAGCCTGCCGCCCAACTTGCGTGATGCGCCTTCGTAACCCTAACTCGCCGTGCGATGTCCACTGAGGCTTAGTCAACTGTCAACTGATGTCAACTCCTAGACAACTGAGTTCATTGGGTTCAAATTCAGACTTGACACCTCCCCAGCTCACTGCGACAATGTCAATGACGTCGACTTACGTGGTCGGGGCCGCCCTGTCCTGCGTATTCGGGTGGGCGGTGGTCAAGCAAACCAGGCGGTCAGTGCGCCAGGCCAACAAAGTCGGCGAAAAGGTGAGCGATTGGTGGCAAATTTCCTACGCGCCATTACTTCACTGACGATTTCCCAGGTTGTCATTTTTGGAGCGTCTACAGGTGCGATATCTGTGCTGCATATATAGGACGCTACGGCATGGATGCTGACGGTGTAGAGCAGGAATCGGGAAGGAGCTTGCATTGCAATACGCGGAACGGGTAGGTGCACTTCCGGAGGAAGCTCTTGGTGGCCCATGGTTGACATATTAGAACACCAGGGAGCCCGCCTTCTTCTGGTAGCTCGTCGCGAGCCCCTTCTACAGAAGCTAACGTTGGACTGCCTGGGCTCACCCTCTGGTCTTTGCGAGCATGCCCGGTTTGTTACCGCCGACATCACCATCGAAGACGACCTACGTCGCGTCGCCGTGGCCGCGGCCGAGGACTTGGGCGGTTGCGATACGGTGATCATCAATGCAGGTGTGATCTCGGTCCTTGCATTCGAAGACCTCTGCAAGGACAACGAGGAAGGCATCCAAGGAACGGGCAAATCGAGCCACGCGGCGGACGTCGTGGAGAAAGTTTTCAACACCAATGTGTACGCACCGATTATGATCGCCAAGCACTTTCAGAACTTCTTGATCGCCTCGAAAGGGAAGTTCGTAGTTGTTTCGTCCGTTGCGGGGACGTTTGCCGCACCAACGGTAAGACTTTCAGCATCCAGATTGAAGGTCGGACTACCGCTGGATGTACTCACATTTCATCCCCTCAGCGTTCCATCTACGCCGCCAGCAAACACGCACTGAACGGGTTCTTCAACTCCCTACGCATCGAGCTCGCCCCCAAGAATGTGGCAATATGCATCTGCCTTCCCGGATCGGTCGCAACAGACCTTCGATGCAGCGCCGTGGATGCCAAACACCACGCATCTCATCACAGCACATCAGCAAAAGTCGAGGAAGGATCAAAGTTGACACCACAGGAATGCGCTCGTGGCATTATCAAAGCGGCGGATAGCCGGGCTAGGGAGACTTATCTGCCGTATAAGTATAAGATTGCGGGCTTGTTGCAGTATTTCTTCCCTGAATGGGTTGACCAGCAGGCTGCCAAGAAATATGGCTTCTGAAGTGTCGCGAGCACTAGGCGTAGCATGTTGCAGATTCCGTAGATATTGTCCGGCTTTACATAAGGCAGTAGCACTCTGATACCCTCACTAATCAGATGACAGTGCATTTAGCAGAGCACCTGAGAGCATATGCCGAAGTTCTGGAATACCTTCTCCTTATTTTCTGACCATTGTAAACATATTCTACTCTAGCAAGCTACAGACGGCATCCATTCTATTCCTCCGCCACAATCCCAGGTCTCCGCTCACCGACAGTCCCCACCACATCAGCGCCATCCTGTTTCAACGTTCCTCCGTACCGCCGCGACAAGTTCTCAGGGCTCACGAGCTCAAATAGAGCATTCTGGAACTCTCCGCTACAGATGACGATTTTCTTTACGAGGCGTGGCGCGATGAGCGGTTGCGCGATCTTCCACATACCGTACAGAATCATTCCGGCGGGGAAGACGGCGACTTTGTTGATGATTTCGGGGAAGGCGGTTTGCAGTTGCGGCACTGCATGGCGGATGAAGGCGAGGGATTCGGTGTTGGCCGAGCCAACATTGATGCGATCGAGGAAGACCGTGACACGGCTTTTGATCGTTCTGTTGGGGGCGGAAAGATTATGGATGAAAAGACGCTCCTTCGCAAGTGCACAGCGCTCATTTTCAAGTCAAACTCACCCATCTCGAATAGCCCTATCCATAAACCAAATCAAAAACCTCACATTCCGCGCAATCCCATCCGGATCCGCCTTCGCCAGATGCCTCTCCTGCCGAAATATCAGCACCGGGAATCCATCGCGATCCACCCCCTCAAAATACAACTTCCCGCTCGCCATCTGATCCGCGTAATCCTCCTGCGGCAGGGTAAACCAATCATACCCCTCGCGCCACACGAGCAGCTTGGCGATGGCGCGCACGGCGAGGTCGCCGTCGCCGGCGTACATCTGGAAGAACTTGGCTTGCCACCATGTTGTGAGGTTCTCTGGGTGGAGCGAGGAGAGTTGGGCGTCGGTGAAGAGACGTTGGCGGAAGGCTTCGAACGCGGGCGCGGTGGTTGGGATGAGGACATCTAGCGCTGACTGCTGTGTTGTTGGAGACATGGCTGGTGACATGATGCGATCGATGTGCGTGTGTTTGAGATGTGATGTGCAGATGCATCGCTGCGGGCCTCGCGGATCTTTATATCCTCACGAAATTCGTGCAAAGATCCGACGTGAGGTAAATCCTACCGATAAGCGCCTTCGCATGCATGATGATGTCCTTCTGCAATGCCATACTTTCAAATCGTGAAGGACCGCTGTCCTTCAAATCCCAAAAAGGATCGCATTCCTTCAACAGACCAAAACGGAAAGACACCATGTGATTAGATTTCTTACTTGCTTTGATGCCCGTACATGGTGATTTGTGATCGCAAGCCGCTCAAAGATATCGTCAACCGCTATATGCATAAGTGCTTGCTTTTGACGAAACGTCTCTCGGGTGGAGACGACAAGGCCGGAAAGGCGAAGATATTGCGATAATGGTATCGCAGCGACGGGCGATGTTCGACACGTCTTTCGGTCCAAATCAACAAGGACGGTGAAATTGATATTGTCCGTTTCCATACACTTCGGCCCCATTGACCAGCCTTGTGAGCTCTCAAAGTGACACTTTCGCTGGACAGTCAACGTTTGGCGATTGATCATCATCCAGCATATCTATTCTCGGGGGGTAATGGTACATCGGTGGCATGGCCGCCACATACTTCGCTGCAGGCAAACTCTTGATGACAAAATCTCTCATTGAGGGGCACTCCGAACTCGCTGGTGAATCCTACAGGTCAATTGTGCTGAGGTCAACGCGCTGATGGACCATTTACGTAAGCCCAATCTCCGACGCGTTGTTCCACTGTTTACGCCGTGGACTGCGTTGCATTTAGAGCTGGGCATACTGCACAGATAGTAGAGGTCTAATCTGTATTTCATCTTCGCCCCCACATCCATCTCTCGTGTCCCCCAAAACCTTGTTCACTTACGTCAAAGTTCCCCGTCGCCTCCGCCAGCAAACGGGAACATACGCAGGCTTAACGCTTCCGGCAATACCTCTAACCTGTCATCACCTGTGGTTTGCTGTCGCCCCTCCGCAACGTCCCCCTCGCTTTTTACTTTTGCGTTTATCCTGGTCTACGTTTTTGGAAAGTTCGTACGTTCTGTTTGAACATCCCGGCAAAACCGTGAGCAGGAAGATCAAGCTTTTGTTTGTGCTAGCTGTATCGCCAGACCGGTAGTATACCATACCCACCTGGCTACAACACGGACAAACTCAACAGGAGCGGCTAAGGGATTAAGGCTATCCACCTCCACCGAATTTGACGTTACGATACACAAAAGCGCCACATATCGTCCGCATCGCGCACTGATTTCTCTGCGATCAGATCACTTCGAGCACATCACGTACCATCACCACCATCGGTTCCCACACCGAAATGGCTCTCGTCCTCGCCCCGGCGACTTCTAGTCCTATCCGTGCTATGCCCACCGGTCCTCATGGAGGTGGCAGTGCGCCCACATACCATGGCTACATTGGGTCCACCCAAGACTGCTTGCTTCTGTTCGAAGCGTGTCGCGTCGGCATGCTGCGTCGCGTCCAGCGTCGATTGTCGGTTCAAGAACGCGAACGATCCATTAAGAGCGGCTCTGTTTTCGTTTGGGAGGAGGATGAGAGCGGCATTAAAAGGTAATTGTCCAGATTCTCCAAAAAGTTTTTCGGACGAATACTTTTGGGAAGCCTCGGCTCCATATGAGGGATAGAATTAAACCTAATGTGACCTAATTCTGACTTCAACACTTTTTGTTTCTTCCTGTACGTCAACTCATAGGTGGACAGACAGTAAAAGCTGGAGTCCCTCGCGCATCAAGGGCAGCTTCCTCGTTTATCGCGAGGTTGACGAAGTCACCGCCCGGCGACGAGCGTCTTCGGCCGAATCGGACGATGAACCGGAGAGCAAGCAGCGATCCAAGCACCCTCCTTCGACAGCTGTAGTTCAAAGCCAGCCCCGCCGTAAATCGTCCAGCTCTCGGGCTGCACAACAAGGAGACCCATCTCCGAACTCGCCTGACTTAAGTCCTCTCCTTACCAAAAAATGCATTTCGGTTCGAACCAAGGAGGGCGGCAAACTCCATGCCGTATGCTACTATACCAAATCGGACGTTACCTCGGGTAGACTGCAGACACCGCGTGAGGATCCCCACTTGGCGAATCTGGCCATCCGTGCGGGGCTTTACCCGGAAATCTTGCCTGAGATTTCCTTGCTGCCTGTCACGGCTGCTGCTGCTGCTGCTGCCGCCAATGCCGCTGGTGCCATGGTGAGGGTCACTCATCAGGGCTTTCCACCTGGCGCCGCGCTGGATGCCACCGGCCCTCACGGTCCCAACGGTGACGAGATCTACGGTTTCGGCGGCCACCTCCAACTCGATGACTACAGCGTCGGCTCCAATGCTGCTGTCGCCGCCGCAATGGGCGTTAGCGATCGCCGCATATCCACCGACTTGTCTCAGCTCCCCCCCTCTCGCAGCGGTCGCAAGAAGTTATCGTCCGGCTCACGTGGCAGCAGCTCCAACGACCTCTACGCCGGCGGGCCGATCATCCACTCCAACACGCGAGGCCAGTACCGCAACCACCCTTACGCGAGCGCCGGTTCGCCTCGCATTCCCGCCGGTTACGCTCATCACCCGCAAACCATCCATCACCCGCAAGACCTCACGACCCCCTCGTCGCCGCAATACAGCACCGTCGACTTCACCGACACACCGTACTACCGCGACATGTACAACCAGCACCACCAGCAACAGCAGCACCTTTCCAACCCGTTGCACATGGCACATGAGCATGAGCATGAGCAGCAGACGCGATCGCCTGAGTTGCACGAGCATGAACTGTCTCCTCACCTCACCGAACAGGCTTTGAGCCAAGCACCAGCGCATGAGAGCGAAGCGGAGCAGGAGTCGAACGGTTCGCCTGACCCAAGGTTGCCGCCCTTGAGGCGCGCGGTCTCCAGAGAGGAAGAGGATGGGAGGTGGGGCAGCGTTTGAGCTGCAATTCTACGGGGATGATCCCTGGAACCAGCAATGGTCATCATTCGTGCTTCTGGTGCTTGATTTGTATCTTGGAAAAGGGAGTGGAATTTTTTGGAGGCGTTGAACTCTTTTGGATTTTGAGGAGAGCATTGCTTGGGCGTTCTAAGCGCAAGATCTCTTCTGTGGGAGCAACATGTGTTGGACCTGGGAATCCCCTTCAGGTGCATTTTAGCGAGCGGTTCCCTTTTTGTCTTTTGTTTCTTTTGTATCTGTTTTATGAACATTGCTTTTTCTGTCCTGAACTGGGTGTTTCTGTCATTGGGTGTTGTTTCTGTCATTGGGTGTTTCTGTCATTTTTCATCCGAACTTGGTTGGCATCTTCAGTAAAAAACATGAACGTCAGAACAAATCGAGCTCGTTCTCCGTGATGTGGCTGGACTTCTCGCCGGGAACTCCACACTGTCCTTCAGAGTCATCTGTCGTCGTAGTGAAACAAGGCAGGCAGGGTATGGATGCGAATTGCAGGAGCAGCCGAAATGCATTTCTCTCATACTATGAAACGTAATTTCTGTTCGTACAACGAATTTCCTACGGGCTCCAATACGCCAACCAAGAACAACTAAAGCCGGAAAGGCGGGATCACCTTTACTCGCCATCGGCTAGACTATGAGGAATTCCGAAACGAGGTCGGAGCGCTCTCGTACGTTGGTAAGGTCCAATCCTTGTGCTCTCTCAGATCGACGCCCAACTCGTCGTGCAGGATTTTGAATGCTTCAACGTTCCACGGGGTGCTAGAGGCAATGCGCATGATTTCGAGTCGAGCTTCTTCGTTTCGGCGCGCCTGTGGGTCGGTCGTGGGGCAAAAATCTGTTCGTTTGTTGATATTCTGCTGGGATCTCCGATGCCGAACGTTTGCGACGATATGATCGAAAAGTGGGACACACTCAGGTCCCCGGATCATGAAGTCATCCAGGTCACTATCGTGTCGGCGTCGAGGGCCGCGTCAGAGACTATGCGACAAAGAAGTGACAGTACGAGGGAATCCTTTGCTGCCAGTGGAAGGCTGACCTTCATGTACCTCACGTCCCGGGCGGCGCGGCCGTAGTTCAGCTACGAATTCGCCTGACTAGAGCCGGCACAGTCGGCGTAGAGCGTTCTGAAAGACGTGGGGCGTCCTAAAATACGTCAGGGACTGCCTGTATTCGACAGCGCGTCTTCCCCAGACGTTCTGGCAGTCTCCTTTCGCCCCCTAGCAATACTATCAGTTCCGCGACATGGCCCACCATAGTGAACATGAGTACCGCAATTGTGAACGAAAATGCTAACTTACGACGGTTGCAGATCAAGTTCCACGCTACAATGGCTCTTGGGCTGAGGGAGCAGCAGAAGAGAACGGATAGTGCTGAGCAAAGTTGTCAACGGCACGCTGGTAATATCAGAGATTCAGTTGGGCGTGGTCGTTGAACATACCTGTGCAGGCCCCACACGGAGTTTGCGAGTTTTAATGGAGGATTTTTGCGGAATACTCAGGCGTGTCTACTTGCAGCTGCTCATCAGCAGCCAGGGGAGAGCTTATTTCGGGGAGCTTATTTCAAGACCTTTGTAGGTAGGAATCAAGCGCTGAAAACCGTAGTAGGTAAGAAGTTTCCTCTATTCTTTATTCCCTCATCAGTAGGCGCAATGTTCCCAAACAAACTAAGTAAGGAAGAAAGAAAGAGGCCTGGCCATAGACTGCGTAAATACTGTATGCCGAGCGGGGTCGGGCTGTCAGGGTGAGCGCACATGCAGTTCGGACGTCAAGCTTTTCGTTTCGGTATGGCTGAACCGGGTCACTTCGGAAGCGCAAATTGGTCACCATTTGATCAAGAGGTTTGTTGAAATCCAGTGCGTTGGACGAATAATGCAATTTGCAAACAAAATGAATAATGATAATGTGCATGCGTGAGGTTAAATACGAACAAAAATTCTGCAAAGTGGTAGCAGACGCCCTAATGCCCACCACGCCCTCGTCCCCGTCCCCTGCCTCCGCCCCGTCCACCACCACCTCCTCCGCGGCCTCCCCGACTGCCGCCGCCGCCACCACGGCTGAAGCTTCCACCACGGCCTCCACCGCGACTCCCGCCTCGCCCTCGACCTCGCCCACGTCCTCCTCGTCCGCTGTCTGAGTCGGTCGTGCGCATGCCTCTTGAGGCGTCCTCCTGTTGATGAAAAGAAACTTCATGGGTTTTTCGTTCTAACTTTACAGGTGAGACTCCAGATGAAAAACGAACATACCTCATCACGATCTCGTCCGCCTCCAGGCTTGAACGTAATACTGAAGTTCCCACTCCGCGTCCGTGCAATCTTATCCGCCCGCCCACTCGTCTGCGCCTCATCCTTGAGTCGCTCTCCAAAGGCCTGCTTCGCTTGCGACTCGCGTTGTCGTTGTTGTTGCCCATCGGCGGGCTTCGCCGGGTTGTAGCCGGCTTTGAGCTCGTAGAACGATGGCCCGCTTTTGCCGCCTCGTGCGCTGGCGTCGGTCTTGGCTTTCTTCGCGCGGGTGAATCGGATTTGGTCGTCCTCTGCAAGAGATGTGGTGTTTTAGCAAATGAATGAACTTACACGGGCGGGGCCGGAAAACACACCTGAATCATCCGAGTAGACATTGTCATCGTCCTCATCGTTGTCAGAGTCACCGTCACTGCGGTCAGAAGGATCAGACATGCCCCCATCCTCCTCGCCGTCATCCACCTTTGCGAATGCAGCCCTGGCTGCCGCCATTTTTGATTCTGAGGGATGGTGCAACTTGTATTCGTGACTGAGCTCATCGACCTGGAACGCCTCATCCTTAAACATGGCATCGAAACGCGAATCGCCCAGCGGGTTGTCGAAGGATGCGCCCGCTGCGTCCTGAAGAGCCTGGGTCTTCCGTTTCTTCTTATTTTTCTTCCCACCGTCATCGGAATCGTCCTCACTGCCTGAAATCGTATCCTGCATGAGTTTGACAGCAAGATTCCTGTTGATCTTAGGCAGCTTCTGCACAGCGGAGATACGACTGGCACGTTGCTTTTGGATGCGCTCCTGCACCATGCGTTTTTTGTACTCGTCGAACTCGAAAGGATTCGCAATCGCTTTTGCTTTTTCGTACAATCGGAGATCGAGGAAGAATCCATGCATGTAGGCTTTGAGGACGTTCGTACCGACCAAGTGATCGAGTCCGAGATTCGTAAGCTCTTTGCGGGTGACGAACTTGTAATCGTCGTATGCGCTGGTGTTGGGATTCTCCTCCAGCTCTTCGGTGAGGTTGTCGAGGTACGCGCACCACCTTGGCGCAGGACCCAGTCGGGGAATGTAGAACGATTGGATCTGCACACTCTCGTTGGCCACCATGATCAGACCAGAGTTATCCCACACGCACACATCGTTGATGTCGTTTGGAGGCTCAATCGACGTGAAGGCCTTTCCTGTAGACTTGTCCCAAATCTTGATGATTTTGGTATCCGCAGACACGACGTTACCAGACGAATGCATGCTGAGCGACTTGATCGGGAACCCATACTGATGGTCTTTGATGAACATTGGCGAGGCCGATCGCAAATCGTACGTCAGCACCTGTCCTGTTGCCGTTCCCACCGCATAGGTCAATCCGTCGTCCGAGAACTTCAGCGCTGTGATTTGGGGGAATGCCTCCAGCTCGCCCGATCCCACCGCCTTCACTACGGAGGCTGCTATATCTAGTGTGCCTAGTCTCCGCCTTTCCCTTGGGTGCCAGAACTCCAATACGCCGTTCTCTCCTCCAAATCCAAACAATTGATGGGCAGGGTTGATGCCCATCACGTTGATCGCTGGACTGTCCGTAACCAGCGATGTCATGAACCGTCCTTGATCCAGGTTCAGCCTCCATATTTCATTACTCGCTCCAGCAATCATCAGGTCGCAACTTGGGTAGTGATATGCCATATCCCTTCCGAATTTTGGGACCCTCGTTTTGTAGTGCAGTCCGAACTGCGTATGTAACTCAATCGTTCGGTCAGATTGCAGCATGACCGTTTTGCTCCAGTCGTCTGACAAAATCTCAAATTGGACGTTCTCGCAGTCTTGGTGCCGATCGAACTTCATCGACTTTTGTGCCAGTTCGTATACCCTCATTTGAGGCTGATAGACACCAGTGGCCACTATGTAGTTTCCATCCCTCGTCGGCTTTATCTTCAATGACGCTTCAGGGAACTCGAAGTCCTGGATTAATTCGATACGCCTTCGCCATTCTGTGGAAGTCATGGGTAAGCGAGCGAGGAAAAAAAGCGGCGAAAACTGTTCCACGACCATACCTTCGTCCTTCTTCAGACTCTTGGCGTTCCTCCTTTGCAGCCAGTCAGGGATGGCACTCCTAGCCGCACTAGTGACCGAGTATATCTTGACATTGTTTGCGTTGGACACTTGCATTGTGTAACAAGCCTCAGGCTACGGTTTAGACTCGATAAAACAACAATTCAGGGTAATGACCCCTCACTGGACAAGTAAAGTCCAACCCTTTTTCGACTTTTCGAGCCTGAGACAAGGACCCCAATATGTTGTTGTCTTATCCTAGGGTTGCCGTCTCTATCGGGTAACAGACAACTTCCGACTGGCCAATGAACCCTCGAATTCGAATCTGCCGGTTTGGCGAAAAGGGACTGGGGACGTTGGAACTGGAGGACGCGCGAGAAGTCATCGAGTCACGTGACCGTAGCCCTTGCAAGACCGTTCCCCACCTGGTTCACCACTTTCCTGCTCGAATTTGAAGCTCGACCACCGTGCGCCAAAGTGGGTGAACGTGCAGCAATGAAGGGTCCACGCTCAAGCAGAAGCGGCAACGGAAAGGCTGTCGGGCTGCGGCAGCAGCAGCAGCAGCAGAAAACGTTCGAAAGGAGGTTACAACCAGCCGCGTCTCGCAATTCTCGTCCGTCACAGCATGACGAGGACACGGAAAGGGCTATGCGACGCATGCAAGCGTTCGACATGCCCTCCGACCAAGGGTCTGGAGATGAGGAGGGCAGTCAAGGCGAGGTATGGGTGGACTCTAGCAAAGCATTCTAAACTGTCGTTCTAAGGTGTTTGCTTTCTGCGTAGGACCTCTCCGACGGGGACGTTTTAGGAGAAGGCGCTAACGCATATGGATCGGATATGAGCGGCGAAGATGCTAGTGAGACGGGGTCGGAGGAAGATTTGGATAATAGCAGCGATGAGGGGGACGATGAGATTCACGGTGACGACGACGAGGACGATGCAGCACAACTAGCGAGGATAAAGCGCGAACTGGCAGATGTTCCCTTCGACCAGCTCATCGAAATCCAGCAGAAAATTGGGATGAAAAAGTTCCATGAAAACTTTAGGGGAAAAAAGGGAGAACAGGCATCGGAAGAGGAGGGCTCGGATGAGGAGGAATCTGAAAGTGGTGAACGAAAAGCATCTGGGCGAGGGACGGGGCGGAAAGAGGATCTGTTCAAAAAGGACAAGGAGAAGAAACCTCTGCCAAAATTGGCAAAGCGAGCGAATAAGAATATGCCTACGGAGGTTACATCAAAGCGACAAGTCACCCGCAGACGGGAGGTTGTCGAGATACCCAAACTGGTGAGTGTTAACCACCGGCCGCAGTAGGAACTAACGTACACGACGAAAACTAAACGGACTGTGCTCCAGAAAACGCGTGACCCACGTTTCGACCCCTTGGCGGGAAAACTGAACGAAGCGCTTTTCAACACATCCTACGGTTTCATTCGGGAGTACGAGGAGAGCGAGATCGAACTGCTCCGAAAGCAGATCGTAACCACAAAAGATCCCAAGGCAAAGGAGAGGCTTACGAACACGTTGCAGAGCATGGTGAGCATGAGCATGAGCGGTCTTTCATTTTTGGCAGGGTGAGTGGACAATGGGTCTGACGCTCCATCCCTTGCAGACGTCTCGGATACAAACACGGAAAGCGAAGGAGAAGCGACAAGAGATGTTGCGGGAATGGAAGAAGACGGAGAGAGCCGCTGTGGCTCAAGGGAAGAAGCCATGGCAGCTGAAGAAGTGTAAGTCATCGCTTATAGCACACCGCGCGTATTCATGCCGAGTCCTCACAATATGCTCTCTTCCCCCATTATCCAGCCGACATCAAGAAGATGGAGCTGGTAGAAAAGTACAAGTCCATGAAAGAGAAGGATATCGACAAGCTTCTCGAAAAGCGGAGGAAGAAGAATGCTGCAAAGGAGAGGCGCTTCTTGCCTTACAACCGTCGGTCCGCCGCTTGATCGGCTGTCGTCGATCATCGTTCATTATCTCTCCAGGCACGCATTTTTTGGTTCCCGCACGATAATTTATTACATGTCCCCCGCTAGCTCGTACTGTTTCAGCTAGTATGCACTTTACGTATGTATAGTGGTAGTCACCATCTATGTATATTTCCTCCACACACCTCCAATCTCCCGCGGCATTCTCCCTACTGTGGATCATTTACACCCTGGCCTTTAGGGAATATTTGCATATTCATGATAAACCGTTCCCGCTCCTTCTCGGACCACTTGTGGGTAAATTCCCGAAGAAGCTCCTCGTCATTTCCGGAAACCTTCACGCCCTCCTTGTCCACAATACGCCTGACCTCCATCCACTCCTTCCACCGCCGATGCACCGCGCACGACCGGAGTATCGTGTGCGCTACAGCTGGGTGGATCTTGACCTCCTCTTTTCGGTCCATCCCAGGACTAATACTACCACCACCGTGTTTGTTGGCACGTGCCTCAGCAATGACCGCCAAATACTCTTCCCACAGTTTCCACGCGGCCTGAAAATTGCGGTTGCGTGACTTGATGTAAATCAAGACATTGTACGTATGGTGATCAAACGCCAGCTCCGACGCTGACATCTGGTGCAAGATCTTGTCGATGGTCGACGGGGCGTGTTCCGAGGCTAGTAGGAGCTGATTGTACGTATAGGACGATACGCGGACTTTGTCGACCTGCATCTGGTCGTAGAACTGTGCTGCTAACTGAGGGTTGGAGTGGAGGACTGCGGCGCGGATGAGTTGGTTGTACAGGTATGCGCGCGGCGTGTATCCGTCCTGCCGGAGCCGTTCGACGATGGTGATGCCGGCGTCTAGGTCGCCCTGTTTGAGGTAATACACTGCCAGTTTCTCGAGGATAGCGTACGGTGGTTGCTGTTTGTAGGTCTCCCGCATATCGTGCAGAAGTCGCTGACCCACTTCCATCTGGTGCTTGGCCCAGCACAGAGTGATGAGATGCACATGCACACCCACCGTGGGACCATTCTCAAATGTGCTCAGCTGCGTGAAGCATTCCAAGGCCTGCTCCAGCATGCCCTCCTGACAGTACAAACGAATCAAGCGACGATACGTGACCGCATTCGGCTCACAACCAGCCAGCGTCATACGCTGCACCTCCATCTCCGCCTTCTCCACGTTGCGCAAACGGACCCATCCACCGAGATTGATGTTGTAGTTCCGCGTCGTCGGCGGAAACGTGCCCATCATATCTCTCATAACCTCCAAGCATGTCTCCATATCCTTCGCCCAAGCAAACGCCGCCTGCAAGATCGTGAAATGGTACTGGTTGACCTCGATCCCCGATCTTCGCAGCGCACGGTAATACTTCATCGCATTGATCATCATCCCGGCTTTCGCACAGCCGTGAATAAGGATCGCGTACGTGAACTTGTCTGATTTGATGCCTAGCTCCTCCATCTCCCTGTGGAACGCCATGGCGTCGTCGATGCGTGAACACCGGACGAAACACCTCAACATGTGGTTGAACGAATCGACCCCGGGCTCCAGGCCTTGCTCGTAGATCTGCTGGAAGATCTTGACGGCCGGCTCGAGCTGCTTGAGCTCACAGTGCAGTTTCAACAGCACGTTCATGGTCGTCACGGTCGGAGAGATGTTTCTTTCGACTAGCTGAGCATACAAGTCCCCTGTCGTGGCCAAATCCCCAGCCCCTGCGAACGCCGACATCACGGTCGTGTAGTTCTCGACGCTCGGGTCAGTCCCCTGGCTTTCCATAGACCTCAGCACAGACAGTGCTTTCCGTGCCTGAGCCCCTCGTGCGTACCCTAACAAAATCGGCTGGAATATCGCAGCATCCAGCTTCAGCCCTGCTTTCTCTACATACGGCAGATAGCTCTCAGCCCCCTCCCCGTCCCCCAAACTCCCTCTCGCATCCATCAACAACACATAAGTATCCCGAATTGGTTCCAACCCCGCATTCCGCATCTCCTGCAAAAACTCCAAACCCTTCTCCAACGTGAAAGCCTGCCGTCGACTCGGAATCTGCGCATTCATGATATACACCTCCAGCCTCGGCCACCGTGCAAGCTCGGCCTGGGTCTTCAGAAAATCGACTTTCTCGGCGGCGTCCGGGATCGTGTCCGAGTAGCGGAGGATCATCTGGATGACGGCGAGGACGTGTCTGCGTGGGATCAGACTACGTACGGTCGGATCTTCGCAGGCGGCGACAAAGGTGCTCCATATTTGGTCCTGTGTGGCGGGCTCGTCTCTTTTCTCCGTTCCCAGCGCCTCAGCTAATGGTTCCAGCCGTTTCGTAATCTCTGCGGTTGTGACAGTGGAAAGGTCGGAGAAGTGCCGCCGACCATTCCCTTCAGATTCTATTGCCCGCCACTGCGGCGGAGTCGGAACCCTCACCGTGGCCAAGCGTCGTCGTTTTCGCTGCAGCGTAATGCTGGCCAGCTCGGTAGCCCAGGTGTACAGGCTGCACGATTCACATACAGGACCACGGGTCTTTCCACGAGGCCGGAGGGCCGAACCTCCGCTCGGCCTAGAGAGAACATGACTTCTGAGGGGTGCTTTGCTTGCAGTCGTGTGCTGGCCGAGGTTGGAGAACGATATGGGTGGGCGCATGCGGGAGCGCTGTTGGCAAAACGAAAAAAAAGTTGTAAAGGATGCTAAGAAGCGGCTAGACCCATGCTGAGGTATACCCAAGCGGTACTGATCGGGACACAGGGTTGTCTAACGTAGTTGCCAACGTGGTTGTCTAACTCCGTATTTCCCGCAATTGCGTGCGAGGCGTCGGAGGTATCGAGCTCTTCGAGCTGGGTATCAAGTGCAAAAAGTTGCAACATGCGCGCGACCTTTTTCCCGAGTTGGTATTTTTTTCGGTGATTCGAGCTTATCGGATAGACAGGAACCAATTTACAGCAAGACAGGAAGACCGTTCTGTATGCGACTGAATGTTATTCGTTTCTTGACAATATATATCTACAAGTATGGCAGTGGTATCTCTTCTAGAGCTGATAGCGCTACAGTAATCTAACGAGCCAAGATCTCCTCAGTCTCCTCGATCACATCCTCCACCCACTCCTCGACGCTCTCGCTCTGCCCTTCGTCCTTGGCATCGGGGTCGTAAGCGCAGAGCTGGACGCGGGCCTCGTGCGCAGCGTCGTAGTCCTTCTGCACACGTTCGCGGTACTCGGACCATTCGGTCCAGAGCTTGATGCGGCGCTCGAGCACTTCGCGGGAAACGGCCTTGGACTGGGCAGCGTCCTCCTCGTCGAAGACCTTGGAGTACTCCTTGAGGTTCTTCTTGATCTTCTTCTGCTGTTCGTCGGAGAGGAGTGTCGGGGGGCGAGGGCGCCACAGGAATTGCTTGAAGTATGGCACGGTCTGCTTGGTGATTTGTGCTCCAGTGAAGCTCCACGAGATGAAACCGGTGTCTGACTGGACGCGCCACCAGGAGACGGAACTGACAACGTAACGACCGGTGGGGTCCCATTCGACATCCGTGCACATGTAGTGCTCGCCAGTGTTCATGCAGACGAGTTCATCAACGTCCCAGAACTGAAGTTCACCCGCAAACGCACGGACACCAGCCAGTACGGCGAATCGGCCCTTGGGCGACCAAATGATCTGGTTGATGCCCTTGGCTTCGAAAGCCTTGAGAAGCTTAACGGAGACGGCGGCCGGAGCAGCGTTGGCGGAGACCATCTGATACAGGTGGCATACGCCGGCAGTACCCTCTTGTGCGATCAATCCGAAACGAGCACCAACGGGCTCCCAGAAGATGTTGACGACCTCGAGTCCAGCATCGAGCTCCATCACATCAACTGGAACGTCCTTTTCGCGGAGCCGGAAGATTTCGAAGTTGGTCATTGTGGACTTCTTCGTCTTGATCCTTTCTACGCTGACGAGCAGGTAGTCTCCCGCTGGCTGCCAGAACAGTTTGCACTTTGGAATAGTGGGATTTAGTTCAAATTCGCGGTCCAGCTCCTGGGGACAAACAGCTACTCACATCTATAACGTTGAACAAGTTCTTTGTTCGGAGAACCTCACGGCTGGGAATCTTCAGGAGCGTGACACGAGCAGGTATATTGCCACTTTCCGGAGTCCAGTAGCTAATCAGATGGTCCGACGGCGACCATGCGAAGGTTTTGACATCCTCGACCTATTCGGAAAAACAGCGTGAGCTCCTTTGTCCCTTCTTCAAAGAAGTCCTGCATGAATCATCTTACTTTGATACTTTTCCTGTCGAGGAGTCCCATACCAGGGGTCTCGTAAACCTGGATCATGCCGGGTGCTTGTCGTGCAACGTATTTGTCATCGAACGACCACTTGAAGATGGGCCAGTCGAATTTGACCGTTCCCTGAGCACCCGACGCAGCGGGGGCTTCAATGGGGAAGGTTCGGAGTTTCAGACCCGTTGTGATATCCCAGATGGCAAGGTGCTAGAGAAACGTAAGTTTTCATCCGAGTCAGAGTTACTGCAATTCTGTTCTCGTTCTAGGACAGTATGCCAAAGGTTCGATGCTTACGTGTGATTCTCCTTCTGGGGTGATGAAAGGCTCGTGACTCCAGGTGGTGACATACTTCTCGTTGGGGCTGAAGTCGATGAGCTTCACATTGTGATGCTCAAATTTGTTGATCCTTCCCCAGGTGGGTCCTCCCCACAAGACGATACCCTGCTTGTGGAAGGTGGCAAGGTATGTACCCTTGGGTGACCAGGACACATACATGTCGGACCAGTGCTGTGGAAAGGATGGGCTTTTAGCATAATGGGCGGGATTTGACTGCCCCAAATCCGGAAAGTACCTCTCGGCTGTGGTCCAAATCCGGTGCATCTCCCTTGTTGTTCCAGTAAATGGAAACGTCATCGCCCTTCATCATGACCCATTGGTCGCGAGCACGAGGGTCAGTCAACCAGCTCTTCAAGTGCTCCTTCTCAACGAAAGGTTGCTCGACGGGCTCCTCGTAGGCATCGTTCATGCTGGTGTATCGGCCAATGTCGTCGAAGTGGTTGACAGCAAGAACGTGATTTTTGTCCAACTTGTGACCGTTTCCTTGCTTGATGGCGAGAGCGGCATGCTCGGCGGTCTCAAAGTCGATAAAGACGTATCTAATCGTTGCCCACAATGTGAGAAGATGCTCGGCTGAAGAATGCTGCTCCATCCAGAATACTCACCCCTTGGACTCCCCGGTCTTGCTGTCCATGGGCATGTGAAGCCCGTTGTCCTTGATGGACAGATTCTTGAAGACCCTCTTGATGACAGCCAAGAGCTTCTCGCGCTTAGCCTCTCCAACAACGGGAACATTGTCCACCACTACAACGGTCTCGAAGCCGCTAGGAAGCTCGACCTTGAAGCGCTCTTCAATGTCGGAGAAGTCGACGGTCGACGGGTCGAACTCCTCTTCGTAGTCGTCGTATGGTTCACCCATATTTGCGAATTGATCGAGGCGGTTTTACTTTCGTTTCGTCCACAGATATCAAAAAGGGTTGTGTTGTTGTGCGGTGAGACTGCGACAGGTCGCTAAATTGTTGATAGTTGTTCGGGCCGTTGGACGATGAGCAAGCGGTTGCAGAGATCTGGGCAACGAAAGAACTCGACGCAGAAAACCCCCACTCAACTCACCGTATCACGTGACTTGGTGAAGACTCCACTCTCTCCACTCGGACAGTAGTCAAACTAACGACGGCGAAGGACATTTGCAAGCAGACGGTCATCGGCAACTCTGAAGGAACCCTCCCACGTTGACTATATATACATCGCCTCTCCGTGTAGTCCTTGTCGAAAAGCACAACATGGCAGGCGCACCACACCCACCTCGGCCGGTCGGCAGCTTCCACCCACCACACGTCAACCGCTGGGGAGCCAAACTCATGTTGGCCCCAGTATGGTTCTTCGTAATGTACAGGATGTACCACGACGGTCCTCATCACTTTGTACGTATTGGAGAAAGCTCACTGGGAGTCGAAAGCTCGATTGTGGAGCTGCCTTCTGATGGCTCGCATACATTCGGGCGAAGCCTGCCATTCTGACAGCGCGCTGCTCATTGTCCCACGTTACTGACTCTCATTTCGACTATTCTATCCAGTTGCACAAACATCAATGGGAGGAGCCAAAATACATCGAATACTTGGAAAAGGTCGACAAGAAGTTCGGAACGAGCTATGCCACCGATAACATGCACCACCACTAAGCGGGCGACGGGTTGTAAAGATCGCGGGGGGCCAGGCAGGATCTGCTTGGACGACCGCATGAATGCGACAAGAACGAGTTGTCAAGCGCCCGCTGGAGTTAGTGGGACCTTGAGGACGGAAGTGTGGGGTGCGCGACAGCCGAGGGCGTTGGACATACGATCGTTGCGCGACCTGTGTGCGCCACGTTAGTGGCAAACCAGTAGAAGCCTGTAATTTTCTTGGAATTTGGGAGGCCGGACGCAATCCGCCGAAATATATACCACGTAGAAGCTTTACCATCTTCCGACTGAGAACACTGTGGAGGGCAGGGCATCCCATTTTGCGGTCCGAAACGCAGTTCACATACGAGGAGGACACTCTGCAGCCATTTGTTGAGGAAAACGGATTGCATTTGCGACATCAGAAACAAAGCGATGCAATATTGGCATTTGATGACCGCACACACACAATTGCATTTATCCACAAAGCAGTCCTTTGAAGTAGAATACCCAAAAAAGAAGCAGGACCTGCCTATAAGCTAAAATTTCCACCCCTCACAATGCCCACATCTCTCCCACCGGGCGAACAGCCCTCCACGCTCTCTGCACCACGGTCAGCACGCGGCGCGCAAGCTCATCTGACGCTACGGAAGACGCTGAACGATGCTGTGATGCCCGTCTTGTCAGTGATAGTCTCGGCTTTACGTCCTTGGTTGGTGATGTGGGTTTGGGTGTGGTAGGGTTGTCATCTTGAGCTGCGTGCGTGGTTGATGGGGCGGGTGGAGAGGGGACTTTTGAGACGGTCTGGACACGGGACGTGAGAGTAGTTAGCATTGCGCTGTGATTCGCATATCCTTCCTACGATTATACTCACCACAGAACACCTAACCCGCTTCTTCTGCGTCGCCTGCGCCAGCTTCTCCTCTCCACTCTCATTCCCAGCAGGTGCCGCATACCACGACGCGAGCACCTGCGCGACAACAGCTTCCCCATCCACCGAGACAGTCCAGGACACCACGTTCCACATCAACTGATCTGTTGACTTAGTGGGATGCTGAGTCGAATCAGCCACCAAAGGCACTAGCGCCCCGCTGCCGACGTCAGCGGAGGATACTGTCGCATCGGTTAGCTGCCGCTGTCCTGAATTTCTGGTTCCTAAAACCTCGCTCTTGTCCTCGGCAGTGGACAATAGCGACCAAGACCCGTGATGCGATGGTTCTGAAGTATCGTGCACCACAGTGTTCACATTTCCCTTTCCAAACTGGTTGTAAATGATCCGGGTAGCGTGCTCGATAGACGACGCGAGTTCAGGAAGATGGAGGACCGGCGAGGACTCCGCGGCTTCTGTGTCGTGGCTTCCTTGCTCAAATCCTTCTTTGGCTCGCACATCGACGTTGGTCTGGTCATCTTTCGTGTCCTGGGAGTCCTCGTCCTCGTCCCTTGGCTCGGGTTTTGGAGTGCCTTCGTCATCCAACTCTTTGATTTTGGCGTTATCCTCCTCTTCACCGTCTTGGCTTCCGTGTGAGTGGCTGCACGAGGAGTTCGTGACTTGATATCCCCACAATACAAATAAAAAACATTGAATGAGCGCCGGATGAAAGAAGACGTGAATGACAAGGAAACATACGTTTGACACTAGCGGGACTCGTTCCGGCTCGTTCCAGAATGACAGCAACGATAGAGTCCGCGATCATGTCATTCACTGCGCTTCCTTCCCATTCAAGTGTGTACACGCGCAGGTTTGGCGATTGCGTTACCTTCACCACATCAAAGACCTGTGCCGTGAAACAAACATGAATGTCCAGCTCATCACCTATCATTCGTTAAAATGCACAACCAAACATACCCTAAAACTCCTGGCGCCAGTCAACTCAACCGGCCCATACATCATCTCCAGATACCACTTCACGATCCCAAACGGCGCACGGCACGGGATCGATTGGCGTTGCGTGATGGATGCGGGGGTCAGGTCCGTGAATTCGGGTAGGTCTTCGGGGTCGAGGAGGTGGTATGTGAAATCGCGACAGACGAGGACGCCGCTGACGAGTTGGCTGGGTTGGGGTGGGTTTTTGGCTAGGCGGCCGATTGTCTGCATGGGGCGGTCTTAGCGCAAGGTTTGGCAGAAGTTATGTGAGAGCTGGCGGCCTTTCATTGCGCGTGCATACCTTCGCCATCTTTTCACCTCGAAAGTACAGCTCGACCGTCTCGCAGTTCTTGGGCGTATGGATGTGCAACTGGACATCTCGCTCGGCGTACTTGCTCTGCAGAGCGCTCCGCAGACGACCCATAGCGTTGGAGTCACCGTGTACAAGGATCTGGAATGATAGCGTGAGCGCGAATTTGAAGGGGTCGCTGTTGTCATTCGGAAACTTACCAGATTTGGCGCACCGACATCCTCAATGAATGCTGAGTTCTCCCTGTAGTCCACATGTGCCGAGAACGATATATATTCGACAGATAATCGAAGAGGCAGCTTGGCGCCGGACATCGATTGCACCTCTTCTGGTTGCGACAAGATTTGCTAGAATGGGCAGACGACTTAGCTTTGTGCCACATTTTGGCGTCTACGGCAGAGGAAGCCTACCTTGCCGAGCGTCCCCTCCACGACATAACCGGGAATGATAACTCCGTTTCTTGCATCGACGCACCAAAGTTCGAAAAGTTCTCGCGACAGTCCATTCTGATTTTAAACGCGTCAGCACCAAAGACTTCTGCTGCTAGCGAGAAAGAGCAGCCTCATACCTGCAACATTCCCGGACTAGCCATCATTACACAAGGCCCAACATCGTCGAAATGCGCCATACTCTTCAAATTACTGATGTGTTTAAACTGAAACGGGTTGCTGATCTTGACCTGCTGCCGGATCCTCGCGTTCATCATGTTGGTGTACGTCTGGAAGACCGTCATACACTTCTTGGCCAGACTTGATGCGTAGTAGATCGGCACGTTGTGGAGTTCCGCGTGAGCTTGCCAGTACTCGTCTAGGATCAATAGCAGTTCCTGTGCACGTCCGAGGGCGAAGACGGGGAGCAGACATCGCCCGCCGCGCTGGACGACGTTATGCACCATGCGCGTGAATCTCGCTTCACGCTCAACGCGCGGCTCGTGAGATTGCACGCCGTACGTCGATTCACAGATGAGGACCTCTGGAGTCACATTCGGTGGCCGCTCAGCAGCCATCAGATGCCGGTCTTCTTCCCGAGAATAGTCGCCGGTGTAAAGCACGCGGACACCAGCAATCTCGATCAGGAACATGGCGGCACCGAGGACGTGGCCGGCGTTATAGGGTGTAAACTTGATGCCTTCGACGTCCATCTCTTGGTGGTAGTCGACCACTTCGATCTTTTCGTAACTTCGTTGGAGATCTTGTTCATCGTAGAGTTGGTCTTCCGCCGAGAGGTTGCTGTATATTGGAAACGAGATGAGATATGAAGTACCGGCTTGGCCGTGAAGAAGTAGGAGAGGGACAGTACTCACCTTATTTTCACATAATCAGACAGCAGCCATTTGTAGATGGCTTTTGTCGGATGGGTCATAAAGACGCGACCTTTGAACGTGGTCTGGCGTCAAGAAAATAAGATGCACAATGAAAGAACACAATTAGAAGATCAAACTCGATGCAAATGGTTTATAAATCTCTGTTATAGAAACACAAAAAAGTATAGGGGCGGCGCGAGATAGATAGGTGGCCTCGTCTTCTCTCAGGGCGATCTTTCTCTTCCCCGACCGTCGCCCCGCCCCTTGCCCTACTACTAATCTACAGCAGCTCTGTCCCCCAAATGATGGTGCTCTCTTCCCAACCGGTGCGTTCCTCCAGGGACCCACCTTTTCCATGAAGTACGGCAAACCTGCAGCGTGATCAACGTGGAAGCTAGACGTACAAGTGTGTCACGGAGGGTCTGCGACAGGGCGCTTTCGACTTCGTTAGAAGGCGTGTTTTCGATTCCTTACTGGCTAATCAACAGCACATCCACCGTTGACGGATCCACTTCATCCAGGAAAGGCAATGCCGAAAATCCACTGTTTGCAGGATGTAACCCGCAGTCCAGCTGGTAAGATACCGAGCATGGGTGATATGATCAGCTTTGAACCAGAATCCGGATCACGAAGCGCGAAGAATCCCAGACAAACCAACCATGATTGTTTTGCCCTTATATTCCAGTAACAGGCAACTCCTCCCGACTTCCTGCCCAGCACCCAATGGGGTGACCCTCATCACATCTCCGGGGTCTTGTACGGGGACAGGCGTGGACGGTTCCTTCCGCTTGTTCCCCGCCAATGACACGCCGCCACCCAAGGAGGCACCGACAACTGGAAGCATTGCTGAGCCTCGGGAGAGCGGCGGTTCAGGAGAGAGTGTGAGAGTGTCCCTTGCGTGGAGGTATGCAGTTCATGTGACCTGCTTCAATATCCTGCAAGTGGGGCAGCCTCCCAGCGGAAACGTCGGAGTCCAAATAAATACGAGATCACATGACCTCACATAATTGCCGTATGCATTTCTCGATCCACCATTTTCACCCCAGCTCTTCTGCTCTTTACCACTGCCGGCCGAGCTCATTATGTATGGTAAACACTCTGAAGAACGTCACAGAAGTCCATCCATAAGGAAACAAAGATCATCATAAGGTAGCGAAATACCCGCTCTTAGATGTACAGGTGGCCATGAGTGTTGCGGGGACGGCGAGCAGGGCGGTCAACATTGAACCTGACGCCTTAGAGGAATGCGCTGGACCTTGCCCTCAACGCGGATGAGCGCGGGGCGACGTGATATCGAGCGACATCAACTCTTCCTTCCACAAGAACAACTCTTCCCCACGCACATCGGGCAGATGCCCACGGACTGCCCGGTCCTCACTTCCATCGACGAAGGCGAAGAGCCCAAATCTCCTCTTGTCTTCGACGGACTCACCCCACAGCACTCCCAACCCTGATAATCACATAATCACGTTTCCATCACGTTGCGCCTGTGGAGGAGGCTGGTCTGTATTTCATGAAAGATTATAGTCGGCAGGCGCGGCCCGGTGGAGCATCCCAGGCAAAACTCACACCCATGCCTCGCCATGCCTCACCCCTCTTGTCCTGATATCGTGATGTGCAGGCAGCCAGCGACCAGCGAGAGAAGATGTGTTCACTCCCAGTTCACTCCCGCCCCCAAACGCGTCCACGCGTAACGCTGTCAGTGCGATTTCTGTCGTCGATCCTGACATCATTATTGAGTGGAAGGCGGACGTTTGCCACTTGCCATCCCCGCCATGCATCTGAAAGACGGAGAAAAGCGGATATACTGTAAGTATATATTGCAAGTCGGGCACCCTAATCGTCTCTTTCCCTGAGCTTCCCAAGGACTTACACTCGTGTCAACACTCAGTCCCACTCTCAACATCCTTCGACGATGCCAGTAAAGCAATCACCCTCACGGAAAGCAAGAGGCTCAAAGTTCACCTCAGCCAAGAAGGTTGGCAGCACGTGGTCGTCCATCTGGCTGCTCGCACTGGTCCCAGTCCTTCTTGCCATCGGAGCAGCGAGGGAAACCTTGAACGGCATCAACCTCAAGCTCAGCGTCAACAACTTCAATCTTGTACGCAAACCTGCCCAATATCACGGACACGGCGTCAGCGGACCTTTCTTTGAAGGATGGTATTATAAGACGGTGTTGCCCGAGGCGGAAGGGTCGGTGGTCTTCATTCCTGGCGTGTTCATGCCGAAGCCTTCTCCCGAAGGCACCGTGCTCAACGATACGCTACAACAGCCGCATGCGTTTGTGATGGTCCTGAGGGACCCGCACACTGTCGAATGCCTGTATTACGCCTACCCTTTGAGCGAGTTAGAGGCAACGAACGGCGTTGGAGAGTCACCGGAAGCTAGAACCACATACAGCATCAGGATTGGAAAGAGCACGTTCCATGAGAAGGGGATGGAGCTTGATCTCGATGCCTCCCGTCTTGTGTGGCCGTCGGACGAAGACACAAATGAGTTTTTGGCCAAGGCGTTGCGGGAACGCCAGATACTGCACCCTGAGTTACGCTTCGATAAGGCGGGCTTGACTCAGGAGTGGGAACGGAAAGCTCTGTCCGTTCGTGGAAGTGTGAAGTTCGTAGACTCCGTCCGATTCCCAACGTCCACTTTGAACCCAACAGTGATGGGTCCTTTCTCCTACCTTCCTGCGCTGGAATGCTACCATGGTGAGTTGGTTCAACGCGTCAAACCCATTCTGTAGCAAGATCCGACTAATCATTTGCATGTTTTCAGGTGTGGTATCGCTCTACCACAAGACGATCGGTTCGGTCCGCTTTGAGACTGCGGCAGGGGCCAAGGAGCACGAGTTCGACGTGACGGGCGGCGAGGGCTATCTGGAGAAAGATCACGGCATCAACTTTCCCAAGAGCTGGATCTGGTTGCAGACGGGCTCATTCGTCAAGGAGACGGGATCCTCCTTACTGGTATGTACGGCGTTCAAGGCGATACGTGAAGTTCATGGGAACTGTTACTAACTTGAAGTTATAATCTTCAACAGCTCACCATCGCAGATGTGCCATTGTTGTCGGACAAAGGCATCCTGTCCAAGATCGTGTCATCCATCCCCGTCTACGGCCCGAAGCTAGTATCAAAGTTCCGCCTGAGCGCTTTCATCATCACCCTTCACCACGCCCGTACCAACACCACCCACAATTTCAGCGTCTACACCGGGTCCCGCGTTCAATCCGTCAACATCGACGCGCACACCAACACCGGGAGCGGCGCCCCGAATCAAGAAGTCAAGGTCGTAGTCTACGGCAGACCCGGATCCGACGCGGAATTGATCGTTACAGCAAAGAGGCCCTTGCAAGTGGGAGTCCCGCTTCCCGGCCCCATGTTCGGCGAGCGCAACATGATGGGCTTGATTGTTGAGGAGACCATCACGGTGGATGTCGACGTTTTGTTGCGCGTCAATGGGGAGGTCGTCTTTGAGGATACTGGGCGAATCGGTGGATTGGAGGTTGTTGGGGACATGCAGGGCTTGATCGGTACGATCTAATTGTCAGTATAATGTTTAAGAAGCGTAAGTAGATACAGCTAGCATAGAATCGGATTTAAGCATTGCATTACATGCCACAACTGCGTTCTCATGAAAGGGTATATAGGTTATATACACAAATTATTGTTTTCTGCATCTGCCCAATCTCTTTTTCTGCTTTTTGATGTTTTGATGTGAACGAAGTACATATGTCAGTGGCCTGCCGTTGTGGTGTCCGTGCCACAGTACCCATCTTCTCGAAATGCACGGAGGCCGTTCTGAGGCAGTTCTGAGGGGCGATCGAACGCGTTCTGATGAATGTTAGAGACTCGAGAGGACTTGGGCCACTCATTCACCTCATTCATTGGTCACGCCAATCTTGCCGGACACCTCAGCAGCATATAACGGGGCAGAGCGTCTCGGGTCTAGAACTCTAATACTTTAGCCGACGCGACCCTCACAAACGAAGATGGCGCATGCATTTTCGGTCCTTTGCGTGGCCGTCATTGGCAAAACGGTGGGTCCCTCTGCGGTTGCTCAGGTTGTAGTGTAAGTCGCTCATTATACCCGCACTGGCTCTTGCTGCAGAACAACCCACTATTCGTGAAGAACTTCAGCTCAACATATACCGACTTGAAATGCCATTACATAGCTCACACGGCAATAGACTTGGTGGAGGAACGGAGTATGTTGGCAAGCGTGGGGAAAGTGGTGCTGCCAGGGACAGTGGAAGCCTAAACGTTGGGTCCTCAACAGTCGGGTCAACGAAGCACACGGATCAGTACCTGGGGTTGCTATATACGATGGAAGATCTAGCAGTGTAAGATGTCCGGGGAAACGTGAACGCACGTAAGGACCACGCAAACGGCATGATAATCAAACCTATGCCTCTTTTCAGGTTTGGATACATAACGAATACACGAGTAAAGTTCATAATCGTAACGAATGTGGTGGATGTTGCTATCAAAGACCAGGATATCAAGAATGTAAGTGCTCCTTTTGGCATCCCCGTTCGAGCGATTGAAAAATTCGAAGCTAACAGTCACTAATATTCGTTCGCATTAAGTTGTTTCGGAAGATCCACAACGCATACGTGATCCTGGTATCGAATCCATTTTATGATCCGGACAGCAAGCGGCCAATAGCGTCGACGAATTTCGAAAAAGCAATCAGCAGTCTGTGAGATCGCCTTCCATCCTGCCGTGGGCTTAGGCTTGCTCTGGGACCTTGTATATAGATAGAATGACGAATACCCGCGAACTCGCGACGACACGAATTCGCGAAGACCGTTTCCGCCAGCAATCTGAGTGTGGGATGTCGTCGTCGCCAACGACTACAGATCTTGTTTGTTGCTCAATTCATCACTCGTCGGCCGTTTGCCGGCTGAATCCCACTACTTTTGCCCGCCAAAACTCAACGAGGCCAGAGCTCTGCGCATATCAGCTAGCGAGTGGGAACTCGTGCGACGAAGAGACGGTTTCGGAGGCAGCTTTATGGCCGCAATTGTAGCTTTTTGAACACGTTTGTAGCTTATTGAACTGTTGGCACACTGCTGGATGTTATTCGGCCCCTGGAATGGTTTGACTGACGTGAATATTTTGCTGTTCGGGCTCCGTGCAATGATAACTCGTGGGCAAGCGCACTTCGCGCCGATTCTAACCACCTGGCCCAAGGCACCGCTGAGGACGGACGCAAAGCCACATCCGCAAAACGCTGTGACATCAGTGTTGCTGCTACGGAACTAAATAAGTTTAAATTCGAAACGGCCTGCTTGCCGTTAATTTTGGATATAGGGCATCAGAGAACTGAATCTTCCTCTACCTCCGAGGCGATTTGTGGTCTGAAAGCATGGCGGAAGTTGACATCCGGTTTTTTCGAGCCTGCAGGGAGCGCAGGGGCTGCGGGCTAAAAGACGCAAAGGACGCGCTGTCGAAATCGGCGTTCCGCGTCTTCGATTTTCCTTGCAAAGTTAAGCGTAGAAGGTGGGGCTTGTACTGACTCTAAATGCTGCATGGAAGCATGGAAGGTCGCGGACAATTGCCTCGTTGTCCCCCGACAAACCTTAAGACTCGCTCTACGGAAATTTCAGAATGACGGCTGGGTGGGATCAAGAGCTCCTCTTCAACTGCACGCATCCTGGTGCATCAGCTAGTTTGCGCATTTGTAGTACTTTAGCTACACAAGCATGGATTCCTCACAACCAGGTGTCTCGGACTTTGTCCTCGTTGAGGAGATATCGGATGCAGCCATAGTCGAAAACCTCCGAGTGCGCTTCGAGCAGGATGTTATCTACGTAAGTCTGGAGTGCGATGCAAATTCTGTGCCCGCAAACACTTGATGCGCTGACCCACACGTATCGAACGCCCTCAGACGTTCATTGGTGAAGTGGTCGTCTCTCTCAATCCTTACAAAAACCTGCCCATCTACGATGCAGAATGGGTCGCTCGATACAAGGGAAGTAACCTCTACGAGCATCCACCTCACATGTATGTAAGGGGGAGTGAGTCTTCTGTCAAGAGAAGCGCAGTTTCAGCAGCCCATCATACTGACTTACAATCCCTCACATGAAACAGCTACTCCATCGCGGAACGGGCTTACCGGTCTTTGGTAACCCAAGCCCGTGACCAATGTGTCCTCATCACTGGCGAGAGTGGAGCCGGGAAAACGGAGGCAAGCAAGATTATCTTGGGCTATGTTGCTGGAATGGGCGATGGCGTAAAGATCCGGGATAGACTTGTTAGCGCTAGTCCTTGTCTTGAAGGTATGTGCGTCGTAGTAGCAGAGGGATGTGCGCAAGGGCCAAGTTCTAAATCGACCAACGCATCCCGATGGCAGCTTTCGGAAACGCCAAGACTGCTCGCAATGACAATTCGTCCAGATTTGGCAAATACATGGACCTGGAGTTCGACTTTCGCGGGTCCCCAATCGGAGGCAAGATCACGACGTATCTCCTGGAAAAGTCTCGAGTAGTGAACCAATCCGGAAATGAGAGATCATTTGTACGTTTCACATCCCAATTGGGCAACAAGTTGTATTGTTGATGATGAGGTGGAGGACGCTGAATTGCAAATCTTGCTCCAGCATATCTTCTACCAACTGTTGGCGGGGTCCTCGGATGATCTCCTGACCCGCCTCTCCCTCTCGCGGACTACGACCGACTTTGCCTACCTAACAGCGCAGTCTCCTCCCGACCTCGACGACGCCGCGCATTACCAGTCCGTCATCAAGTCATTCAAGGACGCTGGTGTCAGCGATTCCACCGTTGGCGCATGGCTCGAGATAGTTGCGGCAGTGCTTCATCTCGGCAACGTGAAGTTCGAAGGCAAAACCGAAGCGCCGGCTTCGGCCACCGCCCCCGCAACGGTAGAGGCCGGTGAAAATGCAGATCAACCTCAGCAAAACGGCGACGCGGAGAAAGAGAAGACCGCCGAGACCGTAGGCATCGAAAGAAGTACTGTCGTCAACGAAGAGGTGTTGAGGAGGGTTGGCGCGCTGCTGGGGCTGGACGCCGAGAAGTTGGCTCAGGTGTTGACGCACCGATCCGTGTACGATCCTGCCAAGAAGGAGAAGATTGTCTTGCCGCTGGGATCCCAGCAGGTGTGTGGCCTGCACGCCTGATTTCCTTGTGCCCGTCTACGATGCTGATGGGGACTTTGCAGGCCGAGAAAACCCGAGACGCTCTTGCCAAAACCCTTTATGGTCGCCTTTTCGATCACATTGTGAGCACGTTGAATCAATGCATCAGCATCGGGTCGGAAAAAGGGTACAACGTCATTGGTGTGCTGGACATCTACGGATTCGAAGTCATGGAGGTGGGATCGATGCTCGTTTCCCAATGTATGCCAGTGTTGCATATCTGACGCGAATTCACTACTGTCCGAGCTGCAGCATAACGGCTTCGATCAGTTTCTCATCAACTACTGTAACGAGAAGTTGCAACAAGTGTTTGTAGAGCTGACGTTGAAGTCGGAGCAGGAGGACTATCAGAAAGAGGTGGGGTCGACGACTGGTCCTTGATATCTGGTGGTTTCAACGACTGATTTCCCCTGTAATTGAAGGGCATCGAGTGGACGAACATCTCGTACTTTGACAACGAAACGATCTGTGACTTGATTGATTCGGTAGGCATGGTTTTGCGCAAACATAGGTATAGGTTCAACTATGCTAAATGATTGGAAAACACTGAATTTCAGAAAAAGTCCGGGTTCATCGCGCTCCTGGACGAAGAAAGTACCTTTGCCGGCGAACCCACCGCCAAGACCTTCCTTCACAAACTCGATACCAACCTCGTCAAACACCCTCACTACGAATCGCGCTCAAAGCAGGCGAGCGGAAAGCGCAAATCCTCTTCGAACCTCCTCACAGCATCGGCGACGCCGTCGTCCACCGCCGCCGCGCCGTCGAAGATGCTCGCTCATAATGAGTTCATGTTGCGCCACTATGCTGGTGACGTCGTGTACGAGACGGACGGCTTTCTCGATCGTAACGTCGACGCGTTGTGGAGGGATGTGGTTACCACTCTTGGCGAGAGCGGGAAGAGTGTCGTCAGGGAGATGTTCCCAGCATTGACTGGTGTGGATGGGGCTCCGGATGGTGGGGATGTTGCTTCGACATCGGCGCGAACTAAAAGACCCGAGACGCTGGCGACGCAGTTCCGAAGCTCGATGGGGAACCTGATCGCGAACCTGATGTCAAAGAACCCGCATTATATTCGATGCATCAAACCAAATGCAGAGAAGGCGGCAAACAAGTTTGATGTGGAGCTTGTTGAGCATCAATGCAGATACCTCGGGTATGTTCCAGCTCAATATCAATGAAAAGCTCCTCATCCTCCCTGGTATCCCCGTTGATTGCCATACTACCTCCACACAGTCTCCGCGAAAACATCCTAGTTCGCCGCGCAGGCTTCTGCTACCGCTCGGCCTTCCCCAAATTCCTGAACCGCTACAAACTTGTCGGAACCCACATTTCCGTCGACCCGCGCGGCACCTGGCCAACCTACACAGGCACACCGCGCGAAGGCGTGCAAAACCTCTTGAACAGCGCGCTAGTCAGCGGCAATGCTTACCAGTTGGGCAAGACCAAGGTCTTCATTCGACATCCTGACACTATTCTGCAGTTGGAGAAGATGAGAACGGAGCGAAAGGAGATATTGGCGACGCGAATCAAGGCGGTGTGGAAGGGCAGTAAGGATAGGAAGTCTCTTGCGAAGGAGAAGAAGAAGGTAGTGAAGTTGCAGGCGTATGCTAGGAGGCAATTGGTGGGTTTCTGCGTGAATCAGTTGTCACTTCAATAAGCAAAGGCTAATTAATGTTCCGGGTTGTAGGAGGCAAAGCGGTACCAGAAGATGAAGGCGTCGGCTCTTACCATTCAACGGCATGCTCGGGGGTATAGGGTAGGCTTCTGATCTGTTCTTAAAGGCACTTACAACGACGCATGGGAGCTAACTCACCCTCGCAGGCGCGTAAAAACTACAAAGGAATGAAACGGACGTTACCAAAATATGCCGTCGTCCCCATCCAGCGCGCATGGCGGGTGCACGCTGGTCGCAAATGGTTGAAGAACGTTGCCATCGTCGCCAAGGAGGCAGCGGAAGAGTGGAAAAGCTGGGAGAGCTGGCCGGCTTTGAAACTCAAGAATGGAAAGGTTACCCGCGAGACTGTTCAACTCTGGGCCAGGAGGATCCATGTATGTTATCTTAGAATGGTAGGGTGTGGTGCAAGCCGTACTAATTCAGATTCCTTATATACTAGGCGAAGCGGTTCCAGGCTAAGCTGACGTACGAGGACAAGGAGAAATTGCACTGGAAAGCTACTGCATTTGAGCATTTCCAAAAGAAAGCAACCTTCCGGGATGTTATCAGCAAGCCTTTTGTCCTTGACCATCTCGGATACACAACGGACCCAGTTCTCAAGATGAAATGGGCGACCATATCCCCAGGTATGCTAGCCATGTTTTGAGTATTGTCCGGGATATCATCACTGACTCTTCGCGCTAATCAACTTTTCGGCAGATCCTATCATTTCCGCGATCACCGCAACCAAGCTGCACCGGCACAATCCCGGCAAAACGGCCCAACGCATACTCATTCTCACAGCAACCCGGCTCTACGCGCTAGATCCCAAATCATCCGTCGTGAAAGAAAGCCCGACGCTCGAAGAGATTGTCGGCATTTCCGCATCTCTGACCGCGGATGGGATTATGATCCTGCACTGTCCGGGGGCGGAGAAGGGCGACATTATCCTGCGGAACGATGAGCATTTGATTGAGTTCTTGAGTCGGTTGGTTATTGCGGTTGCGGCTAGAGGCAAAGCGCCCAAGGTTATTGTGGACAACAGGTGAGGCACATCAGGGCATATGTTACTGAGGACTGTGCTCATATCGACTTTGTCTTCCATTTTTCAGGTTAAGCGCTAGTTTCGCGAAAGGCCAGAGCATCATTTTGGCGTTTCAGACGGGTCCGCAGCTAGAACAAGTGACGATCAAGAAGGCCAGCGATGCATGGCATGTGGCTGTCCCCACATCCATACAGCCTGCTTCATGAATACTTCACGTAAGAATTTTTAGGTAGTAAGTATGGTAGAACAGAGTAGACAAAACCTAATGAGCGGTCTCGTGATAATGGACAGCGGTCGTCATATGTAATGGGAGATCATTTAGATTGTGTAGTGAGACTCATTTTGTCGTAATCAACGTTATGCGTGATTGTGAACATCGGTTCATTCTCTCTACCGCCATCCCTAGTTTTTGCTCAAGGTAAGGTAAGACTTCCGTTTCTACTCGCATCACAACTGTTGGCCGACGAGAGGACGTGCGTAAGAACCATTTTGATTCAAGAAACCGTAGGCGATTATTCGAATTTGCATCTCACAATTACAAAAATGCGTATTCACAAGATATCAAACTGCGTACACCCAAAAATGGCGGGCTACGAAAAGATACCCAAGCTTCTGGTTTCAGATGGTGCGTTCGGGGTTGCCGGTGTTCACACCCGAGAGCTTGTTTCCGGGCTAAATTCAGATCAACCGGAAAGACAAAAGTTAGAGCCACTTCAACTATTCCGGGGCCTCGAAGCAGAAGTACATACCGCAGCATCAGGAGATTCGGGCGTATTGCCCTGAACCTTGTCCCAAACCTTCTGAATGGGGCCCTTGTGCTCCTGGGCAGTGTTCCGGCCGATCGCGTCGTCGGCATGGCCGGTTGCCTTTTCCTTTTGCTGCTCAACGGTGCTTTTCATGCTGTCGGGCTTCGCAGCCTCACCAAGGTGAGTGGAGATGTCTTGAAGCGTATGACGTCGTGAGAAGATGGGAATTGATCACCGGGGAGCCTGTAACGGATCATACACACTTACCTTTGCGGGGAAGGTCGCTCATGTTGCTTTGGTTGTTGCTGAAATATGGAAGCTGCAGTGATGATATATGTTTTGGTTTGAGGTGATGGCGACGTGGTGCTGGATATTTGTGGGCGTTCCTCCTGTGCGGTCCGTCTTTTATAGACGCAGAAGTGGTCTCAAACTCCGGAGCGTCCTTGGTAAAGGTCTCTGGCGTCATTGCTTATTAGTTTTCCTCGCATGACGCTTTGGAAGAAGGTCTCTGGCGTCATTGTTATTGTTTGTCCTGACATGACTTGGAGGAAAAAGAGACGCGGGAAGCAGTGCCGTCTGCGGAGAGTCGCCCCGTCGCGTAAAGCAGGCGTCACACGTCAAATGACGGGAAAGCGACAGCGCGCTTGCCCACTGTCACAAGCATGTCAAATCCAAGGTCGTGATTGTTCCGCGCGTGTCCGTACTGTACCCGTTCGGCATCAGCGCACGATTCGAATTTGCAAATTGATAATGCCAATCGAGCTTATGTGACACCCTTGCGACATGGGTAAAAGATGAAGGGAGAAGGAACCATCTGTCGCGTACGAAATCTGCGCTCATGCGAAATGGAAGACAGCTTAGCTCGCAAAGTGGGACTGGAGCCCAACGGATCCACGTCCTCTTCCGCATAGATAATGGCAATATGAGGGCAATGCGATAGATTATAAGACTGTACCCATGTATCGAAAATATGCATGGAAGGAGATTTCGTTCACATGAACGGGAAGCGACTTCCATTAGCCCGCGGTAACGCCCAAGAACCCGTTGTTCTCATATTTCTTTCCGGCCCTGTTATTTGCATGATCCTGCACCTCGAACACCCCCCGGAGAATACCGCCCGGAGGTCCCTAAGAATACTACGTACTGTATTTTTCGGCCTTTCTGGGAGCCTTTTGCGCGTTGTGGCCGTTGTGAGCGTTGTGAGCGTTGCCACCAATCAGCGACGGGTTTTCGTGAATCATGAAATCCTTACTGGCCGCCTGTGGCATAATACAGGACGCGTTTTGATTAGATTGCGCCTCGTTGCTAATGTAAATCGCAGCTCCCGTCTCAAAGGTCAATCTGCAGCCTCTGAGAGTTCCGTCAGAGGCGTGCTTGCACACGCAGCCTACGCAGGAGGCTGTGGTCGGTTATGTTTGTAGCGCTTAGGTTGGGTTGCCGTTAGTACTGTAGTTACCGCTGTTCGGGTGTCATCGGGGAACGAGTTCGCGAGGCTTTCTACGTATGCAAAGCTGTACAAGGGAGAGGGGCGCATATATACGCAGATCTTCAGCCCTCCTTCCCTCGCAGGGGGACTAGTGTTCCAGCATCTCGCCTGTCCATATCTCAGGAGTAAACACCGAACTTCAGCAAAGATGTTCACCGTTTACGATGTGCTCCTCACGATCTTCAGCCTCGCTATGCGAAGCTTCTTCCGGGAGGTGAAGACTCGGGGCTCCCACAAGATCCCAAAGACGGGCCCTGTCATCTTTTGCGTCGCACCGCACGCAAACCAGTTCGTGGACCCGGTGATGCTGATTACAAAGTGCGGGAGGAAGGTCGGGTTCCTGGCCGCGAAGAAAAGCATGGACAAGCCACATATTGGAATTCCTGCCCGTATCGTGGGAGCTAGTAAGTTTGGGTGATGATAAGTCGTACGGTGAACCTTGCCCAACAAGATGCCGATTCTTACACCATTCCTCGTCTAGTTCCTGTCGTTCGTCCTCAAGATTTGGCAAAGAATGGAAAGGGAAAGCTTATTTTCGACAAGACCAAACCAACCGTGTTTAGGGGAGAAGGAAGTGAGTGTGGATGCGGATGTAGATACGGTTCGAGAAGATGCCGGAGGACTGACCGCAACCGTCGCAGCCGCCTTCACAGAGCAGGTGCAACCCCGTACGATCATCAAGGTCGCTGGAGAGAAGGGCGAATACGAAGTATCAGAGGTCATATCCGATACCGAGGTCCGTCTAAAGTCGGCAGTCACGAATGAAGCATTACTCGCAACCGAATCCGTTGGGCTAGCATACAAAGTCATCCCACACGTTGACCAAAGTGACATGTTCGACGCTGTAACAGAACGATTGATCGCGGGAGGTTGTGTGGGTATCTTCCCGGAAGGTGGCTCCCACGATCGCCCAGAGCTGCTACCCCTGAAGGCTGGTGTGGCGATGATGGCTCTTGGCACCATGGCCAAGGACCCGTCGGTCAACGTGAAGATCATTCCCGTCGGCTTGAACTACTTCCACGCCGACAAGTTCCGGTCCCGCGCTGTCATCGAGTTTGGCGATCCACTTCACATATCACCAGACTTGGTGCAAAAGTATAAGAATGGAGGCGCAGATAAGCGTACGGCGATTGGCACACTTCTCGACACCATATTCGGCAGTCTGACCTCCATCACCACCACCGCACCCGATTACGATACCCTCATGGTGGTGCAAGCTATGCGCCGTCTTTACAAACCCCAGCACAAGCGTCTGTCCATTGACGAGAATCTGCAGCTGTCACGGAAGATCACGGAAGCGTACTTGAAGTACCGCGACCACCCCGATATCATTGAGCTTACGAAACGAGTGACGCAGTACAACCGCATGTTGTCATACTATGGCATCCGCGATCACCAGGTCAAGCGGACGGCCGTCAACCGGGTCTTGGCTATCACCAGATTGGTCACCCGCGCCCTCGAATTGCTCTTTCTGGTTGTTTTGGGATTGCCTGGGTATGGATGGCCAGCGGAGCAGGGTTTCCGGATCTCATCATGCATGTCTAATACTGATGTCATTACAGGGCCATTCTGAGCGCCCCGATTTGGTACACGGCCAGACGGGTTGCCTCTGCTAAGATGGTTGGTGAGTACACACTGCGATGCCAGGTTTAATCGTTCCCACAGCGTCCGTCCAGTTTGATTGTAATTAACCCCACGTACCGCATTTATAGAAGCAAAAGCGGGCAGTAATGTTAAAATTTGGGGAAAAGACGTTGTGGCCACATGGAAAGTTCTCACAGCGCTCGCATTAGTACCGATCATGCTCACATTCTACACGGTATGAACGGGAATCGCACTATTGCGTCCGCTGTTTCCAAAGCGGAAATACTTACCCTTTCCATCGCTTTTTCCCACAGGCCTCCACGTACGCCATCACTCGCCTCGTTCTATCCCTCCCTCCGAAAGTGTGCCTCATCTACACCTCCATCGCCGCCATCGTCCTCCCCTCCCTGGCCTGGGCGACCATCCACTGCTATGATCACGGCGCCGACATCGCCAAATCACTACGCCCACTCTGGATGGCCGCCATCGCCGGCTCGCACGCGCAACCCCTTCGCGACCTCCGCCTCGAACTGCAGGAGTTCATTGCGCGCATCGTCAGCGAGCTCGGCGCCGAGATGTTTGGCGTCGGGTTCGAAGACTCGCGGATCGTCCGCGCTGAAGACGTTGAGTACTCCCTACGCATGGAACGATTGAGGCGGCTGAGGACGCTGAGCAATGAGAGTGGACGGTCCCGATCGGATTCTGGGGACGGGGCGGATTTCCGGTGGGAAGATGTCGACTCGCCGGATGACGTGGATGATGTGTTTGTCTTCGCGAAGAATGAAACGCCCGTCGGGAAGACGGACGGTGTACAGCCTACGTTGTCTGGTGATACCTCCAGAGCCAGACCGGCGAAGAGCAGCTCATAGCACGCCTTGTAGTTCAGACGGTATATAGTCTCCCCGCTGCGTGCTTTTACAAGTGTCATCGTAGAGCATCACGTTTCTTTTTGCATAGAAAGACATGAGGTTACGACTTCATCATTCGCTCATAATACAGTTTTACGGTTATGTACTTTCCATCGAACCAGAATGACTATGCTTATCCCTGTAACTAAATTGCACGATATTGTTGTGCGCACAAAGGCCGGCTCCTCTGCTACTAGTAATGAAATCAATGCAACCGATGTTTCCGATACGCAAACGTTCTCCCAGCTTTATTCGATCCCGCTCCCTGTATGGCCCGGTCGCCTACGCCACCCATCTCACTCACTCCCCGCTCCTGTTCTAGCGACGCACTAAAATAGGTATCCTCCGGTGCAAAGTATAAAGACATCCCTTGTTGTTCCAGATGTAAATGCTCATCACCTTCCTCTTCAATCATGTCGAGTTGGTCTTCCGGGTGGTATGCCGAGTCCACAAAGTACTCGCTGCCGCTGCCAGGGTCCATATAAGGATTGTAAGCGTCCGCGCGGTGCAGGTCATACGCATGGTCATCGAACCAAGGCCCGTTTCCAGGATTCTGGTGGTTGTCGTAGAGAGGATCTCCACCGTCCCACTCGGTGCCAACCTGCGAGTCCTTCATGCCCACAACCGAAGTGACGTTTGAGCCCATCGGGTATGCAGTTTCATCGTCGTACATAACCGCATCGGTGTGGTATGCCGGCAGAAACTCTTGTTCATCGTAGGAGTTCAGCAGTGAGGTGACGCCGACAGAATCTGAAATGCCATGAATATGCTCATCGTATCCACCAGAATGGCCAATCCCATCTGCAGTGCTGACGATGTGTGCGTCCAGGAACATGTTGACGTGCCCACTGTGTCTGTGCGGGCCGTGCGGATCGACCATATCATGATCAGTGTGGCCGCCTGGGTAGGTGTTTGCGCCGGAAGGCTTGCGATCAGATCTGCGACGAGATGGTTTGAAAAGACCAGAGACTAGGTCAGAAGCTGCTTTTCGTGAGGTTTTGCGCTTTGATGCTTGTGGCATGGAATCCAGTATGTGGTTTGAGCTCATGGGCCTTTTCGACTGTCAGAGCCAAGTTGTTAGTGTGGCTATCATCGGAGATGGAGTGATACTACTTACCTTCCGAACGTTAATCGAATGTTCTTTCGATGAATCGTCGAACAAGATGACGACATCGGTTTCACCAAAGCCTTCTTTGCGCTTTCCCTGGCCTTCCCCGGCGGACCTGGGAACAGCGACAGAATCTATTTTTTGTGAGTCACTCCGCAAGTGGTCGCTTCTATGCCCTGGCGAGAAGTATTTCTCTGCCAGTTTCTGGATCCGATCGATGTCAGCTCAGAGGACTTTGCCAAGAGAGCAGTTCGCCGAGAATACCTTCTTCCGTGGGTCGCTCTCGATGACGACTTCAACCTTATAAGCTGCGCAAAGGTTTAGCGCTGGTACGAGGAGGGAAGAACAGCCACCCTTACCTTGTGCTGGCCTCCGCTTCGGTGGTGACGGTGTCGTCTGCATGCACAATGTGAGTGGTTATATCTTTAAAAGTGGAAAATTCATGTCCTTACGTTTGCGACCCCAACTCCTGATTCCAACCCACAGTCGATCTCCACCGGCGAGGGCGGGTCTGGGTCTTCGGCGTGACTGACGAAAGAGGTCCCCGCGTCCACCTCCGTCATTGTTCTCTTCTGTGCATTGCTCGTCTACGGCCTCCGTGGTCAGCCTATGGATCACGAAAAGCCTTTCGAACAATGAGAGGATACCTCTTTCGGTCGCTTCGCGAGAGCAGCAGGTTGCTGTTGAAAGTAGTCAGAGATCATAACTCCAGTTTCTACCGCAGGTTTGCGCGGGGCATGTGCCAGACGAGTAGGGTGATCCGCCAAAAATTCCGCTTCGTCGAAAGCGAGGTTCCCAACTTTCCCGGCATGTAAATCATTAAAGGAGCACCGGCAAACATTGGTAAGAATCGTCTCACCTCTCCCCAGGTGTACTTTCTCAGATCGAACTCCTTTGTTGAACATGCCCAGCCGTCTCTGCGAGTCGTTCGCTTTTCTCTGTGCATGTACAAGTCAGCGCCTGCTTCAGACGTTTCATCATAGTATCCTCCACATACCGTAAGCCTGCCTCTGGTCACTTGATCCGAGTGAAAAGTCTAGAGCCATCGCCGGTCAGTAAATATGAACGCCAGTAAGTAGTTCAGGGTATATCGAAACATACCTCCATCACTTTGGTCGCCAGAGCATTTCCTTTCTTTCTATCCGCCTTTCCAACCTTCTCGCCTCTGGCCGCCTTCGTTTCTTTGATGGTCTTCTTAGTCGACTTCTTCAAAACTTTGAACGCATCGTTTTCACTGGAGATGTTACTTGTCGTCTCCGAACCGAACTTCCGCTCCAACTTCTGCGGAATCTTTCCCGTGATTTTGTTCTTGCTCGGTTTCTGATTTACTGATGACTCGAGAGGATCATCAATCACCGTCGAGCTTGGTTTTCCACGTTCTAATCCCTTTGATAGACGCTTTGCCTTGTTCCGCTCTTCAGCTGGAACCAGCGCCAAGGGCTCGCGACGCGGCGAAGCAGGTACGGGTTGCGGTTGTGCAATCTCTACATCCTCTGGGGGCAATTCATGTATTGGAATCGGCTCTTCAACGTGTTCTAAATGCGCCGACTCCATCGTTTCCTGCTCCAGCCTCTCCATTTGCTCCACTTGCAGTTGCTTCTTCGCCCGAAGATTGCTGGGGCGTAAGGGTGAAATTCTAGATGAATACGGCGAAGATGATGATTTCGTTGCCTTCCGGCCTTTCCTGGTTTTGCTGGACCATACGCAGCGTTTCAGCGCTGAGAAATTCCACGCTGGTCGGGAAAACGGGCTGCCATGACTGACCTCACGCTACTTAGAATCGACCCATCTTTTCCTTTCATCGCATGCACTTTCTTCGATTTCCCAGCAGTCGGACATGCAGCCTCGAGCTCCAGGGACGGTATTGTTGCCGGTCGGTCCGGCGGACGCGGTTTCACCAGGTCACTCTGCTGCCTTACATAGTCCAAGATGAAGGATAGATGCTCTTGTTTGTCCACTTGTATACGCGCAACATTGGCTTTCGAAAGCGGTTGCACCTGATGGGACTCGGGTTTAGCAGGTCTACATCGCATACACCCAGGAACCCTCACTGCCTACCTTGTGGGTATCACGATGCCCACCATCCTGAGGTTCCATGTTTGAAGTTCCGCGCTTTGGACTGGATATTCAGTGCGGAGTCCCGTTGCTTGGAAGACGATGATGCAACGTGGACCGCCCAACTACTCGCTCACTGTATTTGAAGCTATTGAGCAATGTTGGCAGTCCCTTGTGATGCAGCTTGTGATGAAGCGTGGGAAAAACGCGAGTTCAACGGTCATCGCGCGGACGTCACAGGCATCACAGGTTCGTCTCACTACATATACAGTACTTTCCCATGCCGAATAGGAAAACACCATAATAGAGATACTGTACATCAGAGTACCTTAGATCCGCAGAGGCCTGCTTCATTCGGTCAGGACTGTGGCATGCATACATAGAGGAGGATACATGCCAGAGTCTTTCCCTGAGAGGTCTACGAAAGGGACTGGCGAGATGGGTTCAAACAGCAAGTGACATACCTGAGGTAGTCGCGGGACAACTGGGCATTGGCTCGCAAACACCTCAGGCCGGTCATGTACTGTCTCCGTGGGGCCTTTTCCACATGAGCGGATATTACGGCTAAGCTCATGATGATAATCAAGAAAGCGAGATGTAAGGGTTGCAGCGTTGTCATTGATTCAAACATCCACCTCGACAAACCCACTGCCGCCGCCGCCGTGCGATCCCAACTGCGAAAGTCAGTCTGCCACCTCTTTTGCGCCAACGCTCTTTTGAGAATGCCTATTCCCGCTTCAATTCTGCACCCAACAAACTCACCAGCGCGATGGATAACCCTATTTGCCCTGGAACGGCCGAGACCTCCCGAGATCTTTCCTTCACTTGTTGTAAGCTTGGCATAGATTGATTTTCTCATTGTTTTCATCGATTTGAGTGCGTGGTGTACCGAGAACCTCTGTTACCATCCCTCGACATCAACACCAATTGCAATGCCCTGGTTCCCTGAGAATGGTGATCTAATAGACAGCATTGAGATTGCCAACCTGACCCCTTGGTCCAGAGTGATAGATCGTTAGGCAATACTTCGTGGTAGTCTTCATGACCACATACAGGTGGTAACGACGTCTTTTGTTGTTGTCAGCTGCGAGATGACTGTCAACTTCGTCATTTTCCATGGTCTGCATTTGAAGTGAATAATAGGTATGAACCGGCCGGGGGGCGTGACTAGAAATGGGTAACTCGTGCTAAATGTGGGTAGCTCACCTCCAGAATAAGACTTTTTTACAGCCGAAGTGAACCATTTGATCAACAGACCTAACCCTTTTGCCTTCGGTGAGTCGGCCTTACCCGGCCTCCTACAATCAGGGACTACCCGCTCCGCTCGGCAACTGTCTAACTAGTTTAACCCTAACCCGAGTTACTCGCATTTAGCAACGAGTTACCCACTTCTAGTCAATCCCCTGGCCGGGCTGGGACTGACACACCACCTGGATTAGTGATGTGAGTTGTTGGACTGTATAGTATATACAGCCTTTGGAACTGGAAAGTAGCATCCATCGTCGGCGGGTCCATCTGATCATTGATGTCTGCATCTGGTGTCATGAGGCTTGAGTGTGCGCGTTGGGATGATTCCAGTTTGGAAGGACGAATCCAGTGATTGAGAACATTCTCGATTCCTTGCCTACAACCCGGGACATAAACCGGAGGCTCCTCGTTAAGGGTCAGCAATAAGTGCAATAAGTGTGGGCTAAGTAGTAGGTGTAGTTCTTTGCGGGTTCTTTGCGGCACGGTGTGTCATGCTGACTCGGCAACACGCGCATTATGCATACGTATAGCACTGCCTCTGCTCGGGTCTTCCCTTCTGGGTAATATCCGCACGCATACATACAGCACAGTACTCAATAGAGGGTGGACTGAGGACTCCCTTTCCCACCGTGACCGGCAAAAGCTGGGCCCAACTTGCCTTTGTGCAAGCAAAGCTGCGACAGTCAAGGCGCGCGGGCAAAGTAGAAACCGGACGACGGCTCCGGGAGTTGTCTAGAACGAGCATAGACCCCCTTGAAGACAAGGTTAAGGTTGAGTGTAGGCCTATCTAAAGCACGGACTGCTGCCTTTGTGTACCGCCGGACAACAGTTCGTTCGAACCGTCGAAGCCACGGGGCGAGAGGTATGTGGATATCTTCCGCGCCGCTGGCCAGTGCTTATATGCACTGGGGATGCCGAGGCGCATTCTTATACTCTACGACCAGCGACACTAATTCTCGAGTTGTACTCGTCCTTTCGCGTAGCAGCCGTTCGCAATGTCAGTCAGTCCGGACAACACCGTCCTGAAGAGTGGGCTGGACCGTGGGCTCGCGAGGGTGCAAGCCTTGTTTCTACGATGTCGCGCATTGCTGTTTCCAGACGCCCAGTCGCGATTTTTAGCGCCTTCCAAGCATAAGCGGAAAATTTTCGTCAACATACCTATACCTCCGGAGGAAGTTCATTGCGCGTCTCCGACGGACTTTACGACCCACTTCCAGGGCAATGAGATTCGTTCCGCAAAATATACTCCGTTGACGTTTATTCCCAGAAATTTGTTGGAGCAGTTCAGAAGACTGGCCAACGTGTAAGTGCGTCTAGGAGCTCATCCTCTGATACGTCTTGCTCAATATCTCTTCTAATTCTTCCCCTACCACAGGTACTTCCTCTTGATGGTCATCATGCAAGCCATGCCGCAGTTTTCCATCGCATCACCGATCCTGGCGGCGATGCCTCTTATTGTAATCATGGGGATCACGGGGATCAAAGACGGCTTCGAAGACTGGAAGCGGCATCAATCCGACAACGAGATCAACAATCTAAAAACGCTGACGCTCGCAAACTGGCAAAACGTCCACTCGATCCACGACAAGGCAGGATGGTTGGACAGATTTCGCAGCCGCAGTTGTAAGTGGTGGCCATTCCGTGCGTCTCCGTCTCGCAAAATCGAGCCCGACCGTAAGATCGAGACGCCTGATACCGGTGGCTTTTATGATACAGATGATACTTCCCAAACAAGTAAAGATCCCCGTATTTTGGCAAAACTAGAATCATCGAGAGCTTCCACTCAGACCAGTCTCGATTCAGTAGTGCAGAAACAACAGGACGTAGGCGTACTGCCAACCGCGGACATAGTGAACGTTGCCGAAGACGGATGGGCAAAGACTGCGTGGCGAAACCTGAAAGTGGGGGATTTTGTGATGTTGAAATCCGACGACCGAGTGCCAGCCGACATCCTCATCCTGTCCACCAGCGATTTCAACAACATCAGCTTCGTAGAGACGAAGAGCCTAGATGGTGAAACGAACCTCAAATGCTGCGAGGCGCTGAAAGGACTCCCACGGATGAACACCGCCGAAGAATGCCGGAATTTCAAAACGATCATAGAGTCGGAGCCACCAACGCTGAACCTCTATTCATTCAGCGGAACCTTGCTTTGGCGGCGGAAGGACGCGAGCGGCTTGAAACCGGACGACCAGCACTACCTCCCGATCAACATTCAAAACGTCCTACTGCGTGGTTCGATTCTCCGCAACACCGAATGGATTATCGGAATGGTGTTATTCACTGGAAAAGACTCCAAAGTGGTTCTGAACGCCGGCCTCACTCCATCGAAGCGGTCCCTCATCGAAAAGCAGATGAACCCGCAGGTCGCGCTCAACTTCCTGCTGTTGATTGTCATGTGCATCATCATTGCGGTCATGGATAGCAATTACGCGTCAAAGTGGTCAAGTACTGTCAGTAAGGAAATCCCGTGGGTACTCACGAAGAAACATGCCGCAACGGCACTGTATACGTTCTTTACTAGCATGATCATGCTGCAGAATGTTGTGCCGATCTCGCTGTACATTACCATCGAGGGTGTGAAGACCCTTCAGGTACGTCTCACTCCTATCCTATGTGACATGTGACGGATGTGACAACGACTGAGACACTGACGGAATGTCCTTTCATAGGCGTATTTCATCCACAGCGACGTTGACATGTACCACGAGGAAATCGACAAGCCCTGCGTACCCCGAGCATGGAACCTGTCCGACGATCTCGGTCAGATCGAGTACATCTTCTCCGACAAAACGGGCACGCTAACGCAGAACAAGATGGAGTATATCCGCTGCAGTATAGCGGGAACCGTTTATGGAGAAGGGTACACGGACGTAACAGCCGACAACGAGGGAATCGATCTCAAAACGCGCGCAGAGCGGACGGTGGAGATGGGAGTGCAGATGAAGGCGAATTTAAAGAAAGTCTGGGACAACCCGTTCCTGTCGGAGGAGCTCACTTTTCTGGACAAACAGATATGCCAGGATTTTCTGGAAGATCCCGAGAAGCGAAACAACATTGAGATGTTTTTTACACTTCTTGCCGTGTGCCACACCGTTCTGTCGCCGAAGGTTCCGATCGATCTTGCCAACCCGCATTCTGTCATCTATAACGCTCAATCGCCTGATGAGCAGGCGCTGGTTGCCGGCGCGAAGGACTTCGGGATCGTGTACCAATCGCGCACGCAGGACAGCATCACAATCTTGGTACATGGCAAGCCATTCACATTTAAAGTCCTGAACGTGATTGAGTTCACGTCAACGCGGAAACGGATGTCCGTCATTGTACAGGCCGTCGAGGAGCCACACACCATCTACCTATTCAGCAAAGGCGCCGACAGCGTGATATACGAACGGCTAGCCCCCGGCCAAATCGCCGTCGAAAAGACAACATTAGGCCATCTAGAAACCTTCGCAAACGAAGGTCTCCGCACCCTCGTCCTTGCCTACCGCATCCTATCCCCCGCCGAATTCAGCGCATGGAACGCCCGCTGGCAACAAGCCGCCTGCGCCCTGCACAACCGCGACACGGAGCTCGAAAACGTCGCCGAGCTCATCGAGGTCAACCTTACCCTCATCGGTGCCACCGCCATCGAGGACAAGCTCCAAGACGACGTCCCCGAGTGCGTATCCCTCCTCCGACAAGCGGGTATTAAGCTCTGGGTGCTCACGGGCGATAAGCTCGAGACAGCCATCAACATCTCCTTCGCAGCCAATTTGTTGTCCGAGGACCAAACGTTGCTCGTCCTCCGCGCCCACTCCGCCTCAACGATCATGCAGCAATTACGCGAGACGTATGCGGAATTACAGGCGGGGAAACATGAGGTTGCGATGATTATCGATGGGGAGTCGTTACGGCATGCATTGGCGAGCGATGAGGCGAGGGCGCTGTTGTTGGAGGTGGGGACGCGGTGTGTGACGGTGGTGTGTTGTCGGGTTAGTCCGAAGCAGAAGGCGGAGGTTGTGAGGTTGGTGAAGCATGGGAAGAGGGCGATGTGTGCGGCTATTGGGGATGGGGCGAATGATGTCAGGTGGGTAGGGTTTCGCGCGTGTCGGGATCAAGTAGCAAAACGTCTCATGTTTCCTTGTCGATGTCATCTAGTATGATCCAGGAAGCCAACATCGGCATCGGCATTTCCGGGCTGGAAGGGCTGCAGGCTGTGCTTGCCGCCGATTACGCGTTTGGCCAATTCAGGTTCCTGTCAAAACTTGTGTTGGTTCATGGGAGATGGAGTTACTATCGCACTTCGGTATGTATTCTGTTTGATGGGCTTTCAAGAAGAATGAACCCTCGCTGAATTCCTATTTTACAGGAAATGATCTTTAACTTCTTCTACAAGAACATGACATGGGTGTTTGCACTGTTCTGGTATCAGATCTTTTGCGGGTAAGCATACGCGTTCTCAAAAGTATTGCGCAATCTCAAGTGCTAACGTGAAAGATCGGCCCATCCAGCTTCAGCGGCCGCATTCTCTATGATTATACATATCTGATGTTCTTCAACCTGATTTTCACGTCGCTTCCTTGCATGGTACTTGGTAAGCAGCCCTTCGGTTGGCAGTCTCCGTTCCCGTCGACAGAGCCTCATCCTCCTCGGCAGGTATCTTCGACCAAGACGTCGACGCCAAAAACGCCGTCTCCATCCCACCCCTCTACGCCCCCGGAATCAAACGCACGCTCTTCACCATCAAACGCTTCGTCTTCACCGTCATCTCCGCACTATACCAGTCCGCCGTCTGCTTCTTCATCCCCTACATCGCGATGCCCCCAGAATGGAGCACGCTGCAGCTTGGCTCGCTGGTCGCGCTGTGTGTGATCGTGACCGTCAACCTCGGAGTCGTGTGCTCCGTGAAACACTGGACGTGGATCGTGTTTGCGGTGGTCATATTGAGTATCGGCAGTTTCGTTGTTTATGTCCCGATATACGCCGTGTTTCCGAAGAGTCAGGCTGCGGGGACATTACTCGGCACGTATGGGAACCCGGCATTCTGGGCTTGTCTGTTCCTGACCGTCGTGGTTTCGCTTGGACCGCGGTTCGCGTGCGGAGCGTACCAGAGTATGAAGGCGCATCCGTCTGACCTGCAGATCATCCGTGAGCGGCAGAACCAGCAACTGGGCGTGCCACCGCGGGTCGTCAGAGTCGGCAAGAACGAAGAGGTGATGCTTGTGGAAGAGAACCTCGTCGGACGGAGAGTGTCGTTGATGAAATCAAAGAGTTCGCTCTCTCTGGCAATAGCGGATTCTGCTATTGCGAGTCCAACGGGGAAACCTACATCCCCGCATGGGCCGCAATCACCAGTGCTCAGTAAGGTGCTAAGTACAACGTTCTCCATGCATTCCAAACCACCGACGGAGATCCTTCTGGAAGAGCCGGAAGGCGAGCAGACCGCCGAATGGGGGGAACAAATGCAGCGGTCAAAATCGGACACGTACGTCCCGCAACAAAACAGCTTCACGGCATCAACGGTCGTGCAACCACATGTCCCCGGTGCCCGACCCGCTCGCCCAATATCGTCGGAAGCGAAAGGCTCAACCGTGCATTTCGCACCGTCCACCTACAAGTCCAGTGAAGGCTTCGACACGATCGAAGACGGCGACTCGGCAGCCCCGCACCCCGTGCGTACCAACCGCTTCAGCAACCGCTCCGCACCCGTGCAGCGGCTCACCCTCAATACCACCAGCCATACCCTCCTACCCGGCGCCGGCGGTGGAGTGTCACCATACACGCCGGTCCTGACAGGCCGCACATCCCTCCACTTCCTCGACTCTGGGGCCGTGTCTACCAACACGGGTTTCGCGTTTGCGTTTGATGACCATCCGCATGCGTCCATGATGCATACGCGGTCGCCGTCGGTTGATGCCCGGGAGGACGGTGCGAGTAGCTCGACAGGGAGTCTGCCGAGGGTGCCGAGGCATGCAAGTATGGATGAACTGAGGACGAAGCCGAAAGGGTTCAGATGAGGGACGTCGCGAGTGTTGGATCCTACAAGCCGGACGATACCGAGACAGATAGACTTCCGGTTCCCCCTTCCGCCTGTCGGCTGCATCTTCCGACAAATTACCTGCCGCTTTTGCGTCCCCACTGTCTCGTAAAAACCCCCGCTCCAACAACACACCAACAACACACCAAACCACGCCCGCAACCAACCAATTTTGTGCTTCCATTTACATCATCTGTGTGCCATCTACGCGTGTCAGCGTCACCAGTCTTTCTGTATCTCTTTTTTTGAATACCTCGTACTGTACTGTATGTAGAAATTGTTTTTGTTCAACACGCCGCTTTAAGTTTTCGCTCTGGAGATATTCGTGCGTCGGAGGGAGAAGCACGCGTGCGTCACCGCCTGATGAGTCAAACGCGCCCCCCACACGGCGTCACATGCAAAGAGCGAGCGGAGGGGCTCTCCGGTAATTATCCAACGCTCTCGTAGAGTCATAACGTCAACGTCAGGTCCTTCAGGTTCCTCTGTGCCCCCACGACCTTGCTTTCTCACAGCACAGCAAACACAGATCCCGCAACAAACTCAATACCCTTACGACTAACTGCACCCAGCCGGGCGATACCCCCACTACGACCACCCACTTCGATGCCCGGCAAGTTCACCCAGGTCTTGCTCGACCAGGTCAAGAGGGCTTCCTTGCAACCACAGACTCCCGTGTCCCTCAAGCAGTTTGTCGAGTTTGGTATGTTTCGAGCAGGGATGAAGAAGTTCCCATTTTCCACGAGCGGGAATATCGAGGGGAGGTGGTCGCCACCGAAGCGAGAAGTGCTTGAGGGGTTCCGAGCGGCGCCGTGGCGCCATGCGAGCCATGCGAGCCGCGAGCGAAGCGAGCGTGGATGTTGTACTGCAACGAGCGAAGCGAGGTGCAGGGTTGGTTCGGTCTGGGAGACCGATAGGTCGACCAGCGAGAACGCTTTCTGGTTTGCGATGGGAGCCCGAGCGATAGCGAGCGCGACCATCGCAAACGCCTTCGCGAGCGACAGCGAGCGTTACATCTTCGTGAGCGAAGCGAGCTGCGACTGAAGGGAGCGATCTGGTTCTGTTCAAGGCAACCTCGCTGCGCGAGTTTTCAATGATCTCATTGACGGTTGATGGTTGATGGTTGTTGATGAAGGGATGATGGTTGATGGCTTAATGGCTGATGGTTGACGGTCGTCCTGGAGAAGGATCACCAGCATCAAGGCGAAGAAGGACGCGCTCTAACCTTCCTCCATGGTTCTCACAGGTCACCGGCCATCGCCCGTCACAATCTTACGGGGCAATCAGTTCGTGCACCATGAGTTACCCGTACGATTAGCCCACCGTGTGGTCGAACTAGAAACGTTACCGCATGGTCTTTCCGATATGCCCAGCATAAGACGCGTCAAGGACTGGTACACCCAAAGTTTCGAGGACTTGGCCAACCTGCCTACACCAGACAAGTATGGAGTGCCTCTGAAAGCACTTCAAGCGATGAAAACTTCCGATGGAGGAACACAGCAGAAAGGTATGTATGGGAATGGATGACACGGAAGTCGCGGGGCCCTCTATCAAGACTTTAACATTTGATGGCTTCATTCCCACAAGGGCTCAAGTACTTCAACCCGAGTACGAATGGAAAGGATATGCCAGAGCTTGAGGCATGGAACGCGGACTTTATAAAATGCATAGAAGCGATAAAGCGGCGACATGACCCAACTGTGAAAACCATAGGTAACGATTCTGCACTTCCCGCCAGCAGTCTATACTCCAAAGCCTGACATCCTATACGACTCTTCTTTCCACAGCCGAAGGTGTATTGGAGTTGAAGCAACACTGGGCGCGTGCAAACTCACCGATGGCCAAAAACACCTCCGGATCTCCCCTCCCACTGCCCATCGCCATCCAATCCTTCCTCGACCGTTTCTACATGTCCCGAATAGGCATCCGCATGCTCATCGGACAAACCGTAACCCTCTACCGGTCCTCGAAAGAACGAAAAGAACAAGACGACTACGTAGGCATCATCTGCACGAAAACAAACCTCGGCAAGATCGCCTGGGAAGCCGCACAGGATGCCCGGACGATATGCCAGGACTACTACGGGTGCTGGGGCGGGCCTGAGATCAAGCTGGTCGGAAAAACGGACGTTGAGTTTATGTATGTGCCCTCGCACCTGCACCACATGCTGTTTGAGCTGTTGAAGAACTCGTTGAGGGCGGTGGTGGAGACGTATGGCGTGGATGCGGACTCGTGGCCGGAGATCAAAATTGTGGTGGCGGAGGGGAAGGAGGATATTACGATTAAGATTAGTGATGAGGGTGGGGGCATTCCGAGGAGTGGGATGCCGCTGATTTGGACGTATATGTATACTACGGCGGAAAATCCGCTGCTCGATACGGACGGCGGAGGAGATTTCAGAGCACCGTTAGCAGGGTAAGTTTCGACATTTTCCGTCAGATTTATTCCACCCACCAATGCCGCACATTTCTCCAGATACGGATACGGCCTCCCCATCACGCGGTTATACGCCCGCTACTTTGGCGGAGACCTAAGACTGACCAGCATGGAGGGCTACGGGACGGACGCATACCTACATCTCTCGCGTCTCAGCGACAGTGAAGAGCCTCTACAGTGAGACATTACCTTAGATGTCCCCTTTCCCACGACCGAGGTCCGTGGGTGAGGGTACGCTGGGACAAGTGTTTTTCTGCGCTTTGACCTCGCCCATCCGTTCCTTTCTTGATGTTTATGCTCTTGGATCCCCTTCTTGATGCATATTTCCTGTACATTTGCATTGACATATACCATATCGCAAACCCCAGTCTGTGGTCTTTGAAATTTGTTCAACGGGCTCTGGTTCTCTTGGCTCTCTTACGCTTGGTGGTCCGAATCCTGTCTGCAACCTCCGTCAAAAAGTCATCCTCATCGCGTCGATGAACATGTCTCAAACAGCAGCAATCAACCACAGCCAAACCAGCTCAGAGCCGCACACATGCATGATAAGATAGGTTGTATAAACCAAATCATGAGAATAACAATATACAAGTACAAAAGGCCGAGAGGGAAAGTGGGATGGCCGAGGAGAAAGGAGGGATATATAAGGGCGAAGTAGGGACTAGTTGCCCTGGAGGAAGTAGTCACGGGCAAGTAGGGAGAGGAGAGAGTGAAAAGAAGGTAACTATTCGTCCTCGCCGATCTTGGGAGCGAGGTAGTATCTAGGTGGCAAGGGGAAAGTAAGCGATGAGTTAGAGATCGGAAAACAATTGCATATGAGTGTACCGATGGAATGCAACCTCGACCCAAATCCCTTCGATTCCAAAAACTCACCTTATGTACCCGACCTCGCTAACCTTGTACTCAACAAGCAGCGGTACCTCCGGGCTAAGGTTGAGGCTGACGGTATCCGACAAGGGGGTCGCTTTTGTGAAGTTGGTGAGGTACTTGAGGGAGAAGGTCAGCGAGACCGACTGGTTTAGCTCAATGGTCGTCGTGGCTGCGTCGTCGTCGACCGAGGCGCCTTGCTTGACGCGGACAGAGCCGGACCCGATTTCGCCTGCTGCGGAGAATTTCACGCCTTCCTTGTCGACTTCGATTGTGACTGTGCGAGGAGGGCATTTGCGGTGAATGATTGGGACGGTGGGGACCGAGAATTATAGCGAAAGACCAACGATTTCAAAACTTACCAGACTCGCTCAGGACAAAGAGATCTCGGCAAATGCGTTGGAACTCGGCGGAAGACATCTTTACAACAGCGTCGTACGCAGTGTCGGGGATACCCAAGTGCTCGGAATCAATGTCCATCAACTTGAGGTCGTACTCGCTGACCCTGTCGACGTCTGGTAAATGGGAAGAGTGTGAGGTGATCAGTCGTTGAATAACCAATAACAGAAGACAAAACTGATCGCCCTCGGTTTGCTCGAACTCCGTCACACTCTTCCAAAACTTACTAGGGCTCTCAAACACCAACTGAAGCAAATCTCCATTCTCCTCGCTCTTGATAGTCAACGTATCATCATTTCCAGCACTCCTCAAAACCTTGGACAAGCTCGCAAGCGAGATCCCCAGGGAGTGGTTCCTGTCACACCGAAAGTGTTCGAACCCTTGCGCACGGAGCATGAGGGCGACGAGAGCTACGTGGGAGTTGTCCATGGCTTGTAGGGCGATCCCCGAGTCGTTGCAGTCGAAGTTTGCATCGGTGACGAGTTCCTTGATGGCATCGAGGAGCTTCTTGAGGATGGATGCGTGGGAGAGGCGGGCTTCGAGCATGTTTGGTTTGCTGTGTTGGTTTGCTGTGTGGGGGTTTGGTTTCGGGAGTGATGTGTGGGTGACCCTGGGTGCGTAATCGCTTTGGCTGTTAGCGTTAGCTGATGGAGGACGATGGACGGTGGGGGGGCAACCTTTTTATGCAGCGGGAGGGGGAAGGGAGTGTGAAAGAAGGCGAAAATCCGGACAAGGGAGGGAAGCCCAGATGTCCGATTGCTGAAATGCCAGCGGGTTGAACGCCGTCGGGGTGACTTTTGGAGGCAGGTGGCGCGGCATTCCATTTCGGCTCGCCCTGACTCACAAATGTCCGAATTCCTTTGTCCGAAACGCGTTCGTCACGCGTCTCAGAGAAAACTCCGTCGGTTGCATGGAGGGAGGTTCGACGGTTATTGACAGGCAGATAGCGGCCCGCCTTCTTACGGCTTACGGTTTTCGGGCTTTTCCTTTTCAATGATGCTAGTCCTGAAGACACCGTCTGTAATTCCAACCCTTCCTGCCCTGTCGCAATTAAAACCTTCAAAGTCGAGCCACACACCGTCAAAGATCACCGCCAAGCCGATGGTCCATACTACCCGACTCGCAGACCTCCTTTCCGACAATTCTTCAGACGATGAGGATGAGGGCAGTTTCAGAGATGTTTCGGGGTCAAAACGCCATGATGGGGCGGCTATGGCTGCCGAAGATATGGGCTTGAATTTGGACGACGATCTGGAGACGGCGATTTTCAATGATGCAAAGACCGTCGAGGTGGGAGACTCATGTGCCCACTCCCGTTACCGGTCGTATCATTGACGCTCAATTTTGGATCCATATAGTTATTGCCCAAAAGATCTTACCAAACTGGGAAGCGGAAAGCAGGGGAGATCAAGCGGAAGGTCTGGTTGGGAGGGGAATCATATTCCAGACCAGAACATGGAAAGATCTGATGCGAATCCGTTCATCCAGATTCCTCTGCCATCGCAAGCAGCTTCCAGCACAAACCAGCCTCAAGCCGAGTGGAAGCTCATCCAGCGGATCGCCGAGCTCGAGAAGCAAAACTCGCAGCTCTTGGCGAGCATGCAGAGTAAATCCGAGGAACTGAAAGCATTGCGGCAGGAAGCGCTTGGTATGGCACCGAAGCTTCCCGATGTTTGTCACAGTTGGTTCGAGATTCTCACAAACATTACGCTCAGAACAGAATGCTGGTTCCTTGGGCGAGTTGCTGTCTGATGGGTCAGGCAGAATCGGGGCACCCCAGGCCAAGATCATCGAATTGGCGAAAAAGGTTGGTTGTTGACATTGAGAGAATCGGCAATATTGGCTTTGATTGGGCTCTAAGGACCTTTTGTGCCCGTAGGCTCGCCGCCTGACAATTGCAGTGGAAAAAGAGCGAAGTTTGAACGCCACTCTTTCAAGCAAACTGCATGTACGCTAGATGAGAATACACATTCGAAGAATCAAGTGATCATTGGAACTCAGTACTACATTATTGAACGCAGGAGCTACAAACACGGCAAGCAAATACATCACGCACGAAAACGGAGGCAGAGTCGATAGCGGAAAGCGCCGCCCAAGCAGCAAATGCAGAATTAAAGAGCGTGAAAGAGAAGTTGGGACAGGTATGTCCCATGCCGCCGCCTTGGAGTTGTAGTTCTCAGGAAAGCGAGCTCATATTCTGCGGTTTCCCCTATAGATCAACCGCAAGTATGAGGATGAGCGCATACAGAACCAAAATCTCAAGGTCGAAATGCGCCAGATGCGGAGAGCCTTAGTCAAAGAAATCGGTGATGATGTGTCCCCAGACAAGGTGTGTAATGCGCCATAGTGTTCATTGAATTCTTTGCAAACTCGGCGCATGGATCACTAATCCACCGCATCTTCTCATTGCCTCGTATATCCCTGCGATAGTAGATCTTCGACCAGGGGTCTGGCTGGAAAGGTCGAGCGCAACAGATCATCACCCTGAAGGTACCTATATATCGTTTGCCAAGTCCCATCCTTTCACCTGCCCAACATAACCCAAACACCACATTCCTTGAAGGCGCGAATCCAAGACCTGACCCGCCAAAACGAGGCCCAACGGACACGACAAAAAGAGAAGCCTACCGAAACCAGGACCGACACCGCAGGAGACGACGCAGCCTTCGACCGAAACAACTCAGAGGCGCGCATCGGGGTAGATCCGTTCGACGAAAGCCATCGCACGTCTATACGCCGGATTGAAAGTGATCGGAAACATGCGTTGAATAAAATGACTGTTGAATTGGAGGTACTAGGTTCCTTTTTTTTACGAGGTTCGGTCGTGCCCACGAGGAAACGGGCATCCGTGCTCATGATTTGGATATTCTCGTCCGACACATAGGCACTCCGAAAAGAGCACGTAGAGGTGCGTCGGAAGCACGACGCTGTCCTGGCCAGGAATCGGTATGACCTTCCCATCCGTTTCTCACGTCGAATGCAGTGCCACCCTTCCTCATGCGCCATATCACATCAGCTTACTCGAAAAGGACATGCAAGACCTGAAACAAAAGCTCATCACCGTCGTGCAAAAGGGCGGGGCGGACGATAAGCTTGTTCAGGCTTTGCAGAATGAGGTGGCGAAGTTGAAGGGCAAGGTCTGTTTTCTTCTGCGCCTTCAGATGAAAAGCAGCGGCTCGAACTTATGTTTACTTACCGGCAATAGCTACATGTGATGCATGCGCGGGCTATGGAGGCGCAGGACGAGAGTGGTCATGCTTCTCCGCGGTCAAGGACTAGCTCTAATCAGGTGAGGCAAAGAGAAAAAAGACAGATGCACATCCTAGTTCTCTTCCCCTGATACCTTCGGATGTCCGCATTGGCTTCCTCCGTCCAGCATCACCTACCAGACAATCGGCTTAACAGCATCCCATCACGACCATGCTCAAATCACGCACCAAGTCCACCGGCGCGATCAGTGTCTCTCTCGGGTCCTGGTAAATCCCATGATATTCTTCCTTTGTCCGTCCTGAACGATATCTCACGCATGCAAACACAACGTTATCCGCCAGCCAACGACGTGCAAACAATGGGTCTCCAATCCCAACTCCGATCCCTCGCGGTCGAAAACCAACGCTTGAAAGAGCTGCGGCAGGTCCTGGAAGCCGATTTGCAGGCGGCGGATCAGAAGACCCTGGCATTGGGTGCGTAGATCATATGTGATTCTGCTGCCTGTTCCAACTTGAGTATTATGGACTGATGATATCCTGTTTGGTTCACTTGCGTGATAGCGACGGACCTGAAACGCGAACGCCAGCGGGTTAGTAAGATCCCCGTCGCCTCACATGGAGCTGTTCAGTCTAATGGCGGAGGCGGGGCGAATGCGGATGAGAGCAAGGTAAGGTCAAACCTATTTGGCGACGAGCGAGGTTGGGTTTGTAGATTCTTCATGATGGGGTTTCTGACGTGTACTTCGCGCATGGAATCACAACAACACCAGATTGGAAGACTAGAATCCGACATTGAGTTACTGGTGGACGAACAAGAAGCTTTGAAAAGTAAGCTTGGGCGCAAACGTGCATCTTCAATGTCTTTCCTTCTGACAACCTGTCTTCCTTCTCCATTTGCCTTTCCCTTCCACACTCTCTGATCACATCTCCGTCTTATGCGATTCTCTTCATCCAGCTACCCTCAGAGACACTCTCGCACGCACGCAAAAGGAGATCGGCATCTTCAGCGACCTCCTCGCGCAGACGCGGGAAGCGTATCGGGTGGATCTGGAGAGAATTGTTAAACATGTTCAGCGATTGTCTACAACGACGAATGGGTGATGATTTACTTTTCTAGGGATGTGGAAGGAAAATGGATGAGGATGGTGTTTGATGTACATATTAGCCTCGGGCATGGATAATCGCATGTACAGCAACGAGCGTTTTTGAATGAATACTATTCTGCTAAATTGTGAGCTAGCTCAGGTTTCTCGAGTCGAGTAACGGGCAGGTGCTGGAAAATCGGCAGAAAATCGACAGATCTCGAAGAGTGTGCTGTCAAAGCCTCCATTTCCGAGTGCCCTCGTTAACTTCTCCGTGATCGCTCCTTCTTCCTGCAATCCTCTTCATCATTTCTTTTCGTCTCCTACTCTCAAAAGTGGATTGTATCGCTTCCTGTGGCGGTTCCGCATTTCACATATATGATGGTGGACAAAGCCCTGAAGAGTGCCCCGAAAAACCCGGTCTGTGGTAGCTAGCAACTGCAAGGACGCGGGGAAAGGGAAAGCAACCCAATGTATTCCGAATCGCAAGTCTACACGCTACATGAACACTACATAACGCCGAGTCGCTGCCATTCTACGCCGCCGTCGACTCGCCCCGTTCCCGCATATACGCGCAATTGAAATAGTACGCATCACCGAGCTTCAAAATGCTCTGCATCATGCATCAGCTCGAAAATTTGAGCTTATTTCTTCCAGGTTACTGACGATTTCGAACCATGCTCTGTCGTCTTGAGCCCCTGCTTCCCCGGCACGCTGAAGCGATCGCTCATCTAATGATTGCGATGGGAGAGTCTGTGAGATGGTAACCACCCGGATTTGGTGGCGTATAGTGGGAGATAACAGGCTACGTACCGTTTCTCGCCCAGTCGGTTAGATGGTCCAATTGCTCCTTAATGTCTTGCCGCCTCAAAGGTATCTTGCTCTGTTGGCATGTGATGAATATTTTGTTGTACAGCCTACCCTCCGAATCGGCACGCTGTTCCCACCTTTTGACAGTCGAATAAGAGGTTCCTGATCAACCCGGTCAGCGGCGTCAATATATCTAAATTTCGCAGAGGGAGCAGATCCAAAAGAGCCGTGAAAAAAGCATCTGCGATGCGATATCGTTGGACCGTCGATTAAGCGCGTTCAATGGGATTACGGACGTGCTCTAAATGGTCTTACCATTGGATAGGAAGGTCGCTTTGTTGTCCTTTGAAATGGCGAGGAGACTCAACACATGCAGCGAGGCGCATCGCACTTGCATATTCCGGACCGCCAGACACTCGAGGAGGATGTCGAACGCTCCTGAAGGATGCTTAGCACTGCGTTGCTTCCACGCCCGCAACACCAGAATGGCCTCTTACCATCGATGCGCATGAAGTTTACTTGTCCATCTCTATGATAAGTGTAAGCCCGAAAAAAGCCTAGCAAAGCCGCCAGTTTGGGATATGCCTTTGCCTTCGCGAAGCCATCCATGATGGAGGACAGAGCCGCTATGATATTCATCTGCGGTCGAATGGGATCTCAGCCTCAGTTCACATGAACCGCGTCATTATCAAAAACCCCACCTTCCACAGCACTCGTCTAGGCTCGCTCTGCATCACCGCTATCTTCAAAACCTCCACTGCCCCAAAGACTACTTCGGCGTCCATGTTCTCCCGCAGCACATTCAAGATCACATTGACACCTATCATGCCCCTGGCGCCTTCTCCAGCAGGCTCGAGTAACACTTTGGTTAATTCGCCCGAGTTGGCACTCATATTCCGCAAACACGTCAAGCACTCGAGCATAACCATCTCGTCAGTATCGTTCCGCAGCATGATCCGATACAAAGTTGAATGCAGGCTGAGAGTCACCGCAGCGGCTTTGACTTCCGGGGAACCTGCCAAGGCGTGTCGAAATACAGATATGATGGCAAAGAGTCCTTGATGCTGCTCAAATGTACTGGACTCATGCAGCAACTGCTGGGCTTTAGCTGCTAGCTTCTTCAGTATCCGGGCGGCAATGGCATGGTGTTTGACGAAATCGAAACAGCCCAGCAGGCATTGCAGAGATATACGAACCGATTCCAACAGCGGTGCGTCTTCGGCATCGTGTGCTTTAAGCAACAAAGGAATAAGATCGTTGCATAAAGCCGATCCGATGGGCAGGGAATCGCGTCCAGTCTCGCATGGTGTTGTGAGGATTTGCGTCATAGATAAATCGACGACCATGCTACAATGCAAGGCCAGGATCCGCGAGAGCAACTGACACGTTGCTCTTACTAGCGGAGATGTAGCGTCAGGTACGGGGCGATTTATTCTGCTCTGCAAGCCCTTCAAAGTTGTTAGGCCACCCGAGGTGCGAAACAAATCTTCCAATTGGGATGTCCGGGCGGCCGCATAGTCGTGAATCATGCTTGCACACAGAGTGAGACCCCAGAAGGCTTGCCGGTCCACCAATGGATTCCCCGATTCCGATAATACGCCATCCTTATTTGCTTCATATCCGCCGAGGATCTGTATGATGCAGGAGAAAATCGTGTCGGAGGCAACAAGTCGCCGCTTGATGCCCTCATCAGACTCGGCCTCGACCCACAGGATCTCCAGTATACTGGCATGCAGTGACGGAATCACCGGGCCAGAAATCCGCATACGGTGCATCCGTTTCAGATGATCGACGATGCAGCCATCAGCGATGGTGTCTTGGTCAGGGTGCTTGCCTGTAAGGGCGGCGACCATTCCGTCCCAGATATCACTACTGCGCAAGGTTTCGAGGCAGTACATCGTATCCAGCTTCATGACAAGCAAAAGAAGACTGAAGAGGGAATTCAGCACTACGGGTCTTCTTCGTAAACGGCCCTCAGAATCCTTGGAGAGGATGTTTGTGACTTTCGCAAAGAACTGATGATGATCGAGTAGTTTCATTGCGTCCCCAACAGGAGTATGAGCTGGTCCCGAGGCCTCTACATGCACGATTCCACGACTGAAAGAACAAGCAAGAAAACTTCCGATGAAATCCAAGCAGGCGGATGTATAATCATCCTCGACGATGTCCTGGTCAACCATTGTGAATGCTTTTTCCAGCATGTCCATGGCTTGAGCCATTTCAAGTACACCGTCAGGTGGTGCAAGAAGTAGTAGGTCGCCCGCAATACCCATCTTGAGACTGCGCACGGTAACATCATCGTCCGGATGTTCTCCCCAAAGCCATTGAAGCGAGTCCAGCGTTGGTATGTCGTCAGTGACCGTGCATTCCTTGAGCTGATGCAGCAACGTCCGAAGACACATGAGAGCTTTAGAATAGAGTTCGCATGCCCCAAAGCAGAGCGTTCCGGCTGATGCCGATCCATCTGATTTGGCAATATGTGCCACCTCAACGATCGTCTTGAAGCTTTCGGCAAGCATCCTCTGCGACTCAACCGCGTTTGAGGCAGCAACGCAGCTGCCAAACCAACTCAAGGCATCCAAAGCGCTCATATGATCTACGACCGAAGTGCTGTTGACTAGGTGATGTAGCGTTGATAGTAGCGTCGGTACGATCCCTGTCCGCGAGATCATGTCACGTACCACGGTGGGCGGCAGATTTTGAAAGAAGTGGCTTCCAATTGACAGGATTTCTCGTCGAAGAGAAGTTGAGATGTCAGACTCTAGTTCTTCGCTCGCGAGAGGTTGATCCGACCAGTTACACTCAGTTTGCAGCAGCAGCAAGAACAAACGCTCGAGTCCTGTGACAAATACTCCTTGCAGCGCAACGAGTGCCGTGGGGAATCTAATCATTCCCCTCAACGTAATGAGGACGTGCAGCAACAGGGTTGCATCCTCCAATGTTGCAGGCTGCTTGGTGATGATTTTGGCAAACACCTGCGCAAGGCTGTGGCCGTCCATTTGAGAGCCGTCCAAGTTGCATGATTCTCGAAGCGCTTGAAGTCCCCGATTGAAATCATCATGGCTCTTTGCGGCTTTGAGGATGTCAATTGCGAATGACTGATGCCATGCAAACAGGTTTCGCTCAGTTGCCACCAGCTTTCGTTCCGTGTGCGGCAGGGTGATCTTTGACCGATAATCTGATGAATGATAGTTGTCAAATACCAAGCCCCATAACCTGAGATGCTTCTGCCCTCATACCTTTCAGGCATGCTAACCAGATGCTTGCAGTCACCCCATTCAGCTCCAATGTTGACGTGGGGTAGTTGACAACTCCAACGATTTGATACGATCGTTTGATTGCGGGTAATAGATTGACGTCCAACGGCATCTCTGCCAGAATCACTTGAGAGAAGATACATGCCATCTCATAACGCAACCTAGCATCAGGATGGAAAACAAGCGAGATGAACAAATCCTGATCTTCCACCGACTTCCAGAGGGGCAGCACACCAGCTCGGTCGGCTTCAAACAGCTTGCGGAAAATGAAAATCATTGCTTGCATATCCACCGTGTCCAGCGGGGGATGAGCTTGCATATATTTTAAGAGGGCTGAGTGCACCTCCCTGTCGAGAGAATGCTGTCTCACTTTGTGGTCATGTATGCTCTCGGCAACCTCGTGCAGAGCTTGGCTCAGACCAACGCCGTCAGCACCAGACCTTCGCAAGTGTGAGAGAAGACGTTCCACAAGAGTAGCGGCCTCCGGATGCGATGTTTTCCGCGGCTCCCGTTCGAAGGTTTCGCTCAACGACAAAGGCAAAAGCAGGGCGTCGGCGACATCCGGGATTTCTTTGCGGGGAATGGATCGGCCATCGAGATATTCAATCAAGGCGCTTGCTGCCTGCTCTCTCAGTTTCCGGTTTCTGTGCAGCAAAGTGCGGAAGTTGCATCCGCGAGTGTCCCGATTCGAGGGCTTCACCTTGTCAACCACTTTATTGGATAGCTGGTCATTGTAATTGTACACCATTTGTAACCACGGGAACACGTTACGAAGAACTTTGCCATCGACGTGGTCGATGCCATTCTCGAGTATGTCAGAAGCCAGGCGCGACTCGGCGTTGGCGACATCGGGGCAGGCGAGACTGACAAGACCGAGGATAAGCTTCTCGCCTATCAACGTGTGAGCTTTTTCTGTGGTCGACGTTTGCAGATGCCCCTGAAGCTCATGAATGGTGACAGACCGCACCCAGCTCTGCTCGTGCGCCAATAGGTAACCATAAAGCTGATCGGCCTTTCCGAGATTGTTCGGCGCAAGTCCAAGGATAGTGCTGGGAACGGCGTTCGGGCCCGCTGTATTCAGGAAGCAATGGAGGATACTGGCCAGAAAGTGTCGTTCTTCCTGGAAGAAGTTCAATATCAAAGTCTACAATTTCACTCCAAACGCTAGTGCAGTGAGAGTCTAACCTTCAGTGCTGGCAACAACTCCGTGACCACATCCATAGCGAAACAAACGATCTGCTCTCTGCGGACTACTCCAAGAACTTGTGCATCGGACGAAGGAGTGCTTTGAATCGTTCCGAGGAGTTCGAGAATAAGACACTTGGCGATCTGAGCGGTCGACTCAACATCATGTCTGAAGCTCAACTGCAGTCTCACCGCAGGTAATAGGCCGTAGAGCAAGGGCAAGAGGAGAGTACCATGGTCAAACGTTCCCAGACAATGGATGAGCCTTATGAACATCCCACTGCAGGTTGTCGCGTATACATGGATTTGCTGGGGAACTTCGTTCGACTGCCCATCCACGTCCTCCAGAAAGCTTGAAGAATTTGGAGTGGCAGCGTCAACGGTATGGGAGGTTGTCAGCAGTCCTAGGCATTCGCGACTCCATTCAGTGACCAATCTCTGCAGGTAATTCATTGCATATGCGCCTGCGTCTTCCTTGACCGCTTCTACAAGCAGCTGAGCGAGTCTTAGAACAAGATGACATTCCACTCGGAATCGATAGCGCAAGGCTTACTTCCAACAAGTCGTCTCTCCGCAGGAACACGCCAGGCCCTAACCGATAAATCACGGCCTCAAACAGGTTGCGATTGTGGGCTACATCATCCATCGAATCGCGAAAATCGTAGAGAAGTTGCTCGTCAGCTTCAGTAAGTGAGGTGTCTGCGGAACAATGGTAGAGAGGTTGGCAGAACTCTTGCAGCACGGACTGCGTCGCTATGTCGATGTCTGCGGATGCTACATCCCCTCGTGCTACTGATTGCTTCGGGCTTACGATCTCAGTCTTGAAACCCACAACTTGGGTGGCTTGCGCCTTCCAAAGGACATGAAACTTCTCCACAGCCACTTGCGGAGTTGTATGCACCAAACGGCCCAATAGCGCTCGGCTCCTTCGACGTATGATCTCGGGAATATTCTCCTCCTTGCCTATGGATTCCAAGATGTTCAAAGCCTCGGCATTCAGGAGCCCTGCGCGTCCTACTGGGTTCTAGGCCAATTCAGAACTCGTTAAGTCTTCCAATGTACAGGCCTTCGCAGGGCTTACATCAATCAAATCATCCAGAAACTCTAGGATGTTCTCACGCTCCGCTGCGTATTGATTCCCCCCAGTTCTTTTCACAGTTGCTAAGAGGGCGTGTAGGAGATCCGAATCCAATGCGATGCTCTCTGTTGACATCTAGATGTTGGTCGAGTCACATCACGAGCACCCTCAGTCAGTCGCTCACCCTTCGTTATTGCACCCGTCCTCAGCTTAAGCTGTTGATGCAGTAAGCTTGGAAGACTGGAGTGGCGGAACGTCAAAATACAGCTTGACAACAGACGTACCTTCAGATTTTGGAGCGCTCTTTGCCTCACTTCCGCCAGTGGATGGTCTAGGGTTCCCAGTTCCTGGTTAGCTTTCAGAGACAATGGCTCCTGCTCTACATCATCCCCACCAACCTATCTTCGACGCGCTCATTGTAGGACTATGGGGCGATCTATCGGGGCGTTGCAGCAACGAGAGGGATGTTTCGGTTCGCCATCTGGCTATATAAACAATCCTCTCAGCCGTTTGGCTTAATTATCTTTGGGGATGGGCAGTTTCTCACGGAGAGTGGTTTCCACGCAGTTTCCACTTTTCCACGAGTCCGAACGAGTGGCTGTGCACCCAATGTCAACGCGATCCGAGACCACTTTCCCACAAGTCAAAGGAAAATGTTTCTACTACAAAGTGGGTCCAAAATCGCATGTGTATGCTATATATTGCAAAATCTCAGAAACAAGTACGTAGACAAACTCAATCCACCCCATGACATCCCAAATCGCACCCATCAAGCGAACCCAGCAGCAATCGCCACAGCAGCGATTCCTGCAGCGGCGGCGGCACCATACTGAGCAAACTTCGATGTAGTACCACTATGCTGATCCTCAACGGGAACGGTGGGAACGGCAGAAACGGCGGGAACGGCGGGAACGACGGGGGAAGCATAGGGGTCGGGGAAAGTAGGAGTGGCAACGGTATCTGCGTCAGCCCACGCGGCGTCCCCACCAGGGTTTGATGCGCGAAGATTGATGCGAGCCGACTTCTTCACGGGCACACCGCGGCTGTCTACTGGCCAAACCATCCAATTACCGGGTTGCGCAATATTGGAATTGACCGGTAGTTTGACCAGAAGCTTGTCTTTCCCGTATTTTAATATCTCGAGCTCAATATGACGCTGGTCGAGATTGACGGTGTGCGTCATTGACGCATAGCGAATGATGCCAACCTTAGCGATGGAGATGGCGTTGGCGGTAGTAAACGGGAGGATGATTTGCTGTCCGTAAGCGACATTCGTGACGGCCAGAGTGCCCAGTTCCAGAATGTTGGCGGCGAATTTGTACGGAGGGGAGTACACGTCCAACGAGAAGTCGGCGGGATTCTGAGTGTTGGGCGAGTCACCGTTCTGGGCATCCCCTCCCCCAGCGACAATGGTGCCGTCTTCGCGAAGCAAGGCCGTATTGTGATAGTGGCGAGCGGTCGGTGCCTCGGCAGCAACGACCCATCGTTTCACATGGCCAACTGGAGCCTTCGGATCAAAGAGCACCAGTTGCTTGACACCCTGACTAGCCAAAGGGAGCCCAAAGACACCGCCTTGATGTCCTCTGCCAGAGCCACTGAGGATAGCAACGCGGCCATCAGGGAGATTCACCGATGCGGGTTGAGAGCGGGCAATGGGCATGTCCTCACGAGTCCATGCAGCTCCATCGGTTTCGAGAGGCAGATAATGACAGCGCTGAGTCACGCCGCAGTTCGGACAGTTTGCGTACCAATCTGTCGCTCCATAATCGCGAGCAATTTGAGCACCTGTTGCATCCGTGCTATTCACACCGCCGCAAAACCACGACTCCATCTTGTAATCATCACGGTAGCTCAGCATTGGGACGAAGTTTGTGCCCGGAAATGGGAAGCTGCGGCCGAGCAAACCATTCTCCTTCGCCAAGTCGAGATTGACATGAGGAGTTTCCGTATTTGCGGTGATATCGACGATCGCGGACTCATTGTTCGCATACACCCACAACTTTCCAGAGTGAGGAAGCACATATACAACGGGATACATGTTGACAGGGTAATTCCTCTTCAGCACATCGAGAGTTCGCGGTGGCGTTGACTTCAATGTCGAGGGATTGAAAATCTCATATGTAGGATTGTCCCATGAAGCGTTGTTACTGATGAAGAATGCCCGTTGACCGCCAACGATTGCAATGCGCTCGTCGGGTAATGTAACGAGTGATGGGTACCAGCGACCCCACATGGCCCGGGCAGGATCGTCGGGACCGAGATTGTTCGCGTTGTAAATTTCCGCTACTTTGGCATACACTGGACCCGTCGTCCCAGTGGAGGGAGTGTAAAAACGAATGTCGCGTCGCCCATCACTAAGTATCGGGTTACGTGATAATCAATAAACCTTCCAAAACTTCAATTTCTCTTCATGAAGAAGCATTGCTATGATCACTCACGAAGTGTAACTCGCGCTCACACCTGCGCTATTGGTAAACTGGCGGTACCAGAACTGATCCCCGCCAACGACAACATAACGTCCATCTGCCATCTGTGAATGGCCCCCGCAGAAGGCATATCCCATGTTTTTGCCGACGGTGTCATTCGGGGCAAAGTGGCGGTCGATAATCGTATAGGTTTTTGTATTGAAGTCGAACTCGCCAGCATCGCTTAGGTAGTCTTTCACGTTTGGGTTCCCATTATACCAACCAGTTGCACTGCGAGCAACCAGGTCTGCCTGGGAGAAACCATCGGACTGTTGTCCCAAATAATGTAGGCGCTCGTTTAGAAACAATTTGTCTCCCGGGTTCAGTGCCATATGGACGGGCACGATGCCGCAATTATCGGTAAATTTGACCCAACTCCCGATATCTGCAGGTAACGTCGAAGTTGTTTGCGCGCAGATGGGCGAAACAAGAGCGGCAGCTACAAGATGAGCTGCCAGTCGCGCGGAGACGTATCGTCTAACCTTTCCCATTTTCAGCTACTTTGGCCTGGAAGTGTTTGGCAACGATATCTCCAGACGGTCGTTCGGCCCTTTTAGCGAGACTCTCAGGCTGCTTCCGGGGTCAATCGTAACTCCATTCCCCGTTAAAAGGATGGCCCCTCTGGTGCGCCCTGCCCGAGTCGAATCGTCACGGTCCCGGCCCATCGTTGGAGAAACAAGCTCAAAGTTAACCTTGGGTTGCAGCACCAGCTGAATTTACGCTCAAGGCAATCTGGAATTCAAGTCCTCCAGAACCAGATCCACGCCGGAACAGCCGTAGCTATAGATGTGTTGTTGAAGACACGTGACCCTCAGATCGCATCCGGACAAACAACCCGCGACTCCGCGAGAGTCCGAAACCCCTTCCAAGTGCCAGATTTCCAAGTGCTCCTTGCCTTTAGAATTCACCTCAAAAACTCACACCATCCAAGCTGCTTTCTTGGGGTCGCATCACCACAGGCATCCTCTTCATTGCCTCAATACCAACTAGCCATGACCGTCCCGATACAACTCAGTACTGGCTCGCTGCTTCATATCTATGAGTCGGACAAGCCGAACTCCTTTCCTAACGCGGTCGTTCAAGTTCTGAATATCAAGAAAATCACGACTCAACCGTCCAGCCCGGACCGATACAGGTAAACTTGCATGTTGCGTTGTAAAACGCTACTCTGAGACCGCTCCGCCTTTTTCAACACGTCTCCTTTGCCAGACTTATTGTATCGGATGGTGCTCACTTTATGCAAGGTGAGCTTTATGTCGTTTTTGAAGGCGTCTGGATATCATCTTGGGCGACAGCAGCAGTATAACCGACGTTCCACATATATATATACAGCTATGCTTGCCACGCAACTGAACCCCCACGTCGTAAATGATGAAATTCGGAAGAACGGGGTCCTCAGAATGAAACGTTCCGTTTGCAATACAGTCGCCAATAAGAGGCAAGGGTTCTCTAGCCCCGAGAAATCGTTCTGAATTGGTGATAATCTCAGGGTTATGTGACTTCGTGAACTTAGGATCATCATCATTCTTGAAATCGAAGTGCTTACGCCATTTGCGGAGCTCCCCAAGCAAGGCACACCAATCAACGTGGACGGGCAAGGTACACCCGGGGCAGGAAATCAAGCAAACCTCAACCAGCAAGGGCCAGCCCAGCCGCAACAAGACACGGGTCATGGGCAACAAAGCAGTGGCGGGCAGCAAACCAGTGGCGGCAACTTTTACGGAGGGAATGGCGGCAATAACGTGTATACCAATTCCAACGCGTCCCGGGGGACATATCAGGACAACAATCCATACGGAGGTGGAAACTCAGGGATGTCGAATATGCCCCCGACAGGAGGAAACGCGCCGATGGACATCTTTTCCATTAAGGCACTAACCCCATACCAGAACAGGTAACTGTGTTTACCATCTGAAGCAATTTACGGGTCTGTACTTGTGCTGAATTGCGGCGTGTTGTTACTTAGATGGACGATCAAAGCGCGCGTCGTCAACAAGTCTGAGGTCAAGCATTGGGACAACGCTCGCGGGTCGGGAAAGCTGTTCAGCTGTACCTTTGTTGATGAGACTGGCGAGATCAGAGCCACCGGCTTCAAGGAAGCGGTCGAGTTATTTTACGATTTGTTGAAGGAGGGCAAGGTGTACTACATATCGAAGGCGCCAATCAAAATGGCGAAGAGGCAGTTCTCCAACGTGAACAACGAATACGAAATGACGCTCGATCCCCAAAGTACCGTGACCGAGGTACGTCTTCACAGCAACGTGTTCCTCACCGCTTTCTTCTATACTGATGGTCTCTCGCATTTAAGTGCTCGGATGCTGGAAACATCCCCACTATGCGCTATAGTTTTGTAGGACTGAACAGTCTTTTCGACATCGAGGCCAACAGTATGATAGGTAGAGAAAGCACTCATCATCATATGTGCTCCTACTTCGTTCTGACCTGATACCTTCAAACAGACGTGATCGGGGTTGTGAAAAGTGTGGGGGAATTGTCTGAAATCATCTCGAAGACTACCCAGAAACCCGTACGTTTCGAGCTAAGCCTTCAAACGGAGAGGGACCCCATTACTGAGTCCGTTTTCTGCAGTTCAAGAAACGCGATACCACCATCGTCGATCAGAATGGCTTTGAAGTTCGTATGACCCTCTGGGGACAACAAGCGGAAACTTTTGAGCCCATGGACAACCCTGTTGTCGCAGTAAAGGGAGTGAAGCTGGGCGATTTTGGAGGTCGATCCCTCTCCCTGATGGGTTCTTCGTCATTTGCCGTCAACCCCGACATTCCGGAGGCACATCAGCTTCGGGGATGGTACGATTCCACCGGGAAGACTGCGCATTTCCAAGGGTATTCGAACGCCGGCCCAGGTGCCGTTAGTGGACCGGGTCAGAATGGTGGAAGGCGGGATCCCATGAAGTTCATTTCGCAGATCAAGGATGAGAACCTTGGCCTCGGTGAAAAGGTGCCGCGAGTCTCTTTTTGATACCCGAGCAACACTTACTGATAGATCGCATCGTATAGCCCGACTACTTCATGATCCGCGGCACTGTGATGTTTATCAAAAACGAGAACATCTCGTACCCGGCCTGCCAGTCGGAGAGCTGCAACAAGAAAGTGACAGATATTGGCAACGGATGGAGATGCGAGAAGTGTGACAAGACATGGCCCGCGCCATCATATAGGTTAGCTCGTCAGTGAAGCTGATTGAGAGCTACTGCTCGATGCTGACCTGTCGTTTCATTGGATCAGATACATCATGTCGTTCACCGTCAGCGACCACACAGGGCAGATATGGTTGCAAGGGTTCAACGACATTGGCGAAGCGATGCTGGGGAAGACTGCCGATGAAATGGCACAACTGAAGGTTCGTCACTGGTGGCACATGCCAATTTGCGGCCTACCGCTTCGCCCTGTGCTAATACAGGCATATTCGCTTTGTATTCAGGACTCCGGCAATCAAGCAGCATACGACGCTGCCTTCTCTGCGGCGCTTTTTAAATCTTGGGATTTCAAAGTTAGAGCTAAAGCCGAGACCTACCAGGTACGTGTCGAATAGATGCATGAGACCGGAGCTTGATGCTGATCAATGTTACAACATGCATTTTATGATGCAGGACGAAGCCAAGGTCCGGACATCCGTGATGTCTTTCGTGCCAGTGGACTATGCGTCGGCATCCCTTGAGCTCGCGGACATGATTGAGCAGTTGAAGGTTATGTAGAAACGATAGACTCTTTACGAACACTTTGATCGGATTCCAAGGACTTTATATGTATAGTTCGACTTGACATTAGTTTTTCGCTCATGACCACGTACTACATAAAAAGCAATTTTGAATGACATTCTTTCTTCATGACTATAAGTGTAAAGCGTCGAGATTTGAGCGCTTTGAAAAAGCTCAGGGCGACTAACGACACGTTGGGCCACGTTCCGTTCGTGAACCCATGAACAGGGGTGAGAGTCGAGATGGCCGGACAAGTTCCCCCGACCGATCAGGACCGCTACATGGTATGGAGGTCCTTGTCGTTGTTGTTTCAATGATGTGGACAATGCGGCCTACATATCTTTTGCGACCGAACATGAACGACGAGGACTTCCCCAACGGGGCGACGTGTTCCCGCACCCGCAAGCCAGAGCCTCACTTCGATGGATGCCAAAGCACCAAAATACCTCCAAACGAAACCTGCATCGCCAGCTGCATTCTCATGTTATCATTACAAATCATCATGTTCAAAAGAAAAATCATATACATAAATTACGGAATAGTCCCGGATTGTAAAAAGCGATGCATCTACATATATTTACGGGAAAGATGCGGTCGTGTGTGCAATATGTCCTGGGTGGAGTCTGAAAGACTCTTGTGGGTTGTGGGGCGGGAGTGTGCGGTTGCTTTTCTGCCTCACTTTGTACTTTGTTGTATGAGAAGAGCTGATGGGGGTGTTGATGTCGGGGGCGTTGGTGATGTGTCGATGCAACTCGGGGGTATGCGATTGTTATCTCGCAAGTCCCTTCCGCATAGGACCAAGTTTTCACAGCCGATCCCTGCAGTGGAAGCTCCTTCCCAGTCGCCGCCACCATCCGGCCAATCCTCCTCAACCTCCCAATCTCTACAAATACGAAACCAAATTCTCCACATCATCCTCATCAAACTCCGCATGCGCATCCTCATCCTCATCCTCATCCTCCCCAACCACATTGTTCACACCATGCTGCAAAACTTCCTCCTCATCGTCCTCCCCAAAATCAAGCGCCTCTTCCTCGGTCATGGCCATCGGATAGTGGTATTCTGCCGGCGCGTGTGCGACTTCTTCTTCCTCTTCGAATTCTTGGCTCGCTTCTTCTTCTTCAGGTTCCGAGATGGCTTCCGGGGCGGCTACATGCACAGTGTCGGGGGTAAGGAGTTGTTTCCTATACGGAAAATGGAGATATCAGCTTTCCTGCTACTTTCGCCACTGCGGTTTACGAAGTCGAGGGTTGTCACACCTCAATCGAAATTCCTCCAATATAGCCTCCCGCTCCTTCTGGAACGCTCTCGGCTTCTTCCCGACCAGCTCTCCCGTGGCTGAGTCGAGGGCGTCGGCGGCGAGTGTTATGCCGGAGGTCATTTGTTTCCATTTTTCCTAGAGGTGGGGGGTGAGCGTGACATAGTGGGAAAGGCCGGGACATGGAGGTGACTTACTTCTGAGCCTTCGGAGGGGGCTGCTCGTTTGGGCAGCATGTTGGGAGATGTGGAGTGCGGGTGGGTGGGTTGGTGGATGCTGGCAGGGGGGGGGGGGGGGGGGGGGGGGGGCAGTGAGCGCAACAGGCTCAGCAACAGCGTCTTGTTCCAATGTTGAAAGTGTGTTGAACGGCTGCGGAGCTTCTCTCGCTTCTCCGCCGTCACACGTGAGCAATCCCGGACTCGCATCGAAGTTTGTCTGACATCCGGTGATCTCTGCATACGAAAGCAGCGTTCAAGGCGCACATATCGCGCTTCAAAGTGACGTAAAACGCCGTTCAGGCAGAGGATTCATCCTTGGACTATGGGCGGACCACAGCGCAAATACTCCATCGGGGTTGATGTCGGGACGTCGTCAGGTATAAAATAGTTCTAGGCCCATATTGCGACCATGTGGCTCCCCAGCGGGACAAACGAGTAGATTCTCAGTTCATTTCCCACTGTTGTCGTGCAGCTAGGGCTGCTTTGTTTGACTGGGATGGGCATATCAAGGCCACTGTGGCCCGCTCGTTGCAGACTTGTAAGCCACGGCCGGGATACTACGAACAGGTTAGTTTTACCTAGGCCCGTTCATCCAGATAGCGAATTCAACTCACCAACTACTGCGTGGACCTCAAGTCTTCAGAAGACATATGGATTGCATGTTGTGAAGCTGTTCAAGGGGCCATAGCCTCGGCTGGGGACATCTCAGTTCAGGACATCAAAGGAATAGGATTCGATGCGACGTGCTCGTTAGTTGCTTTGGACGAAGGTTTTCAGCCTGTGTCGATTTCTCCCTCGAAAGCTACGCAATGGAATGTCATCATGTGGTATGACTTGCTGGTGTCCTGGACTCTTCATGGGTGTGGGTCGATGTTTGGGGCTTACCCTTGGGGCTTACCCTTCTTGCTATAGGATGGATCATCGCGCTGAAGCGGAAGCAGAAGAAATGTCCGCCACTGGTCACACAGTGCTGCAGAGGACAGGTGGTAAAATCAGTCCAGAGATGTCAGCCGCGAAAATTGTATGGCTGTATCGGCATATGCCAGAGGCCTACAAGACTGCTACGACCTTGATGGAGCTTCCAGACTTCCTCACCTTCAAGGCGACGGGCAATCCAGCACGGTCCTTGAACTCTTTGGCGTGCAAGTGGACGTTCGCGGAGGGAGATGGGTTCAATGATTCGTTTTGGCGTGCGGTCGGCATGGATGATCTGGTCGACACGAAGTATGCGCGATGCCTTGGAAGCCAGAAAGTGACTGGCGTGGGAGAGGCGCTTGTAAACGGCCTGACGGAGGCTGCGGCCGAACAGATGGGGTTAGCGGATTGCGCTGGTATGCCCGTCGGAGCGGCGGTTATCGACGCGTATGCAGGGGCTATTGGGACACTGGGCGTCACGCTGGATGGCGAGACCGCACCTGAGGTGCACTCGGTGCAAAATCGGATGGCGGCCATCTGCGGAACGTCTTCGTGCCACATTGCACTTTCGGCAAAACATAATTTCGTACCGGGGGTGTGGGGCCCTTACACGAACATTCTCCTTCCCGACTTTCATGTCGCTGAGGGCGGACAATCGATCACCGGTGCATTGTTGACGTACATCATCAGGACGCATCCTGCATACTCCCTGGTGGATGCTTCAACGTCATCCTCCTCGTTTGTTCAGCTCAATGAAAAGATAGCGCTACTTTCGGAGTCGCAGAGTCTGCGGTTCTCGGCCATGATGACGAAGGACATGCACCTGACCCCCGACTTTCATGGGAATCGCTCACCACTTGCGGATCCGACCTTGCGAGGCGTTCTGGTTGGGTGTGAAATGGATGTATCCCTCGATGCACTTGCAAGGACGTACTATGCAGCCTTGCTGGCCCTTGGTTACGGCACACGGCAGATCATAGATACGCTGAATTCGAACGGCTACACGGTCGACACCTTGTTTCTTAGCGGGGGCATGGTGCAGAATGATCTCTTCGTAAAGTCTTTGGCAGACACCACGGGATGTACCGTGGTGTTACCGAGGGAAACCGACGCCGTGTTACTGGGGGCGGCGATTTTGGGTGCCGCTGCTGCCGAGGGTGGGACCGATCGGAATGCTCTTTGGAAAGCGATGGTGAGGATGAGCAGCGCTGGTCGTGTGATCAAGCCTTGTACTGGCTCGGAGGCGGAATTTCATCAGAAGAAATACGAGGTCTTCAAGGAAATCTATAGCTTTCAAAAGAAGGCAAAACACATCATGGCGGCGTAAGCGTGGGACCCTTGAAGCAGCTAGCTTGGAACGGGACATATACTGCGGAAATATCATAGAAGTACAATATATTTGACCGGTTCAATATCAAGGAAGCCTTTCAAATGACTGACTGCATGCCCACCAACGTCGCAAACACCTCCTCATTCACATTCTGATAAAATGCAGCGCTTTCCAGATACTGTATCACATCCGATCTCAGCCCAGCTGCTGTCGCTGCCGGTGTGCCGATCGGCGACCCTGCCGGATCGCTTGTGGGCGGCTTTTCGCCGGTGACGGGGTTGGGCGCGTTGCCCCCGTAGCTGCCGAATCCGAAAGTGAGATGCGCGGCTTTCTTGTCGGCTTTTTGCGCGGAAAGGACGTGGGAGTTGAAATCGAATGCGGTGAAAAGATCCGTTTGGTTGAGCAGATGGATAAATGTGCATCTGTAGGTTCGGAGGGACATACGAATCGGCAAAATGAATCAAGCATGGTGTAGCAGCAATGCGGGAAGGAGACGTACCCAGCCCATGCCAATCCGTCGCCAAAAAGCTCCCTGTAAACAAGACGACAAATGTGAGCGTCTGGAATATGTCGGGAGGCCGGTTTCTTCGTATCGCGCATTACCTCACTAACTTTCCCTCCCCAACACTCGGCACACAAAACGTGAACTGCAACGAACTCCATATACGAAAGAAGGCACGTGGATTCTCCAGACTTCCATGAGCTTGCCACTCGTCCGCGGCGTCCTCCAATGTATCCCGTAGGGAGGTGAGGAATGTTTCCATGATGGCAGGAGGCGGGGAGGGTGCGTAGATTTGTTGATTGATTTTCAGGGCTTCCTGAAAATGCTGGAGAAGGGATGAATTTCAGTGGATGTATATGAATGTCCGTGGATGTAATAACGGAAAGCTGACGCACAATTGCAGCTTGCTCCTCAGGCGATGCTATTGAGTCAGTGTTCTCTGCGGAAAGCGACGCGGAGGACCGTGGGTTGTCTATCGCGATTGATGTAGATTGAGTCAACGGATGTTTTGGAGAAAGTCCGTTGCAATGTGGCTTTACTTGGGCTTACTTGAGAGTTGCTGTGACCCAAACGCCTTACTCTGGATCTCCTGCAAGGTTCCATCGATGGCCTGAAAGGAACGGGCGACGTGAAAAACTGTCTTGCGTCAAGCAAATGCAGGCGGGAGCTCCCTTACCAAAACATCTTCCAAGAACTTGACAATCACAACAGCGTTCCCGACTTTCCGGAAAGACTGAAGTACGTCGGATTTGAGAGCCGCGTAGGATAACAGTGGCTTCAAGTGCGCTGCAAAGTACTCGAAGGTCCCTTTGTAATGATGAGCGGTTAATGAGCCGAATATCGATATTTGAAGGCCCACAACAAAGAACAAGTGGATCACGCACCTGCCGTTCCATACTCGAATAGCGGCAGTTTCAGCGCTTGCGGAGTGCCCTTTGCTATCTCACGAATGTATGCGCTCAAAGTGTCTGTAATCTGCGGAAAGAGGTTGTCAAACATCTGACCGTTGTTGCGTCCGTCAAAGGCCTCATCATCTGGAGCATACCATAGCGTTAACCTGCCTAGCAAGCTCGGCGGTTATCGCTGCAACGCTCGTCTTGCCCACCAGACGAACGAGGGAATGGAAGTGTTCTTCCCCCATGTAGCCTTTGAATATTCCGTTTTGAGCATGGAATGCTACGGACTGAGCCTGCATTTCAAACGTCTTCAGTGCCAGTGGATATCCCCAGGGTGGAGTTCGAAAGGAGTCTTACCTTGGAACCATACAAATGGAATACTAGCGCTTTCGAAAGGTTATTCCTGGATATCGGCTTTGTGAATGGATCGGGTCCCCGCAAGAACCTATGCCGGAAATCACTCAGCGTCCAACGACGCATTCTTCAGCCGCTCCACAACCACATCCTTGAACCCACCTATTCGTGACGTTGTTGAACGTATAGTTCGGCATCACATCGTACACCAACTCGGCGATGGTGTGCGTCACGATCCGTCCATTCGCCGCACCCAACGTCATCGCCTCATCCACCTCGGCCAGCATGTCTTCGAATGGGTCCAGAGACATGTACTCGGATAGGAGCTTGTGGGTTGTGTGAACCGTGCGGATGAGTGTTTCCAGATCCTGTTCGGCGAAAGCATTTTGGATGTGAGTGAAGAGCGTACATGCGTCGTTACAGACGCTGACGGAGACACATACCATGATATGCGTGAAATCGCTCGCTTCATAACGACTTATAGCGATATCGATGGATTTGCGGAGATAAGTGTTCATCATGTTGGCGATGAGGTCGGGAATGTTTAGGGAACGGCCTAGCAGCTGTGAAGAGGACGCAATCAGTAACTCTCCGTGTCCTGCCGTACAAGCGCCAGAGCCAGCTTACCTGATAGTTCTTCTGTTGCAGAATCGGAGCGTATGTGCCCAGCGCAAAGTCCATGTGAGCCAGATTCATGTCGCCTTTTAGATCGGAGGATAGAACGATTCTATAAATTCAAAGATTCAAGAATCAATGAATACTCCAACATTCACAGACGACGTCCAAAGAATGATCCTCACGCTCCAGCTGCTTTCTTGAAGTGCGAATACATTTTCTGGCTCGTTTTGAAAATCAGCTGGTCAAAACACAGGCTGACCTACCCGTTGATTTAATGTTAGCACTGCCGGTACTCACGGGAATTGCCACGGTTCGGAAATACCTCAGCGACGATTTCGTCATAAATGAACTTGCTGTTCAGGTAATACAATGCCCGGAAAGCAGAGTCATTGTAGAGCTCGAATGGATAGAAGGTGTACCTGCAATCCACACAGGTTAGCTGCTGCATACGGCACAGTATAACGATACATGCTTCTCACGTACTGCAGCATCTCGGTGTCATTACTCTCCAGTATCGATTCCGTTAATAGCCATGGAAGCGACATGCTGATGGGAAACTGAAGAGTTTGCAAAGTAGTATACGGGTTAGCCGGCCCAAAGGCTACAGACCGGTCCAATCGAATCGAAAAAAGCATCTCACCTGGACTTTCTTGCTCAATTCCAAATAGAACTCCTTAAACCACAAGTTTGCCAGATTTCCGACTTGCTGCACAGTGCCTGTCCCAACAATATCAGCGAGTGTGTTTCAAGTCCCCACCTCCCGCTCAACACCCACCTTCCAGATTCAACATCGGGAAGTACAGCGCCGTCCTCGCCAAGAAGGCATCGACCTCAGCCACTTGAGCATCTTTGAAATCCTTTTCCTTCATCAGGCCGCCTTTCATGCCCTTTGCTTTGTCGCTGAAGCAAAGGTGAAGGACGGTGCATAGCATTTGTAGCTGCGTTGGCGAAATCGAATGCGGCTTGGGCGAATCCTTTATCCTACTCTCCCTAACCTCCTCCGCCGGTTGGAGCAGGATATCGCGGAGGTGTTTCATGATACTGCGTTTTCGATTCCGTTAGGCATCGTGTCCTCGCATCCGCGTATTCCGATCCACACTTCACTTACGAAGCAACAGCCCTCTTCTTCTTGCTAGCGTGAGCATGATAGTCATTCAGTTTCAGATTGACGAATTGCTGGATGTCTGCATAGATGTGCTGGTTAATCGCTACGAGAATTGCGGGTTCGAGGTCGAGGAGCGTTGTTGTCAGGTTTTTGATCATCGCTATGTACTGTCATGAAGGTTAGTCTAGGCCGGACAGGGTGTGATGCCGAATTTCGAACTCACCTCGATCAATGCCCGTTTGTCCTCGACGCTGTAGTTATAACGAACCGCCTATGTTTAGGGAAAGGTATTAGCGTGGTGTCTGATGCATGCCAATCTGCAAGGGACCTACCAGCTCATATGAGAAGGCTTCCGCTGGTATTGACGGCACCAGTTGCGGGTTGACGGGATTCGCATACTTCCATGCACTCTGAAAGCGGAAGATGAGCTCTCGGCTCCTAACAATCGTCATCGGGTGCGATACGCATAACGTACCTGCTCCAACACCTTTGTCGATGTCCGCACGAGAAGCTTCACAGACTGCTCCACAATGGTATACACGTCCTTTAGCACTGTCTGTGCCGCCACAATCTCCGATGAACGTAGCTGCGTGGATCTGATTAGATTCACCATTCACTACGGCAGCCTCGTGCATGGAGTCGAGAACGGTTCCACGTACAATGTTGACCGCTCGCTTCAACGACGACATGTTGTCGGTGTACTCTTGTCGCGTAGCATCCACATTCAAAGCTAAACTGTAAGTCCTCGCCAGGGCCGCTTTTGCAGTTTCGTCCGTCTCTTCCCACTTGACGTTCCCCAAGTGAGGGGCTTTCCCATAGATGGTCGATAGGAAGACATATTGATCGGCGAAAAGTGGCACTACAGGGCACGCCTGAGGTGTTCCACACGATCAGTTCTTGCTCCCACTAGGATCGAAATTGCAAGGTTCCTACCTTGAACAGCTTCCCAAAGCGCTCAATTTTGAACTTCTTCCGCTTTGTGATATCATGGTCATCTCCTGCGCCGTCCAGCAAGTACAGCGCAAAAGCTATAGCCTGCAGCAACCCTTTTAGCATCCACTCCGTTCGCCTCCAAGTCTGCCACGCTCATTATACCCGATAGTACGTATGCTTTGTCCTCGCCGGTATGAAATCTGACGTCTCGAGCCGAGTCGCGCACAATTCCATCATCTCTATTATGATTTCTTCATAGGTGGGTGGAAGCGTCGCTAGGCGGGTCTTCAGCTCGGAGGAGTACTGGTCCTGATTGGCGAGGAAGGAATACAGCTTGTGTTGCATCACCGTTTCGTCTTCGCTTATATCTCTATTGGAACTCTGCACAGCCCTTTTCCGGCCGTCAATACGACATCTCCACAGAGCGCGACCGTAGAGAGCTCCAGAAGATGCTCACCTCCGGTACATTGAAAAGTCGTTGTTCATGGATCCCTTCACATTCTTCATGGCGTCCATAATTACGAACATGTCCAGTAACCGTGCAGAGGCCTCTAGGTACTGCGTGCTTGCGAATAGCTCAGTGTCCCGTGCTTTCGGGATCAGCTTCGCAAAGATATCCGTCACGCCGGTGATGGCGGCATCCCTGAATGCCATGAACTTTCGCATTTTGTTCACCTCCGGTTGGAGGACAGTGAAAGTCGTTTCGTACATCTCGAGCCGGTTCGTCTGATCGTTGCTTTGCACCTGATGACGGGATTGAGTTCGCTGATATTCAGCGTTTTGCGATTAGAAGGCGAAATGTACCTGGGGTATTGCTCTGCTGCAACTTCGGTAGCTGTATAGACTGGACAGCAGCTTTTCACCCTCCTCCAAAAGATAGTTCTGCATGTCAAAGATATGTAAGTACTCGTCCTGTATCGGGAAACCACTCGGTGTTGGATGCTCACCATTTTGGCAATATACGCCTGTTCCTGAACCGCATAGCCGATAGTGTGCTCCAAGAACTTGTCTGAGGTTTTCACGGGCAAGAAGATATTGGAGTCGGCTAAATTGATGTCTTGCAACGTTCCATTGATAGCCACGGCTACTGGCGATGCTGATATCACAGGACCTTTGGAGTTCAAGGCCACGGCGTTCAGCCGATCGAAAACGGATTGCGTTTCTATTGTTGATTGCGACATTCTGATTTGCGACAAGTGTGCGAAGACGAGTGAAATGTTGTCCTGGCTTTGACAACCGTCTAGGGCGGTACTTCCGGGATAAGTAACAGCAGATTCAGGACTGGGACTGGTCTTATATGATATCCATTTGCCAAACGGGCAGGTTATCGATCCTTCAGTGTTGTCAAAGCACTGTTTGGGCCTGTGGACGGAAAGGATCGAAGCAACGAAGGACACGTCCTGGAAAACGAGTACGGTGAACTAAGTTGAGAGAGGATCGGGAAAAGCGTGAGGCCCATAATTTGACCGCGCGTGCCCTGTCAAAGAGCCAGAGTCCTGAGGGGCGCGCCGTCCCTGCCGTCCAGCTCTTCATCATCACAACTTCGCCGCCATAACCGCAAAACCGCAAGCGGTGGCCTCAAAGAGTCAAGACCATTTTCTCACGCAACATCCTGACAACTTTGCTGAGAAATTGGATATTCTGATCACCGGGCGCCTTTGAAAAAGCTCTCAGTATCGGTAGCTTTTGGGCTGTCTCATTGCATCTTACGTTTCAGTCGTGATGGACAAGTTCATCCCCCGATTGGGCGCGTACCGCCTGAAGGACCTCATCAAGGCCATCCGGAGCTGTAAAACAGCCGCTGACGAAAGGGCGGTCATCGCAAAGGAGAGTGCCTACCTGAGGACGAGCTTCAAGGAGGAGAATGTAGATCTCAGGCATCAAAACATTGCCAAACTGTTGTACATTCATATGCTGGGATATCCAGCACATTTTGGCCAAATTGAATGCTTAAAGCTCGGTACGTTTGAGGCGGAGGTGAAGGAGCTCATTGCGGTCAGATAAGAAACCAAGTCCTCATAAAGCTCTATCATCCAGTTGCGTCTCCTCGGTTTGCCGATAAGCGGCTCGGATATCTTGGAATCATGCTCTTGCTTGACGAGAACCAGGAAGTTCTCACACTGGTCACCAACTCGTTGAAAAAGTAAGGAACACTTCTCACAGCTCTTGGGGAGAGGGTATTCCGACCAACTGTCCTCCGTTTCCCCAGTGATATGAACAGTGCGAATATGTTCATTGTTGGCCTTGCCCTGTGTACAATGGGGAACATATCTTCTCCAGAGATGGCCCGTGATTTGTGTGGGGAGGTGGAAAGGCTTCTGGCAAGCTCGAATGCGTACATAAGAAAGAAGGTGCCGTGGAAGAGGCTCCGTTCAGTTCGGAGACAGCTGCTGACGGTTTCATTGCCCACCAGGCTGCACTGTGTGCTCTCAGGATCATCAAGAAGGTTCCCGACCTCCTGGAGAACTTCATATCTCGAGGCAAAAGTCTTCTGAATGAGCGAAACCATGGAGTGTTACTGACGGGCATCACGCTGCTCACTGAAATGTGCAAGATGAATGAAGACGTTCTGTCGGACCTGCGGGCGGTGAGCAGGATTCTGCGTTGTTGTCATCGTACGACTCTGTGGCTCATTCCTCTGGTATCAGCACTCAGCTGCGACTTTGGTACGGCATCTCAAGAATCTCGTCACCGCTGGCTTCAGTCCAGAACATGATGTCAACGGCATCACGGACCCATTTGTGCAAGTGAGAGTTTTGCGACTCATGAGGATCTTGGGGAAAGGTGACGCCGAAGCGTCGGAAGCCATGAACGATGTCCTCGCACAGGTGCGTCAATGCGTCACGGAAAGATGCGGTAGCACGTATTACTCAGACGTTGCTTTGTAGGTTGCAACCAACACCGAAGCAACAAAGAACGTTGGGAATGCTATTCTTTACGAAGCGGTTCTGACCATCATGGAGATTGAGAGCGAAAGTTCTCTGCGTGTTCTTGCAATCAACATTCTCGGTCGGTTCCTGTCGAACAGGGATAACAATATCAAATACGTTGCGCTTACGACGCTCACGAAGACTTCCGCAAACACGGCAACGGCTGATTCTTCAGCTCTACAAAGGCATCGGTCCACGATTCTCGATTGCCTTCGCGACCCTGACATTTCAATCCGCCGCCGTGCGCTGGACCTTTCGTTCTTCCTCATCAACGCGCAGAACATCCGTATATTGACTCGTGAGCTGTTGGCGTATTTGGAGATTTGTGAAGGGGAGAGCAAAAACTCGGTCGCCATCAGAATATGTGATTTTGCTGGGAGGTATCGGCCGAACAAGCGATGGGAGGTGGACACTGTCTGCCGTATCTTGCGCGTTGCTGGGGCTTTCGTCGATCAGCCTGTCGTGAATCACTTCATCAAGTTGGTGACGACTTCGCCACCAGAACTCCAGCAATATGCAGTGCGCAAGCTTTACAACACTGTAAAGAACGAGGGCGAAAAGGCTCTCACTCAGGAAGGACTACTGCAAGCCACTGTCTGGTGTATTGGAGAGTATGGGGATTCTCTTGTGCAAGGGACATCAGGGTCGATTGGTGGGGATGAGGATGACGGTAATACCGATCCGAGCACGCAAAGCTCGTATCAGATCGCGCCGACGGAACCAGAGGTCATTGACAGACTGACGGAGGTCCTGAAAGGACCCTTCGCAACGGAGCTGGTGAAAGAGTACACCATGGTGACACTGGTGAAGCTCAGCACCCGGTTCACTACCGATGCTGCTATTAGGTACGGGCTTCACGTTCTCAGAGCGCCTGAGCTGGAAACACTCGCTTAAATTCATGGCTCGTAGTGGAATCCGAACGCTCCTGACAAAGTACAGAGCTAGCGTTGCACTTGAGCTCCAACAGCGCTCCATCGAATTCACTACCATCTTCCAACTGGACCGTGACGCCAGGTGAGATAGACTGTCACATTACTGGAAGCGTATTGGGGCTGCCTCTAACCAAATCCGGTCTTTCTTTGTTTAGGCATGGTTTGTTAGAACGCATGCCGGTGTTGGAAAGCGCGGCAAAAGAAGAAGCAAAGAAAGGGTTGGGTGTTCCCACAACTTCCACCAATGGTATGTCCGTGGATAGGGACTGTCTGTGACGGACCACAGTAGTGCTAACTACTTTCTTCTCCAGCTCCTGCATCTACACCAACAGCCGGCCGAGAGGATCTTCTAGGATTGAGCGGAGGTTCAGCAGCGGGTGGAGCGTCCAGTAAAGGCGACGACATCTACAACCTCGTCTTCGGAGGGGCTCAAGGCGGCAACTCAGCAGTCCCGAAGAGTGACGTAAGTTGGCTTGGGGTGCCCTTTTTGGAGCAACTCGAGCAGTGGTTCCAACATATGTCTGCTTCTAGAACATTATGGATCTCCTCGGCGACATCGGGCTCGGCTCAACGCCGGTCCCAGGAGTAGCGGCAGCTCCTAGCTTTGCCGGACCGTCTCATAATGACTTGCTCGGAGACATCTTTGGCGGTGGCTCCGCATCCAAAAGTCCTGTCGCACCTGTTGGCTTCAGTTCTCAACAGCCGTCATCAGCAGCGCTTGCAATGGATCCCTTAGCGGATCTCTTTGGCGGCGTCGGCCTCGGCGGTGGCTCGGTGTCCAGCGCGCCTGCCCACAAATCATACGTGGCGTACGACAAAAACAATCTCAAAGTCACGCTCACGGCATGGAAAGAGGGTAGCGCGGTACACATCACCACGGAAATGAAGAATAGCGGTTGGTCGTTACTGACCAATGCAGCTGTACAAGTGGCTGTTCCAAGGGTATGACGAAGATTCAAGCCTCTACCCAAAGTTGGCGGTAGTGCTGACGAGACCTTGATCCTTCAGAGTATGCAAATTTCGAATTACTCGCAAAACTCGAGTACGATACCAGCAGGCAGCGCGGCCACGCAAACCATGCAGGTCGACAATCCGACCAAGGTAGGTTCACTGGCCGGTAGAGCTAATTGGGGAAACATGGACTAATCGATCGATTCCCGCAGGCCCCCGTTCGGTTACGACTGAAAATCCTATACACCGCCGGAGATCAAAGCACGGAAGAAATCGTCGACTTTTCGCAATTCGATCCAAGTCTATGGTCGTGATGCTATATGGATTCTGTTCCTTCATTCTCTTCATTAGCTCCACCTTCATCCATATCCTTTCTGAGGAACTATGGCCCATATAGCTATCTTTCACTGCTTTTCCCCTTCCTAACTCTAATCAGGATTCTACGATGCGAGAAAAGCCTGAGTGCTCCCAACGGTGAATCGTTTGCGCCCACAGCAGGTCCTCAGATGTTCCTCCGTCCCCGTCATCATAATTCGTGTTGTTTTCCTTTCTCATCCCGATGTCCGGTTGGGGAACCCCATAATACTCCCGATCCGCCAAATCCCGCTCTTTCTCAACCGCCTTAATCCTCTTCTCCACATTCTTGCGCTCAGCGGCCGTCAGATGATTCCCGCGAACGGTCGCCATATCGATCATCGAGCATAGTGGAATCCATGACCATTTCCTGAGCGAACGAGAAGGCGTTCTGGTGCCCACGTGCCACACACCACGCCGCCATGCCGTGGGATGTTGCGCGTCGAGCGCTGGGGGCTTCCAGGAAGCGGTCGTGCAGCGCGGATCGAGGCGTTTGGGCGTGCGGGTTAACTTCCCATATGTTGCAGCAATGAAGACACCTTGCCATAGGCGGGTGTCAAAAGTGCGAGGAAGGTACAGTATGAGATTGAAGTCGGCGGGCGAATATTCGACAGCGAGTGAACATGGTAAAAGAACAAACCCATCAGTAGATGAGCCACGTACCTAAGAGCACAATGAGAAAGAGGGCCCTGCAGAGTGACTTTGTGGAGCTCATCGTTTTTGTTGTTATGTTTTTAGGGAGCAGAAAGCCTTGGGATGAACATGGACGGCGTCGAGTAGCCTTCGTTTCGAGAGGGCCGCCCTGTACGTAATTGTTACCCGTTTGTCGGTTTCGCAACTTCTGTCCAAAAACTGTCAGTCCTCTGAAATCATACTGACGTGGAACACCTGGCCGAGAAAGAAGCCATTAAACGTACGCATGGGAGACCTATAGGGGAGAGATGGGAGGCAGCAGCTTCAATCAAGTCATCGGATGTAAGTTCAGAAACTACAGGGGTTTGCACAAAACGAAGGAGTCAAACATGGCCAGTAAACGTATTCCATTGATGTCCACGCAACATGGTACGCCATGACTATTCAAGTGGCCTTGACATTCCCAGGTGGGCAGAGCGGGACTGGGAGGAATTATTAGGTATGGGTCTGGAAAATTAGGGTGGACGTCTGCGTAGACGTGTGAAAGCTTCCCTTTATCGCCTTGTATAGAAAATAGGGTGAAATCGTCCATTGCCCTCTTGCAATATGCATCGATAAGTCAGGAAGCAGTCTCCGGAAGCTCCCAAATGAAAGAGACACAGGCATAATCATCGCGATGTAACTGATCAGGCTAAGCAGGCTATCTGCCACGAGCTAGAGCCCCGGCCAATAGAGCTTTCGTTCGTAGAATAGCGTCTCCAGGCACGGAGGACTGGGCGGAAGGACCTCGAGGGTTATCATGATGGCGAACGACGAAAAGCTGGGAGAGCTGATGATAATCAGCACTCCGGACTGTAGACCGGCGAAGTTATACAGCTGATTGAAGCCAGTTCGCAATGAAGATGTCGTCGATGGATGCTTGAATGACGGACGAGAACGGACGATGTGAACACGAGCTGGCGAGAGCTGATTGAGGTGGATGCCAACGACGAAATCAGACCGTGGATATCTGGACGTGGAACTCCTCTGTGAAGGGAGACAATGTGCGAAGGCGTAAGAGGACTACGATTTGTTCACGATGTGATATATATACGGCCTCGTACATACAACGTTCAAAATTTGACAGGATAAGATCGGAAAGCGACAGCGCGTACCACACTACCGCAGGGGAACTCCGCCCGCTTCCCAAGTTCACGAACATAATAACAGAAAGCGCACTACATAGTCTAATACACGAGAGCTAGGAAAGAAGAAGGTATCGCTTGTGAGAAGGTATATGTTGCAAGTGTTTTGAATTGCACTGCTGTTGGATGAACGAGAAAGTGGGAGTTGAGGTGGTTGAGGAACGGACCGCAGTTTGTTATGGAGACGGAGCCTCCGAGAATCTGCGGGTGCCTTTAGGGAGTATCGGAGCGGCGGTAGATGGTTTGGCCGTTGTACCCGTTATACCCTTTCCTCCAACTATCACTTTGTTCAGCATGTCCACCCATTTTGCGAATGCACCATGATTTTCAAACTGGAACTCGAAGAAAAGATTGCCCAGGCCGGTAACCGTAAGGAGATACTCTCCGGTCTCGAGGTCCGCCGTGCTTGCAACAATCTGCACACCCTTCACAGGGTATATTGTTCCTTTTCCCTCCAATGCCTAGTTATACAAGATAGCGGGCAACGTCAACTGTACCATCCAGGCAGAGACAACAGCAGGAAGATGAATCATCTCGCGTGAAAGCGCTGTGTTTACGTACGTGGTTTTCCGACGTAGTGATGCTCAGCATTTGCAGCTTCTGGAAAACATTCAGGGTCGCACGCTTCCACGGAGCTGAGCGCAACGCCCACTTGTACTTCTGCGATCGCACGTACACGCCGCCGGACATCACGTCCTCTTTCGTATCTTGAACATCAAAGTTGTCCCCTGGGACGTTGGTGGGGTTTCTTTCTGATGTGCTCCCCATGGACTCGACGCGATCCGATCCCAAACTGGTGCCCTGACTCCCATCGGATCCGGCTCGTCTTTGAATACTCTTCAGCTGTAATCGGGCGGGGATGAGCGGGGATGAGCCCAGTCATGAACACAATAAGTCATGAACACAATGGTGAACCGAGAAGGACGAAATCGATAACGTTACCTTTGGCCCGAAGAAAATTCCGAGCATGGCGGCATTTACGAAGATGATGACGATCGATCGGAACGCATATTGAGTTTTAACGTCCACACCGGAAATGTACATCACAGGAATCTACCAAGAGATTATTGAAAGTGGATTAGCCGCCATTATCAACACTTTCTATGATCACAAACTCATCGAAGTTGGTGCCTCACCCCAAGCGTGGACAACAGGAAAATATTGTAGATGCAAATCGCAATGTAACGGCTTTCGTTGAACGCGCCGCGAACATGCCTAGTTAAGTACGCGACAGCCACTCCTGCGACAGCCAGCAAAGCATTGAACGAAATCATGACGCCTGTCATCGCTACGTGAACCGAGGCAGAGGTGCTCTTGCAGGTCCAGAAGCGGGAAGCGGTCAAATTTACTAGACTAGGCTTAGGCGCGTCGACTGCCGTCCAGATGAGAAGAAGCAGCTGTTATATCGTTGTTAGTTTGGACGTATCATGAGGAGTACCGCCGTTGGCGCCTACCAATTCCACACCGACAACGATTCCGACATGCAAGAGCAAAGAGGAGTCCTTGATCGAGCCCTTCATTCTCGCCAATCGATTGTTAAAAATCCTATGTTTGAACTGAGGTCAGCCAGGGTGACGGACTTACGACCTCCGCGACGGATGCATACCTGTAAACTCGCCACGTTTTGACAATCATGGGGACCATGACGATGGCATATGAGAGACAAAGCATCCAGGGCTGTAAGATGCATGTGACGCGCGTTGGGGGACCGGTGTACACGAAGATAGTACACAGCCCGAGGAGGTTGCCCAGGATCATCTATTTAATGTTCAATTTAGGGATGTTGCAGTTCGAAGACGACACTAAACTTGTTCCCACCTACCAAGGAGCAGAACAGCGGGCTCGCAGCTTTGATGACTTTGTCGTGGCGGTTGTAAAACACCGCACCCAGCATGCCCAGGGCGACGAGTAAGACCAGGGCAGACAACGCGAGCATGGCGGCTCCAAGTGGGTCCGAGAAAGCGACGTACTGAGGGGCCCCGAGATCTGCAGAGAAATGCGGGATTAGCTCGGGAATGCTGATTAGGACATTTCATTCACATTCAGGGTACTCACCAGGAACGGGCTCGACCCACGTCCCCATCGCCACCTCAGCATCGTATTTCACGTCAGAGAGCGCCTTGTCGAGGGAAGAGACGCCGCCGAGGTATTGGTTGATGTGCTGAAAGACGGCACGAGAAACGGCGAGGTAATTCGGCGCGCTCTGCGCCGAGGGACGAGCGACGACTTCCAGAGACGCAAGGAGTGGACAGTCGATGTAAGTGCACAAGGTAGGATCTACAAAGAAGGAGATACGCTCGTCAGAAGGATGCTATGCAGCGAGACTCCAAGGCACTACCCACCATCAAGCAGACTGGGGTAACTCGGCAAAAGCGAGTAGTTCATGGCACGCTGCTTCTGGACCAACTTCCCGCTAAGGAACCTGACCGCCTCGACGGCAGCGGAGATGTTGCGGGAGTACTTGCTGACGGCCAGATGCCACCCGCCGAGTGCAGCACCGCTCAAGCTGGGGTTCTCCCCGGGGAGGCGAGTGACACCAAAAGCCGGAAAGTTGGGGGTGGATCGCGTTTCTGAGAGGACGTTTGGCCTGGAGATGTTCGATAGATACGTGAAAGAACAGATGAGTCAGCTCACCAATCTGAGGAAGCGTTCATCACCATGCAAAAGCTGTCCTACCATGATCGCAAGAAGAGCGCATTGCCCGCCAGCCATCGTGCATTCGACTCCGTCTCCGTATAGTAGATGTCGTCGAAAGGTGTGATCTTCTTGTCAAAGATCCAAGCCTTTACTCGCGACAGGATGGCCCGAGCATTGGGATTGTCGAGATCGACGAGCTTCTCGGCGTTGACTATGTCACCGCCGCCAAAGCTGTGCAAAAGCTCCACCAAGTTACAGGTCAAGCCCTCGTATGCTGCGATAGCCGACAGGTTAGAGCTTGTACCCTGGCAATCGCTCTCGTCCCCGATGAGCACACCTACCGTTGAACTGGCCAATATACCCTGCAAAGGACGGATTTGTTGCCTTCTCCCCGGGCACAATTTTCATCGCCATCTCCTCCATCTCGTCCCAAGTACTGGGCGGTCCGGTGAACCCGTATTTGGTGAGTAGGTCCTGGCGGTAATAGAAAACACCATAGTCTGCCCAGTAAGGCAAGGCTACCAATTTCCCATCGACCCAGTCGGCGGTGAGGATGCCAGGATTGTGTTGCTCGTATTCGGTCTTCGGGATGTATTGGCTAAGGTCCACAAAGTGCTCGGCTGGTGAAATGTGGGGGATGAGGGAGAGAAGAGTGAACAATGTTTGTGGCAAGTCGGTTGAATGAACAGCGTACCGAGGTCAGAGGGCCAAACACAATCGATCATGAATACGTCATGATCCGCCATGTGATGGGATAACTCAAAGTTCACCGCTGCCGAATACTTGTCCGATAAAGGTGTTGGGGAGTAGTCGATCTGGATGTCCACTTCGGCAAACTGAGATATCAACGGGTTCATCACCTCCTCCTCCCGATGCGGATCTGAATTATTTTGTATAGCGACTGCCCGCATCATCGAGACGCTCACGGTGTAGCGAGCACGAATGATGGTAACTGCACGAGGACATGCAAGGGAGATCAGTCCTCAGTTTCTCTCGAGATCATTACTTCATCAATATAGCAGATCATTTTTTCTCGCGATCAGTAGATTGATGTGATGCAAGCAAAATTCAACTGGGGATGCGTATATACCTCCATGGCTAAGAAGCAGGGCGGCGGCAAGGAGGATAGGTTTCCAGCGGCAAAAGGACAACGGTGTAAACGCCATGGCGACCTTTCTCGGTAATGCGTAGATGACGGCTCTTTGATTGATGTAGCCTTGCAGCAAGACGGAGAGAAGATGGGCAGACACTCAGGCAGAAGATGTATGGACGAGATCTGCATCCGGACGCCTTATATATGTCACGAGAGCTGCAAACGAGCGGTATTGAAAAGGGCCAGCGGTACTGGGACGCTTGCAGCGCTTGGATCGCTCAGACCGGATCTAGACCGTACGGCTCTGGTGCACTCGGGACACATTCCTGTTATTCTCTGAGAACTGGTTCGCTTCTGGAAAAGGGCAGTGTCCACTGGGAAAGGTTAAGCGTAAACTAGATCCGAAGGCCAGGTCAATGTTTGCTGTGCAGAGAATGGCCTGCATATTAGAGCTTTGTTCCATTTCCTTGCGGACTTTCCCATGGAGCTGCTGACACCACGCGTCAACTCGCGTCGCGTTCCATTATCAAAGCTTTCGCAGACTTGAAAAAGTAGGCAAACGGAAGAAACAATTGGAACTGTACATAGTTTATTCAAAATCTATACATGGAGCTTATGGTACAAGGGGATGGGATGAAGGACAATATACATGGGTTTGTGTTGTGGGGGTGTTGAAAGTCATACATGTACAACATGGTATGAAGTCTCGTGTAAGAAATGTATGCACCAAAGAAGGGACTCTAGGTGAGGGGAGATTTCCTAGAAATGCTCCTTTCTAAACTCAAAGTTTACGCCGCCGCCACTTGCGCCCGCACAACTTTTCCTCAGCACTGACGCCAACGGGCTGGGTCCGCAGTAGAATACGCCAACGTCAACGGCCCCGCCGCCGAGTTTCGGGTCCACAACTTCGCGCTCTACAGCGGCGCGGACGTTTCCGAATGCTTTCGCCCAGTCGGGGCGTCCGAAGTGCGTCTTGTTTCTCAACTCGGTCAGAGCGTCGTAAGCTGAGTTGTCGTTCAATGCGAGGTTCTGAATGTCGTCGACCGAGAGGTTGCCAGTCAGATAGACATGGATCTCAAGGAAGGATGACGGGATACTCTGTTCCAGTGTCGACAGGAGCGACTGGAACCAGGAGAATGACTCCTTGTCACGAGCCAACCAGAAGAAGTACACCTTGCGAAGTCCGATGGGTGCTTTGCGGTAGTACCGGTACCACAGGGATTTCAACAAAGATGCTGCGGGAGTGACTCCGATACCGGCGGAAACGAGGACGGCCGAACGGTAGTTGTAGAAGTCTTCCGCAGGGGCGCCGAACGGCCCGTCGATTCGGATAGTCGGGAGCCTAATCTTGGGGTCCAAGGTGGATGCTGAGTCATCGCTGGTGGAGTATGCGCCTAGCAGCTTGGCGGCTTTCTTGGTCCAGTCACCGACAACACGAATGTGCACGGATACGAAGCCCTCCTCGGGAGTGGAGGAGATGGTGAAGGGGTGCCACTGGAAGTAAGCAATGTCGGGAATGTTGAGGAAGAGGTACTGTCCGGGCTTGTAGGCGAAGGAAGCTTTCTCGATCCTGAGCTCAATGGTGTTGCCAGGGTGCATAATGACCTTCGACAATTGAGTGGATTGGCGGGCACGGTACTCCCTCACGATCCTTTCGAGGATGTACAAGCAGAAGCAAGGAACGGTGTAGATGTTGGAACCGTAAGGCTTGCACTTTCCAGCGTTACTCTTAACGAAGCACCCGGCGTAGTGCAAGAAGAGGCACACGTAGAAGAGTACGAACAGGTGGTGGGCGTACCAGAAAAGTTCGAACTTCTTTTGGCGAACCTGCGTTTTCGCGGCACTATACATGATGAACATGAGGACAAGCATGATGTGGCCGGTGACTCCCGCGTATGTGGTGTAGTGAATTTGCCAGGCGCTGGAGAGAGAAATGAGAAGAGTTAGATTCTGCGATTGCAACAGTGGAAGCTTTCTCATTGTAAAACGACTATTAAAGCCTTACCGAACGGGCAGTTTGTCGAAAATTTTCGACTCAACAAAGAAGAAGTTCACATAGTGAGCATTCACGTGCACTAATGTGAAGAATAGTAGCGAGTACGCCGCCATTTTGTGGAAGAAGATGTTTTGGTCGAAGGGTAGTATCCTGTTAACAATCCTCAGGTTTCGGGCAAAGCGAATCAAGTTCCGGCACATCGGAAGCGTGAGCAAGCAACAGTCCATCGCAAGCACAAGTCCAGCTCCTCGGGAAGTCGCGACGGAGTAACCGAGGGAGTTGAGAAGTTGGAGGTCGCCGTCCATGCGTTGTTTGAAGAATCCGAAGATAAATACTCCTGCGTGGACGCCGTACCAAAAAATGTAGAATGCCCACTTGCGTGCGGTCATGTCTAAAGAACAGGAAGGAAAATACGTGAGCTTTACCGAAGCACAGGTTTTGCTGCTAGAAGCGAACTTCTCTTGTTCCCACTGTTCCGCACTGCACACAAGCTGGTGGTGACGGCTACTTCAACTCACCTGCGAACAGACTCTCTGAAAAACTGCCGGACATGGCGAAGGTTGACTGGGCGATCTCAGCTCTCCCTGGCGACGATAGCGAAGAAGTCTTATGAAATTGCGTTGCTGCTGCTGTGCTCGATGGTGAAGGATGACGAGGCCTGGAAAGATGCAAGTTCCGAGAGGATGTCTGTCTTTTTGCCAAGAGAGGGACGACCGCTGCTGGAGGTTTAAGTGGCGGGGCCGGGAAAGAAGGCAAGAGAGAACAAGGAAGCCAGCCAGCCACTGGATACGTAAAATAGAGAATTCCGTTACACGTTTTACTGTATTTACGGTGGCCGCCGATGATAGCCGCCCCTATATGTCTTCTACCCGCAGCGCACATCGTCGCACTTGAAGCACAGTCTCTCACCCCCCTCTTTTACCCACCCACCCCCTCTTTTAATCTGCATCTTTCCCCGTTTCATCGCGCAACTCCAATGACCGCAAAAAGTTCATGAGCAATTATACCACCCTATACTCCTGAAACAGGCCAATCTCAAGTTTACCCCGTCCACCCCTTGTTTCGGGATACCGCGTCGATTAATCGACAACCGCGTTTGCAAACTTCGACAGCGTGTTCTGAGGACTTACGTAATGGCATTTGCAGCTCAAGAATGAGAACGACCTGGATAATTAGAGGATAGCATTTGCCAAATTTTTTGGGAAACAGACGGATGATGTGAGCTGGACCCTTATGAACGGGCGGAATTGGGAGAATCAGCGATGCACTAGCCGTTGCACATAGGTCGAAGCACTGGATTATCAAAGCGTCTAACAAAAGTCAGGCGCGCGAACCTGTTGGGCTGAGTGCAATCGAACTATCGTTCAGCTCACTGTGTCCACATGGGTTCCCAACGCTGCGTATGAGAGCGACTTGTGTAGAAGTCAAATCCTCGAGGAAGCTCTATTAAAACAGTCCAGCCTCTCACCAAAGTCTGAGCGCCACGCTATCGCTTCCCACATAGCAATCGTCGTTTGGAAACCAATTGGATAATTTGCATTGCAGGTATGGGCCTTTTTGAGGAGTTTGGATGAACTGAAAGATTGATTTCAATGTGCCAATTTCATATTCTGTCCATCAAACTGCCCTCTCCGATTCAGTTTAGACCTTCAGACTCGAGATACAAACATGCATTACAGCGCTGTGCTCACCATCCTAGCCGTACTTTCCTGTCTCCTATATCGCGTTGAAGCATGCGGCTGTTACGGCCCGCAATCATGCACGCTCAAAAACGATCGATGCAACGGGCAGCCGGCTTCCAGCATCATCGCGACGCTCACTGCACTGGAGACGAGCGCGGCATCGTTGGATCCTCGAGCCGATGCGGCTGGGAAGGATGATCAATGTGTTTGCGACTGCTGTGCGGTGTGCAATACCGTAAGTCATGGAGAATCTTGGGGATGGTTTGCATCTTATAAAGCAGTGCGCATCACTAGAGCTGAAAGCATCCGTACTCTCTACGTATACAGTGCTCAGCATTGTTTTCCGGATGCGGCGCTGACAACATCGAGACGGACATTCGCTTCCGACCTTCACTAAAGCCTCTGCAGCTGAATAAACCGATAAAACCACTGACAATCACCAGAAAAGGAAACACGACAGAGAATCTCGGGCTGTGGGGCGAGCTTTGTGTTGACGGGAATTTGCCAAAAGGGCTTGAATTCGCATACAATGCGGAAGATCAGACGTTCGTGTTGCAAGGCACGCCTGTGGAGAAGGCCCGAAAGGAGCCGGTGGTTGTTATTGCAAAAGCAGGGGGTGGGGTGTTGCAGAAACTGAAGTTCAAAGTCACAGTGAAGTGATTTACGTATGCTCGCATCTCTTTTCATGTGCTTCAAAGTATATCAAGTCCGTGTTGTTAAATCTACTGTACGTACCATGTCGTCCAATACACGTTCCCGTATGAACTTCGATTTGCATCACGGCAATCATGAGCTCCGACGGACACCAGAAATGCCCCCACGACAGCTCCCTCTTGAAAGCGAAAATCATAGAAGCAAAAGCAGCAAAGCCCCTGCAGTGATGCGAGTTGCTAGGATGCACATCATATCACATATCGCATTTCAGAGGTTTCCCAAAGGAATATTCTGAACGACAGGGCTATGACGCTCGCACTTGTGGGATGCTTGAATATGTGAGAGAAAGGACTCGATATGCTAACAGCCGTAAGTATCTGTTGGGCCGGTTTGACCCCATGAGTAGTGCTGCCGGAGGAAAGTCAAAGAAGCACACATGAAGCAACCTCTCCTTAGCTGGGTCAAGGTATAAGCACAATTGGCGTTGGTGAAAAGGAGGGTAGCACAGCACTTGCGTGCATTAAACTGAAGTTTGAGCCTGATCACTGTGCGTTCCCGTCCGCACCTTGCCAGCGAGTGTTCGAACCCAATGCGAAAGGGAGTCAGTTGGGATGGCCGTGCAGAAGGGAAAATCCTCGAGTTCAAAGGTCCCGTTGGTGACAACTGTTGAGAAGGTTGGCCAGGTTGGGCGTCAGCAACGCCCATGTCGACGACTTGCAATGCGTTTGAAGCTCAGCTTAGACCTGGAATATATGCACCGCAACACACTAACCCTCGAACACACAACTCACTGCTACTATCTGTGTAGTGCGACTGTCGCGTGATTTTGTGTTGGTTCCTCTTTGTAAGCGGAAAACGAATTTGGGTGGAGGACACCACTGCCAGGTCCTGACACATGTGGTTCCACAAATACTGAACAACGATCCTCTCCGACAGCACAGCCTTCGACTCTTTACTCTCAAAATGACCGACGCCCCCCAGTCAACGTCGCCGACAGCGCCGGAGTTTGCAGTGACGGCAGAACGTCTGACGAGTCTAAAGTCGCGCCTACAGGCGATCTCCATCAGACATTCCCAGCGCCGGTCCTCCACGGACTCTGTCGGAAATGTTAGCCAAATCTCAGCCACGCCCTCCATGTCGAGTGTGGGAGATCCTCCATCGCAAAGATATTCCATGGCCAGCATGGAAAGCATGCTGAACAGTGTGTCGGCTTCAACGGACGACCTGGAGAAGCTACCTGTACCTGAGGAGCCCAGAACTCTGTGTCATTGCGGCTTCTCTATAAACGAGAACGACCCCACTTCCTGCGGAATTTGCGGAGGGTTTTTGGAGCCGCTGGAGAAGCTGACGAGCGAGAAAGCCCGGCTGTCCGCGGAACTGCTGGATCTGAAGCGGAAAGTCCGGTTGATGGAGCAACGGCAGGATGCGTCCACGCATGAGATGGCGATATTGCGGGATCGGTGCACCGAACTCGAAGAAATCACTGCGGCGAAGGAGGCCGAGCTCAGTTCTGTCAGGGCAGATTTGGATCGGTTAGGACAGAGACTTGTGGATGAGGTGGAAGTCAGAGCAGAACTGCAATATTCGAAAGATGCGATGAAAGATGCGATGCAGGAGGAGTTGGAAGAACTTACTCGATCTTTGTTCGAGGAAGCGAATTCACTGGTCGCTACTGAAGCAAGGCATCGTTATGAGCATCAGCAAAAGGAGGCCGGTTTGCGGATGCAAATGGAGGAGATGACATTGCAATTGCAGATGGAAAGGGATCAACTGAAGGAGCTTCGCGCCCGAATGGAGACAATTGAGGCTGAGCGATCACTTCGAGGGTCGGCCAATGACGTAGGAGGTTCCCTTCCGCGTTTGAACATTCACGGCTCCGATGACTCGATGAACACCAATTCCTCTTCCTCTCCGGCTCCCACATACGAAGACGCGATTGATCCCGTTCTATTCGCCGAGTTTGACGAGTTTGTGACCGCAAAGTCCGATATCAAGCTCGGCAAAATGCATACCCTACCTTTCATGAAGAATGCGTTGGAAGATGATGTCTCGCCCTGCTTGCGATTTGGCGGTAATCCGCGAACTTCAACGAGACGGCTCATCGACGCTATCATTGCGAATACATGTTTCGTCGAAGAGATTAGTCCGGCGCAGCAAGCAAATATGGAGGCGGCGCGGCAAGGGAGGCCAACAGAAGCAAGCCGTACAGCTTCACCGCGTGCCTCGATATCCCCATCTCGCACCGCGAGCACTAACGCGCAGCATAACCGGAGTGGAGGAGTGCTCACCGAATACGAAAGCGTCACGCCCACAGCGAAAACCGCACAACCTTCAAATAACGTCTTCAACCGGTCCGTGATGGAGCGATTGAGCAACGCTTTCGGTGGAGGCTCCATGACCCTCAGTTCGTCTCACCAATCCCTATCCTCCTTGGCAAACTCCTGCTCCGCCTGTGGGAGGTCACCAACCGCTGCATCCTCGTCTACATCCACCTCAACACCAAGCCGCGGCGGGCAGTCAACATCTACCCGCTTCCAATTCAAAACGTCAGACTCCCCGGAGGAGGGCTGGAACCCGATATGTCAGCAGTGCCGAGACCGACTCGTCGCCGTGTGCGAGTTTTACAACTTTGCCAGGCACGTTAGACAAGGGCTGTACTCCACACGGCGCCGGGAAGACCTGTACATGGAGGTCCTTAGCTACAAACGACGGATGTTTTACGCCCGGATTGGGTGCGCCAGGTTCGCCGAAACCGACCGGACGTTTAGTTCGCGCCGACCGCGGCCCAACAGTTCAGTCATCTCTCCCATCACCGGCTCAATCGCGATGCTTGAGGAGCCACCAGCGCTTCCACCGTCTGCATCAATATCACCGCCGGCTACTCCGCTGAAGGCGTCAAACACATCCTTGCACGATGGAGCCGGTTTAGTGCTGCCATCACCTGTGGCTAATCACCCAGTCGCTTGTGAAGACTCGGATGACAAAACGCCCACCGTCTCTGTCGCAGGACAACATCCGAATTCCTCGCTCCAAGATACGGACCAAGCTAATGCATCTGAAGCTCCGTCTGATGCATGACGGCCCGACAATCTGATACCCCCTTACCCCATCTCCTCATTCTTGTATAGAAGTTCACGTAACGAAGGGAATATTCCAATACGTACGCAACACATATTCGCTCGTATTCTCAACCTTGCGTTATCCCTAAGATTTCGAACCTGCATGTAATTGGGATTATCTTCTGTTTCATCTACCCTATATAATATGTAGTTTGCGGGAGCCATTTCTCAGTGCCGGGCCTGGTTTTGAGCGGATGGTCGTAGAATGGACTGGTTTTGAGCTTAAGCTGCTGAACGCTCCGCGGCTGAGAATCGTTTGAGGAGGGGTGTGTCAGACGCCAGAGCCCCAGGAAAGGATGTCTCAGCACGTGCGTCCCTGAGAATACAACGGATACGTCATCGAACGAGGGAGGTTTGAGCATCCACCTCGCTATGCGCCGGTCTGCTGCTGCCGCAACAGCGAGTGTTTTAACGCCTCTATCCGCTGCGCAATTGAGTCCAAATTTGCTTTCTGCGATATAAGATTCATGTCAGAACGGACTGTCGTTCGTTCATGGCGCGTGAATGCGGCTTACCTCCTGAGCAGTAGGCTGTGCGCCCTCCGATTCAGCACGACTAACGGTGCCAGGACTTGACACAGTGCTGTGGACTGGAGCAGCAGCAGAACTTATAGAGACGGGGGTTCTGCCAGGGAACGTAACTGGATTCGATGGTCGACTTGGCGCCGGTGTCCGATCGTTTGTGAATGTTTGGAAAGAAGGTACGACGGATGTGTGCAGAGCGCCTGCTGATGTGCGCGTAATGACGGTTTCTGGTGGTGGGTTGCGGAGGACATCATCTTTCTGTCATTGCGATCGGGGTAAAGCTTTTCAGCGCTATGCAATTGAGGCAGGCGGATCAGATGAAGTGCTACCCACCGACTCTGAATTTGGCTGATTGAAGTGGAAGGCAGACCAAGCGGGGAAGTTCGTCTCAAGGTCTATGATCTTGTCCTCCAGAGCTTTTATCCTTGTAAAGGGATCCAGTGGTGTTGAAGATACTAGACCGTCGCCATGGTTGCATTGTCAGTAGTGAGTTTGCAAAGACACAAACTCACACACTTCCCGCTGCTTACAAAATGTGACGTTCAAATGCTCCTGCACATTTCGGATTCTCTCCTTCAGCCCCTGCAATGGTACTGAGGATTGGCTTTCGGTTGTTCCTCCGCCCACAGGATGATTTCGATGCGTAGACCTCTCAAGTGGACCAGATTGATTGTGAACCACATCTAACTTCATTTGAACAGTTCGATTGAGTTGAGCGGCGTCCGTTCGTGCGCTTGAGTTTGCTAACGGGATCGACTGTCAGGTGTTCGTGACATCGACGTAAATGCTGATGCTAAAGAACAGTACCATCTTCCGGATTCTCGCGCTGTAGAAACTCTCGTTGATTGCTGGCATCTATTTGCGCTCGCTTGTTGTTGATGAAGGTTTCGATCTTACGGTTCATCTGGTTCGATCAAGCGTGACGGAAGACGAAGTCAGCTTTATATCCTCTCCAGCTTCGATGTAATCATGTAAGACAGTACCTCCGCTTTGTCATCCTTGATGAGTATGGAGAGAGGATCTACCCTACGAAACTTTTCCGGCTCAGGCCCCTCCGGATGACCTGCCTCCGCTAACTTCCTTTTCAGGCTGGAAGGCGTGAGAAACCGCGTTGGGGACGGCGGTGAAACGTCCTTCCCCAGAGTGGACAGGTTCTGAAAGAAAGGTTTCAAATTGTCGCTGTCTAGGACACCCTGCAAGAAGGACGTCATTGCAGACTCAGTCGCCGCACTTGTTGTTGATGGCCCTTTCGTGCCGTCGCGGAGGGTGATTGACAACCCTGCCTTTCCATAAAAGTCAGTAGTGCTCTGACACTCACGCGAGAAAGTCGGGCGGTACGTACCTATAGAGCCTAGAAATGTCCCGATTAACCCCACCAAGGCGGTGGTCGCTGCTTCTCGCCCTGAGTCGTCCATAGCCGTTGACTGTGCTGGTGTGGGATATGTGAAAGAAGGTGGAGGAAAGGAGGAAGGTCGAGCCCTTGTGAACCGTTGACGAGCCGGGTCGAGAGTCCAGGAACCCAAAACGGAAAGTGAAATGGTTGGCGCCTAGTCTCGCTTCTGAAGAAGGCTGCTGGAGGTAACGGAAGCCTTGTACTGTATGTGTCTATTGTGCAAATGCCGGAGGTTAACGTCGGCTATCTCAGGGACATCTCTGCGAGAGCGAATGGGGTTCTCTCGGACACCACGTCGACGCGATGGAAAAGTGGAATCGCTGATGCACACAACACAAACGCATAGGCATCTTCCGCCAGCAAGTTCAATCACACACTTGGACCTAGCCTCTGACACCTACCTTCATGGGAGGCGGTAACGGCTTGACCATGTTGTCTCTCGTGTTCACCTACCAAGATGACAGGATGGCAGCCGTCTCTCGGGGACAAACGCCGCTCATAGTCGGCCAAACGTTGGGCTTGTGCAGAGGGTCACAAAGGCATATGAGAAGGACGGGAACTCAGTCATGCGCGAACTGATCGTAGAAGAGGAAGGTGCTGAATTCGAAGTGACAAATTGAATTCAACAAGAGTGCAGCCGCACGGATGCCGTAGAACCAGTTGGAGAGCTAAGATACAGACTCCACATGTACTCGTTTTTGCTCATTTGGCGGTGTGCGCCAACAACTCCGACATGTTCTCCTCCGCGATTCTTCTCAACTCTATGTCGTTGACGTCCAGGTCCTGATCATACGTCGCTTTCATCTGCGTGCGGTGAGTCAATGTTCGGTGTCGATTCGCTGCATCAATGTTCTTCCAACGCTCATGTTACAAATCTTGAGCGGAAACTTACAAGGTCTAAGAAATCTTTGGTGTTGCCAATCAACTCCCCACTCTCCCTCCATATCAATTGCGGTAAGTTCTTTGGAGTCTTCAGCGTCCTATCCCGCGCTAATCGATGAGTCCAATGATTCTGCGTGACCGTAGCTTCTACAAATGCGTCCCATTCTCGCGGATGCTTCAAGATGAAGTCGGCATGGAAATCGGGAAGGTTGGTGAGGAGACGGTGCGCGAGCACTTCCGCCTACAGAATTCGGATGAGAATATATCCATTGTAAATCACATCTCCAAAGGTATCACAGACCTTGGTACAAACCTTGGCGAATTCAATGTCATCTGCTTTCCCGGCTATCACGAAATGTGCCATGTTTCCTCTGTCGATATCGATGAAGATTGATAGTTGTGATTGCTGCATGGGCAGAACCGCACCATGGTTGTCGTAGAAGGTCATTCCCGGTCAACGTTAACCATGTTCGGTTGAAGGTTTGGCACTTGGAATTTGGAAAAGCCACGTTTCTCCATGGATGGTGACGCGAAGAGGACGACGCGTGATGAAGTTTATTGATAAGTCCGAAAACGTGCACCAAAACGTGCAGACTGTGCGGTGGTGGTGTAGCCGGAACTTTGTGACGGCTCGCTACATAAAAGAGCGACGTTCGGTGGGGTCTTCGCCATTTCCACGACCCAGGAAGCAAGGCAGCCGTACTCCCGCGATGCACATTCTATCGTTCGCCCTGGTAGCTGTGGTCGCTCGCTGTGCGCACGCGGCGGTGATCCCACAGCAGCACCCGTTGTTCACTGAAGGGCGCCCATGGAAAACAGTGGACGGGGAACCGACCAAGCTTTTCGGTCACCGCGGCGAAAGAGCGTTTGCCCTGCCCGAGCACAGTTTACCCTCTTACCACATGGCCGTCTGGGAACACGCCGACTTCATAGAGCCGGATCTGGTTAGTTTTCCTTGGCTGCTATCCTATACTTGAGACCACATTGCCTGACACTTTCCCGTGCAGGTTCTTACTAAGGACAACGTGCTCGTAATTTACCACGATGTAAGTATTGCGAATTTCAGCAGCAACCCTTCGAACTTCATTCTAAAATCTTTTCCAGCTGTCGATAAAATCCAGCACGGACGTCGCCGATCACCCCGAGTTCCAGCACCTGAAAAGGAATGCGACAATTTGGGACCCCTGGGGCAACGCTGGAAACGTGACACTAGTCGACGATTGGTTCATCAATGATTTTACTCTTGGAGAATTGAAAACCCTCAAACTCCGGGCGGTCGGCGGAGGCGCCGGTGAGCTCAATCGAAGCAACTCCCCACATCATGGCAACCTCACTGACTCCAGGTTCATTGCAACTCAGATGGCAAGAACATGCGTACCCCACGCTACTTCGACGACATTTTCCGGATTCCCACTTTCCAAGAGTACTTGGATCTTGTCCACGATGACTCCATCAAAGCCGACCGAGTGATCGGCATCGTCCCGGAGCTCAAGCATCCAAGTTGGCACAACGAGCGAGTCGGGAAGCCGCACTTCATGGAAGACCTTGTGCTACAGACCTTAGAGGCAAATGGGTACCCCCTCCGGAAAAAGGACAAAGCTGTACTTGATGCTAAGTGCACCAAGCCGCGCGGGCCTGTTGTGATTCAATCGTTTGAGCCGGACGCGGCGAAGTATATTCGAAGCAAGTCGGATATCGACATCTTGCAGTTGATTTACGGCGTAGGTTTGCGGTGGAAGGTGTACCTTCGAAATGCCCGAATACTGACTTCCTCTTATGGAACGTTGACATCCTGACGCCAAAAGGGCTTAACGAGGTGGCAATCTATGCTACAGCATTAGGGCCATGGAAGGTTGGTAGCGGATTCCCTCGTCCTCGCTAAATGTATGCTCATTAACGTGCTGTGTTTCTCGCAGGGGTTCTACCTCGAAGGCATAGTGGCATCCCTTGCTAGCGATAACGCGACCGCCATTCTTCCCTTACTCCAGAAGACGATTGACGCAAACGGCGGACTCATCCCAGCTAAACACCTCAGCAAGGAGATCAAGAAGCGAGGTTTGAAACAGATGCCGTACACATGTGAGTTGATGAGCCCTCGTCGCTCTCCAATTGACTGCTTGTGCACACACACTTACATCTTCCAACAGTTTATTCCAGCTACGATGTCCCCGCGAAGAAGGATCACAACGCGGGAGACACAGCTCTCCACGAACGCACCCTCGAGCTTTTCTACTTCATGGCGCAGGGCATGGACGCCCTCTTCGTTGAGAATGTTGCGGAAGCTGTTCTGATCAGGCAAAGATTTGTCGATAGATATGGCTTGTCTGGACGGACTTTGGGAGCTAGAGCGGACGGAAAGGATGAGGCTGATAAGGAGAGCGAGCTCGAGGCTTTGCGGACGTGGTTGGTCGGCGTCGATAGACTAGGTCGTAGAAACTAGAACTTGTATTTAGAGACGGTGACTTTTTGCGACATGTTTATAATAGAGACCTTCGCAATCACAGATGGTATATGTACAAATGTAGAGGTCCGATATTCCTTGACGGATTGACAGGTGCACGCACTGTCGAATTTGACGGAGTTCGAGACTCATGTCACGAGCAATGTCTGGGTCCTCGATGAATTGAGGCCTCCAAGAAGTCTATTATATCTGACGCGAAGCTTTTCTACTGTATTCTGAGCTACCGCTCTACACTGTTCAAATGTGCACGCCGTTGTCCATACGCCAGCCCACGCACCTACGCTAACAACCTGCGGAAGCCCTTCCATGACGGCATGTCTCTTTACACCAGTTCCCGCTACATCTACGACGAGAAACCATCACGGAACCCCATGAGCACGTTGACGACATTCTCACCAATGGCGGCGACGGCATATCCGCCCTCCATGACAAAGAGGGCGGGACACGACAAAGACGCAATGACTTGTCCGATCCGCGTATAATTTTCCGTTGTGAGGAAAAGTCCTCCGACGGGGTCATCCTGTACATGAGAAAGTTCGAAAAGTATCAGACGTTGACCCCGATCCTCGCGTGGCCAAGAATTCCTTTGCACTCAGACCCAGCCTATCGACGGGGACTCTCCATGGCAAATGCGAACCTTGAAGGTGTCGACGCCCAAGGAGACAACTATGTAGTCTGGGCTATACGGCCTAATCCGCTTCTCAAGCACGTCCGTCAAAGCAGCGACGTACTCCTGCGATACGTATGAAAAGTGTCAGGAAGCTTGATGGAGGTGCAGTATCCTAGTGGCATGGCCAAATACCTCGTCCTGGGTCCCCAAAGGTAACGGAATGTTGACGTTGTACCCGGTCCCTTCTCCTTCTCCCGTTTCCCTCTCGCTGCCCGTATAGTACGGGTACTCCAATGCAGCGTGCAAGGACACATATAACGGGTTGGATTGCTATAGGAGCTGTTAGTGACATGCTCCTCACAACACGTCATACGGAACCCTTACGTGATAGAATATCGCTTGGCTGCCATTCCCGTGGTGATAGTCTGGTTGCGAAGTAGCTCAATCAGGTGTCCGACAAGCCTCGAACGCTTCAGAAGCGCTACCCACCGATATCCAGAATGGCAACCTTGCCTACTTTCAGCACGTCTATGAGGTGTCGCGTTGCAACGGCGGCGTTGTTGAAGAAGCAGTACCCTCCTGTGTGCCGCGATCAGAATTCCATAAGATCGTAGCTCAGGGATCAAGCTTTTGCAGGCGCGGGCCGTTTGAATCGGGAGCCCTAGCAGCTCCACGCCGTTTCGTTACGTACCACACAAATCTTCATGCGCGTGGTGACCCGGCGGGCGGCATAGAGCAAAAACCCCATTTGCCATCTCGTTGACGAGTAGCTCCGCCCCGGTCAATGCGACCTGGGCTGCATCGTACGCCGCTTCGTAGGTGCCTGGCGCGAACCGTCGAGAGATGAGCGAACGGGTCGACGAACACATTGCGTGGCACCATTACCATCGGCGATCACTGCGGTCCCGTCGTAGCAGCTAAGAGATTAATTTGGCCAGCTTGATGAGTAGTCCACTCCGGCGAAAGTTGCGTGCCAGTCTATCTCTCTTAACTAGTATCCCGGCCGGCCGATTGGACCTCCTTCCGGAGTATACGCAAATTTCGATTTCCCAGCTTCCGAGGATCGCGCACTGTTGTGTGTGAGGTGTGGAAATCTCAGAAGACATCCCCTTTGCGGCAATCTTCCTCGCCCCTGCCATACTTAGGCATTTTGAACTCGCGGACTGCAAACACATCAGGGAACACGCCGTTTGGGTTGCCGCCGATCTCTGTCCACGCAGCGTAGGCAGTCTTCATGTAGTCGACATAGTCGAGTGTATGGACTTTCAGAACTGGTGCAAGGCCGAAATCCCGCGGCGATATAACGGGCCCAAGGTTCCGGGTACGGATACTCTCGATGATGTGCTCCACTCGGGCGGGTGTTTCCTGGAAAGGTCGGAAGCGTCCGAGTTCGAATTCTTCGACTGGACTATTGGAAGGGGGCGGTGTCACCAGATACGTCGGCTACACTAAGCAGCCCCCCCAACCCCGATTGGCGCACTATTTACTCGTGTAGTTTGTGCTTCTCAGAGTAGACGGTTATTAAGCACATCTTCGAGTTCTTCTGGGGGATTATCTGGGGGCTTATGTGGTTTAGCACACGCGAAGACCCTGACAAAACCAAAACAAGAGGCCTGCTCCCGTATACAATGTCACACATACCTGTTCGGGTTACGGCTGCTTCGTAGAATAACAAAGGAGGTTCCTGGGGCTCCGGTAAGAGCAGAAGAGCTTCGAAGGAGGGGAAGGAGGGACTGGAGGGAAACTGGAATGCTTTCAGAGTTCTCAGTCTGGTTCTCAGTGGACATGCGGTCGTTGGGCTCGTTGGGCGCGTCCATCTTCTCCATCTTTGCTCATCGTGGCAGCCTTGGAGGAGCTTGGAGGCCTTGGCCAGCATTTTCTCTTCAGGTTCAACCCTTCGAAAGCTCTCCGAAACAAACAGATAACGTCCTTGGCCTTCCAATAGGTGTCTGACAGCGTTACTTTTTCCGTCCGTTGCACTACGCGACAGGGCCGATGAAGGAACACTTTGTTTTCAATAGCGCAGAATGGACGATCCGGTTGTTGTGTGGCCATGGTTGCTGGTTCCTTCTTCGGGGTGCTCCGAGTGTCCCAGCGAAAATATAGACGGCGATCCTGTCGCCCCGTGTACGGAACAAGTTTTGCCGTATGGAACATATCGTCGCTAGTTGTCGTGCAGCTAGGCGACAATCATATCTCTCCGGGCCCTTTGAATCTGGAGCCATGGGCAAGCCCGCTGATAACGTAGATCAAGAACGACTTGTAACATTTGCTTCAGCACCATATATCACACATACAACGCATAAACGACTTGCAAAACAAAACAAAACACAGGACAATACATGAAAAGTCTCGACGAATGAGTTCAGACGAAGGTCAAGGAGCCCAGTTACCAAGTTCACTTGGCGAATGCAACCAGGATGTGTGAGAATGCCCAATCCCCTTGGATGATCCCGCTGCTAGTGTCCATACTGTTCGATTTCGCCGAATTGTCCCTGTTCAGGCTCCAGAACCCAAGGAAAGCGAGCCAGTCGCCTCCGGCGCCAGCCCCAGCACCAATGTCCTTCCCGCTGCCGCCCGAAGCAAAGTTTATCAGCTCCTGGGCGTTGTTCAGAGTGAAAATCTCGTCGGCGAGATCGTTCACTCCAATCATTGGCGTCAAGCCAATCTTGGGGACTGAGCCGGCAGGAAACTCGCTCGTAAGGAGTTTGTAGGTCGCCTGGGCCGCTGAGATTGCGTGTTGGGCCATTACGGTTTTGCAGGCGTTGTTCTTGCAGTGGGCCGGGTCCCAGTCCATGACCATGAGGTTGACAACTAGAGGTTGATTGAGGTCAAGATTTTGAGAAAACGACTCAAGCTGTAGGCAGGGAAAATTATGACAAGGCTTACCATCAATTTTCAACCCGGCTTTATGAGCACTGGTCAACACATATTTCCCTTCAGTAGTGAGACCAGTCGGCTCGACAGGGAGAGTGTAGCTGATAACCAATGTTGGGTTCTTGGCCTTGATCTTCACAAGAGCTTTGTTTCTGGTATCCACGCTGGTCTTGTTCGCCAATGCCTTGCCCTCGATGTCGAAATCAGCCCAAGTTATTTTCAGAGCGTCGATCACACTCTGATACGTAGTGACGAGGGCGGCTTGACTAGCAGCCTTCAAAGCGAGCTCCTTGCCAGCAGCGCCTCCAAAGGATACAATGACATCTCCATCATGATCGTTGCGGAGCGTTTGAATGTCTTTCTTCAAGAAGCTGCTACTGACTTTGTAGTATCCGCCCCAAGACGGGTCACCCTGCTTGTCGGCGATGATAAAGCCCAGAGCAAAGTGACGCAATCCAGAGCTTTTCGCAGCGCCGACGATGTCGAACGTTGGCCAGGCCGTGACATCAACGTATGGCGCCAATGTGCGAGTAGACCAAGTCAGAGAGTCACCAAGGGTATTCCTTTTGGTCGAAAGGCTTCGTTTGGCATGCTCGGCTGTTATGATCAGCGATGGGTCTGGAACCCCCGCGCTGTGGCCCGGTGAACCACGAGCAGGGGGAAGAGGTGCGTTGAGATACGTCCAGCGCTTAAGCGGCTCAGGAAGCTCTTGGAGGAGGCGAGCTGCATTGTCAGAACCGGTGGAGGCGGCTAGCTTCACGGCATCTTTGGCGCTTTCTGCAGCCCCCTTCAGAGCATCCTTCGCGTCGGCAGCAGCATCCTTGACGGCGCCGGTCGCAGTCTCGGGAACGTTCTTCACAGCGTCCTTGACGTCAGCTATCACCCCACCGACTGTACCAACAATCTGGGCCACCGAAGGAAGGTGGATGCCACCGACGCTCCCGTCCTCGTCCACCTCTTCGTCATCCGTCTCCTCCGTCTCCTCATCATCTGCTTCCGGTTCATCACGAGTGGCTTTCGTGACCTTCGTGACCTTCTTGGGTTTCTTAGTTTTCTTCGCCTTGGGGGCTTTCGGGGTCTTAGTGGGCGCATCATCAGCGCTATTCTCAGTGCCGCCTTCGGTTGAGGCTGGCACACTGGTGATGACACCACTTTGGAACCCCTTAAACGTGTTGACAAAGTCCAGATCAGCCTGCGAGACTTGGCTCGACGCGTAGAGCGCTCCTTTCTTGGAGGTGTCCCTGTTCACGCTCCACATGGCAATGCGTCCTACCCATGGAGTGGAGCTAGCCCAGGTAGAGAGTTGCGCGGCGTCGGCTAGTCTGAAGACTTCACCCGCTACATCGTTCTGTCCGATCATAGGGGTGATGCCGATCTGTGTGGCTGTGAAGCCGGCTGCTTGAACTTGCTTGTATGTTGCCTGCGCGGCGCTGATAGCGTATCCGCCCATGCCGGTGGCACCATTGGGCGCTGCACCACCACCATAGTCCATAGCCATGATATTGACAACTGAATTGGGGTCATTGAACGATCGTAAGCGTTGGGACGCCTGGGGCGCTTTATTCAGCATAATGAAACTTACCATCAATCTTGGTCCCCATTTTAGCCGCAGACGCAAAGAGTGCAATCGAATATGCATCAACCCCGTCGGGCATAGCCGGAAGCGTGTAGGATATCTTCACGCCCGGATTAGCCTTCTGCAATCCAGCGATGGCTTGGTTACGCCGATCATTCGCAGCGGTGTTGGGCAGTGTTGCGCCTTCAATGTCAAAGTCCAGCCAGGACACTCCGTAAGTGTCAATGACGCTTTGGTACTTGGCTTGGAGAGCTTTGGGATCAGTGACCTGCAGCGCCAGCTCCGTTCCTGTAAAGTACAGTGTTGAAATGTCAGTTACTCAGTTCACGAACAGCATCCGAAGCGAATACTAGTATAGCAAAACTGCGGAGGTGATACGAACCAGTAGCGCCACCCAACGAGATGATGACATCGCCACCGAGTGCTCGAAGCTTGTCAATGATATCCTTGTAAAATCCTGTGGCGATCTTAGTGACTCCTCCCCAAGCCGGATCTCCAGCGGGATCAGCGAGAATAAACGCCAAAGTGTAAAATTTGTGGCCCGTCGTCTGGGCAACGGTCGACACATCCAGGGTCGGCCAGAGAAGCACATCGACGTATGGTGCGAAGTATCTTCCTGTCGATCCGGTGGCTGCTTCCGGGACCGGAACGGGGGCTTCCGCAGCTGGCTGCTGCTCGCCATACACTTCCTTCTGCGTAGAAGTCTTGACGGTCGTGACGCCGTTGAGGACGGCGCTGAACTCGTAGTCCTTTTGAACGATCTGTGTAGATGCGTACAGCGGTCCGGTCTTGGCTTTATCGCGATTGACAGACCATGCGCCAAGCGATGCAATCCAGTCGGTGCTCTTGGCCCAGGTGACCAGTTCCACGGCATCTGCCACGCGGAAAATTTCGCCGGGGACGTCGTTTTGACCGAGCATGGGCGTCACACCGATTTTGGTCGTGAGAAGGCCGGCCAAATGGGCTTGAGTGAGAGTGGCCTTGGCAGCGCTGATCGCGTAGCCGCCCATACCGGTTGCGCCGTTGGGCGCGGCGCCGGCGCCGTAATCCATGGCCATGATGTTGATGACTGTAGACGGATTGTCAAGCAATCAGAATGTGCTTCAGTGGCAGGATACACTTGCATTGGCCTTACCATCAACAGCCAATCCAGCCTTTGCAGCCGATTGCAACAAGGCAACACCCTCTGCCGTCAGTCCGTTCGGTAAGGCAGGCAATGTATAACCGATCTTCAACTTCGGGTTGTTTTTCTTCAGCGTCGCAAGGACCCTGTTTCGACGGTCGACGGCGGCCTTGTCCACAAGACCGGCTCCCTCGATGTCGAAATCCGCCCAAGTGAGCTGGTAGGCAGTAACAATCGATTGATAAGTGGCAAGAAGGGCTTTCTCATCGGTGATGACTTGAGCCAACTCTTGGCCTGGAAGTGGAAGCCAACTCATTTTGTGAGTGTCTGCAACCCACAAAAGAGTCATACGCATCGAAAAGCGATATCAGCAGATGAATCTTACCATTGGCGCCGCCGAAAGAAATAATTACATCTCCACCCGCAGCCCTCAATTTTTGTACAATGTCCTTGTAAAATCCGCTGGATACAGGCGTAATTCCACCCCAAGCTGGCGTATGGGCAGCATCAGCGGCCGCTGTTACAAACGCGAGAGTGAAATACTTGACACCAATTTGAGTGGCGACAGCACTGACGTCCAAAGTGGGCCACAGCATTACATCAACGTAAGGAGCGTAAACCTTGGATGGCCATGTCCCAGTGGAGGCACTGGCGCTAGTCGATGGAGGCGTCGTACCGGCGACTACACCGCCCGAGACCGCTGCTCCAGCGCCTACGGAAACGGCTATAAACAGATGACGATAGCATGAATTTCCAATGTTCGTTGAAAAGCAGTAGGCGCAAGTATGCCCACCTGTAGGTTTGGCGGCGGCTGCAGGGGCAGTTCCACCGCTGACAGGCCCAACGAGCTTCCAGATAGCTGCACAGCATCCAGGGTACCAATCCGTCTGGCTGACATGGGTCGTGAGGACTTGGTAACGGTTGGCTTGATAATCGACAATCTGGCCCTTGGTATACTGCGCTCCGATCGCCCAATTGTAATCTGTACATATTGCTAAGTGAGTAAGGAGTGCTCTGATCCAAATCCAAGCATGCCTGCTAATCACACGCCGCACTAGATGACTTACCACCGTTGGCTGCCTTACTGGGAGCAGCAGGTGCAGCAATAACAAGGCCAACGCAGAGAGAGAGAAATGTATAAAGGCAGATACCTACGCCCAGGCCCATAAGGAAACAGGAACCGATGCTCCGTGACTCCAAGAAGCCCTTCTTGGGAGTAACCTTTTTACGAGGCATCGTCGGGAGTAGACTATCGGTGACTGCTCACAAACAACTGCTCTCGATAAATGATGCTAAAAATCTCGATAGATGTGATGCTAAAACTCTCACGGGTTTGTGGATTTGATGTAAATCGTGCTCTCATGAAGGGTTCTGAGAGGGTTGCTGTTCATCAACAACAGAATCTTGGCGACGCCACCGGGGATGTGAGGTAACGTTCTTGCCAGTTTTTCGTGTATGCAAAACAGGTTAAGCGTAAGCTAAATCTGCCGCCCACTGTCTTCAGCCCAACGGCGGCGTGAAGCCCACACCACTTCTGACGGCGGTTGTTTTCGGGGACGGTTGTCTGGGATCAAGCAGCTAGGAAAACTCCGCCGGTGTCATCACTAACGCGTGATGATTGGCTGAGGGAGGCAGCGCGCCTTCACGCGTACTCGGCCTTTTCTTCGAAAGCGACGAAATATCATTGGAACTTAAACCGCCACACCCTAGCGAACTGTACAAGTATCGGTCTATACATCACGCATTAGGGGTTCCACAGGGCATAGTCCAAACGGTGTGTCCTATTTAATCTATCTGTAGACAACGTTTGCGGAATTCTAGTACACCCGCAATGTCAGATCAAACCTCAATCTCACCAAGAGGCTTGTCAAGCTCGGACGCGACGATGGCCCAGAAAGCAAAGGCCAAGGCGTTCTGGTATAGCGCCCTCGGGTTGACGACCTCCATTTGATCGGCACGGCTATGGTGAAAGGCAAAATAGGTGTCACTCGTAATCGTCGTCTCGAAACCAGCAACGGGTACGCCAACGGCTCCCAAGAGTTCCGTGTCTGATGGGGGAGGTGAGGTGACATGAGTCAGTCACGTGGTTACTTCAGTTCGTCTTGGGCATTGCAAAAGAGCCTTACCAGATCCAGAGTAACCTTCACCGCCTCCTTCGACCGTTCCCCAGTGGTTCGCCTGGATCAAAGCATCCGCTTGGGCAGCCGCCTGCAAAACCTTCAACGCCTTCTCTCCAGCGGGGAAGTACGATTCAACAGTAAGCCCGGCCGGGGTCGCGACGCCAAAATCACTTTCAATGGCAAGGATGTGGCGCTCGCCGTTGCGCTTCTTGTTTTCCGCTTGGACGTATTCCGCGTATTTGGCGGCACCGTGGGAGCCGCTCTCCTCGTTGGCCCACCCGGTGAGCCTGATGGTGCGCTTGAGCTTGATCCCGCTCTTCTTGATGAGGCGGATCGCCTCCCAGGCAGCAAAAACCGGGCCACCGTCGTCACCTGCACCCACGCCAACATCCCAGCTGTCGAAGTGTCCGCCGATCAAAACGAGATCCTTGGGATGGGTGGTGCCGGGCAGGTCAGCAAAGATATTGTAGGTGGTCGTGTTGCGGTAGTCGGACTGCAGGTTCAACTGGACGACTGGAGCCGGGTACTTTTTGGGATTGGTTTGCGATCTTTTGTAAAGCCGTTGAAGGAGGTTGGCGTCCTCAGGAGAGATTGCCGCCGCAGGAATCCTAATCGAATGGATCAAACGCAAGGAAGAGTCATTGAAGAGTTCTCGTTCTCCTAACCCCAGATGCATACATACCCAGCGCGCCTCGAGAATCCAGTGTGGACGGTTCGCTGACTGACGCTCGTGGCCGACCTGATGATCACAGCCTTGGCTCCGAACGCCTCCACAGTTTGTGCCGCGGTACTTCTGATACGAGAAGCGGCGCCGTACCCCGTCCAGTTGTAGTTGACGAGAACAATTTTGCCACGGACATCCGTAGTATTGAGCTGAGCCAAGGACGTGATCGGTATCACCGCTCCGGTGATGCCCTTCTTGCTGGTTGGGAAGGAGCTGCCGAGAGCCAACACGGGGATATCGAAATTGGGACGCTCCTTGTTGCTAATGAGGGTCAACGACTCGTCCTTCCTGGTCCAAGTAGGCACGTTCGGCACGGGTTGTTGAAAGATCTTGAGGTCATCGGCTTGCAGTTGGTCACGAAGCCATTTCAACGACTGTTTCCGTCACTGAGAAGGTCAGTGCAACCGAACGTGTTATTTCAATGAGTTGGTTTCACACATGCCTTCAAGTACCCGGGGGTCCCAGTCTTCCTCGGACCGTAGGTGTCCGTCATCTCAGCCAGACGGTCCCATGCGTCGCTACCTGTATCGACCTTCTGGACTGCAGCCCAAGCCTTCTGGACATTCTCCCACCCAGGAAGGTTGATGGTGGAGTTGCCCGCCGCTACAACGGGGTCAACCCAATGGCTCGCGCACGCGGCGACGAAGAGAACGGATTTCAAGAGCATGTCGGCGGAAGCTTTCAGGTGTTTTGTGGGTTTCAGTGTGGACGTCCCAGGGGCGTGCCCTCCTTTCTCGGGCTTGCCTTTATACCCCTGCGTTCCCAACTTGCCAGTGTGCACCTGTTGTCACCAGCGGGACAGCCTGTGCGTCGTGGGCGTTGTGCCATCGGAGTGCAATCCGCGTCTTGTGCTGGAGCAGACGCGTTTGATCAAAGACAAAAAGCGTTGATCCCCACGCGTTTTCAGATTGCGTGCTTGCACCTTGCAACCTTCCCACGCCCGACGACGTTGCTGCACATCCAGATCCCATGTCGAGACCAAGGAGTCATTTCCAGACCGATGCCAGCTGGCCCATGTTTCTGCAAAGGCGGCAGGACTCTCTATAACGCTAGGACATACTGTAGAAATACCAGCAGTCGTGTGAATGCTGGCTCGGATTGAACAATCGTTCCTTAGAGACGCTATACATATATGTACGGGTTCTGAACCGCCCTAGGCACCTCCGCATCAGCCCGCATCCGCCTCGCTATCCATCAAGACCTTCTGCCATCTATGCTTCTTTTTTTTCCTGCTGGGCGCATGTTGGGGTGTCGGAGACTGATGAAATGCCAGTGGAGAACACGCGCCTTATGAGAACGCGTTGACCAGCAGGACCCTGTCCAAATTTCAGCGGCCCCCATCCCCAAGTCCGTCTTCCAACTAGCGACAAGTCTGTTCCAACCGAAGATCTCAGATCTTGTTTGCTGTTCTCGACGACGGATGATATACCGCTCATCCGCCTCAAGAGCTCTCTTTGTTCGCAAAGCTGCTATCTCTCATCCTTCCCTGTCTCTCCAAAGCGCACGCACCTTGCATCTGCACGGAAGTAAAGTTGTCGCAAACCAAGTTCTCCCAGCCCCGACATATTCCACGAAACCCACAACAACCATGGGAGTTCGCAACAACGTACGGCCGTTCCCAGTCCAAGGTCTCCTCCCTAAAGACGAAACGCAAGCTGCGGCATTCATTAGAAACCACCCTGAGTATGACGGACGTGGAACCGTAATTGCTATTTTGGATACCGGCGTGGACCCAGGCTCTCCGGGAATGCAATTGACATCCGACGGGCGCCCCAAAGTCATAGACATCATCGACTGCACGGGTGCGGGTGATGTACCATGCTCAACCGTTTTAGAGGCGGCGTCAACCGACATCGATGGCGTGAGTGTGAAGACCCTGAAGGCCCTGTCAGGTCGAACACTCAAAATCGGTGATTGGAAAAACCCAACAGGCAAATATCGCCTAGGCATAAAACGCTCTTCAGATCTATTTCCGAAGGATCTCTGGGGCCGTCTGAACAAGGAGAGGAAGAAGAAGTTCGACCTCCGTCATCACGAGGTCGCGACCAAGGTCCATAGAGAGATGGAAGAGTTGAGCACTGCTACCAATGTGGAGGCCGAGGAGAAGGATAAGAAAAAAGCCGAGCTGAAGACCAGACTGGAAGTTTTGACCGAACTGCACAAGCGCTATGAAGACCCGGGATGGATCGTCGACTGCGTGGTCTTTCATGATGGAGAGAAGTGGCGGGCTGCACTCGATATTGGAGAAACCGGGGATCTCAGACAAGCGACGTTGTTGACAAATTACGCCGACGAAAGGCAATTCGCTCGATGGACTGAAGACTCGATGCTGAACTACTCTGTCAATATTTACGATGAAGGACACACCCTGTCCGTCGTGACGCTGTCTGGGACTCACGGCAATCATGTGGCAGCGATCACAGCTGCAAATTATCCCGACGATCCAGAAATCAACGGCGTAGCGCCTGGGGCGCAGATAATATCGTTAAAAATTGGCGACCAGCGCTTAGGAAGCATGGAAACCGGGACAGCTCTCGTTAGAGCCGCCATTGAATTGGCTCGCTTGAAGCCCGATTTGGCAAACATCTCATACGGAGAAGCATCGTCTGTCGCAAACACGGGGCGATTCATTGAGCTACTTCAGGACGATGTGATCAACAAAGCGGGATGCATCGTCGTGGCCGCGTCCGGGAACGCCGGACCCGCCCTGTCTACGTCCGGGACGCCCGGTTCGACTACTTCCGGCATTGTCTGCGCTGGAGCATACGTCACGAAGGGTATGATGGAGGCGGGCTATGCTTTGCTGGACACAGTGGATGAAAGACCATTCACGTGGTCCTCCCGAGCCCCAACCACGGATGGGGCTGTTGGGACGACCATCTACAGCCCAGGGGCGGCTATCACCTCGGTCCCTCAATACACTACCGCTCGATCGCAACTGATGAACGGTTCTTCGATGGCCAGTCCCAATTGCTGCGGCTGTCTTGCCTTGTTGGTTGGAGGCTTGAAAGCGGAAGGAATTCCATACACGCCGTACCGGATAACAGCGGCGATTCAGAACGGCGGGAAGGACATCAACGATCCCTCAGGCGTCAAATTCTTTCAAGTTGAGGACGCTTGGGAACACCTGACAACCACCGCACCGCAATCTGCCGCTTTCGACGTTCACTACGACATTTCGGTCAACGGGGGCCGCGGGATTTATCTCCGCGACGCGCACCAAACCACCGAGATCGGAGTTTTTCAAACGGATGTGAAAGTACGGTTTTTCGACGAGGAAAAGGAAGGGATCAACCTCCGGAAGGGCGACTTTGAAGTTAGGCTCGCGCTCGTTCCGTCGAAGAAGTGGATAAATGCTCCCGAGCACGTTCTTATGGCCAGCTCTGGCAGGTCATTCGCTGTGGAGGTTGATCCCACCGGGCTTGATGCCGGACATCACTTTGGTGAGGTCGTCGCGTACGACGTCAAGAACCCCAAAGCCGGACCACTCTTCAGAGTTCCCATCACCGTTTGCAAGCCGATCCAACCCAATCTGCGCTCCGGCGATTCGATAGCTTACTACAAATGGGACAAACTGCAATTCTCACCTGGTGAAATCAAGCGACATTTCATCAGCATACCCCCCGGCGCAAATTTCGCTGAGCTTGTAGTCCGCAGCGTCAATCGTGACTCTTCAGCAAGATTCATTGCCCACCTGCTGCAACTCCAGCCACAGACCCGCTATACCAAGCACGAGCACGAGTTCGCTTTCATGCTGGGACGGGGCACAGACACCACTGAAGACTTGACTGAGCATCGCAAGATCTTCCCGATTTTGCCCAACGCCACTCTGGAAGTGTGCCTGGCACAATTCTGGTCCTCTTTGAATACGTCCGAAGTGGAGGTTGAGATCAAATTGCATGGAATCATCACGACGATTTCCTCTCACAATCAGGGCGCGAATTCCGTTACGAGTGGGTCCGGTGGAGATTTGACGGTCGTCAATGCGGCTGGAGGCTTTGCGCGGCTGGACTTCTGGACGGGGTTGAGGAAGGAAGAAGTGCATGCTGATGTTTCTTTAGGTAACCACCCCTTGTCAATTTTGAAACCTTTGATTTGCCTAACTTGGTTCATGCAGATACTTTGCGCCGATCACTTCGCCCCACTGAATACACCATCACCCCGCTCAAGTCTAGGGATGTGCTGCCTAATACGAGACAGCTTCATCAGCTGGTGCTGACATACAGCCTGAAAGTGACCGACGCTGGCACGGGGCTGAACATCACCCCTAGAGCCCCACGCATGAACGAGATGTTATATGATGCGTGGTTTGAAAGCTTTGTATTGATCGGTATGTGATCGCCAAATTTGGGCATGCTAAGAGCTGATGGGCGCATTTACTAAAATGGAAATCTTTCTGTAGTGTACGACGCGAACAAGAAAGAACTGTCGTACCAAGATATTTACGCGAAACCTGTGAAAGTCACCGACGGCACATACACAATTCGTGTCCAACTCATCTCTTCCTCATTGGAAGAACTGGAGAAGCTGAACGCCATGTGCCTAGTGGTCGACCAAGCTCTCAGCAAGAACATCTCTCTCACTTCCTACTCGACGCTGAAAGCTACCGTCAAGGAGGACAAATCGGGAGCATTCAAGAAGAAAACAATGCATAAAGGCGACAGAGCCACTGCCTGGATTTCTTTGGAGGGTATCACGCCTCCAAAGGACGCTGCGAAGGGTGACCTGCTGATCGGCAAACTGAACGTGACCGGCGGTGGAAGTAAGATCGATGGGAACGGTCTGTACGCTCTTGGTGTCATCGTGCCGCCACCTGCTGAGAAGAACAAAAACGGGGACAAACCCAAGAAGGACGAGAGCGAGCTAGATGAGACCAAATTGATCCAAGAGGCCGTTCGCGATGTCGAGATTTCTTTGATCAAGAAACTTAAAACGGATGCGGAACGAGCGAAATTGGTCGCGAAGCTGGAGACCGAATGGGGTGCGCATTTGCCCTTCCTCGTCGCGCATCTCGAGCAAGTGGGTGAAGTCGGGGAGAAGGAGGAGAGGGAAACGCAGCAAAAGGAACCCAAGGGGCACGTCGGCGACGAGAAGATCAAAACCGTTGAAGCCGCGGCCGACAAGATTCTCAAGCAAGTTGATGAGAAGGAGGTCCGCGAGTTCTTCGGCGCCCGCCGTGACGCCTCGTCCGAGACACTCAGTGGCACCGAGTCTGACAAGACCAAGCTCGCTGAGAAGCAAAAGGAAATGGACAAGCAGAAGGAGGCGCTTGCCCTCAGCTACGGGTGGAAAGCATGGGTAGCGAAGCAACGCGTGTTGACCGAGCCTAGCAATCAATCCGTCGACGCATTGGCTGGGGCACTCGATTTGTTCGCGACATGGATTCCAGAGAAGGAAAAGCCAACGGACAACTCCCTGTACCTGCTGTCGTGGTGTGTGTTTGCGAAGCAGAAAGGGAGATTGGGGGAGCTGGTGAAAGTCACGGACAAATGGCTCAAGGATCCCACAAAGGTGTTGGACCCGAGGTTCTCCGCGGTCGTGGCAGAGTACAACGCGGCGTTGAAGGAGCTGGGGTGGGCGTGTTGGATTGAGTATGAGGAGAAGCACGCCATCATCAGGAAGCCGCCGGGAGGGTTCTCTGCGTTCTAGCAACGAAAGCAGCGCGCTAAATTGTGAAGGCGAAGGAAGGCAGATGAAAGGCGGTAGAAAGGAAGCGTAGGATAGCTGTGAGTGAGGATGGAGTTTATATGTATCTTGGGACCTCGCATGTACTGTACGTACATAAATCGTCAATAAGACCTTTAAGAGTGCGCAGAGATTGGTAAAGCGTCGTCATGGTTGTAAATGTTGTACGGCCCGACAAATGGTTTTGGTCAAAAATGAAAGTTCGTGGGAATAGGGTGGTGAGCTCAGAATTCTGAACTGGGCTACATAGTTTGCCAAGTGGCTCAAGTCTGTTCTCATAAGAGGATTAGGTGCGCAACGGTAGACTCGGCGGGAACATGCAGCGGCGCCACCCGACAGCGAATCATAGATAACGCGGATTCACTTAAGCTGCCAGATGACAGCGCGGCGCTAATCTATTCTTTACGGGGTCCAAATTGCTACCCTACAAGTTCGCAGGGATGAAGAACACCCCACGGTTCGAGTAGTATTCCTACGGGTACGGGATGGTTTCTAAAACTCCTTCTTGATGAGTTTCGCAATGGTTTGCAATTGGATGTTGGATGTTCCCTCGTAAATAGCACCAATCTTGGCGTCCCTGTAGAACTTCTCGACTCCGAAGTCCCGCGTGAACCCAACTCCACCTGGTTGAGACATATGTCAGTTATATCCTGAGAAGTAAACGTGAGGGAGACTGCCTTAGATCCCGATACTCACCGACCCACTCAATGGCCCTGCTGGACGCCTTCTCAGCGATTTGCGATGCATACAGCTTAGCCATAGCGGCTTGCTTGACGAAGTTGCGGCCCTCTTCCTTCATGCGGGCAGCGTTGTATGTGAGGAGACGGGCAGCCTCCAGTTCAGTTGCGACTTGGGCAAGTTGGTGCTCGACGCCCTGGGATGATGAAAGCTCTCGTTCAGTATCTGTTTCTTGCGAAGCATAAAACTTTGCAATCCACAGCTCACCTGGAAGTCGATAACAGCAGTGCCGAACTGCTTCCTTTGTTGCATGTATGGCACAGCAATGTCAAGGGCACCTTGTGCGATACCAATCATCTGGGCGGCGATTCCGATACGTCCTTCGTTCAAGATCTCAATAGCGTACTTGTATCCCTTTCCAACCTCACCGACAACGTTCGCGGCGGGAACCTCGACATCCTCGAATGACAGTTCACATGTGGAAGAGCTCTTGATTCCGAGCTTCTTTTCTTTCTTAGCAATCTTTACGCCCATCTCCTTCTCGACCAAGAAGCAGGTGATTCCCTTGTAGCCTTTGCTTGGGTCGACATTTGCGAACACAAGGAAAATCCCAGCCTCCCATGAGTTGGTGATCCACATCTTTCCTCCGTTGATAACGTATTTGTCCCCCTTCTTGGTAGCAGTGGTGCCAAGAGCGAATGCATCAGACCCTGCTCCGGCCTCAGACAATGCGAAGCAACCAATGGTGTCCTCAGCAAGACGGGGCAGGTACTTTTCCTTCAACTCCTTGGTGCCGTGTTGACGGACGAGGGTGTTTACAAGGGTGTTGTGGACGTCGCAGGCGACGGAGACAGACGCGTCAATTCGAGCAAGTTCCTCGACGGCGATGATAGCTGCGGTAAAAGACATTTCTGCTCCTCCAAGCGCTTCCGGGGTCTCAATTCCCATGAACTGCGGAAAAAATGCCGTGTCAGCACCATGCCCCGGCGGTGAACCCACGTTTGAGTCGCACGTACCCCGTTGGCAAACATGCCATCGAAAACGGACCTTTGTATTTGCTCCGCCTCGTCCATCTCGTAGGCTAAAGGTTTGACTGTGTCATGGGCGAACTTCCGCACTGTACTCGTGAACCACACCCCGTCAGTATCACAATCCTTCATCTTCGCTCAACCTCTCCCCATGCCATACCAGTCTCCCTCAGCATCTCCTCCTCATCTGTGAAGTTGTACAAGGAGCCAAGACTTCCATTGTGCTGTCGGGCAACCGCAGACTGCGAAAAAAACCTGCAGATCGCGGGGAGAAGCTGAATATGAGAATATGTTTTTCCACGTTGTGTTTTTTCCCACGACCTATGAGAAGGACTTCACATACCTGTGTTGTGCAAGAGGTCTTGAGCGGCCGATGGAGCGCACAGCGAGACGAGCGGTGCTGGAACGAAGGAGGGCGACCATGGCTACTGCTGGATGCGTTTGCCGAATGGGTATGGGGAATTCTGGGAATGAAAATGGGAATTGCGGTTATTGAGAAGGTTGTCTATAAGCTGCCGGATTTTGCCGAATCGTGGGGTAATGCGGCCCTCGTTGGGAAACGCGCGGAGTTAATCAAGGAATGATTAGAACTGAGGTCGAATGGCAGCTCAAAGCGTGAAGATCGGCTGCATTCGGAGTACGCGTGACTGTATGAAATCGCGTTGGTTGCCACGTGAATTCAATGTGGATCTGGACCGCTTGCAAATCCATTTTCCGCTGTTGTTCCTGTCAAATCTGGTCCACGATCATGAAGGGGAAAAGACCATATGAGGGAAGTGTAATACTTACATATTATATAGATACATGTGATATGTGCGCTGCTACAGACAGGGGCAACAAGGTTCAGCTAGATAGAGCCTATATATGTGATGCACCGTCGACAAAACCGAAACATGAACTGTTTTGTGAGGTGGATACGGGGCGCGACTCGAGGAACTTTCATGTGAACCGTGTGAAATCCAACAGGATCTCCCGTTCATCGACGACCGGGTTTCTGTTTCCCCCAGCAGCTCCCGATCCGTCTGCGCCCTCAGTGCTCGCCGCCCTATTCCCGTTTTTGACGGCGGCAGCCACGGCTCTTTCCTTGATGCGCTTGATTTGCCGCAACCGCTCCCTCGCGTTACTGGTATGACTCTCAGCATTGTTCCCACTATTCTGAAAAATCTGCGAAAAGATATTGGCCTGCACCGCGTTTTGTCGGACGAACGCACCGAGGGATGCGCCAGACACGAGCTTCGGCTCTCCCAACGGTCCTGTCTCGGGCATGTCTTGCTTCTGCTTAGCGATGACTCGGAAGAACTGGTGCTGGAAGGCGTCGAACCCTTTGTCGGTGACGACGGACACCGGGGCGACGTTTGCGAAGCTTGCTGTTGTAGAAACGGAGGATGATAGGGATGAAGTGGTGCTTGCAGCAGATGCGATGGCGCCGCCGATCCATTCACGAGCAGGTTGTTGACCGCCCAGCGAGTCGTCAGATCGCGAGCCACCAGCGGGCTCGATGATGATGTTGACGAAATTGAATTGGGCGGGGATGGTATCGAATGCGTAATCCCTCCCGCTTTCATTCCACACGATCGTCACGTAGTCATTTCCGATATGACGCTTTTTCGATGTGCACGCCGGGTCGTGCGCCAATGTAGGCATTAGTGTCGTCGTATGGAAGATTATTTGACTCAGATCGTCCTGCGCGTAGATAGCGTGTCGGCCATCAAGGTCGTCGTTGGTGTCCAGCCCACCCGTATAAATATCGCGGCAACCTTTCAGACGGACAAACCGACCGATGGTCTGCAGGAAGTAGCCGTAGTTCCGGGACCCATGGGTGTTATTGAGAATGGCCGCCTCGGTTGTCTGATCCGGACCGACGTACACCACGCCAATCTTGTGTAAGTCGATGACAGGCGTTCGGTCCAGGACCGAGACACCCCGAGTGATGGCGTCGTCTTCGGGTAAGAGCACCGAGGGTTCTTCGAATTGCAGGTTCGGATAATGAATGAATTGGGCAAGGAGGAAACTGGGATCCAGCGATGCTTGTTGTTCGTCACGGGCCAAAGCAGCGGGCCGAGCCGACTCGATGAAGCTGCGAGCGGAAGGCGATTGGCTCACCGGACCCTCGTCGCTTCGTTCGTATCGCGTTGTTGGCAGATTCGGGGCGATCAGATCAAGTCCCTCGGGCAACTTAGCCGATGACATGGAGGACGATCTCCCACGTCGCAGAGGAATGTCATCCGGGAAGTACTCGCTGATAGGGGAGTCCTCTCCACGATTCGACAATAGAGACAAATCAGATTTGCCTCGGATATCTATTGCTGCCGGGAACTCCAACTGCAGTGGGGCGATGGAGGCGAGAGAGTTCGAGCGTACGTGTCGGCGTCGAGAAAATCCGTCGGAATCGCTACGTCGAAGGCCTTGGGCGGCACTCTCCTTCCGTCCCTTCTCTATCGTGTACGCTCGCCGAGACGACATGAGCTGCTCGAATGCGACGGGCGCAACAAGCGGTAACATCGACGCTGTGGTAGCCTTGAACCTGTTCTCCAACCTCACTGAGAACGCAATCACACCCGCGGGTCGTCGAATGGTCAGGTCGATCCATCCCGGATGACTCGACACTTGAGATGTCAACAACGAGTTGCCCTGCACCCATGTGCGGCTCGGAAGTTTGCCCGGTTTGCTTCCACTTTGCAGCGGTCGCGTGTCCGGAGGCTTCGACCAGCAGTCCGCGAACGAGTTGTAGATCAGAAGGTCCAATACCAGCTCGATATTCTCGTCCAAGTCCTTGCTTTGCCGACTGCTTCGTAGGAGTAGGTAATGAATTATGAAGGGGACGTACTTTTTCCGCTCGGGAAGCTTGAGGGTCACAAACCACGCCAGGAGTACTTGATATGCGAGTTGGACGATGTAGAGATTGACTGGTGAGGTTGGAGTGCTGTTTGCGCCTGAGTCGACGGTCGTGTTGATGTACTGCAGTGCGATGACAAAGACTCGCTTGACATCAGTGTCGGTGAAGTTGACTCTAAGACTTGGCAGCCGTGCTAGCGTCGCGAGGAACTGGAGGTTGTGAACCGCCATCGCCGTTGACATCATCTGCGAAACTTTCAAGAGCGTCCCTGGGAGGAGCTTGGTCATACTCTGCGGCAGCTCGTGAAGAGCGAGCGTGAAAGCGTGAATGCAGTTCTTTGCGGCGCTGGGCCACCTGTACAGTCCCGTTTGAAACGCGACGAGCATCTCATCCTGATCTTGTCGAGTGAAAAATGATCGATACGCCAAGAGGATAGTGAGGATATTGAGCGCTGTGAGGTATATATCCGACTTACGGACCGTGGTAGGTATGTTCTTCACCGTGACAGCCGCGCGCTCATTGACAATCATGTCGCAAAAGAAGGCCCGCATGACTGTCAGCTGTGGTCCGGCAGATTGGAAGAAACTCAGATCCAAGAGCTGGTTCGGAAGTCCTTGCATGATGCACGTGTAAACATCCCAGTCCTTCTCTCTTGTGAGATTCAACATCAACGCCGCTGCATGTTGCGCTATGGGTATATGACAGATTGAGGATTCCGTTCGAGTTGTCGGGGTCGCTGGCAAGTCCGCATCGGTTGTTGGCTCATCGGATACGTCGGCAGGCCAGCTCTTCAGCCGGGAAGAGCAGGACAATGATGGGCACAGGACCAGCGTTTTCGGAGGTTCCATTGATTGCGGATTGTCCGGATCGTTATCATCGACTGACGAGGCCTGGGTTGCGTCCAAATATGACGGTAGCAGCATCGTCATAGATTCACCAGCTCGGAATGCCAGCAGATACTTCAGACAAGCCAATCTAACCGGCTTGGGGCAATTGTGGAAAGTCGGTATTCGGACGAGATACTTGAAGATCAGCAAGCATCCTCTGCCACCCCGCTGCTTGGCGCAGATCTCGCAAATCGCAAACACTTTCTTGATTGCGTACAAAGAGTGTCGATTTGGCACCGTTCCCGATCCCGGAGTGACAGCTACTGCCGTCTGAGCAGCCATGGCGGAGAGCAACTCTGCGAGCATCAGGATGCTCGCTACCGCGTCGGACTGAGAGTTCAGCGAGCATTGAACCAAAACTTCAATGATGGCGGTGAACTGCTTCTCGGTGCTATCGCGTACCTGGCTGGCGAGGAAGTCAACCACCAGCCGGAAGATGTCCAAGTTGGTCTCCTTCGGCAGATTGCGGAGCATCGGGGTGATCACAACATCGAAAAGCTCTTCCTCTTCGACTGGCGACGAGGTAGCGTATCGGTCCCGGAGTAAATGAAGCACACGTAAACGGACGTTCGGCCGAGTTTCCCGGAGGAAAAAGACGTCCAAAAGGGTTGCCATTGTTTGAACCATGTCAGAGTACGCCGCATAGTTGATAATGTTGCAAAGGTATTCTATCATCGGGTATGCTGCTATATCGGACAAATGCGGCCCGAATCTGAGTAATATGTCCAAAACTCTCGGCCCTACAATGCTGCCTTGTTCCAGATACTTCATCTTGAGTACCAGCTCCAGGATGTTGTTGTACAAGGTCATGAAGGACTCGGACTGCTCGCCTCCCGGTACGTCCTGGCCCCCAGACCCTGTTTCCAAGTGAGCCGATATTCCTCCCAAAATGTCCACAATGGCCTCCCAATCCAAAACGGTCAACGTCTCGGTATTCTGCACGATTAAACCCCGTATCGCCAGGAGAACTTCCGTGTCGATCACGACGTTCTTCCACTGCGTTGCTCTTTGCAGATAAGGTAAGAGATATACATAGCGGCAGTTCAAACTCTTAACGCGTTGCGAGCCCCAATTCGACATCCCGATGAAAAAGATTGCACCGCGGGCGCCCAACGCCGCAACGGAGGATGTGTTCGGATTCCGTGTCAGAAATGTGAATAACTCTTTCATGATATGCCGTGCCCTGTGAGACTTCAACAAATTCCTCATGATCTGCCAGCTCTGCTGGGTCAAGAGATCCGCATTGACAGTGTGTACGAGAGTAGCAGTCACGGTGGGTATAGCGGTGAGCGGCACAGTGCCGTAGCGGACCACGGCATCAAGAAGCATCAGCACATCGCGAATGAGGTCGATATCGGGCGTTCGGGATGCTATCGAGCAAGCTGACGACATAACCTGTGATATCTGCGACCCATGCATGCGAATGAAGGAAAATTTGACTACATTGACGACCAAGCTCAGAAGGCTCCTGACTTGCGCCAATTGAAGATCTTCGATGGCGTGATGAGCTGCCTCCGACATGGGTGACTTTAGGTCCCTGACACCAGCAGGGTATAAGGCAGCGGACGCCTCATCAATCCACTGAGCTAAGCGATTGAATATATCTTGCTCCGCCTCTCGTAAATCACGACCATCGTTCGTTAGACACTTCAAGATGTCCAAGCGGACGTCCAGAAATCTGCGGCCCCATTCGTCGCTGATGACCCTTTTGAAGATGGACAAGCGAAGCAGTTCTCCGTGAACCTGCTTACTATGCACGCAAGTCTTCAAGAACCTCAGGGCGGCATTGCAGAGCCTTTCCGGGGCTTTTACCGAAGCAAAAGACTCGACAAGCTGCCATAGGTCCTCCAGTTCGGCTGTCAAGTCCAAGGATTGAGTCGCTGACGTTAGATCCTCAATTGCCCGCTCCCGTTCCGCTTCAGCCACAGGGACCGCCGTATCAAGCTCGCTGCATAGTGAGTAAAGGCGCCGCCATAAGTCGGCCTCCTGGGCAGCAGGACCAGGCCCTACACCCCCCTCTTCGACCCGGGATTTGAACCGTTGCTTTAGACGTTCGACAGGGTTGGACATACGAGTCCGGGATACGAGCGGTGGATAATATTATCGGTTGAGACTTTCTTTGACAACTATCGCTTAGACGATTTCATCCACAGGATCGAGTTAAATTTTTGAGTTGCTAAGGAAGACTTCGAAATTTGCTCCAGGCCGATTTTGTTTCACCAGGCCGATTTTTAACTTCTTTTGCAGAAGCTCAGCGGCAAGAGCAATGTTTAATGTACGGACGGTAAGCGGTGGCGTTTCTTTTGCAAGGGTGATTGGACAGCCGACACCAAGACCGTATCCCTCGTGTCCTGCGCGAGGCTTCCGAAAGGAGCCCTTTCACACAGGTGGAAAACCAGGAGGGCAGGCACGACCGCGTGCACATGAGCGCATCCGTCCAGACTGCGCTAATGTATGTAGAATTGCGGAATTGCCGCATTTGATTACGCCACGCCCTCTTGCATAAAGACAATTGAACTTTCCCGTCTTGGCCCTTCATCCAGTTGGGAGCCATACCATACCGCGCCGTCGCCAAGTCGAAGACCGCGTTCACGCGTTTTGTTTGTCGTCGGAGGTTGGGGAACTTGGGAACAATGGGAAGGCATTGCGTGCCATTGAAACTGAAGGGTTCGCCAGAGCATTCGAAAGCGAGAACCTGCAAGGTTGGCTTTGTGATCCAGAGCGGCACTGCAAGGACTGCAAGGTTGGCTTCGTGGTCTAGAGCGGCACTCAATGTTGGGCTCGTGGTTTAGAGCGGCGCCGGCTCCGGGGTGCTGGGCTCGAAGGGTAACAGTGCGGCAGTGGTGCTCTTCTCAAAGGGTAGCAACGCGGCGGCAGTACTCCACGATTAAGAAAGACCGGACGGCCAAGGAGCCGAAAGATGTGAAGCCAACTTTGGGACGACCGGGGAATAACCTGAAAATGGGGATCTGCGGGCTCCCAAACACCGGCAAGTCCTCTTTCTTCAATGCGCTCACGAATAGCGCGGTACCTGCCGAGGTAAGTGAAGTGCTGTGGCTAAAGATTTCGAACCTTCTAATGTCATCGTTTTGTAGAATTTCCCATTTTGCACGATAAACCCTAACGAGGCGCGCGTAGCCGTTCCCGACGAACGGCTCGATTGGCTAGTGGACTTCTATAAACCGGCATCCACGATCCCGGCATATTTGAGTGTCACGGATATCGCCGGCCTGATCAAAGGGGCAGCCGAGGGCCTTGGTCTGGGCAACGCCTTTCTGAGCAACATTCAGCAAGTGGACGGACTGTTCCACCTCTGCCGCGGATTCGACTCCAGCGATGTGCTCCACGTCGAAGGTCGGATAGACCCCATTTCGGACCTAATAATCATTCAAGAGGAGTTGAGATTGAAGGATGCCGACTCGCTGAACAGATTGCTGGAATTAAAGAAGAAGGAATCTGCCAGAGCTGGGAAGAATAGTGCGAAAAAGATGGAGGAGTTGGATGTCTTGCATAAAGTCCACGAGTGGGTGGTTGGACAGAAGAAGGAAGTTCGCTCCGGCAACTGGAGTGATGAGGAAATCGAGGTTATCAACTCCCTTCATCTTCTGACCGCAAAGCCGGCGGTGTTCCTGGTACGAAATTGCTTCTCAGGTTTGCCGAAAAGTAAGGCGTCGTACTGACTGTCCCCTTAGTGCAACATATCAGAGAAAGATTTCATACGAATGTCAAACCCGTGGATGCCAGTCCTCAAAGGCTACCTTGGGCAAAACCATCCGGACGATCTGCTGATTCCTTTCTCGGGGGAATTGGAAACAACACTAGCAGCAATGAATAAAATACAACAAAATACCTATTTGACGGCGCTCTCCAACAAATACGATGCACCAAAATTGGCGAAATCGGCCTTGCCCGACATCACGTTCGCGGGCTATGACGCGCTGAATCTGCAATACTGTGAGTGGCGGTGGTGATGACCTTTTTCGCCCAACGTTCTCGCTCTTCTTTCTCATTCGGTCCAACGCTTGAAGTCTTTACCGGGGGCCCCGATGAGGTCCGCGCATGGACGATAAGAGCAAACACCAAAGCACCTCAAGCGGCTAGCGTTATACATTCAGTACGTTTCTTTCCAGCCGCAAGAAAGATTCTCGCTGACTTGTTGATGCTACCGTAGGATTTGGAGAAATCATTTGTGTTGGCCGAAGTCATGAGCTACGACGATTTGCGATCGTATGGCTCGGAAGCTTCGGTGAAGAATGCTGGGAAGTATGTGCAGAAAGGAAGGGATTACGTTGTGCAAGACGGTGACATTATTTGTAAGTAGCCCGATGATGCTCCCCAGACACTTTCCTCAGACTGACATAGGTTTGATCTCGGCTACAAACAGACTTCAGAGCCGCGCAGGCTAAACGATAGAGTTGAATGGACCAAGCTCTCATATAGATTGGATAGATAATTTAGTTGTCATAATTTTATACCCCACGGATAGCTACTGCTAGGATCGTGGAATGATGTGAGGAGGATATCCCATACCGCCTTGATGCCAAAAAAGGTGAAACGAACTATTCTACAGAAGTAATACTCTCCCGACTCCTTATTGCACCTGCTCTTTGATGGCCCCCTTCCTGTGCAGCATGCTTTCCCACTTTACCCTCTCCTTCCGGTAAAGCAGCATGGCAACCCTCGCGTCCTCAATAGACGAGTGCTCGCCGGATTGGATGTCCAAACCCAACAGCTCCTTCGCCAGTTTTCGTAGAGCCGGAGACCGCCCGCGGGCGAGAGCGCGGAACGGTTTGTATGTGACTGTGTCGCGAATGAGACGTTGTGGATGGGTGAGTAGGAGGGCGTTGAAATCGTTTTTCAAGGCGTGTCCGACCACGATGCGGTCTTTGATCAAGTCTGCCACTTCCTGCTGTACTTGTTTGAATGGAACGGCTACAGACAAAGGAGCGATGGTCAGCTATGCTTGAAGAGAACGGAAGTTACAACGCAGGGCAGTCCTCACCATTCTTCAGCAGCTCGGGCGTGATACCACTGACAAACGTCCTGTAATCCGTTATGGTCTCCTGCGCCTGGACGTACTTGTCCATAATCGTATGGCCATGGAAGTTGACCAAACTGACCCGTGCCAGTACCGATTGATCCCCGTCCAAACCGACACCCACCATCTCACAATCCATCCCAATGTACTTCCCGATTTTGTTCTTCGCGTGCTCCGACACCTCATCCGCTGCGGCGTCCATGATGGCCTCCGCCGACTTTTTCGTCCCACTGGGGAGAGTAGGAAACACACGTTCGCCGCTCGTCCGAACGGATGCCACTGTGATGGCAGCCCCTTTAGACTTTTTGCGTGCTGGTTCGTCATCCTCGTCGTCGCTGTCGACAGCGTTCAGCGAGGTGTCCATCACCATATCCAAAATCTGCAGATCTCTCAGCAGTAGCTCTTTCGCCTTCTTCGATTCCTCCTCAAGAACCGCAGTTGTCCCCGCAACATCCCCGTCATCCAGCTCTTCATACCAGTCTTCAATCGATTTTGTCGGCAGGGCATTTGTTGCAGGTTCCGGTTCGTTGGTGGTGGCCAAGGGCAGGGCGGCCTTGCGCAGAACGGCAGACGACGTGAAGCCTCCAGCTATCTCAAAATCCGATCCCTCAGAATCAACGTCTGGGATGCCGTCCGGGAAGTCTTTCGCAGACTTTTGACTTTCCGGTACAGCGCCATCATGCTTTTGTGCATCTTTCGATTTTTTGTCATATTTCGTCGGTTTTGTGACTTTCCGCTTCTTTGGTTTGAAGAGAGTGTCTACAAACTCCTCGCCCTTTGCATCTTCCACCTCGGCAGCTTTCCTCTTTGATGACTTTGGTGGTTGAGGTTGCTGCGGTTCCGGTGCGTTCTTCGGCTTTTTGACCGAAGCGGCAATAGACGTCTTGGCCATCGGCTTAAAATCATTAGATATCGGAACTTCCGACTTCCGTGGTTTCGTGGATGGGTTTGTCGCTGTTGCGGTCGCCGCTTTCCCCGTGGTACTCCCTTTCGTCTTGACAAGTTTTTTGTCACCAGTAAGAACGTGCTTTGCTGCTGCAGGCACTGATTTTACACCGGCCTTCACAACCGATTTGACATGTTTCCTATCACCCGTGAGTGCCTTCTTGATTTTCGAAGGCTTGTCTCCCGCCTTTTTTAAGGTCTGCGAGACAATTCAACTCAGCACCAGGCTCGTCGGTGAAATTGAGAAGCAAGGGAAAAAGCTTACCGCACTGAGCTTCTTCCAGTTGGATGAGACCGAAGTCTTTTTCACCATTGTTGCTGCGGGCACCTTGGACATTTGCCAGTGTGTTTGTGTGTTGGTTTTTCGTTGGTACAGTACATCCGAGAAGAGGAATTTTGTCGACCAGCAGTCAGACCAGCACTGCTCTTGAAATTCGCGGACACCGCTCGAACCCTAACCCGGACACAAAAAAGCATAAAAGGACCAGCCCCTCATTGCAGCGCCAGGTGCTGGAACCCTGTGACAATCGCCGTGGGAACAAGCAGACCCTCAGCGCTACCCCCAACCTGTATATCCAGCAAAACCCGTCGCTCACACTCATCGACGTCGATTCCCTGCGGCTACACAGCCCTCGAAGTTTGTATATAGGGCAGCCATGCAGAAAGCAGCCGGTCCAGCGGAGAACGCACATAAACCCAGAGTGCAAAAGCCTTTCCAATTATAAGTATCAAATGGCCAACCCTCCCATAGTCATAGTGTCAGATACCAAGTGGACTATTGTCCTAACCAGGGCCCTCTTTTTCTTCTCTTTATGCCGTCTACCTATTGTCGCGTGGAATCTACACATCTCACCAAAAAGTCGTTCTGGATGTTGACTTTGAAAACCGCTTCATACATGTGTGTTCTTTACTTGGCTTCTTTGCGCATATCCCATGTCTCAACATGTCTAATACCGAAATACCCGATCGTGTCGGAACAGGGCTACGTCGTCCTCACGATCCTTCCATACCTTGCCGAACTGAAGCAAATACGGCTGAATAGCCGGCAAATCAGTATGTGAACGGGATTATGCCATTGTGTCAAACTCGGTGAGGCTCATATGCACCCCTGTGTTCGCTTGCATAGCCATCCACAATGTCTTGGTCAATGAGCTACCAGGGAAATACACCTATGATGACCCTCTGACACCCGTCGTCCCGCCATCAACGCTGAAAACTGCACATCACCACAACGAATACCGACAGCAATACATCTATGCTTTGCAAGAAGCTGATGAAGGGGAATTGCTCATCGACATCCCAGAGCCGATTTTGAAACAGCAGGCTCCCCAATTCACTCCCTCGATCAAATCCCATGATGGAAATTCTACAGGAGAAGCGAATCGTTCGAGCTTAATCTCCCTAAGCCCTATCGTCATACGCATTGACTTCAGTCTCAGAAATCCTAATGGCGGGATTCACTTTGTCATACCTGAGGATGTAAAGACACTGGAGGTGAAGGATCTCGCCAGATGTAGTTGCCGAGGCGGTATTAATGCGAATTTTTTACAGAGATTTCCACAACTGTACACACACAACCAAGCACTTTCGACGCGTATGTGGATTCCATGCATAGATCGGTATCAGGAAGCCTGCACGTGGGATATCAGCATCATCATCCCTGCTACGCTACGGCACACATTCCCACATTATTATGAGGAGGGTGTGCCAGATGAGGACGATGAGGAGACGGGTGAAATCATCGGCGATAGGTCGATGATTGTCGTCTGCTCCGGAGAACCGGAAGAGGAGGTGATGCATCCCAAGCAACCCACCAAAAAGATCTGTCGCTTCTCTTTGAGACGACCAATTGGGGCCTCAAGCATCATGTTTGCCGTGGGACCGTTCGAGGTTATACCAATACCAGGGTGGTTCAAGAAGTCTCGGGTCCAAATTCAGGACGGAAGGGAGGAATCGCCTGAGGAAAATTCGACGGACACGGCGGAAGCAGATGGGGAAGAGGACAGCGCCTCGGAAGGAGCTTTTGCTTTCTGCCTCCCAGGACGAGAAGATCATGTAGATTATACCGTCAGCTTCATGTCACAGGTAGGAGATTTTGCATAGCTCCAGGTGACTGGCGAAGGACTCATAACCCCTCCTTGTAGGCTTTACATTATTTTGAACAATATCTCGGCGTACCGTTTCCTTACTTGTCCTACAAGCAAATATTTTTGGAAGACACATACAATCCAGTAGCCACTGGCGCCACTATATCATTATTCAGGTAAGCACCAGGCATTTGTCAGACCCGGTCGGTCGTTCGGTTCGCTGACAAATTTACATCTCATGCCTAGTTCGCATCTTTTGCTTCATGAACATATTATAGACCAAACGTACGAGAGCATGCGCCTGCTTTGCCGGGCCTTGGTTTCTCAGTGGTTTGGTCACTTTTTGGTGCCTAAATCATGGTACGCCGAGACTGATCCGCTTGGACCGTCCTGCTGGAAGCTAACGCCGTCCGGATTAGGGCTGACACGTGGCTTTTGGTCGGATTGACAAACTACGTTGTCGCGTTGTTCTTACAACGATTTTTTGGAAAGAACGAATACAAGTTCCGTTTAAGAAAGGTATGGCCCCGAAGGTTGTGAGGATCATCGCCTCTCTTCCGCGCGTCTGAGCCGATCTTCACGAAGGACATGCAACGCGTGTGCGAGCTGGATGTAAACCAACCCCCGCTGTCCCCCATCCCGATACCCATGGACGACACACAGAGTGGGGATCACCACGCGACTGTCGATCCACTTATCCTGCAGCACTTTCATCCGGACGACGATTGGTCCTCGGTGCGATCTGAGTTTGTAGGTCTCAAGTCCTACGTTGTCCTACATATGCTGGATCGGAAACTCGGCAAAGGCGTTCTACGGAAAGTCATCACGACAACGCTTACAGCAGCTTCGAATGGCGAGCTCCCCAATGGGTTGAGCACCCACAATTTTTTTCGTTTGGCGCGGAAGCTCACTGGAAAAGGGGAACTGAAGTCTTTCGCTGATCAGTGGGTATATGGCAGCGGATGTCCCCGATTCAGCTTCAAATACAACTTCAATCGCAAGAAGATGGCGGTTGAGTTCAGATTCCATCAGGAGAACGTGAATGGAGGGATTATCGGCAGTACCGCGCGGTTCTCAGGCCCTTTTATGATTCGAATCCACGAGCCTGGTGGGACCTACGACACTGAGGTCCACTTGGAAGAGCAGGATAAACAATATGATATCCAGTATCACACGAAGTACAAACGAATCAGGCGAAAGGCCGTCACTGGACCTAGGGGAAAGAAAGGGACAGGCGAAGAGCAGGAGGCTGTACAAAACGAACCTGTTGAAGCAGATGACATGAGAGGCGAGAATGCCGATTCGAAGGGTGACTGGCATGATGAGGAGCCTGACAGATTGGATTTCGAGTGGATACGCCTGGATCCTGACAACGACTGGCTTTGCGTCAAGGACTTTGAGCAGACCGAATTCATGTGGGCGTCTCAGTTGAAGAAGGACAAAGACGTGTATGCGCAGTTGGATGCAATAGCTGGGCTCAGCAGACTACCGTCTACGGGAACGTGCACGGTGCTGAGCGAGTTCATCAACAGAAAGATGTCGTATTACGGATTGAGAATGCAGGCTGCAGCGGTTCTGGCCAGATGCCTGTCCGATCTTGCCGTCAAAGGCAGTGAAGGAGCCCTGGTGCAGCAATACATTGACGATTACTGCTTCGTACCGAAAGAGGGTTCCTGCGAAATCTACGCCCGGTCCCATGATTTCACCGAGTTGGAAGAGTATTATGTGCAAAAGTCGATTGTCAGTGCGCTCGGAACAATACGCCTTGACGACGATTATGCACCGAAATCTTGTCAGCGCTTGCTGCTCAACCTACTGAAGTTCAATGACAATACGAACAACCAGTATTCCGATAACTATTTCATGGCCAACCTGATTTTGGCCCTTGGTGATGCCTTTCTACCGCAAAGCAGCCTGAAACCGAGGAGACCGCCAATCGTTGCGCCACGCATTTCAGCGACGTCCGGAGATGTAGAAGAGTTCTTCTTCGGTGGGGATAGCGACGACGAAGACTTTACCGTCAGTCGTGCGGTTACCGACATTCACGAGGCCGCGTATTTCAAGGAGGCTTTGGAAGAAATCGATCGTCGGTGCCTATTGGATCGTTTCATCCCGTCGTATCATAACACAGTCACGATTGCAACACTGAGAGTCAAACTCAAATGGATGCTGGCTGGACTCATACCTGTGGATGTGGGCCTTTTCCTGCAACACGCACGGCAAGGCCATTTCTTGGGGGTGCGATTGATGGGAATAGATGGGTTGTTTCTCCTGAAAGGCCTGGCGTATAGTCAGGTCGCGCGCTTCTTACTGGCCGTTGTGGCCGATGATCCCGTACCGTATGTGCGTTATCATGCGGCAAAAGCTTTAGCAGAATACGTTGAAGTCCTGGTCGCGGAAGGCAAAGCGGTGACTCCGGAGAATGGGGCTGGAGATCCCTTATCGAATGGCGCAGGGGCGAACATCAACGAGTTCGATATCCTTCGTTGGCAAATCGCCGCTCAGCCTGATACGGCTCGCATCGTGTGGGAATTGATGAATTCTGCCAAAACCTTGGAACATCGAATCAGAGTGAACCTACTCCGCTTCTGTGAATATCTTTACGACCCTGCGCCTGAGGACAAAACGCACGGCGTCAATGGAGGAGCTCATACGAAGCTGAAGATTAAAATGGCGATCAAGAGACCTCATGATGAAAGTGGCAGTGAGGACGAGATGGCACTGTTGCCACCCAAAAAAGTGACACTCAAAGATGGCAACAAGCGCAGGAAGCTCGACGACCACAAAATCAAATTGAAGCCGCAACCTCCCCCGGAGCCACTCCTTCCTCCAGATGCGGGGTTCCTGGCGATTTGCGAAAAGTGTTTGGATCGCTTGATATGTCACGGGTCCTCCGCTCTGTTTGTGTTCCCGGTCGACGCTCTCAGGAACGCAGAGTACTATCGCATCATAAAGAAGCCGATGGATTTGCAAAGCGCGAGACGAAATGCTAGCACCGGAGTTTACGCGAACGACATCAACCGGTTTTTGGCTGACATTCGGCTGATTTTTCGCAATTGTTACGAGTATAACGTGGATGACAGTAACCCGTATCGACAAGCAAAGAAGCTTGAGACGTTCTTTGAAGAGTCTGTCGTCCCGGATGTCATGAAGGCCGTGCAAGAGCTGGCAGATAAGAAGGCAACGGCCATGGCGGAGGCGGCGGCAGCTGAGATGGCGGTGGCGGAGCAGGCCCAGCGTGTAGCCTCGCAAGCTGTGCAAGAAGAAAAAGCTGCACCGCTCTCTGCCTTGCCCAGTCCGCCTCCTGCGGGGGAGTTGTATCCAGCGCAAGAACCTGTCCGCGAGCTCGTGGTGCCCTCAGTACCTGCGTTGTCGATAGCGCCGGCGGAACAGCTCCAAGGGACAAAGGGTGGAATGACTGCACAAGAGTTCGATATGTGTCTCAAGCTGTGGAAAGTTGTTCACGGCAACCCTGTTGCGTACTGGTTTTACGCTCCTGTAGATCCCGTCGCCCTTAACATCCCTAACTATCCCCAAGTGATCAAAAACCCGATGGATCTTTCAACCATCAAGTCGAAACTTGACCAGCGGATCTACAACGCACCCTCGGAATTCAAGGCAGATGTCCGTTTGATGTTGAATAACTCCCTGCAATTCAATCCTCCCGGTACACTCGTCCATAACGATTCCAAGATTCTTTTGCATGATTTTTCGAAGGCATGGAATGAGCGCGCCAAGTATCTGCGCGACCACTCGACTTCGAATGCAGCCAACAAGGTTTCGAAGATCCCGACGGGTGACGACAAGGTGGGTACGCCACCTCCATCCGCAGGACTCTCCTCCGCCGACTACGCGCAATGCTCTCAAGTATTGAGGAAACTATCGAATGCCGGTCCGATCGCCGAGCCGTTCTTGGAACCGGTTTCCAAAGTCCTATACCCGTACTACCATGAAGTCATCAAGTCACCAATGGATCTTCACACGATTCGTAAACGATTGGAGGGCAAGCGGTATAAAACGTTGCGGGACTTTGAGGCCGATGTCCGTTTGATGCTCAGCAACTGCTTCACTTTCAACCGACCTGGTGATCCGGTGTATACTCAGGGCAAAACCCTCGAAACAATCTTTGAACAGAGCTGGACGAAGCCGAAAGGGACAGCAATTTCAAAGAAGTCGTCAAACGCTGGCTCCCTTCCCGCTAGCCCAGCGCCCCACACACCTCCGGCGGTTCCATCCCCAATCGGCCCCCCACCTCCCGTAACTGTTCCGGAAGAAAAGGCGGAGCTACAACCCGGGGACCGCAAGGCTTTGCAACGCCTGCTTCAAAAACTGCAAGCACATCCTGCCGCAGCAGTTTTCTTGCAGCCCGTAGATCCAGTTGCGCTGAACATCCCCCATTACACCCAAGTGATCAAGAATCCGATGGATTTGGGCACAATTCAGAAGAAGCTGGACTCAGGGTCGTATGTGACGCCGGCTCAGCTTGCGGCTGATGTGGAGTTGATGCTCAGCAATTGCTTCACGTTCAACCTACCTGGTGAGTGCATAATCCCCGGCCAGAATACGCAAAACTATGATTTTTTTTCTCACTTTTGCTTTCTAAAGAGGACTGGGTTTATGGCCAGGGCAAGATCTTGGAAGCAGAATTCAAAAAAGCTTGGAAAAAGCTATTAGTTCAACAAGGGACCTCGCAAACAGCCGCGAAGGCTGCGGTACGGCAGACGACGCCGGCCAGCGTCGCAAGAGGCCCATCCCCAGCTCCCTCGCGTCCCGCATCGGTACTGCCACCGCAGCGTCCGTTATCGGTGACGGACGAGGCTAAAATTCGCAAAGCTCTCGATGCGGTTAGCGCTTTCGAAAGTGCGGGCATCTTCACCGTCCCAGTCGATCCGCTCGTGCTACCGGACTACCATCTCAAAGTCAAGAACCCAATCGATCTGCAGACGATGCGCGGGAAACTGGATGCCAATGAATACCTGTTGCTGAATGAATTCGAGGCTGACATGAAACTGCTCTTTGACAACTGCTATACCTATAACGAGAAGTCGAGTTACGGGCATAACTGCGGGGTGGCAACGGAGAAATACTTCAAACGATTGTGGAAGAGTATAAAGGGCGCATCTGATTCCACAGAGGTACGAATTCGTTTGTTACATGGACACTATCGCTTTTGGTTGTTAAATCTTTCGGTTGGGGATGCAGAAGGACAAGAAGCGTATGGATAATACACGCGAATCAAGCAACGGATTGTGGAGCGGGAACGCAGCTACGTCCGCCACCGATCAAGTCCATTTACAGCAACATCAATCTAACTCCAAGCGGAAGAGGAAAGGCGGGGAGGATGATGGTCAGCGCAAGAAAGTCAAAGTTGAGGGCGGTGCCCGAGAGGAGAACGTCCCCCCAAATTCTGGGGCCCCTCGGCCGTCTGTCAAGCTCAAGATTAGCGTAAAGAAATAGGAAATGGGCTGATTGGTTTATATCATTCATGTCTTCAGAACGTAAATATGATCGAAATTGCGGTCTCCTATGAAGAACATCTTCAAGGTTCATTCTTCCTGGCTTTCTCCTGCACTACACTAGTGAAACTTCCTAACGTGGACCCCACAAGCTATCGCCCCAATCGGTACCGAGCGGGATTGAAGTTGATCTTCGCCTCCTGCGCACCTCCGCCTTCCCTCGCCGGTTGCGTCGGTTGCGTTTTTTTGCCCAAGTGATTGCCCTCAATGAACGTGCGTACAGACTGAACTCCGAATTGGCATCTTTTGCACGTTCCAACATTTGCCGATGTTCCCTCCGCGTCTTTCCTCGTGGCCGCCGCCGCCGCCGCTGCAGATGTGGAAAGTAATCGCTCAAGAATCTGGATGCTGCCGGCATTTGATCTTTACGCTCATCCTCCCCGGCTTTCAACTTTCCCTTAACGAGGTCCCCGCTACCACCAACGCGGGTTTCTTCTACATTTGCTGAGCTGGTAGGGACTTCGTAAAACGAACACCAATCCGGCTCGACAGCCTTGCTTCTTGGCACCTGCACAGCGTGAATCAGCTGAACACCTTCCGGCATCCGGGGAGCGTATATCGCAACATTTGACTTTGCTATGTCCTCAGGGCGGGGGTCGCGCCCCAACTCTGCGGAAGCAAGTAAAATGTCCTGATCTCGACTTATAGGATCTCCATCTTTCTCATCTGCGTCCGTTAAACTTCCGGGATAAGGCATCGATTTAGGATTAGCGTCCCCACTTCCAATTCCAGCAGCGGTGGCATAGACGTCCACCGATGGCTCATAGAACTCGAATAGATCGCTTTCGGAGATGTCTGCATATCCCTTGGCCATCTCAATGAACTCCGAAACCTCAGCCAAGTACTCGGGGATGAAGTCTTCATGGCCGTATGCCTCCGGGGATGGATCGATCAAGTCGATCAGATCGAGATATGGATTCGCCTTTGTCCACGCATCTTCCAATAAGTCTTCGTCAGAACGTTCTGCATGACGGTATTTCGAGGAACGATGAGGCGCCGGTTGATGCTTTTGGAGGTCGGGGCGCTCAAAGCGGAATGACCCTTTACGATAACCCCGTACGCTGTTGCAGCCGGCTCTGCTCTTCTCGAACGGAGCGGCACGTCGAGAAGAACGTAGAAGCGGTGAATATAGCAAGGAGCTACTCAGTCCGGGAACGTCCAGACTTGACGGGGTGATAGGGGTGATAGAACGCAAGCGAGAAGAGCGGATTGACCACTTTGAGTTCGAGAGATGGATGATCCACGTCAAAGGATGCGTAGTCGTTTTCCAAGTTGCCATCCACGCTCAACGCCGAAGGGCTCTCTCGCCAAAGGACATCGACCAGGCGGTAAGGCCTCCTCTTGTCCAAGTTGTCTTCGGTTTTCGAAGTTTTGGTTTCGATGGTTCGACTCACTGAGGGTTCGACTTTTGAATTCAGAACTTTGAAGAGAAACAGTTCGCTCTGTCCGACGCGGTGTCCGACGATTCATAACTCGTCTCTCATCTCCCGGACTTTTCCCAACTTTCCCCTACCGGTACTACTCAGGGTACTACTTGGACTCTAGATCTACGCTACCACGCCTGCTGGTGGGTCTGGACTCTGGAGTGTCCGGAAAAGAGTTAGTTATTCGAGTATTCCGCTGTAGGGAAGGCAGCCTACATATCGCTCCTCCCAACACTTCGCCCTTCGAACAACAATGTCCGCCAGTGCGTCGATTTTCGAGGCGGACCAAACGCTTCGCCGCCGGCGGCCGTCTGGCGACGAAAGCGCCGGTGCGACGACCTCCTCTTTGCGCTCCATTCGTTCAAATACGACACCTCGCACCCGGGTGTCGAGGAGAGCGAGGCCGGCTCAGGCTGGACCCATAATATCTATCTGGGACGTGGCCACCATAGGACTTCTGTTTTTCTATCTATACCTGGCGCCATATACGAAGGTGGAAGAGTCGTTCAACCTACAAGCCGCCTACGACCTGATCGAGCACGGGCCCCAGAACCCGCAGATCTTTGACAACCTCGCATACCCTGGAGTTGTGCCGCGGACTTTTGTCGGTCCTCTCGTCATTTACTGCCTAACGTATCCCTTGAAGCTGCTATCTATGCCTTTATTCACATGGCAGTACATTGTCCGCGGCGTATTGGGCCTCGCTGTTGGCATCTCGCTTGCGCGTATCCGTCGCGCGGTTCATAATGACTTTGGGCCCGTTGCCGCCAACTGGTATGGGGCGTTCACGGCGGCACAGTTTCATCTGACATTTTGGGGAACACGGACTCTTCCGAATACATTCGCATTCGTTCTGGTGAACTCGGCATTTGCGCTCTGGATCGGGTCACCACGGACGATGCCCACTGACATTGAGGAAGAAAGCTTTGGAGAACCATATGCGTTGAAAATGACGGCGCTACTCGTGTTCACATCAGCAGTGTTTCGATGTGATGTAGCGTTGCTGACGGCCGCAATCTTGATTGGCGAGTTCACCCGCACCCCTTTCGTTCCGGTGATCAAGCATGCGATGAAAACCGGCCAGTTCTCGGTCCTAATCACAACAGTGGTGGATTCCTGGTTCTGGCAACAAGTTACGTGGCCGGAACTGTCAGTATTTCAGTTCAACACCGTCAAAAACGGGTCGGAAGCGTATGGTGTTATGCCATACCATGCCTATTTCTCGCGTTTGCTACCCAAAATGTCTCCATTGGGCATTCCCCTTGTCACCTACGCGTTCGGAGTGGAACCGAGAACGAGAAGGTACACCGTACCCGTCGCAGCGTTCGTAGCGCTGTACTCCTTCCTTCCGCACAAGGAATGGAGGTTCATCATCTACGCGCTACCGATCATGAACGCAATGGCAGGGGTGGCCGTCGCACACATCAGTAGGCCCAGCGCGGACTGGCGAAAAACACGGCGTTCCGCTGTGCTCGCGCTCAAGTTTTATGTGCTGGCACATTTCGCTGCGTCGTTCTTCATGGCTTACGTTTCGTCATTCAACTACCCTGGTGGGGAGGCGCTGGCCCGCGCAAACCACGATATATACCCGTATCCCACCGCGGCCTCTGAAAGTCTAAGCGAAGCCGACAGGCCTTACGTTCATCTTGATGCACCCACGGCGATTTCGGGTGCGTCGTTGTTTGGACAGGATCGGAGGATCAGATACTCGAAGAACGAGACGTACTCCACACCAGAGGAATATTTCAAGGAAGGGTTCACACATCTGATCACCGCCGATCCACACTTTCACTTGGGCTTGCGGGACGAGCTCAACCAAGAAGCGTGGACACCTGTGGAGGTCATCTATGGGTATGCCGGCCTCGAGAGGTATCCCGGGGGTCTGACGGCTTGGGCGAAAGATGTTATCCACAGGGCTGGCGACGTATTACGACAAGACAAGCTGACGAGAGCGGCCTTGATGATCCTTGACGACGACCCTATTGTAGCCCAGCCGAAAACGCGGCCACTCTCGGTCTGGGATGTCCCTGTGATCCCGGTCATGATTCGCTTGGAGCCTAAATTATGGATCTTGGAGAGCATACGATATCCCGTTTTTCCTTGAGCTGAGCCTGTTTCTTCTGTTTCGATAGACGCTGCACACTTCTCATTTTTGTTCGTGCTACGACGCTAACTGAGAGTTTGGGCACGCATGGCCGGCGTTGCGCCTTTACGCTCGTTTATTGCAAGTAACTGTATCTATTGTTCTTCGCCAACATTGTACATTATATCTATCGCTAGCGAGCCTTTCGGTGCTCGGGAGCATGACTTGTCTCATAATCGATATGCACAAACGCCCGTTCCACATTCGGCAGCGTTTCGATCTTATTCTGTAGCGCTTCTGCGATGTCGTGCGCTTCGCATACGAGCATATCGGGTGGTAGAACGATGTCGACCTCGACGAAGAAGTTGTTCCCGGCGTGGTATGCTTTGCAAGTGTCGACTTGTTTGACTCGCGGGTCGTGGGTCATGGAGATATAGGTTACTTTCTGCAGGAACGCTGAGTCCGCGGTCTTCCCCACAATGTACTGAACGTGCTCTGCAAGAGACGATAAGGTTAGACTCTGCGTAGCACATGCATGGCAGTGATACAAGCACTGTAACTTTACCCCATGCCGTGCTAGACCAAGAACGCAAAATCAAGAGCGAGATGAGGATGGCGCCAAGAGGATCGAGCCACCACACAACTTTGGAACCCAAAATCGAAAGTGAGATTCCGACGGAGTTCATAAACACATCGTTTCGGTGGTCCTGCGCCAGGATTTTCGCTGATGGATACTGCGACAAGGTTCGGCAATAGAGATACAGGGCGATTTTGACTCCGATGGCTGCTCCAACGAGTCCTATAGAGATCGGGGACAAATCGATGTCGTGGGATGCGGATATAAGTGTACGTACGCCTTCGATCTCATTTTGGAAAGCGTTAGTTCAGATGTCAATCGTATCGCATACACAAGTATCAAAGACTTACCAGCAACTGAATAGATAATGTTCCCATCATGATAGAAAAGATCAGAATTCCAGCTGTTTCCATTCGGGTCTTGCCCGTAGGGTATAGCAATGGGTTCTCCGTCAAGGCGGCCTTTCCAGCAAACACGAGAACCAGTGACGATGCCAAATCCATGAAAGCGTCAGCCGTCGTGGCGAACAATGCCAAAGACCCAGACAAGACGGCTGCGACGAGTTGTAGTGCGAATAAGCACACATTGGCGACCACGGATCCATATACCGCAATCTTCAGCTTCAGAAGACGCCTCTCCTCTCCCTCCTCTACAACGTCTGGCGGACGAAGAAGGTCGTCGATGAGCTCATTCTGCTTTTCGTAAAATTTCGATAGCTTCCTCTTTCCCGACTTGGAGAGGTTTTCGAGCTCCGAGTCCGAGACTTTCCGTTGACGAAGCAGTAGAGGGTCACTCTCGCCTCCTCTGACGACTTCGAGGTCAATGTCGACAGGCGTTGAGAGACTGCTGCTCATGACCGCCATCGACGAGGCATTGTGGCGTGCGCTTTGGAGCGATAGTCTAGGGCTGGTGATGATTTGAGGGTTTGCTGACAGATCGGTCAGTTCTACTGTCGACGTCATGCCGGAAAGCTGTGTGGAAGGATAACGGGTTTCCTTCGCCCAGCACTTATGCGAAGTTGGGCAGGGGCCTCGCTGGGCTGTCTTGAGAGAGGAACCAGGACGAGATGCGAGCCTTTGGAAGTTTTTCTAGTCTGCCTGACGTCTTTGGACAATTAACTTTAAATCGCCAGTGTACCGAATACTTGGACATTTGGAGGTTCCGACGGTACCGAGGGTCATTTAGCGACCATGGGTCATGAACACGGATCCCGTTATCCCGTTACTCGGTAGGATCCTCGTCATCGGGAGACGTCTGAGCTTCAGAAGTTCAGAGCAGTGGGTACAGCGGGACGTTGAACATTTGCAATTTCCTGATTGCGCACTGGAGCATAATCACCTCTAGGAGGTCCTGGCGTCGGCGCCCCGAAGGGAGAATCCCTTGAGCTGGACATTTCAAAGGTTTCCGACAGCCTTATTCTATGGATTCGCTTTCTGGTTCACGTCCCGCAATTTTTCCGACAGCTTTGTTGCGTGGCATCCCTTTCTGAACCCCCTCCCGCAAGGTTGCCGACAGCCTTCTTCAGTGGCCTTCCCTTTCCGGGACGACCTTCAGCATCTGCGTCAAACCACCCTCGCAACGCTGGCGTCCCTCGAAAATGATGGAAGAACAATTTGACTCGGGTCCCTATCCAAGCCCGCTCGTCTTGTCGGCAGACGGTCAGGGGCTTGGCGGCGTTATGGGGGAACTGGTTCGGTCGAAAGACTGGTCCGAAACGCCACTTGGACCTCTCGAAAACTGGAGCTACACATTGAAGACGGCCGTTAGCTTTACGCTAAATGCCGCATTTCCTTTCATCCTTGCCTGGGGAGAGGCGGGAAACGTCATATACAACGACCGGTATATACCCATCATGGGACAACGCCACCCATCAACCCTGGGGGCCCCTGTCGCGGAAGTATGTAAAGAGTCCATCCATGTAGTCGGACCCATGTTTGAAAAAGCTAGGGAGGGAACTGCTGTTTCCTGCGAGGACGGTTTGCTGCAGGTTAACCGCAATGGGTATTTGGAAGAAGCTTATTTTTCGTGGTCCTACTCTCCCATACGGAACCCCGACGCATCGATTGCGGGGGTCCTCGCTCCGACACAGGAGACAACGCATCGTGTCCTGCGACATCGGCGATTGACGCTGCTGCGTGATGTGGCCTCGGGAACCGCAGATGTTGCCTCACAACACGCAGCATGTCAGATATTTAGCGACATTGTAGCGAAAAACAATGCGGACATTACCTTTGCATTGATCTATCTCATCGACTCGACTGGCAAGAGATTGGAGCTCGCAGGCCGGGCCGTGCTCGCTGAAGACCATCCAGCATCGGTCCCGTCCATTCAACTAAGTGAACATGCGGCCACTGCTGCCGCGTGGCCGGTGGAGCAGGTGTTGGGCGAGCGCTGTGCTGTCGAAGTGACAGGTTTGGAAGAGCGATTCGGTTTCATTCCTAGTGGATGTCAGCTGCCAACCTCCAATGCCATATGCTTGCCGCTTGACGGACCTAGTCACGAAAGCATCGGAGTCGTGGTCTTCGGTGTGAATCCGCGGCGAAAGCTTGACCCTGAGTACGGGGACTTTTTGGATCTTGCCAGATCACAGCTCTCGTCGGCCATTTTCCGCGGCCGTTGCGTGATGGAGGAGCGACGACGACTAGAAACCTTTGCCGAGATTGATCGGGCGAAATCTGTGTTCTTCAGGTAGGAGCGACCGTGCAAGAAAGCTACGATCAGTTTCTCTCAACTCACATCTTCTTCGTTTCCAGCAATGTCTCGCACGAATACCGAACGCCCCTCACGCTGATCCTCGGCCCTGTTGCTGAGCTACTTGCCGACGACTCCTTGAGCACCAAGCAGCGGGAACACGTCCGCATGATCGAGCGTAATGCGCAGCGGCTATACAAACTTGTGAATGCCGTCTTGGATTTTTCAAAACTGGAGGCGGGAAGAATGGACGCACGGTTCCGCCTTACAGACATCAGCCTCGTCACCGCTCACACGGCGTCGATGTTTCGCTCAACAATGGAGAAAGGAGGGCTCCAATTTGTGGTGGACACGCCGGCCTTGGGCGAGCTCGTTTACTTGGATGTCGACATGTGGGAGAAGATCGTGCTCAATTTGCTCAGCAATGCGTTCAAGTCTTGTAGACATGGGAAGGTGACCGTTAGAATCTATAAAACCGAAACGGACGTCCTTCTCGAAGTCGACGACACGGGCTGTGGGATAGCGGAGGGTGAGATGGATCGCCTGTTCGAGCGGTTTCATCGTTGCCACTCGTCGTACGGCAGGTCGGTGGAGGGCACCGGCATCGGACTTTCTTTGACAAACGAGTACGTCCGTCTCCATGGTGGAGAGATCCGGGTGGAGTCGAAAGTCAACGTGGGAACGAAATTTGTAGTATCCATTCCCTTTGGGAAAGGACATTTGCCTCTCGAAAACATCATCAGCGACGCTCCTGAGGGGCTTCCTACACAAGACCGTCGCGGAAGCAAATCGTCATCGGAAGGACGGGCTATTGTTCAGGAAAGTTTGCGGTGGGTCAGGGAAGACGCAAGCTTGCTAGACGAAAATGGGGACACTTCGATGCAACCCACATCTCTGAGCAATCTATCAGCGTCGTCAGATTACTCTATCGGAATGGAAGATCCGGCGCTCCCTTTAGTGCTTCTCGCGGACGACAACGCGGATATGAGAGAATACGTCGGTGGTCTGCTCGCTAAGTTCTGCACCGTCAACGTCGTTTCCGACGGGCTACAAGCGTATCAGAGCGCAATTGATGATCCACCTGACCTTATCATATCGGACGTAATGATGGGAGGTCTGACAGGCTTTGAGCTTTTAGAGAAAGTCAAAGCCGACGGGCGAACTCAAAGCATTCCGGTCATTTTACTCTCTGCCCGCGCGGGAGAAGAAGCGAAAGTGGAAGGGCTCCGTTCCGGCGCTGATGACTATCTAGCGAAGCCGTTCTCTGCAAAGGAGTTAAGAGCCAGAGTACGGACGCAACTGACGATCGGGAAGATGCGCGCCGACCTGGAAGAGCAAGTCAAACGGCGTACAAATGAATTGGAGAACCTGACTAGGCAATACAAAATGCTTGTGTCCTTGAGCCCTGTGGGCATCGCCAAGATGAACATGAAGGGCGAGTTCACGTTCCACAGCGAGACCTGGTGGCGAGTCGTGGGAAGAGATTCTGCGCTGGATAACCCAGATGATTGGGCAAAGTGGATGGCCGACGGTTCGAAATCAGTCACAGCTGCAGAGATGGCGGAGATACTAGAAACAAGGAAGTCCATGCGAAGCGAGGCCGAATTGATTCGAAGAGACAACGGGGAACATATTTGGGTTATGTCGACGTTTGTCTTCCGAAGATTTTCAGAGGACGGCATCTCCTCCTCTGATAAAGATGATGGAGAATTCTACATTGCGGTCTGCGACATCACCAAAGAGAAGAAGCTCGAGCTTGAGAAACTGGATGCCATCCAAAATCTCGCTGAGGAACAAAAAAGGCGCGCTGAGGAAGCAGAGGAAAACAAACGCCAACAGGAAGAATTTGTGGTATGTCCTCGAAGTATCACCGTCTAAGTGTCACTACAATTAGGTTCTCATGCTTTTCTTGTGGAAGGATTCGGTATGTCACGAAATCCGTAATCCCCTGAATGGGGTGATATCCAATGCAGATCTTCTGCAAGCTGGGCTGAAAAACCGAATGGTCATCATCACAAGGATGAGCAGCGCCATCAACACGTGGCGTAATATGGTATCGCAACTGAATGTCGACTCCATTACGACTACCGCATATGACATGAGCAGCTTCTTGGAGTACCTTGAGGCAGAAGCGCTCCCGGTGGTTCGCAGTCAACTGCAGGAGGATGCAGAAGCTATAGAAGCCGTTCAAATGTGCGCAGCCCATCAAGCTGTGATTACCGATGATGTTTTGCAAATGAGCACGCTGCAGAAGGGGAAGGTGGCGCTCAATCCCGTGATCTGCGCGCCGGAGATTGTCATTGCCCGGGTGATGAAAATGGTATGGAACCCTATGCTCGTTTTTACAATCCGGCCTTGTTCTCTGACCTTGCACCATGTCAAAGTTTCGAAGCGAGCTGGTGAAGAAGGAAATCATTTGGGAAACGCTTATCATCACACCAACCGGGAATGAGCGTCACGTGAGAAAGCTGGGAGAGCTTGCAGTGTCCGTTGCCCTTGCCACCTTCGTGTGGGTGGATCCGGATCGCGTGGCGCAGGTCCTTTTCAACTGCATTTCCAATGCCATCAAATTTCTCGCGAAGTCAGTCAATGAGAAGCGACTCACAGTCTCTTTGGAGTTCATCCAACCCAAGTCCAAGACCGAGGAGACGGGGGACTTTGTTACGATGAAGGTCTCTGTGCGCGACTCTGGGATCGGCATGACTGAAAGTGAGAGGCAAAAGCTCTTCGCCCGTTTCAGCCAAGCGACGCACCGCACGTACAGCACTTATGGAGGGAGTGGCCTTGGGCTTCATATCTGTCGGAATTTAGTCTCTGCAATGGGTGGACATATCGATCTCACCAGTGCGAAAGGCGTAGGGACCGAGATCTTCTTCGAGATTCCATGCCAGAAGCCGGATCATGAGCGACTTTCGGAGATACGTCAAGGTCTGGGCCGCGGATTCAAAAACCCGTTGAATTGTGCCTCGAGCGAGGACGAATCCAGTTTGGATAGTCCGTTCTCGCAGATGACGGAGTTGTGGCTACGCCGGAGGCTGGTTGCTGACGGCAATTCGGACTCACTCCCCAATGTCAATGAAGTCAATGAAATCACTGTGGATTCGGCAACGCTAACAGAGACGAGCACAAAGTTCGCCGATTTGAACCCGCTAACAATGACCTTGGCCCCATTACCCGCAACAATCGAGCAAAACGGTGTTCACACGCAACCTTGCCGTCCGTTGCGATTAGAAGATATTCACGTCCTCATTGTCGAGGATAACATTGTAAGTTACCCGCCACTCTCATGGAAGGTTTCGTCTGCATTTTCCGCTAAACATCATTCCAGATAAATCAAAAAGCCCTGAAACGACAATTGGAAATAGCGACTGTGAAAGTTGACGTGGCAAATAACGGAGTCGAAGCGATAGCGAAGTATCAAGAGAACTTCTATCACGTGTTGATCATGGATAATGAGGCAAGTCTCTGTCGGGTGAGTAACCGGATCATGTGGGCTCTAATCAATCGAATCCACAGATGCCAATAATGGGCGGTCTGGAGGCGACGAAGCGCATAAGAGAGATCGAAAGAGCGACCTCGAATCAACTCGACAACTCAAGCACACCTCAAGAAGGAGTACCTTGCGGAGAGACCGCCCTCAACTCGAATGGACGCAGGGTCGCGATACTAGGCTTATCTGGCAATGCGCGAGGTGTGTTCCGTGAACAGGCGCTGGCCGCCGGGATGGACGGTTACGTAGTCAAACCATATATGAAGAAGGATTTAATGGAAACGCTCGTCGAGTTGGCTAATCGCAAGGACGTAGGCTAGAATATCACTTGTAACTTGGCGTGAACATAATAGCACAGTGCAATAGATACGTAGATGGATGTGATAGATACCGCTAACCCCAGAGATGCTTGCTGTCCCTCTTGACCCGCTTCTATGCTTCTGTGAGGTCACTTGTCCGCGTCGAGGAGACTGACGGCGGGGCGGAGTTCACACCTTACGTACCTGCTGTCAGTCCCCCTCCTGCGAGTCTGCTCCCCTGCGAGTCGCCCATCTCGACAGCTCCATGACCCACAACTTCCAACTGTCCGATTGCTTGCAACCATTCCCATCTCAAAAATAAGGTTGACAGTTTGTTTGAAGATGACTTCGGGCGCTCTAAACTACTCGGTTGCGGACACGATGGCTACACAACCTTCTAGTCATTCCACGTCTCCGGAGAAGGGGTCAGTTCGCATCACCTGTAACATTTACACGCCCAAACAGTCACTGGCGGTGTTCTCTCGGCTTCCAGGTATAAAAATGCAGTCGTCCTTCCCTCCGAACAGGAAAGTATCAATTCAATTGCTTACTCGACTTCCACCTCAGGCTTCGTCAGGCTCAAATTCGACGAACGTCCGAACGTGTGCGTAGTCCTTTTCTCACAAGAGCACTTCGCCGAGTCCGCTGTAAAAACTATAACTGGAAATACGTAATGATTTCTCTGACTATGCACTTGAGTTATTGAGAGTTTCTAACTTTTTGGTTTCAGAAATATGGGGGCAAGCTTGTCAGGGGACTTTCCAGTGAGTTCATTAGCAGACACTGGGGTCGGTTTCCCCTTTTCATTGACGTCGAACTGTACTTCCAAAATAGCCGGTCATCCCTTCTCCCTCGCAAACAAACTCTCAAGTCATCGCTCTGAAACCTCCCCAATGGATCAGCATGGTCGCGCTGGAAGAACTACTGCGAGACCTGCCAGGCTTCGGCAGACTCTGGGTGTGTCGCCCAAACAATGAGGCCCTTTGCATGTATCAGGACGTAGCACAGGCCTGGTTAGCCGCGCATCAAGTCGGCAAATTTGCTTCGATCGCTGCACATCAAGTCGTCCATAGCTGCGAGTGTCATACCTGCAAGCCCACTGCTGAATTCTCGGTCACAGCACTGTCGGGAAGTCATTTTCAGAACATTCCCACGGCTTCGAGCGCTTGTAAGCAAGAATACATTGGTATGCGCTTTGAGATTCTACCGAAGACTGAGTTCGCATTGCAGATCATGCGCAATATTACAGCAGCTTCTTGGCTCCACAAGCGACTGCGATCTCGAACTCCCAACATCAACATGGTCAAGATGACCAAGGTGGCCAAAAAACCATTTCTGGAGGTCCTTCGAACCACGAACGACGTTCCTCCGAGTCTGGCAGCTACTATCGAGACAGAGGCTCTGTTGAGACAGAAGCTTTGGAGCAGACGATCGAAGGTTCGATGACCGAACGTGATGTGCTTCTTTCTCAAGTGAAGGAGCTCTCTGTAAGTACGGGCATTGTCACTTTCGATGTCTGCTTTGTCCGGTCATGGAACAGCTAACGCAGTCATCTTGGATCTTAGCTGAACAAAGCAATTGCTGAGGAAGCCATCACTCAGCTCCGATCCGAAATCGCAGCCGCGAAATATCAACTCGAAACTGCCACTGCCGCATCTACCGATCGCGAAAAAGCCCTGACGGACACGATCAATGAAATGGTATGTTCATGTGATTTTGTGAAACCGATGTCGTCTAGTAACGCCGAACGGATGTCTCCCATGCACAGTCGACTCTCACTGCCCATTACCGTTTGCTGCAGGAAAAGGAGCGAGTTCAGGCTGAAGCAAAAGTGAAAGTAATGCTCAAACCCAAGGAGGAAGCCGAGAAGAGACGCTCTGCCGCCGCAGAAAGCATTGGTCAGCTCGAAGAGGATATGGAAAAGCTTCGAAAAGGCCTCACAGACAGAATCGCCGAATTGGAACAGGTCAACAAGGGCCTAGTTGGTGAACTGGTATGTGCTGGATGTCGTGGCAACACTTCCGTTCAGGCATTCTGATGTATGATTGTCTTCATGGTGCGCGGTCCTTTTTAACGATCCCAGTGTCTTGCAGGAGAAAGAGGGGGCCCGGGTCAAGGCCGAAATTGAAGCTCTTCGCACCGGGAAAGATGAACTTATGAACCTCAATGCCGCCGTCACAGAGCGTGGAAAGGCGCTCGAACAAGAAGGGGCGACACTTCAAAGAGCCTTGGAGGCTGAGAAGTACCGCTGTGAGCAATTGCGAACGGAGATTGCCAGTAGCACACGCACATTGGAAGAAGAGGCTGCTCGTAACACGCAAGAGAAGGAAACGCACGCATCCGAACTGAAACGAATGGAAATGGACATCATGCAGAAGGATGATGAGATCCAGAACCTTACTTCTCTCCAGTCGAGCCATGCGTCGCGCATCGAAGAGCTGGGTAATGAGGTAAAGCGACTGAAAGCCGAACTTGCGAGCGAAACTGAGGCCAGCTGCTCGAAATACGAGGAGATCAAACAACAGTTGGAGAACGCGAAGAGTGAGGTCGCGAAAGCGAAAGCCCAGCTGACCGCAGATCTCGATGCCAAACATGCCGCTCAGCTCGCGACTCAGCTCGAGGAGGAAGCAGCCAAGCGAGCGGAGCTCGATCGCCAACTGGCCGAGCACGTCAAGAGCGAAGAATCCATCAATAGAGCCAAGTCTGAGCTCAAGGAGCAGCTCTCCGTCGAGTGCGCAAAACTACTGGACCTGAAAAATGAGCAGGAGAACACCCTCAAGAAGCAGGAGGTAGAATTGAAGACTCTCAAAGCGTCCCATGAGGAAGAGCGGGCTTTCATCGAAGAAGAGGTCAAAATAGTCGTAGATGCTCTCGATGAAGAGAAAACCGCGAACGCCGAGCTACGAAGAGCGTTGGGCACAAGCAAGGAGAAGGAGGCGGCTTGGACCGAAGAGCGTCGGGCCTTGGACGAAAAGGTTCAGCGTCTGCGCGAAAGTCTTGAAGCCCAGGAAGCGCGTGTCGCGGTTTTCGAAAAAGAAAAGGCTGCTAAGACGGTGGAGGACAACTCTGCCAAGGAGCGCAACGCCAAATCTGCAACGGTCACGCAACAACAGCGACGGGAGATGGAGGAGTATGTCGATAACGTGCTCGATTTGATCTTTACCTTACCACAGGTAAGCGTGGGCGGCGACATGGCATCGGAGATAAGCGGTCTTGTTGGGAAAACCATGAAGACGGCGTTTAGCCTCAGGGGTGGGGAGCGAGTGTGTCTCTGGGTGTAGTAGTCGTTTCCGCAGTTCTTTCACAGCGAGTAGATCCGGTAGGCGTAAAAGTAGTTCAAGTCCCGTTCCTTTACAATTTACACGAAACCCCTTTCTAGAACAATGGCTATGGAAGGGCTTCTATATACAATAATCTCATAGTCGAATGATCCTCAAATATATTCATTTCCAACGAAGCGAACCTCGACTCCATCTGCGTTTTTGGTGTGGCCATTGACGATTATCTCCGTCAAGCGATTGCAGCCGTAAACCTTCACCTTTGCCAAAGAAGGGCAAGAGTCGACCAGCTGCTTCAGAACGAAATCGTCGACGTTTCTGATGATGGCAACATTTGATGAGTCTGTGATAGTAAGGACTGGTTAACAGCGTTTGATGGTGGCAACACTTACCGCACCCATGACACGTCCAACTCCCGCAAATTTGGGCAACTGGAGTTAGAAGTCCTCATCAGCAACCCCATTCAGTCCACGATACCGAGCCTTAGCCACTCTCTTCTCACTTACCCAGTAGCCAAAGAATTCAAAGAATACTCCGTCAACTCATCCAGCCCATTCAGATTCAACTTCTGCAAGGAGTGCCCATGAAGGTTCACAAGCGCAACGATGAGGTCATCCTTCATCGTGACGTTCCGACTTAAACTCAGCGATGTAAGGCCGGTAGAGGATTTGAGGTCACGAACGAATTGAAGTACGCCCTCGGATGTGAGGGACTCGCATTCTTCGAGGGATAGGTCGTGGAGTTGGGTGCAGTTTGAGGCGATGGCCGTGAGGACGGAGTCTGTTAGACGAGAGTGTCTTTGAACGTGGCATGTGAGTAAAGATGCAGTCGGATAGAGCTCTCTCGATTGCATATAACATACCCATTCAGAACCAATGTCTTCAATCCAGCCCCGATGGTCATCAGCAAATTGACGAACGACTCCTCGGAGACTTTATCTCCCATAAACCCGATCTCCAGCACCTCCAAATCCTTGAAGTTTCCCAAAAGCTGAATACTCTCGTCGTCCAACTTCATGCATTGTTCCAAACGCAGGACACGCAGATGCGGGCAGGAGCCGACCAGAGTCTCAATCCCGTTCTTGTTCAGTTTTGCTGCGTGGCGGAGAGTCAGCTCTCGGAGCTTTTCGCCCAATCCTTCGAACAGAGTCGCAAATGCAGCGTTGGAAGGGAGGAAGGGTCCGTCGAGGCACAGGGTTTCAAGTTGTGCACAGGTGTCACCAATCACTTTGAGTGTTTTGTCGGTGATTCTTCCGCAATTGCCAAGATGGAAGTGTCGCACGTTGGGTGATGCGGCCGCAACCTCGGAGAGGGCCTCGTCGTCCAAGTAAGTGCACTCAAAGAGATGGACGCGCTGCTCTGTTGGCCCGGTGAACAGTCGAACGTTTTCGGGTTTCAGTTGTCTATGACGCCCAATGATCTTGGAGATTTGCAGTTTTGTGGCTTCGGAGATGTCACCAAACTGTCACGAGAGGCATCAGATATTCAAGCGCTAGGCGAAAAACTATGGTCACCACATACCCCTTCTACGGAGTCTATACAATCTGCAATCAACCGAATGCAAAGGTTCCGAAGCGAGAGGACCGATCCGGCGCTCTCATCAGCGCCCTCAGGAATGATGACACCTTTCTTCTTCCTTGGCTTCTTTGGCCCACCCGTAGAAATCTTGCTTGCTTGTATGGAGTAACAAGCAGAGCAAAGAGACGCCTGGTCGTGTCCGACGAGGTATCTTCGTTTGCATCGACTGCAGAAGCCCACGGATCCAGCATTGAAGGCTGACGACATGTCCGGTTTTCTACGCTTCGAGTGGTTTGACCTTCCGGCCGATGTCGGACCGGGGTAGTTTTCATCATCATCATCGTTGTCATCTTTCCCCTTCTTGCGCTTCTTGGCTCCGGCTTTTGCTTTTGCAGCGACCTTAGCAGGGGTTTTGGCCGCTTTTTCTTTGCCTTCCTTTGCTCTTGAGCTTGTTGTGGTTGTTTGACACTCTTCCCCCTCCTCTGCCTCATCGTCAACAACAACTTCCTCTTCGACCTCCACCTCCATCATAGTGGCCTGAAGTCCCACCTGAGCGTCCCCGGACGGAGTTCGTGTGCGCAAAGACGCTCGCGTTGTCGTCCTCGTCCTGCTGACAGCGGGAGCCGAGTCAGAGTCATTGTCAGGATCAGAGCCACTATTCTCTGAATCCGGCTCCGTATCGTTGTTTCCGCCCGTCGTTGGAGCTGCGGGATCGGCAGTGGTCGCTGGGATATCCGTCCTCCGTGCCCACCCGCGTGCTGCGGGTGCTCGAATTCCCCTTTCACGCAAGAAGCTGGAAAGGGCGGACGCCGGACCGCGAACTTGATTATTCGACATGTTGCCAAGGGTGAGGCGCTTAGAGTTGATCACTTGATGTTATGGTTGAATATCGAGGGTCGACGCTAGTGATAGAGACGTCAGTTTATCAGTTTATCTGTCAGTTTATATGGAAATACGGCCGTGTACGGCTGTACTGAACGAGATAGGCGAGGGTTTGTATGTACAAGGACGCGCCAAAGCAACATGCCAGCCACTGCTTTCCCTTGCGCGTCCAGCACGCGAGCAGGCGGGAGCGTTGGCAGCATTTTCTACGCAGCATTCGGTGCAAAGGAACATGGGCTCCATCCTCGGAAAGGCTGTGCTGCGGATGGGAACCTTTGAGATGGTTCAGTGAAGGTTGGCCAACATATTCTCGACCTGGGCAAGCTCGCTTTGAATCTTGGCAGGGGTAGCTTCGTGCGCCATGCCAAAGTCGATGAGAACGACCGGGCGCGCAGAGAGGCCAGTGATAATGATGTTGCGCGATGCGATATCGCCATGAATAACTCCCGCTTGGTGTAGTGACATGTAGGCTGCCCGTACACAATCGAATAGTGAGCGATCCGCGGCAGATATGTGCCGCCCCTCGACAAACTCCGTTCCAATAATGGCGATCTCCCCCCCTTGAAAAAACCCACATGCGACGAGTCGAGGAATGGTTCTCCCTTGAATATCAAGGTAGGTAAAGGTGTTAGAAGGGAAGTTTTAAAAACCGATGTTGCGTGTGCTGTCTATACCTTGCATGTTTTCCAAAAAGTGGTAAACATCTATCTCGTTTTCCAATTGCTCTACAATCTCGGGGCATGTGAGGCGGTCGACGGTTTTGAGTGCCATGGAGGTTGCATAATTCGTCGAATCGAATGCTACGGTTTGCACCACCGTACTGTTATCTGTTGCGAACGATCTCAACGCTGGCAACAGATCGACCTCTTTGAATTCAATGACATCCCTTGAGGTAAAGATGGCCGACGGTTGGTCCAGGAGTTTCGTAGCTCGACATCCTGAAGGGCTCGATCGAAAGTTATTCAAGCCGTTCGCCTTGTTTGCCGAGCTTGCTCCTTTCGCTGGGCGCTTTCGTTTCTTAGATGGACCTGGCCCACGGCGCCTGCCCCTCTGAGCCCCAGCGCTTCCTCCGGGTTGAGATGGCTGCGAAGACGACGTGGTGCTCTCGCTGGGCGACGGAGTGGTCGGGTTTTCCATCGCAAGCCCGATGAAATAATCCAGGGCCTGAGCCACCGTTGGGCTGTCATGAAAGGTGCGAATAGGACCGGCGATGCGAAGGACATCTGGGCGGTCCTCTGGCCGTTCGATGAACCAATATGAGCTTTGAGTGGTGATGAGCGAATACCTCCTCCGGTTGGCACATGCGTATCCATTAACCTGAATAACGGCCTTCACAGCGACGTTGGCGTGAACGATGCTATTCCATTGTGCTTTCTCATCATCTGTTAGCATCATGTAACGATGGTCGGAGAGAGCCTTCAACTCCTTAAAGACGGCCTTGGATTGGGCAACCAGGTCCACATCGTCGGGAAGAACAGATCTGGGCTTAACCTCAATCGGCACGAGCATTGCCTGACAGTTATGGATGATGCGATCAGGTTGTCCGAACGGAGCAGTCAAAACCGCGGCCCTGTGCCCAACTTCAATTGCCGTGCCTTTGCAGATTCTGTTGGTGACTCGGAACTGCTCTGCATCTAAAATACTTTCGACGAGAGCCTCCGAGGCACCCGATCTACCCTCGTGCAACGGGACGCTAAAAAAACGACTGCGGTGCAGTGGTGCCGATGATGCAATCTGGTGGTTTCTTGCGTCCCGTTCGAACTCGATCCACTTCTCCACACCTTGGGGGCGTCGGCCAATTGCAGCTGTGGTAGAGGTGGTCGTCTTGGTCGTGTTGCTGGCAGGCGGAAATCTCCCATCGGGTCCAATCATGTGTAAGAAATTGACGTCACCTAAAAAGGGAAGACTGAGAAAAGGAATTGGGACGAAGCACGAACGATGGACGATGGTCCATGGACGGTGCGACGATTGTTGAAAACGTATCTGGCTTGCATATTGTGTGGTGGACAGAAGGTTCTGAATTTCTCGCTTCGCTCGAACTCTTGAAGCGTCGGCAAAGCCGACCTGACGATTTCTCGGAGCCCTCGAAATCGAGCTTCTCGCTTCGCGAGGCAGAGCGTTCCGCCTAGCCTAACGGCGCGGAACCAAGGGCGCTCGCATGCACTCGCCGCGCTCAGAGCCCTCGAAATGAAGCGTCACTTCGCAAGCCAGAGCGTTGCGCCCCTATGGGCGCGGAATGGCGACTCCCCACGCCCGAAGCCCTCGAAACCGAATCGTGCGTTCCGCCTATCGGCGCGGAACCAAGGGAGCCCGCATTCGCTAGTCATCTATTCGCCTTCGCTCACAGCGCTGCGAACTGCCCTGTTTCATGCACGCACCTCCGTTGCTCAGGTCCACAATGAATACAAACGTCTTTTCTTCGTCGGGGGCAAATACACGACCTGCGCTTTTCAGCAAGGACGCCGAGTCTACGACGTTCCAGAGTTCAGCTGCCGAGACTTTGCCGTTGGTGTATTGGTCTCGATACCCTACTACCATTGGCAGGTTCAGGTGCGAAGACGAGTGTTCCCGGTAGACTGCCGGAAGAAGCGGGTTGAAAGTATCGTAGACCCAGGCCTTCAAATCACTCGCTTTGACTTCGGTGAGAGTATTTGAGAACCCGACTTCGACAACGGTTGTTCCGTTCTCCGCCGAAGCATAGCACCCTTTGGGGAAAGGCGTGGTAACTGATACTTTCAAAGTGTCGAAACGGATCTGAGCCGTCAGCCGAATGCTTGCGCTACGAGTTGCAACTTTCAACTGCATGTTGACGTCGAGAGAGCAGCGGGAAGCCGCTCAAACCCGGTTACTGAGTCGCAAGGTGACCAAACAGGTGAATCGAGTAGCTGCTTTAAGAAGGGTGGGAGCAGACAGGTTGCGCGGTGCCATGGGCATGTCCGCCGAATTCCTGACAATTCCCACGCCTTTTCCCCGCAAAGATAAAGAAGTGACATACATACTGTCAGTTCAGTGGGCGTAGATCCCCTTGTTTGACAACTAGCGACGGCGCCAAAATTTAGCTGTGTGCCCGTCCCCATTTGGCAATGGATACATGATCTTTACCACTCACTTTCCCATTCAGCGCTATTGTTCAGATTACATTTCAACTCTACCTTCATAGCAACAAAAACCATTTGGGAAAATGCTGTCGGATGTCCAGCCGCAACCAAGTAGTATGTATATACATCTTTGCGAGGTCGACCTTCATAACGGCACTCGATGCCGAGGTGCTTCTTCGTCACGAGCCAGATCATCTCCGCCCGCGAACGACCCGATTTAGGACCTATCTCAGGGAATAATCGACCACTTTCACAACGGTCCTGATCTGGCCAGAACGAGGCTCAACAAACACCTGTTTCATTGGCATAGAAGGTTATGAGGAGTGTCCGTTCCAGATGCCAGATGGGAGCATGCACACAACGTCAACACCCGCAACTCGTTACTACAAATGTGAAAAACACCGCAAGGAGTGGTTTCGGCGGCAGCGGGACAGTGGTCGACACACCTTACGCAAATATTGCTATCTTGGGGATGTTCACGGAGTGAAACAACACATCTGCACTTCATTGTGCCCAGAGAGGAAACGAATGAGAGGGCCAAACTGGCGTCTTCGCACCTGCCCTGAGCTCACCTGTCCCCCAATCTATACCACACGCCCCCATCAACGCCCAATTGTTGACCGAAATATACAAGCTGGCGCCAATTTCCGCTTCCTTCAGCATCAATATTCCCGACATCAAGGTCATCGGCCCCGGTGGAATGTGGGTCCGTGGGAGCGGAATCCGGCTCCCTTGTGGTAGATATGTAGAAAGGAGAGCAGACGGGTGCAGTACAGTGGTTGGGTACGAAGATAGTTAACTAGCTTAGGCCCAAAGCCCACCCCTGTCCTGAACCCTTTCCCTTCCCTTCCCGATGGCACTCTGAACCGAGTTGCATCTTCAATACGCGACCCATCCCCCTGTGTAGGTCGCGAGGAGAGTCTCCATGTATATTTGGTATGAGATTTAATATCGGGAATACACGGGTCTGAAAGCGAATTCCCAGTCTACGATTTGTTTTTGGGGAAGGGTGGCCCCAACAAGTCGTCGTCCTTTTGCCAGCTGTACTTTATCTTCACATCGGACACATTGATCTGGGACCCCACGTCTATCAAATGGTCTGAGGCTCTCTCAAACATCCCTGGGAAGCTGATGCGGTACGGCTTGGGATCATACGCATGCTGAACGATCAACCTATCATCGGCTTCCCGTTGGCGGACGGCAATCCATTTCGTGTGATCTTCATGAGCTCGCTCGGCGGTGAATAAATTCGAGTACTTCGTCAGCCACTGCGTCAGCGGGTGGGGTTCTCCACGTTCCGCGGCGGCGGTGGCGTAAGAATCGTTGATGCGGTACGCTACGGTCGTGCCCACGACGGCGAGAACGGCTTTGACCCAGAAGGAGTTGAAGAACGTTTCGTGCTGGCCTAGGGTTTCAGCGCCGGAAGGCGTCTCGGCCTTGTGTCCGTAATTGTCCGATGGAGGGTAGATCTCGTCAAGAGTACCTGCCCGATAGTGACCGGGGTAGTGATACTCGTGAGGCCAGCTGAAAGGTGAGAAAAAGGCGCTATTAGTCTTTTGTTCAATCCGCGAATCTGCCACCCATGCCACACCCGGCGATTCTTAGGGACGTCCCCAAAAGTGCAAAGCTCTTCGAGGATTTTTGCACTGGCTCCACTGCCGTAAAAATCGTCGCCCAGAAAACCCATCCCCAGTCGTCCCAAACCACAGACATGCCCCGACGGATACTCACTTGCGAGCAACCTCCAACCATTCCTCCTTGTGCAACGGCGGTTTCGATGAGTGGCCGGCATCGTCGTGGTGGTCGTCGTGATGGTCGGACGCATATTGACGGGCGGCAGAGCCTGCAGGTGTTTGCAAAACTACAGCGGAAGACCTGGCCCCGAATCGAAGCAGGGCAGGAGCGGAGAACCGCAAAGCGCTGGCCACAGGTACCGTGGAACGAAGCATTGTGGCGGGTATCTACAGAGCGTTGGCGAAGCGGGTTGAAGGGCTAAGCGAAGCCGTGGCGGCTGTTGCAACCTGGAGATATGGACCAAAGATGATGCTGTGTTCGTTCGTTCGTTCGTTCGCAGCCAGCAGTAGAGTGTGTGTCTGCAGAGCCTTGCATGCCTGCAGCAGTTGTCGTCGTTCGCCTTTCAAGCCTAATCAAAAGGCAGCGGATTGCGGGTCCGCTAGTTTAGCACATGTTTAGCGACTGGCGCGATGGGCTCCCCATTTCTGTAAACAGTCCCGGACACGCGCTGCCCAGGAAGCAAGCTTGCCCCCTGCGAAACCCGGGTCTCGCTTGCTCCCCCACTCAGTATCGATTTATTCGATCGCTTCTGCCCTATTCGGACCTGTATGTTGTGGTATTGAAGGTAAGAGTGGACTACTCTAGGCGGCTCCGGACGTCGTTACTCACCAAGTCCCCTTCTGCATGTGTCTGGGAATGCAGATACGTGACCCGTAACCTTGTCGAAGCCAGCCGAAGATCACGACCTCATCTTCTAGCAGTTTTCAACGGAAGAAGTGAACAGAATACGCCATGGGTGGGTGACGATTTACCGACGGGCCGACTGTTTGCTGGCCGCAAGCCTTCCTCTCATGTCGAAACTTTGTGTTGCAGCATTCAATTTCGGACAAAACACCCAAAAGGCTGCTGGAGGGGCATTTGGAACCGGTACTCCTGCTCCTACATTTGGAAGCACAACGAGTGAGTAGAAGCAGTCAGTGTTTTTGGAGGCGTCTCGTCTTTCAGCATGTAGCTCCAATGCTGACGCACAATGCTGCAGCGGGTGCCCCTGCGACAGGGTTTTCCTTTGGAGCTCCAGCTGGTAGCACTGGAGGGTTTGCTGGGTTTGGTGCGCCGGCAGCCTCCTCAGGAGCAGGTCCAACAGCTACGCCGGCTTTCGGCGCTCCAGCAGGGGGCAACACTGCTTCGCCCTTTGGTGCAACTTCAACCCCTCAATTCGGATTTGGCACGTCGGCACCGGCTGCATCTTCGGCCGCGGTCCCTACGTTTGGAGCGACATCACAACCCGCAGGGACTGGCTTTGGAGGTTTCAGCGGCGGCGCCCCTGCGTCGGGCTTGTTCGGGAGCGTGGCCGCGAAGCCGACCCCTGCATTTGGTACTTCGACAGCCGCTACTTCTGCTTCTGCCGCCCCAGCACCGACGTTCGGAGCACCAGCCGGGGGAGCCACCTTTGGAGGATTCGGGGCGGCTCCGGCGAGCACGGCCGCACCACCGGCTGCTTTCGGGGGTTTCGGCAGTGCTGCAACGAGCGCACCCGCCGCATCAGGTGGACTGTTCGGCAGCGTTCCCGCGTCCACTCCAACACCTGGATCTCTGTTCCCTGCGCCGGCGCCTACAACTATGCCAGCGTTTGGTGCGCCTAAGCCTGCCACTTCAGCACCCGGTGCTGCAGCACCTTCGTTCAGTTTTGGGGCCCCTGCAGCGACAACGGCAGCTGCGCCGGCAGCGTCAACTAGCATTTTCGGTGCCGCAGCGTCAGCCGGTCCACCAGCGGGTAACCTTTTCGCCAAGCCACCTGCTACATCCGCTCCGGCGACAGCATTGGGGGGGAATCTATTTGGTAAACCAGCTACCTCAAGCGCTCCAGCTCCGGGTGGGGGCCTGTTTGGGGCACCGGCAGCTTCAACTGCGGCCCCTCCAGCTGCCAGTATTTTTGCGACGCCGGCGAAGCCGGCTGCGGGTGGCGGTCTCTTTGCGCCAAAACCTGCGGACTCCAACCCCGTTACACCAGGGCCTCTCAAGTTGGGTGATCTAGCAAGTAGGTGTTTGTTCCGACTGAGTTACCTGACTGGCTCTGAAACTGACTTGAACTCTTCCCAGCACCGGCACCAGCAACCGCCGCCCCTGCACCCAATTTGTTTGTCAAACCCGCCGCCCCTCCTGCCTTTGGAGCTCCAGCCAATTCCGCGCCAGCCGCTTCGACTGCCGCAACGCCCGCCCAGCCTGCGCCCGCTGCTTCGGCAGCAGCAACTCCAAGCACAAGTACGCCTAAGCCCGCTTCAACGCCCTCCGCCGCAGGGATGTCAGCATTGAAGAATCGAAGCATGGAAGAGATCCTGAATCGATGGAATCAACAACTGGACCAGTATACCCGAGAGTTTCACAATCAAGCTGTAGAAGTGCAAAAGTGGGACCGTGTCATTCTCCAAAACAGTTACGGGGTGAGTACTCAGATCTTATGAACGCTGGCGGCATCGTCCACTAGCTAAAACATTCCGGCATTGCCAGATTTCACAACTCTTTGACCAGCTCAACTCGGCCGAAGCCCTCCAGAAAGAGATTGACGACAGCTTGAGTTATATCGATTCGCAGCAAACATCGTTGGACAATCTCTTGAATCAGTACGATGAAGAATTGCAAAAGATATACTATAGCGAGAATACGTCACTACAGAACAGGTAACGATAATGGACCCTATCAAACTACCTTCCGACGTGGTTGACTCATTGTACGAATCTCAGGCATTCGCTCGCGGACGAGGAACGGGAAAAGGCCTACAAACTAGCAGAAAATCTCAACAACCACCTGGACGAGATGTCTTCGCACCTCTCCGTCCTCATCGAGGAGATCAACACGACCAAGAGCGCTGCGGGCAAGTCAGGATCTAACCAAGACAGCAACGGCACCAGGGCAGACAACCCGGTCGGATCCATCGTGCGCATCCTGAATGAGCATCTGTCGTCGCTGGAGTGGTTGGACAGCACCTCTGCGGAGCTGTCCCAGAAGGTCCAAGATTTGAGCAGGGTGGCAGATGAAGCGACGGGTCAAGCGGATCGGTTGCATAACACGCATCGCGCCAATGCCGGTGAATTTGGAGGGAGGCAATCGCTGTTCAATGGCGGTGCGTCGACGAGGGAACGGGTTCCGCGATAGGGTAGAGGTTGAAAACCTGTGGAGCGCTAATGAGATTGTGGTTGATACCCATGGGGAATCCATGGATCCTTTTTTGCATATGAGTGTGTAATATCTATTCAATGTTGTATCTATGATCCCTTTCAGATTCATTTCCGAGGGCGTTCTGATACGGGGAAGTTCTATGTAACTGATTAAACTATAACTAGCCTACGAGAATCAACAAGTCTACAAGTCCTTAGCGTCACCAGTACGCCGTGGGTCAGTCACGGCCAGATCCTTGAGACTCTCCTCCAGCTTCTCCAGCTCCGTGTTGCGATCTTTCGCAACCATGCGTCCAATATGTCCCAGGGCCTCCTGCCCTTCGATACCTTGCAAAGCCATCCGATATGCGACATCCAGCACCGATTCCGGCTTGCACTCCACATCGGGCTTCACGCCAACCCCCTCCCATCCACGCCCCAAGGCGCGGTTGGTCGTGCATCCGATACTGATGGACGCCTGGAGGTGTTTGCTCATTTTGAACCAGTGGCACGGATGCCCTCCGCCACCTGTGTTTTCCCCAATGACGACCGCACGGCCCAACGCCTGCGCTGTACCCGAGAACTTCTCCGCGCACGAGAACGTACGCTCCGAAGTGAGGACATACACCGGCCGTTTCGCCAAATACCGCGGGGCGGAAACGTAAGAGAACGTGCGCAGCTGTTGAGTCTTGTTGCTGGGGCGCCAGTACACGTCGTTAGTGTGGATAGCGCGCGGGACGAGATGCGAGAGGACGAAATCGCCGCATTCGCCGTCGCCGCCGAAATTGGCGCGCAGATCGATGATGAGCGCGGAGGTGTTGGCTAGGAGGGTGAAGGCGGCGGTGATCATAGGGCCCGCGACGGCGAGTGGGAAGAAGCCCTGGAGCTCGAGTAATCCGACACCGCCCTTTAGCACTTCGACTCGCTTCACGCCGTAATTAATCAGGCCACCGCCAGACCACATCTCGCTGATTGGGTCCTCCTCATCGATTGGCAAACTTTCTTCCACGCACGGCTGACTATCCTCCTCAAACTCTTCGTTCTGGAACCTGACCCCCAAGTGTCCATCGTTGTTCACCGCAAGAAGGTCTTTGGACAAGACTTCCGCCAGTTTTGCTTCATCATCCACGCTTTCGTACGCGCCGGCGTCGAATTTTTCCTTGATGTGGGCCGCAATTTGCTCCCCGACGTCGGGAAAGACATAATGTTGGCGGAGACGCTCGATAAGGACGCCCACAGGGGCCTGGTATTTGGTGGGGGCGGACACCATCTTGTGAGAGTTGTTGTGGTGGGGTCGAGAGTTGGGGGGGACATGCACCACCACCGACCTGACCACCGACCCCAGGACCCCGGTGAAGACTCGAGCCGCAACAGCCGCACCCATTTCATCAGACTGCGGCGCGAAATTTGAGGTGGATGAGTCAGTCGGTCGCCCGCAGTCCACGTGAGCAATTGAATTATTTATTGCTCACACGTCCTACGCGTTACACGCAGACTTCGAGTTTCCGCCCCTCTTTGGCTCGCTTGCTTTCCCACTTCCATGTGAAAAAGCCCCCCGACAGCACTCCTGGATGTCTCACACTCGTAAACTATCGCCCCTTGCCCACGAACGCACAACAACCCTCGGATCTGTAACCGCAACTGCAACAGCAAAAGGAAGTATCCACCGGGAGCCGCTAGAATGACCGCTTCTGCAACCTCCGAGAACACGGCCGCCGTGGGCATCGAGACCAACGCGACTATCCGGGCTTACAACGCCCTCATCGGGGATAAAGTAGCGAAACGACCAGTCGTGCGGAGGACCAAATATGAGTTCGTCCCCACCCTCGGAAAAGATAAAACTCCCGTCGCGGTGTACTCGTATAATTGCTTGGAGAGCTTGTACAGGAAGAGCCCGCCGGTGTTTCCTACATCGGCCAGAGGCTTGTTCGTAGTTGAGAAGGGCCGAGAGGGCAGCAACGAGTGGAAGATTGTACTTCGCGGATATGATAAGTTTTTCAATGGTAAAATGCCCACTTTGACGCGTGCATTTCAACGAATTCGAGCCTGACTAGAGCTTTCCATTCGCTTCCACAGTCAATGAGATCCCAGCAACTACATGGTCACATCTAGAAAAGGAGACCCAGGGTCCCTACGAAGCCACTTTGAAGGAGAATGGGTGCATCATCTTTGCTGGAGCACTGAACGGCGACTTGATCGTTTCATCAAAGCATGCACTCAAGTCTGTCCGGACCCCGGGCTCGGATGCAGCCGACGAGAAGCCTGCGCACGCTGAGAAAGGGGAGGAGTGGGTGATCAAGCATCTCAAAGCAGCCGGAAAGACGCGTCAAGACTTTGTCAAGTTCTTGGAAGCAAATGATGTTACTGCGGTCTTTGAGGTACGAGCAACATCTGAACTCTTGGCGGTCGAGTGATACTCTGATGTTGTGTGAGGGCTGACACATCTGAATACCTCAGCTGGCCGATGACGATTTTGAGGAGCACATCCTAGAGTACCCACCAGACAGACGCGGACTGTACTTGCATGGCATCAACGAAAACACATCAACCTTCAAAACGTGGAAGAGCGAAAGACTAGCCCCTGTTATCCGCGAATTTGGCTTTCGTCCGGTGGAGGTGAAGGTGTTTGATAGAATTGAAGGTGGGTCCGCATACATTTTGTGCGCTCTACCTGAAGGCTTCATCCTGACGTCTCAATCTACACGTCAGATGTGCGCGAGTTCACCGATTCCTGCCGGACTACGGGCTCATACATGGGCCGGGCCATCGAAGGATTCGTCGTCCGTTGCCGAACAGTCGGGCCCGAACCCTCGATCTACTTCTTCAAGATCAAGTACGACGAGCCGTACCTTATGTTCCGCGAGTGGCGGGAATTGACGAACCGGGCCTTGACCGGGAAGGAATTCAAGTTCAAACCACGATATGAGCTCACGCACAGCTACAAGGCATGGGTGGTCCGGAAGATTGCGGAATCGCCAGAGTTCTTTGCCGAATACAAGAAGCAGAAGGGGATCATCGCTGCTCGGAACTTGTTCTTGAATGACGTGGGGCTTGACACCGTCGGTGATCATATTGTTGCCGAGGCGCGCCGGACGACTGCGGAGTTTGCGAGTGGGGAGGCCACTATGAAGACCGAGGAGGAAATTGAAGAGGAGGAGTCCAAGCAGGTTTATACGGGTGGTAGGAAGGACAAGAAACATAATGGGAAGCCGGCTCCACAATCAACGTCCGACGAAAAACCAGTCCGAGCAGAAACCGGGACTGCCGTCAAGACGCTCATAATCCCCATCGCCACAATCGGGGTCGGAAAGACCCTCCTCGGACGCATGCTGACACAGCTCTACCCGCGCCAATTCGGGCACGTTCAAAACGACAACATCACCGCCAAGCGGGCGCCCGCGATGTATGAGAAATCGGTTCTCGGGAGCTTTGGGGGCGGCTCGGAGTATGTTTACGCCGACAAGAATCACCATATGTTCATGCATCGGGCGGGCATCACCAATGCGTTCAAGGATCGGTATCCGAGCGGGAAAGTAGTTGCGCTGGACTGGCAGGTGGAGAAGCTGGTTAGGGAGAAGGGTGCGGAGAAGGTCGTTGAGATAACGGCGGAACGAGTTGAACAACGGTAAACAATCACATACAGCATATGTCCATGTTTTGATATACCTGGTTTGCTCTGGACTAACATACCTAACTTGCAGAGGCGAAAACCACCAATCCCTAACACCCCAACGAACAGCCAACTTCCGCAGCGTAATCCGCAACTTCACCCGCAACCGCAACGCCCTCGACCGTAACGTCAAAGCCGACTCCCTAATCGACCAAATCGTTCCCCTCAACATCCTCGACACACCAACACAAACACTTCAAAAAGTCATCACCGCCCTAAACCTATCCCCACCATCCGACGCCGCAATCCAAAAAGCCCTAGCAGCCGCCACAGACTACAAAGAAACGGTCGTCAAAACCGTCAAGGACACCAGCAACAAGCGGAGAATCAGATACTATGGAATCAAGCTGGACACGTCCTCCTGCGATATGTCCGCGGTCCTCACATCCCTCTTTGCAAAACAACCACCAGCGACGCAACAGATGTGGACACGGTTGAATGAGAACCACCGGTTGGCGAAGAAAACAGGGTTTCACGTCACGCTCTGCATGGTCCGCAAGGAAGCCGAGTCGGCGGATGACAAAAAGGCCGCCGAGTTGAGCGAACGGTACGCGGCGCGGATCGCGGATCATGTGAAAGCGCATCCTGATGCCGAGGGCGGTGAGCAGACGGGGCCTGGGGTGCCGGTGACGGTGACGTTATCGGAAGTGGTGTGGGATGAGAGGGTTATGGCCGTGGTTGTGGATAAGCTGCCGGATGGGGTTCAGTCGGTGAATAAGGTGCCGCATGTGACGGTGGCGACGGCGTCGGAGGAGATAAAGCCGTATATTAGTAATGAGGTGCTTGCGGTGGCGTTCAAGAAGGGTAACGAAGGCAAGGGGAAAGAGGAGGCGGCATCAGCACCTGTGCGGAGATTGTCGTTTGACGCCCCGATCCAAGTTACCGGCGTTCTCTGTGGATTCTACCACTGAACGGAAAGGGCACTAGCGTAGTCCCCCGTAATTTACTCATCTCCGGACGTAGTGATAGATTGCTCGACGTAATCTTAGATTCACACGAGGGAATACGGATTCTCTCCGAATATGTGAAACCGTGATTGCGAAACAAGTCCAGGCAGGCATCACATACTTAGGGCGGCAGAAACAAAAACTCTTGATCAGATTGATCGGTATACAGAAAGCATGTGGATGGTTGACTAATGCCTATGACTAGGCCAAAACGAATGATTCCCTAACCCTACATCCTATATTCTAAGCGGTGGGCTTACGGAAGTTGGCACCAGCGTACTTGGCGCGGGAGCCAAGCTCCTCCTCGATCCTGAGAAGCTGGTTGTACTTGGCCAACCTCTCGGATCGGCAAGGAGCTCCCGTCTTGATCTGGCCTGCGTTCAAACCGACAACGAGGTCGGCGATGAAGGTGTCCTCGGTCTCACCGGAACGGTGGGAAACCATGACTCCCCATCCGGCGTTTTGGGAGTCGAGAGCACTGTGGATGTCGAAACCCAGTAGATTGTTAGATTGCACTGCGGATCCCGAGGCGATGTCATATCGTCGAACTTACGCTTGGATACTCTCGGTCACAGTGCCGATCTGGTTGACCTTCAAGAGGAGAGCATTGCACGCCTTCTTCTCGATGGCGGTCTTGATCCTCTTTGGGTTGGTGACCAAAAGGTCATCACCGACAATCTGTTGGCTGACGGCAGCGGTCAACTTGGCGTAAGATTCCCAGTCATCCTGGTCGAAGGGGTCCTCGATGGAGGCGATGGGGTACTCCTTGATGAAGGACTTGTAGAGGTCGGCGAGGGCCTCTCCGGAAAGCCACTTGGACTTGTCAGACTCGGGGTTCTTGAAGTCAAGGTCGTACTTGCCATCCTTGAAGAACTCTACACAGTCCGATCAGTAACTGGCGAAGGGCACATCTTCAGGTTGATATGGTCTTACCAGAGGCAGCAACATCCATAGCAATCTGCACCTTGTCGGTGTAACCGGCTTGCTCAATGGCAATCTTCAGGAGCTCAAGACCCTCCCTGTTGTCCTGAATGTTGGGCGCGAAACCGCCCTCGTCACCGACGTTGGTAGCTGAAGCACAAAGCACATGGTGAACGAGTAATCGGGGAAGAAGTGGTTTGTGCAGGTAAGTCTTACCATCTTGACCGTACTTCTTCTTGATAACGGACTTGAGGTGGTGGTAGACCTCGCTTCCGATCTTCATGGCTTCTGTGAACGACGCGGCACCGGTTGGCATGATCATGAATTCCTGCATGGCAAGCTTGTTTCCGGCGTGAGATCCTCCGTTGATGACGTTGAAAGTGGGAACGGGGAGGATGAAGTCTCCCTTCTTTCCGGCAAGGTCAGCAATGTGCTGGTACAATGGGACACCCTTCTGGGCGGCACCGGCACGGGCAACGGCCAAGGAAACACCCAAGATGGCGTTGGCTCCGAGCTTGCCTGATCGATAGATGTAGTGTGAGCCTTCGTGGCATCTCTACTTTTGGAAGCAGAAACCCGAGCTTACCCTTGTTGTCAGTGCCATCGAGCTCCAAAAGAAGCTTGTCAACGGCCTTCTGGTCGGTAATGTCGACGTTGGACTTGGTGAGGGCAGCAGCGATGGTGTTGTTGACGTTTCCGACGGCCTTCAGAACACCTGACGAAGGAAGGGTACAATCAGCAACTTCTCCTATGCGGCCAATACACGCAATCCGTCCACTTACTCTTGCCGAGGTAGTTCTTCTTGTCCTCATCACGGAGCTCCAAAGCCTCGTGGATACCGGTGGACGCGCCGGAGGGAACAGCGGCCCGGAAAAGACCTGGATACACGATGGGAAGCATTTAGCTACAGCGAAGAGAGGCAAAAGCGCGATTGCATCGGAAGTACCCCTGTCAGTGGTGACCTCGACCTCGACAGTGGGGTTACCACGGGAGTCGAAGATCTGCCTGGCGTGAACCTACCGACGATGGAATCGAGAAGATCAGGGTTAGGCTTTAGTTCTCCGATGAAGACAAGCACAAGGGAGCCGGAACGTACCTTCTTGATAGACATGTTTGTGCGAGTAAGTGTAGGGTAGTATGCAAGTGCGGTTTGTGAGGTGCAGAGAGCAGTGCAGATGGAGGAAGCAGCGAGCGAGTGTGGTGGGAGCGAAAGGGAAGGCCAGCCAGAAGGCCAGCAGAATAAATGGCTTTGCGAGTGCCTTCTCGGTCACCACCGCGTCGCATCGATGGCTATCAGGAAGGACTCGGGAGACGACAGAGACTCCCTCCGCGCGAGAACTGGAGAACACACTCGCTCGCCTACCTGGAGACAACCCCCACCAGAAAGTCGGAACGCCCCGGGGGTTCTGCGCTTCTGACTCCCTTTGTCGCTCACCCTCCTCCGGTCTCTTCCGAAAACAACCTTCGTGCCCATCTTCGCAAAGGAGAACTGGTTACTTGATCCAAAACGCAGAATGTGCAGAAGAAACAGTCATGACTGCGCAACCCGGCACTTTTGTCGCTTTGGCACAAGCTACGCCAGGGTCAACTCCGGGCACCTCGCCCGGAAGTTCCAACGCATCCCTGTCCTCAAATGCCTCGCTCTACGGGAGTCGTCTGTTCCTTGTCGCTTACAAACCGGCAGGCTCAAGAAATAATCTCCTTTGCTATCCGGTAAGTTTCTCACAGTTCTTGTCTGGAGTGTATTCTATACGCTAATTCGCAGCAACAGGTCACAAATCTGGGAAACACAGCCGTCTCGACCAAGTACCCTCATCCTACGCAAGTGTCGTTACGCTGCAATTACATTCCTCTCGGACGAACCCCGAACCATGAGATCATCTGCATCGCGACAAGCCAGGGCTCCACTTTCAGCAACCCGTCATATCTGAATGTTGGCGCTCCTGTCACGATCGAACGTTCGAAAGTCACTACTCCAGCCGTCGGAGTTATTTCGGTTTTTGTTTCGGAATTGAAGGATATCAACCAATTGGCGCATCAAATCTGGACTGGGGCGGAACTTACCCGCCTGCTGGCGCAGCCAACAGCCATTTCAGAAACCGAAGATCACGCCGGGGACGGGGACGGTGCGGCAGATAAGAAAGATGATGAGAATAGGGATGGAAAGTTTGATGAGAAGGATGGCGGGGCTGGAGTCGGTGATTGCAGTGATGGAAAAACTGCGGATTCGTCTGGTGGTAGCAGCATCGGAGCTAAAAAGCAGATCCCATTGGACTACGAAGATTTTCCTCCAGAGGATTTCACCGAGTTGACTTTGAGTTTTCTTCCCGCATCAACCTGCTCATGATTATATGTGTCGCAATCTTCGTCCATTTAGAAGGCACGTTAACCCTTTGAGTGCAACGTACAGTCTGTTGCCATAAAACAGGTCGCCCCAGAACCTGCTTTATGGCAACAGACTGTACATTTATAAATGGGGGGAGGTCACGTTGAGTGTATTGTTTCTGTTGATATATGAGTATGTCGCTGCGCCCCACGTACAGGTCTCTTTTATGCGAGAAGGTAGTGGACGGTAATAACAATCAGATAGGGAGAAGTGTCAGTCGTGAACTGGAAGTTTTCACTTACCTTGAACGTTTTTCATGATCATAAATAAGGATTCTTGCTAGTCCCTGCTCTCAGAGGTCCCGCTCCACTGTGCAGGCACACAGGCGAATCCCTGGAAAACCCTCTAAAACTGTCTGTCCCACGCTTGCTCGTCCGCAAGTCATGAAACTCGGCCACATAACTCGGGAAAGCCTCAAGTATTTGCGCGCAAAACTACTGGATAGAGAAGCTAGCGAGACTCCTAGCGTTCGGCAATGCTAAGAGTGGTGTTGAATTTGTCCAACCCGCAAGACGAAGCTGACTTCGAAATATGGCGCTAATGCTGTTGAGCTTCCTCCTGTTTTTCTTTGAAACCCAGGTTTTCCTTCGCCCCCGTTCATTGGAGCGCTCGCGTGGGGAATGTGTGAAGAGTTGTGGAGAGTGCTATTCGGTTCTCACTGTCAAAGGGACCTAGACCTGCAGTACCATGAACCAGCGGCGTCACTGTCGGACCTACAAGGGCAGGTGTCAAACTCTGCAACCAATGCTAACCACACGACCCCTGCACCCTTTCATGCGACGCTCTGGTTGTGTTTGCGGTTTTGCATAAGTCCGCACGGCACATTTTTTCATGACAACTGTAAACCGACAGCAAATGCAAGATCTTACGACGTCACGCATGTGCATCCTTGATAGAGTAAGGACTTGTCCCATGACATTTCCAAATACTTGCTCTTTATATATACTAGTGCGAAGGAGCATCTCCCCGTCGACGCGGCTGAAATGAAAGCGGCCAAAAAGAGATCATCCAATGGCGTGACGGTCGCTTTGCAATGCAAGACACGGCGATGCAAGAAGATGCAAAAAGATGGATGAGATGACCAGGAACTAGTGGCGATGAAAGCTAGGACAAAACATGCTTGTCTATCACTTGCCCGCGCTCACCTCAAGCTCACCTCAGGCTTTCTCTCCCGCGCACTCCTACGGTCCAAGTCGATGTCACAAAGATCGATGCAAGGACGTACGCCCAGAAGCACTCGCCCGGCGGCGCTCGCACAAGAAGTGGTAATACAGGCACATTTTGCCCCTCCGGAAGCCCAGATAGCGGTGAGGGGGATAGAGCGACGGATTCAAAATATGATTCCTCTGCGTCGAACTCATTATCGGAAGCGTTGAACATCCCAACTGACAGGTACATTCACGGTGTCGAAATCAATGAGATGACGTGACTCCCAAATCCCATAAACTTCCCAACTGCCTTGCGGTCAAACGGTTCTCCAATTTCCGTTGAACTATTCAAGTTATCGCATCCTTTCCCAACCGAGTTGGGACTTAGAACCGTCCAAGTTACAGCGTCGCGTGCAGAGCAACAACAATGGCACTCAGCCGACTGTGGGGGCGAGTCCTGCAGCCATGCTTTCGACATTCGATAGCGCCGCCGCTATTCGGAACGATACATGCTCGGCCTCGTGTCTTCCCACTGAGCCTGCCGATGCCTCAAATAAGAAGGGAGACTTTCTTCAGCTTACCGACATCGAAAAAGGACGACCCGAAAACGCGAAGTACCCAGGAAACTCTTTCCGAAGAACATTCGAACACGCCGGCGGTGTCGTTAGGGTGGGACGTACCTGGGCCTGACGTTGCAGAAGAGTCGGCGGCGTTTGCTTATGAGGATATGACTACGATGAAGGATGCGCCGTGCGTTGGTATTTCCACCGGAAGGAACAGTCATATTTTTGCTGGAGGATGGCTTGCTTATCGACACGTCCTTGGATAGCACTCCCGTGAAGACTCCAGTTCCTGGAACTAAGAAGACCGTGAAGCTGAAAGCCATTGTACGTCAATTTGTCCGTGCTTAGCTTGCAGATGTAAAGTCGTGTTGATGTGTTCCTTAGATATTCGATAGCAATGGCGACTACGGCGACCCCGTTGAAGGTGCACTGTGATCACTACGGCATTAGGCGTACACGGCTCGTTTCTGACCGCATTGATGGACGTGCAGGTGAATTCTCCAAGTTAAAGATTTGCGAACAGCATGGCCTGCAGCCTCGAGATATGCGAAAGATGGACTCGGTATATTCTGCCGGAAAGAGTGCTGCGATCCTGGTCCGCGACAGATCGATTTTGATCAACCTGCTACATATCAAGGCCCTGATAAAGGGTATAGATGCACCCCGGCGCATGCGGATAGCACGAAGAATGTTTGCTCACCTCTTTCCTTGACAGCGGATATGGTGATCTTGGTCGACGCACCAGGATCGGAAAACTATTCTGAGTTGTTCCTACACGAGCTTAGCATGAAACTGAAATTTGATTCGGGGACCTACGAATTCCGGTAACTTACCATCACTTCCTTCGAATCAGCGAGATAGTGTGGCTAATCATTTCACACAGCGCACTAGAAACAATCCTCCTTAACACCATGGCGACGTTACATGCGGAGCAGAAGAAGCTGTTTTCGCGCGTAAATCAGACTTTGGCAGAACTAGACAACCGCATTGACGAAAAGGAGTTGAAAGGCTTGCTGATAAGCCGACGAAAGCTGGACGAATCCTCTGCGAAGATTAATGCCGTCCGGGAGGCTATCAGCGCGATTTTGAATGTGTAGGGTTCGAGTTTTGGATGGGACGAGATGTTTTCATCGCAACTTACCGACGCGAACAATGTTTGCAGAGATGAAGATTTGGCAGCTTTGTACCTGACGGACAAAGCAGCTAGTAAACCGCGTGCAATTGAGGATCATATGGAAGCCGAACTTCTTATGGAGCACTACCTCAACGCTGCAGACGGTACATTTATAACAGTTGAAAAGCACATTCGACATAGCCACTGACTTTACCTGATCTGCTCATAGACATGGGCGCCGCCACAAGGCAACTCGCCCAGAACATTGCCGGCACGCAGGAAATCATCAACATCGTTCTCGCGGCACGGCGGAATCAGCTGCTTCACTTCGAGTTGATGGCCAATCTGAGTATGGCATGCCTGGCCTTCCCGACATTGGTAGCCGGGCTTTTCGGAATGAACATGCCCAATGGTTTGGAGACCTCGGTCGACAGCTTCTGGGTGGTCTTTAGTGCGATGATCGTGTTCGCGGGTGGGCTGTGGGTGATGACGCTCAGGAAACTTTGGAAACTCGCCCTTGAGGCGGGATACAAGAAGGTGCAAGGCGGTGTACCGTTACAAGGACCGCTGGCGAATGGGAGAAGAGGTATCCTCCTAAAGTAGTGAACTCGCCGCCCTCGCTCTACTTTTGGCTACGTTGCCGTCATTCTGTACATAGCGCTCAACTTCCGCCCCTCGCTCCTAAGTGACATTAGTCCCTCGGCGTAGATAGTACCTCATTCGTAATCAAGGTTATTAGTTAGTCATAAGCGAAAGATGAGTGATTAAGTAGTGACACAGTTTCAAAATTGTTTCTACATGGCAGCTCAATAGATGATCGAAGCCCGATACACTTGGTATCCAGAAAATCACCCCGAGCCGCCCTCTGCCGAGATATCTCTCGAGTTCATCCGTGCCCTTGCCTGCGCGAATAGGGCGGCCTGCATCTCTGCCAACTCCTCGTCGGTGTGTTTCGATTCCTTCTTCTGTGATCCTTTGATTCGCTCCTACAAGATATGCAGAGACAGATAAGCATATCCGCACTGGTCGTTCACATGGAAAACACTAGGTCATACCTTCGTTGACTTGTTATGTTCGTCAAATGCTTCTTGCACTTCTGGTACATAGCTCCCGAATCCTAGTTCCTATCCCCAAAATGTTCAGTATGCCGTTCCCCGCATGCGCTCGCACCAATCCGCTGAGATGCCAAGAGTTCCTCACTTGTAATGCTTTGATCACATGCTCGCCCGCGATGGTTTTCTTGTTCTCTTTCTCACATTGTTCGTTGGCTGGACGCATACGTTTTCCACGTTCAGCCTTTATCCCTGTAAACACCATCTTCCCAGCATCAAACAACTCCTTCTCACCTTCTGAAGATATCAGGTGTATGAACTCTAAAAACCAGGCAGGGGTTACACAGTAAGATTCCTTCCACGCAACGTGTAGTGCACATAACCGCCAATTGCTTCAACCCACCAACACAGCAGTCCGCAATCAGATCCCTCGTCTCCTTCGCACAAACAACATCCGGAGGCATCATTTCATGGATCAGTTTCGTGACGGTCGCTAGAAAGCATACATGGTAAGTGTTTGGCCAAACGAACGGAATACGTACTCAAGTGGCAAACCTTTCGGTAATGAGAGCTCCTCGTCGGCGGCGCCGGTGCCTACATCGTAGTCGTCGTCCATTGCGTGTGTGTGGTTTATCCGGTGGGGGGAGGGTGGGGGGTGGCACTGTTTGGTGACTTGGGTCCAGTTTCACTGTCTGAGCGCTCGAGGGCATGCGATTCTTGCCATGGGAATGCACTAAAAACGTTTAAGAGGTTTGGAGGCTTCCAGGGAGAACGCGTTCAGGATGTCTGGCACCAGGTCTGGCACGTCGGTCTGGCATCAGGTCTGGCATTGGCGGCATGCACATGCGCACACACATGTCCACATGCATGCCTTTTCGGCTTTCTCACTGGGCTAACAAGTCCCCTTCGCCCTGTAAATAGACATATAGAACAATGTCGATATGACTCTCATTAGCTTCTTCGGCAACGGCTTCACCGCCTACGGGCCGGCGCTAGCCGTGTTCTTCCTGTACATTGCGAAGAACGCCCAGCTGGTGCTGTTGCTCATGACCAGGTATGAGTCTCACCAGTCTCTTTTGAGTGGGCGGATACATTTGAATTGAGCATTGTTCTTCTTCGGTTGCGTATGCAGCGCATTCTTCTGGCTGGTATCCATCCTGATCTCCTCGGTGTTTTGGTACCTCATCAAGGCCATGCAGGATGTGCCGGCGGCGACGATATTCGTCTCGGTGACCTGGCAGGAGATATGGCGATACCTGTTTTTCATCATGATGAGGTCTGTGGACACCCGTCATGCATTGTGGAGGTTACTGCGATGGACGCCGGCTGACCGTTCACTGCTTCCTAAAGCAAGGCAGAGCCCGGGCTGAACAGCACGTCGAGGACACCGGACTCGAGATTTAATCGGACCAGGCATGCTTTTGGTACGATATGGACGATGGGATTGGAGCTCTTGCGCGGGGAGGAGATGTCTAACCGCAGTCTTCGATGTAGCCACGGGGTTGGGGTTTGGACTAATGAGCGGCTTGACGTTGTATCTAACTCAGCTGGCCGAGTCGAGCGGGCCGGCCATCCTGCCGTGCAGCTCTTGTCCGGGGGCGGATGTGTTCTTCATTGGTGGTATGTTGTCGGACGGTGCCATTCTGCTACGGTACCCTGCAGAGCATGCTAACAGTACACCCCGCTCCAGCGGTGACGACCAACCTGTTCATATTCCTACATACGGCATGGAACATGATCGCCTTCGAAGGATGGTATAAACAACGATGGCTACCATTCGCGTTTGTTTTGTTCTCGCATTATGCCGCGTCTTATGGGGTAACGTTCAGCGAGCTGCCTCAAACGGCACGTAAGACATCGAGCCTAATGTATACCATTTCTTGTAGACGCTACTGATTCCTTCAGATGTACACAACGGCTGCCTTATATCCATCGCCTTGTGTATAGTGTTACTCGTCATTGCTACGAGTTTGGTGGTACGCACCATCAATTGGTGATGGCGGGGTAGAGGTGCAGATCCGAGGGCCTTGATACGGTTATGACGCTGGACATTGCAATGAAAGCATGTGGACTTTGATTGGCAGCATGTTCGGGCGATGCATTCGCTCACGGACTATGAAGTACCGCATCACAGCCGACAGTGATAGAGCGGAAGGCAACAAATACATATGTTTCAAAATGCGGAATAAGGATACAAGATGGATCTAGAGTGAAGACATGACTAAGCTAAGGTTTGAGGGAATCAGCGTGCCGACGACTCCTTCCTGTTCCGTCTCCGCTTCTGTACGCCGTCTCGGAGGGTGTTCAGCACTTGCACGGTCTGATCCCAGGCTATGCAGGCATCAGTCACAGATACACCGTACTCTAATTTCGCGGGACCATCGGCAGGGATGTTCTGTCGTCCTTCTTTCAAATGCGACTCGATCATGACTCCGATGATGTTGTCCGCTGTGGAGTCAGGGCCGGTGGAGGAGAGCTGCTCCGCAACCGATCTCGCTACCTCGCCTTGTCGCTTGTGGTCTTTTTGAGAGTTACCATGCGAGCAGTCAATCATGAAGCGTGGTTGCAATCCAGCCTTCTCGACTTGGGCCCGGAACTTGCGAATGTGATCCGCGGAGTAGTTCGGGCCGTCATTTCCACCACGGAGAATCACGTGGCAGCTGTCGTTGCCAGTTGTGGCAACAATGGCGCTGAGACCCTGTTTCGTTACCGACAGGAAATGGTGTCCGGAAGAGGCGGCCCGGATTGCGTCCAACGCGATGCTGACGTTGCCATCCGTTCCTGAATGGAAAGCTACGTAAGCTATGGCATCTGGGAGAAGCAACAGTGGCGTGCCACTCACCATTCTTGAAGCCGACGGGCACAGAGAGCCCGGACGCAAGCTCTCGGTGAACCTGGGATTCCGTCGTCCTCGCGCCGATTGCTCCCCACGCTGCCAGATCCCCGACGTACTGGGGCGTGAGGGTATCCAGAAACTCCGATCCGGTTGGGATGCCGATTTCGTTCAAATGCAGGAGTAAACCACGGGCCAACTTCAATCCTTTGTTGATAGCAAAGTCTCCGGTCATCGTGGGGTCATTGATCAGACCTTTCCAACCTGTTAAGATTCCGAGTGAGCTTCGCGGAACTCTTCGCTAAGCGACAGTGTTATGTTCCATCATTCAAGCATACCAACTGTTGTCCGCGGCTTCTCAAAGTACACCCGCATGATGATGACCAGATCATCGCGGGCGGTGTCAGCGTAAGCTTTCAGCAATTGTCCATATTCCTTCGCAGCCTTGACATCGTGGATGCTACATGGTCCCACAACACATAGAAGCTTGTCGGATTCTCCCTTGACACATTCCTCGGCTTCCATACGCCCTCGCGCCACAGTGATGGCAGCGGAGTCTGAAAGAGGAAAGTCTTCGAACAGGAGTTGAGGTGGAATCCTAGGATATTGCCGTGTCAATCAATCCGAGTCCTACGCACTTCGAAGCACACGGGAGGAACGTACAGAGGCTTAATGTCCGCGATCCTACGGTCATCGAGATCATTAAGGGCATGGGAGTCCCTTCGCGTGGAGGCAAGTGCAGGTCTTTCTTTGGCCATGTTTGTCATTCTCGGCTGTGTGATCGATGGCGGCTGAAGAATGAATGGCTTCGTTTAGTGAGACGATAATTGTGAGACGACAAAGCGTCCGCATTCGGGAGCTGAACCTTGGGTTGAATGGGACTGCGAGAATCGCCGGACTTTGAAAATCACGAAGAGGGCAGAGTTCCAACGGTTGTTGAAATTTGCAGTGAAATTTGCAGTGATCTCTCCGTTGGTTGAAAAAATCGTTATATTCTTCTGCCTCTGTTTGGGTGGTTTTCTAGGACAGTTTCTGGGGGATGGCAAGCGGGGCCAGTTATATACATACAGTATACCGCTTTCCCGAGGGATGTTGTGTGGTTGCAGGCAATGCGGGGATTGCGAGGGCAGCGACGCTCAGCCACAACGCGTGGGAATTTGCGAGGCCTCCTTCGACGCGAGGAGATGTGCAATCTGAGGCGATTGCAGCAAGGAAAATGACATTTTTCGTGACTCACGCAATGCATGTCATAATAGAATGTCATTGGGATTTGCGCGTGTGGTGGAGAATGGAAACGTGCCCCTATACCCACGTATGGTATAACCCTAACCATGACTGTACAGTCAGTGGACAAAAGGCTGTCTCCCCTCGAGATTAAGTCAGTGTCGCCCGACGCGTCTCTCTGCCTTGTGAAACGATCATTGAATTCGATTAGAAGGAGAGACAGCCTTTTTGTCGGTGGATCGTACGATCCTGCATAATCCTAGTCCTGCTTGTCGCCCATCGAGCCCATCGATCCTTCCCGTCCTGTTGACAACCTTCGTTCTGTTCATCGTTCGCGGCAACAGCAACATCGCAACCGCCAACGGACAGTCTTTGTCGATAGCGAACCTTCAGTGCCGTCACCGTCGTCCCTTCGAAACGGGCATCTAGGCTCCTCACCGCGGTCTCCTCTCCTCCGAGTTTCTTTGCCTCGCGGTTTGGGATGGATATAATCTCGCAACACTCGCCTCCTGTCACTACGCTTTCGAATACATCAGCTTCCATTCTCCCACCGAGTGGTCCAAAAGAACGCCTTCAGCATCAAGCTTCTCTTCCTGTTTCGGCTTTTCGTAGTTCTTCTTTCCCAGCCTTGACGCCACGGCTCAGCGGCTCAAATCCCAGCCTTCTCCTTGGCATCCACTCGCACAGTTCTAGAATAAACAACAACAGTGGGCCCATAAGGTCACCGAGCGGCTCTTCATCTTATACCAGCTCAACTCCGCAATCGCCAAAAGCAAGTGCTTTGGCCGACACCCGCGGAAGAGTGAGGAGCAACAGTAGTATTAGCACAGCTACGAAATCCAAATCCAGCGATTCACCGATAATGGGAAGCACTGCAGTTCCCATCAACGGCGCGCCTGACGTTGCGGCCGAGCAGGAGTTGCGGCAAAGGAAGACTTCTTGGGCGGAAGTTGCTAAAAGCGGGGCGGCGAACGAATTGAAGGAGGTGAATGGAGCGCGGAATGGAACGCTGACGAACGGAATATCGAAGACCGCTCCGTCAAAAACAATTTCAGCGCATTCTCCATCACGGCGAGTAGCACAACCTTCGAAAGTTCCCGTTTCGACCCCTTCCACTGTGATTGCTTCCGCGCCCCGGAAACAGCTGAAAATGGACCCATTAGTTCAAGTCCTGATACTGCGGCGCATGTTACTGCTCACCGATGGCCGCGACAAAGTCATGAAAGTCATTCAATACGGACTAAAAGCAGCCATGTGGGCAGAACTGCTGACGGCAAAGAAGCAACCGGCGATGCACGCGAGAGCATCGAAAATCGTCTCGAACTTCTCGACAGCACGTAAAATCATCCGCCTGCTCTACTGGCTGAACTCGCTTGACGAGCTGATCGACCTGAACAAAACGTCAGCTGCCGATTTGGTGAAAATGACGCCAAATGAGCGACTACGCCACAATCTATCCATGTTCAACGCCATCGTCGGCATCGTCAACGGGTGGGCGGACGATGTGGTCGTCGCAGGCAAGCTAGGCCTCATCGAAAAGCCGCTTTATAATCGAGCGACAATACTCTCAGATCGCCTGTGGTACGTCACCATCTTCTTCGACCTCTATGAGAACATCCAAGCCGGCAGAGTGCTCAGCAAGAAGGTGCTGGACGCACAACGACAGTACGTCAAAGCAGACGGGGACGTGGACGATATTGGCGTTCTAGACAAAAAGCGAACAGAGCTTCTGAACAAGCAGTACATGCACAGAATATCGCTAGTGAAGTTGGTAGCCGATTTCACCTTCTGTACGGTAGACGTGTTCCAGTTGGGTGAGCGGGGATTGAGCGATGGATGGCAGGCGTTGTCGGGATTGACTTCGGCGCTGTTGGGGACCTATAAGGTGTGGGTCAAGCATCGATAGCACGGTAGCTTTGTGGACTGGTTCTCTTTGAGTCTTCACCGTACGATATGCTTTGCTTAGATAGCAGTTTTGGATGTCATCATAGAAGTTTGCGATAAAATCATTTTCATCAGACACAATGGCTCATTTAGATACAATAAGACCATCCCCTTCTCCCCTCTGACCATCCTGTCTGGCCATCCGGTATCACTGCCCCGGCTCAAAGAGCTTCTCGATGGCGGCCTCGAGCGTCTGCGGCGTGTACTTGACATACTTCTCAGGGTTCTTCGAAAAGTCAAGGGTAGCATGTCTGAAACAGGGAAGATGATGAAGATTGAGCGTGTAGTACTTCCAATCGATGACCCCAGCCTCCGTACTTTTCATAAAATTGCTTGTAGAAAGGGCACAGAATCGCTTTCACGTCTTTGATGATGGCGACGCGCAGGTCTGCATCAGGCACGGAATATGTTTTCTGTGTGCGAGTCACCTCCTCAAATTCGGTGTTGAAGTTCTAAAGTGCCGGGGCGGATTTCACATGATCAGGGCTTTTGCCATCAGCAACTGGCCAACATCAAACATGCTACACACCTTGAACTGGTCTTTGACGATATGTTTTTGTGCCTTCGTCAGTGTTTTGGCGCCTGGTGCTACCCCTTGTCCTTTGTCGTTGATGGCCTCGATTACAGATGTCCAACTACAGCGGCATGTGCCGGTCAGCCCACGATCCTCGATGCCAACTTCCCATCCACGCCCATACCTATCCCTGTACCCCTGCCTCCCCTTCTGGCTAGCCTTCTCCAGCCTCCCTACCTCCTCATTCCCCACAAGCTCTGCCAGCCCGCTGGCGCGCACGTGTTTGACCATGTAGTGATAGTTGTTGAGCAGGAAGATGGCGGCGAGAGTGGGTTTTTTGTAGGTTTTGGCTTTTTGGTCGAGGTTGACGGTTAGCGCGGTGAGGACGTCTTGCGCGATGGTTGAGAAGGCTGTTGCGCCCATAGGGTTCTGGGGTGGCGGGAGAGAACAGGAGGGTGGTCAGCCACACTGTGGTCAAATGTCATCAACAATCTCTTGACCGCAGTGAACTCACAGCTCCATCGGCTATAAGCTTGTCCACCGCGGAATGGTACTCGACCAAACGCCGGAGAGTGTTGAGCGCCTGCGGTGTGTGTGAGATGAGCATTCGAGTCATGCAGCGAAAGCAAGAACATCAAACATCTACATACTGTGCTCGTAAGCTCATGGACGGTTCCATCAAGCGACAGCGATGATCCCTTGCTATTATCGCTCTGCAGATGAGAGAAGGTTAGAGGGCCCCTCCTTCAATAAGATATCAAATGATGAAGGATCAAACTACATCGATGTCGGTTGGCATACCTTGGTATCCTCGTAGAGCTGCGCCAAACATTGTATGGTAATGCTCTTCCCATTGCTCGACAGGTCGCTGATCTCCAAGCCTTTTGCCCCAGCATACTGTGAAGCGGTAATACCAATGGTTTTAAATTCCCTTTAACCGTATCTCCAGCCAGAGAGTAGACTCGACTTACCGCCATGACTCCATCATACTCCCTCATCCCCCGTATCAGCCCCTCGCCAACATCAATGAGCATGAACACATCCCGATACTCCCTTCGCGCGACCTGCTTCTTCACGCGGCTGCAGATGGACTCCCCGATCTCCACAAAAATGTCCACTGCAGGCGTGATGGTCGCTTGGAAGGAGGTGGGCGCGTTTGTTTTGGGAAGCATCTTGTTTGTGAGCCCCCGTTCTGCCTGCGTCGGAAGATCACATATCATGAGCTCTGGTGCAGTTACGACCATCGATATACGTGCTCCGACCTGCATCATCTTCAACAACGCTTTCGTATACGCAACCATAGGCGACGTCCCCCTCTCATACGCAGTCTTGGCTTGCGCGCTTTTCAGCTCGCTTTCGCGTGTAGCAGATGCCAGACCTTGTAATGACTTTACGAGGTAGTTTGATCGCACTTCCTCGTAGATTTTGAGGTACACGGGAGGGAAGCTTAGATCGCCGATGCTGGAGGTCTGGAGCTCGAGGGAAAGGGCGAGGAGGTTGCGGAATGGTTCGTCGGGAATGTGTGGGATGTCTGTTGGCATTGCAGGCGGAAGAACTTCAGGGCAAATGCATCGGAGGAGTGGCCCTGCACAAACCACATACCTTTGTCAAGGTAGTTTCCAATATCGATTGGAGGACTTGCGGCAGTCAACCACTTGCGGAACACGTTGTTCAGCAATCCAAGGGCTTTCGTCAAAGTGTATTTCTACCAGGTCGGAGGTGTCACCACTATTATGCCCAGCCGGTGAACCATGAAACATTTATGGCACTCACCAAGGAGTTGATGGCACGTTCAGATGCCTTGTACTTTGTCCGCTGGAGGTAGACCAATGCTTCCTTGAGGGATTCCACCGATTTCAAGAAAGGTTTCATGTCGGATTCCTGCGGTCTGCAAGTGCCAAGAGGTTATTGACGCTGATGTGGTCTCTCGTTTCATAAAGTGAGGGCTGACCCTTTGGCAATGAATGCCTCTTCAGTGCTGCCCATGTCATAGTAGTCAATCACGGTTTGTACTTGATCGAGAGCGGCTTTGATGTCTGTGGGGAGCAACCAGCGGAGCTGACCGTGAGCCAACTCGCTCAAATGGCTGGGATATGATGGTGCGACGTACGATCATGAAACATCGTCAGCTTTTGGGTGGAGCGGTGGATAGGCAGAATTGAGGTCTCTAATCTGCCAAGCCGCAGATCGAAGGAGCTGAGCATCGACTCCTGTGGGACACATGTTAATGATATATAGCTACAGTCCCAATGTCTCGAGAAGGTGCCTTCCCAGCGGCGATCTGCCCAAAGCCCCCAGCCATCTCCGCCTTCATCCATCTCTCTCGTCGAACTCCTGATCCTTTCCCCGCAGAACCCCCAAACGCCACTTACAATCTTGTTCGTCAAGATGTTCGTCTTTGCCAAACTTTCCTCCAAAACTTCCAGCTCCTCCATATCCTAACTTGCTCATTTTCGGTGAGTTTCAATGCCGTCCGGTGGTATGTAGTCAATGACTTCAAGCTGGTATCTCACCTTATGTAGCTTCCGCTCCAGCTCTCGCCGGCGCTCCACCTGGGCATCCACATGCATACTGATAAAAACATCAATCAGCTACAAGGCGCTACCAGAGTTGATATGCCTATCCTGACACGGATAACGACTCGTACCTCTCGAGGTAGACCATGTTGGTATGCTTTCATTCAGAGATAAGTAAGCTTTCCAGGAAAAAAGTCCGTGGGAATATTCAGATATCTACGTAGCAGGCTGTTTTCCGCTGTGACGTGATGTGATGATTCACGCGTCTGAAAGCGTCCGACTGTTCCGACCTTCCTTCCGTCAATGCAAGAACCAGCTTTTCATTCCCGGCGTCTCTCCTCCCCTCGTCCCGCCATGCCGAAAGCGAGAAGATCAAAAGTATGTCAAGGTCCATAAGCAGCAAGTCAAGCAGGAACGACGCGACGTCATCCACATCCAACATAGCACTCAGGAAGTAGGTAAGAAAGATGCGAAGTACTGAGATAATTTACAATGTTCAAGATACAGAAAGTGTTCGCGAGACACTAAGGTAAGGTAACTGCGGAGCTATGGAGTGCGGTCTCTGGGGATGAGGCCGGAATGCGAGAGAAGAGTGGTAGAGGATGTGTGTAAACTAATCACAAGTTCTTGAGTGGACTGCGCTCGGACACATAGTATTTCGCAATCATGAACGCAATATCCAGTGACTGTTCGTAGTTTAGCCTATACGACGCAAGAAGGATAATCAGTTACTCAGCTCATAAGCTTCCAAACAAGTCACCCCTTACCTTGGATCGCAGAAAGTCTGGTAGTTCTTGCTCAGGTCCTCTTCCAGTAGGTTCATGGAACCGCCAATCGTCTCCGTCACAGCATCGCCCGTCAATTCGAAATGAACTCCGCCAAGTATCGAGTTACACTCCTTGTGCACGCGAAAAGCTTTACTTAATTCCTCCACGATATGGTCAAAGCGGCGGGTTTTCAATCCGGATGCGGTGGATTCCGTGTTTCCATGCATGGGATCGCAGCACCAAACCACCTTGTGCCTCGTTGCTTGCACGGCCTTGATGTGCGCTGGAAGGTACAATGCAACCTTGTCGTGGCCGTACCGTGTGATCAAGGTGACTTTGCCTATGGAACAGCACATATCAATGCTCCCACCCTGGAAAGGTTTCGAATAGCAGTCCATCGCGTACCTGGTTCACAGTTAGGATCCAAGATATTAAGTAAAGGACCGAGCTCCTCTGGCTTCATGGAAGGACCAACTTTCACGCCGATTGGATTTTGTAACCCACGGAAGTATTCGACATGTCCTCCGTCAAGCTGTCTCGTACGGTCCCCAATCCAAAGGTAATGGGTTCCGAGGTTGTAGTGCTTCTCGCCGACCTTTCGTGTCAATTGTGTCTCGTAGTCGAGCAACAATCCCTCGTGAGACATGAATAAATCAACCGTTTTGATAGCCTCCTTCGAAGCATCATCAGCGCCAATAGTCCTCATAAAGTCCAGAGAGTCCTGCAGTCTGTTGACGATCGCTTGGTACTCTGCTCTCACAGCCGGGTTCTCGACATGAGAGAAGTTCCAGGAATCAAGATTCCAGACTTCTGGGTGATGTAAATCCGCGAATCCGCTGGAGAGCAGAGCGCGAACATAGTTCATCGTCGCGGCCGAATGGAAGTACGCGCCCAGCAGCCGCTGCGGATCAGGCCTGCGGTCTGCAAGATCAATCCCGTTCACATTGTCTCCTCGGAAAGCGTTGTATTCCACGCCATTGATCATCTCCGTGGGCTTTGACCGAGGTTTGGCATATTGCCCGCCCATTCGCGCTATCCGCGTCACAGCAGTGCGTCCACCCCAAACCAAGATCAGCGACATTTGTAGTAGGACCTTCAATTTGTTCTCGATTGGGTTCTGAGACCAAATGGCGGCTGAGTGAGCAAATGAGGCCTCTCCCTGAAGGCAGGCTAGCTACCCTTACCTGCGAGCAATAATCGAACAGTTCTGCACAGTCTCCCCCTTGCAATAGGAAGCGCTTGTTTTCGGCTACCTCCGCGAGCTGCTGCCTCAGCTTATCAACCTGGATATACGATATGAGTACTTAGATAGTTGAATAACGACCACTTCGCCTTGCAATTGATTCCACACACCCAACGCATACCTCTTGCGAGCTCACCAAAGGCGGAAGGTGGCTGAGTTTGGCCAGAACCTTTTCCACTTCCTCGGGGCTGTCGTACGCGACGTCCTGCAAGACCTTCTTGGCCTTCCACGATTCCGGGGACCATCCTTCTGCACTTGCTTTGGCGGGTGTGCCGTTCGACATCTTTGCGGGGCTGCTGCTCGTCATTTTGAATGCGTCTGGTCCTGATAGTGAAATGTGTGTTGGGGAACCTTTCTGCCGACTCTTTTTGGGCTTTCTGCTCTTCAAGCTCGCGCACGTTTTTACGCGACATCGAGCGGACGCCAATAGTCAGCCGGTGACTTCTCTGCATATGCGCGCCACCGAGTATGGGCCATCCGCATGTGAACGGCCCCCCTGCTCCGAGTCATTCGAATCATCGTGAACCGACGGAAATGTCATTCTTGTCGAAATTCTCAATCGACAACGATCTGCCGATCTGGCAGCAAGTCAAGGTCATTCCAACGCTTCGCAGTAAGTCTGTGACAACCCCAACGGCGCTTAGCGTTGAAAAACTCCCTTGAGCTTACTTACTCCATATTTAGAAGTGTGCGACTTAGAACTTTCTGGGCGGACGCAGACTCTGTACCAAAGTGGAGGCTTTTATCGAGTTTCGAAGGAAATTCCAGACTTGGGGGGGTTGTCTCGTAGACTGACCGTTCTACAGGACTGGATTTCAACGGGCGTCGAATGAGTCCTTTCCTCGGCATTCTGTTGATTTGCTATTCCAGCCGTGGTCATCAGCTGGTTTTCAACTATCCTGCAGAGCCAAAGCCAAGGCTTTCGAGGACGCGCAGTGGAAATCGAGTTGGACAGCTTGGAGATGGCACTCCTCTCCGTCAACAGGAGAGCGAGAAGTTTCTTGGCTTTGAAACCCACTTCCTTTCGGATGTACTGTCCCCAAAAGTGGCTTTGTGCGACCGACAGTTCCAGTTGACAGTCGATGATGTGACCTTTGTGGGACATCCAACACTCCTGCATGCGGACCGCCCGGGAACTGGTCATCGTTTCGCTCGGATGATACAAAAGAAGAGGTTGAATGCTCAGGAGGCGGGTATTAGAACGCCGTCCTCGCATTGGGACAATGAGCTGCATCAGTATCACGATGGGATATCTCCGCCATTTGAGAAAGCCGCCTCGAACCCCTCCGTGAAGTCGTCGGCAGATGCAATATCCTCCGCCGGGTTGTCTGCATCCGCACCTCAATTATCAATGTTCAATCTGGTCTTTGCGATGCAAACCAGTGGCGAACAGATGGCGGTAGATGAAATGTACACCCACGTCATATCCAAGGTCACAGCCGCCCTCAAGTACGAGCAACTCAAGCGAGGCTACATTCGAAAGGAGACGGAATTGATTCTTTCTATCAAGGACGATGCTCAAAATAAGACATCAGATCGCGTGCACCTGAGCGATATCATCGATCGTATACTCTCCGAGTGCTCTCTGGCCCGTTGCCTAGCCGATATATACGACTCAATAGTGCGAGACTCTGCGGCACACGTTGTTATCAATTCCTCCGTTGATTTATCCCTCCATTTGCCAAAGCATACCAAGCCCTGCATGCTTGCGCCGCAACGCCTAGAGTCTCGCGTTGGGTTGGAGGACGAAGGGAGCTCAGGGTACCCAGTTCTCCGGCCATACCATGCTATCCTGCTACTGTACGATCCTGAAGAAGTCCTGCAAGCATTACCGGTTGATCCACTGCCATTGCTTGCGGAACTGATTCAAGTTGTCACACCAACTCAATGGTGCGGCCATGTGATAGATAATCGAATTGAAGTTCTTGCAAGCAAACTAATTCGCTTTGCAGCTTCCAGCAACTGCAGGCTACCTTGGATTGCTCTCTTTCCCAAGTCTATCGATTAGCTGCTCACTTGGTCCATTGGCAAAAGGCGAAAATCATTCATGTTGTCGGCGTGCGCAATGTCTATGTGGTCCCGCCCAACGCTGATCTCAACCGGTACGGTAAACGGAGGTGTCTGATCCAACCAATGCATACTGGTGCTGACCATGCACTTCTCGCAGCATACATGAACTCTCTGGAGATTTCAACAACCGTTTCCCGTCCGTCAATCTCCCGTCCATCTTGGCCAATTTGACAAGCATCCGACCATTTTCCACCACTATACCGCAGAAAGAGTTGCGGACCTTATACCTCGAGATCCTAACGTACCTGTTGCGACATAACCTCGTAGAGCAACTCCACATGTACATATGTAAGTCTGCCCTCCTGGGCGGAGCAATGCCGGAGTTCGCTGACTGACTGAACCCTTCTCATTACAAGATCTCATGATCCCGTACAATATATTTAACAATAAATTGCTGGTCGGCACCTCGCGGGAAAATGAGACTCCATCGCCCGTCATCATTGCAGACCCGGCCCAAGCGACTGATGTTGAAAGGGAATGGATAAACCGCATTGCCTACGAGCAACCCCAGGCCATAGCTTCTGCTTTCCTCAAGTAAGCATATACATCTCGTACGACAGGACGACCACCTTGGTACTGACACTACACACCCCATTTACAGGTTGGTGCCATACTTCAGCGGAAAGTATCATGTCGAAGAGATTGCGTTCCGTGAGACCATGCCGAGGTGCGTCCCCGGACAAAATTTGAGGTTGAGCAGTCGGCGGCTGTGAATGATCAAATTCATAATACGTTTTGTTGAGCAGGAAGGATCTTCGGCATATCTTGAATCGGTTTCGAGAGGCGATCATCACCGTGTTATTACCCTAGTGGGCGAAGGTGGCAATTTCCTGGCGAAGGAAATGCAATCACTCCTTTGGGGGTTTCTCCTTGGGATACCTGCCCCTCCTGAAATTTTCATGGCATTGCTTCTCTGGGAGACCTACCGACGGCTTTTGGCGCGGCTGCAGCGTCTTACAATCCGCATGTCCGCTGGCGAATTGCGGCGGAAGAAGCCCGTTGGAAAAGCAAATCGTTTTCGAGCACCCAGGGTCTATTCTCGATGGACTATCGCGGCTTACCGTCAGATCCCACTCGCGAGGTTAAGCTCCGAACCAAAGCTCCGAGCAGGACGGAGTCGAAGGACGTTCAATGTACACGAAGGCCCGGCGGGTGAACGCTACGGCGTTAGAAATGCGGGCTGGTAGTGGTCTGACAACTACTCTGCCCACTGGCAAAGTATGGTCGGCCCACGGACGCTGAGATCTACTACGTGGGTAAACAGTAAAAACAGCACTGAGGCGGAAGGGTGCTCGGATCTCGGACCGCCTGTCTAGCGTTCGACACGAGGGATAGTGCTGGAGGCAGGGGCGCATGACCGGGGTTTGTGAGTGCCGGCGCGACGCTGTCTCACCGATACTTGTGATGTAGGGAAATATTAACGGCACCCACCCGAGATTGTTATCCGCACCCATGTCTAAGATAGAAAAGGGGCTCTGGGGCTCGCTGTTTATGAATTACTATACTCTTCTGTTTATAAATCACTGGAGAAATGTGAAAGACGGAGTTATGAAAGCGCCCACCTCAACGTGGAGAAAACCAGACATGGGTGCGGATAGTTATTGCCTGGTTCCTCGGCCGATGGATACTATTGATAGTGTAACCCGGGTACTTGTAGGGTAGTGATATGCCCCCTGGCGAACCTCCATAGCGGGAATGTCAGGAAATGATAAGAAGCTGTGGAAGAAAGTACTACATCTGAAAGAACGTCCTATTCTGCGCTCTTCTCCTATAATCTATCTAGCTAGCCTTCAACGATGTTGTCATCGCTTTAACGGCCTCAGCCTCGGCTCTAATCCATGGCGGTGGAGCGAGCGGAATATTGGTCTCGACGATAGACCGGATAGGGTACGTTTTCGGTACCCCGCCAGGTCGGAAAATGAGCGTCGGGCCTTTCGGATGAGTTGGTTCCGAAGCCTTGCCTGGTTCCTCGGCCGATGGATACTTATTGATCGTGTATCCTGGGTACGACGATGGTTTGAAAGGAACGTTGGGCTGCTTGATAGTTCTTTTGGCGGAGGTTGGTTTGGGTGGGGCTTTTGCGCCTGCAATGAGACCAGATTAGAGCCTGGGCAAAGATGTATTCTCCATCCGCTGCCTCACCGTCAGTTGTATCGAGCGATACAAAATTGTTGAAAAAATCCATGTGATGTCCACTGCTAACAAAGGGACGTTCTCCAACGACCCTTTTCTTGTGTTCCGCATGATCTTTCTGTTGAAAAGAGTGTTGTCAGTCTCACAAAAGAGACCTTCACTCGTATGTACCAACGCACCCTGTTTCCCATTTCCGCCGCATTGTAAGCATCCCCAATATATTCGTGCGCGGTCCCAATCGTGACGTTGGCTAGAAGGATTTCCGAGTCTCAGATATCTTTCGTTCAAGCGGGCCGCTGGAGTGCCACTTACGGTATCCATAGCCAGTTCCCTTCTTTGGGGGGTTCGTCAGGAAGTTCTTTTTTGGCGGTAATCCTCTCGCGGATTCCCGTGTAGCTGTGAACGAGGGAATGCTGCCTTCATTCTTTCGCTCTATGGGCCACTGCTGAGCGAACGTTCCATAGAAAGACCCTTTCCCGGATCTAAGTCAAGAACACCGTGATCAGGATCCGCAGCTGGTTCTTCTTATCAATCTGGAGCTTACGGTGTCGGGGGAACGTTAGACGGGCGGAAGGGGTTTGGCACGATGTTTTTCTCCTTTGCTTGGATCCTCCATCTGCGCCTCAGGGACACAGGGTCGGTGTACGATTCGTTCTAGTGGACGAAGTTGAGGAAACAACACTGAAAAAATCTTGCTACATGAAGCCACACCTCAAAAAGACGTATTGAGTCTTTTACAAAATAAACATCTTTCGTGTCGTGACCCCTCTTCCCTGGGTTTGTCAAGAACTGCTTCCCTGGGCAAGGAATCAAACTTTTCAGTGCGCACAGTACGATGCTCTACAGGCAAATATATAATCAAAGGAAAGCATGAATGCCAACCTTTATTGCGCTCGGAAAGTGACGACCCTATAGTGTACCGTGAGCGATGTCGCCAGAGAAAATCGAAAGATGTGGCACATTAAGGAGACTCACCATTTTTGTTTGAGATGTAGCGGTCCCCGATTGATATGTACGGCGCCTCGCTGAAAATGCCAATGCGATCGAGGTCCGGCCTCCCAAACTTACTGCCGAGCTCAGTCATATTGGCGTCGAACTCCGATGCGTAACTATGTGTATGGTTTTTCGCGGCGTGTAGATCTTGGAAGAGAAAGGAAGGAAGGCGGCGTTGGTGCATTTAGATTTGTGGCGGGACTGGAATGACAGAATTCGACAGCGCGATTTCGCTAAAAACCATCCGGTTACGAGATTGGAATCTATATACAAAGCTGCCTATATTCGGAGATAGGCACTGTCTCCATATATATACTATAGCTGTCGGAACTTGTAGGTTCTAGCTATACTACAAGTCCGTGAGGATCTCCTTGACGAACGGTGAATTGTCTATATCGGTCGCAAAGCTCTCCCGAATACGTTGCAATCCCTGTATCGCTGAGTCCGAGTCGAGTGGTACTTTTGCAAACTCATCGAGGAACCGATCAATCAGCGCTTCTCCATCCTGAATAAAAGCCATCGCCTTAGTGGTATCTTCAAATAAGCCGTATTAAGGAGTATCTAGTGTCGACGATACCTGTATTTCCTGTTCACTGCTTTTCCAGGCTCGTTTTGTGATCACATCACCTTTTCCGAACAATCGTACATTACATCCAGGCAAAAGCTTTGCTTTTCAATCGAGAACGTACTTACCATTCGTCTCGAAGTCCTCCAATTCAGCCGCTTTTCGCTTGGCCATCTGAGACATTTCCATTAGCATTCGTCGCGGAAGGATCCGAAGTCATGAATAGTTCAACATACCTTCACGACGGAATCTGGGAAACTTGCTAGCTCGGCAACATGGATTCCGAAACTTTGATCGCAAGCGCCTGAGAAATAGAGGCGATGAGCAATGACCGTTTGCAGGGTCTGCAAGGAATCATTCGTACCATCTCTGACTTTGTACAGCAGAGTAATGCCTCTTTCTTCCCTGAGGGCCGCTACATGAAGGTTCCGCACTGTTGGCACCTTTTCATACAAAGCTGTCAGCTCGTGGAAATGCGTCGCGAATAGTGTGAAGCTTTGCAGATTTGTTGCAATGTACCTAGAGGAAAGGAAGATGGCTGATGAGCATTCGAAGGCCGTAAACGATATACCCTACGGTACTTACTCCGATATCGCCCAGGCCAACCCAAAGCCGTCGTAGGTACTTGTTCCTCGTCCAAGCTCATCAATGATGATCAAAGAATCTGGTGTCGCGGCTTTCAAAATGGCGGAAGTTTCCAGCATTTCCGCCATAAACGTCGATACACCTTTCAGCGTGCTATCACCAGCTCCAACCCGAGCAAGGATGGAGTCGAATATGCATAGGTTTGCTGCACGGCATGGTACGAAGCATCCTACTTGTCCCATCAAGGCGATCATCCCAATCTAGCCGTGGTGTTTAGTACAATATGTAACGGATATTGAAAGAAGTTGCATCGTAAACTTGACTCTCACCTGTCGGATGTAAGTTGACTTTCCGCCCATGTTTGGCCCCGTGATGATGTGGAATGAGCTCGATTCTATCGCATGTCCGGAATCCCTTAGTACGTGACTCACAGGGCTGCCGGAAATCCGGCTGCGTACCTCTGAGCATTTCTGTATCATTATCGATGAATGCCACATCTTGCATCTCCAAGCAAGGGTGGCGTGCGGCTTTCAAATGAACATCGCCCTCCCCTAAAGTGTCCTCCGGTTAGACCACTTCCATCTTCGCGGACATAGTGGGAAGCACGCAACACACCCTTTTTCGTCAGAACAGGTCGCACGTATGGAACCGGGGCATGTATCGCAACATGGGCGAAACTGAACGATAGATTCTGAGTATGATTCTAAGCTTTCCCATTACTGACAAGCTTCCACACCTGACGAGCACATCCAACACCGCAATGCTTTGGTTGAGTAGTTCAAGGACCGGGAAGTAAGATCCTATGGAAACCGGACCTGTCTGTTGAGCAATCCGACGAGCCCGTTTTCGAATAAGTCCACATCCAAAAGGGCATGTCGTACCTGTGATCTCAATGACCTCTTTGACGAGTTTAGATTGTGTGCTTTCATACTCTGCAGAAAGCTGTGCGTATTCCTCTGATAGTCGTCGCAGTGTTGACGTGGTAAAGTATACTCCATCCTTTCTTGTCGCCAATTCAATGTATTCGCGTTTATTCCTGATAATGGCGGCGTCCTGGAAAGCAAATACTTGTTGAAGGACCGGGTCTAGAGAGCAGCTGGGAAGACTACATACCTTTCTACTTAATCGCATGATGTGGCCATACTGAGCATTCTTCTCGAACTTCAGCTTTTTCTCGTATTCGATATCCAAGTCATCGGCAGCCTGTGCGAGTTGTAAATGTCTGAGCTGCTGCGATTCACATGAGACAAAGGTCGATGACACGTCGTTACCCACCTTCATAGCTTCTGGTTCCAACCGCTCAAACGTCGTATCCATTTGTGCGCGGACCTCTGCATGAGCAAGAATGGTGAGAGATCCATCCTCTCCTGTGGCAGTCTTCCTGCATACCTTGCAATGTTTGGTCAAAATCTGCCTTGATTCGGAAGTCATGGTGCTCGATGGCCGCCAGGTCTATGGTCGTTTCGACAAGCTCCTCCAAATTCTTGAGATGCTCCATATATTCCTAAACCAGAGCCATTTAAATTTCCATCTCAAGCCGCGTCAGTGGCACCGTATCCTTACGTTCAGCTTGCTGACGAACGTCTCCTCGATGAGCTGTTCGTGGTCACCCGTATACCGTTGGAGGGCATCCCGCAGAGCAGGAAGTTTGATCAGCACTTGATAAACGCGGACCACATCCTGCCGGCATCAGAGGTTAGACCTATGTCCCACCCGCAACTGGCTTGCAAAGTATATAATACCTGCAGATGAGCATTCTGGCGTTGGAATCGCTTTGCCAGACGGTGGAGATCAGGGAAGTTGCGGAGATTCTCTTCCTGTGAAGAGTATTGGCCGATGAGTGATCCACTATAATGGCTATGACGGTTGGTTGAACACACCTGTAATTGTTGTCGTATACTGGTATCGTTGATGAATACTTCCACCAGATCCTGACGCGTCTCTGAAATAGGGCGTCCGGTGAGTGAAAGTTCATTCCTCATAAAACTCCGTGGACATCATGGTGCCACTTACGGATCTCAGGTAGACTCATGAGTGGTTGCTTCAGCCATTGCGCTAGCAACCTTGACCCTTGAGCCGTTTTGCATTTGTTGAGCAAGCCGTATAAGCTCATGCTCTTATTCGACCCTAATTTGAGTGCGGTCTGTTGGTATGGGCCGTCAAACCTCCTCACGGACCATCCGCGTACCATCTTGTGGGCCCGGCATCAGGTTCAAAGCTCTAACGGCAGCTGCGTCCAGCTTCATGTATTGCGAGAGATCGTAGAGACGCAGGGTATATTGGTGGAAGTTTGTCTCCACGCTTAAGAGACCGAGGTACTTGATTAAGCATGCGACACAACCCATGGCGACCGTCAACTCCATCTCCGGAAGTGCAGATATGGCCATGTCCTCATCAAGGAGACGGGCGAGATCCTGCTCGATATCTTTGCTTTGAAAGTCGCCTGTAGACCATCGTTTCAGTACAGAAGCCTCCTTGGATGCATCATGCACTGCCCTACCTTTCTTTCGGGACGTCACTACTATGCCACAGCGATCCAATATGCCCTCGATCTTTCGAAGCTCATAGTTCTGCGAGTCTTCGGGAAGGACGCACTCTTTGACACTCAGCTGAATCAGTAGAGACTGATATCACAATCATCAGTGATCGAACGGGGAACTATGAGAGCTGCAATGTTCACACCTCGAAGTTCGAAAACGTGTCATTGTCGATGAATTCCGCTACTCCGATGAGCCGTTGCGTGGTGGCATCCGTGTAAGCAGCCCCTACGAGCTGGAAAAACAATATGTTAAGGGCAGCAGGTTCCGTATGCTTGTTGTGAGGTTTGCGTACCCGTTGATCGCCTTTTGTCTCCAGCTTCAAGGCAAGAACGACAGGAGACGTGGACACGTCGCTTGCAGTGAAGAGCATGTCTTCTACATCCACGAGGTTTCCCGGTGACGCCTATAGAAGAGTCTATGAGCTCCATCGCTTCACATTGAGCGCGGAAAGCCATTCCTGGGCTTACTCGCTTGGTGATCTGCCATTGTGATCCTTTCCGTCCCTCCGAGCTCCATATCTCGATGCGGTACAGCTTGTGCAAAAGCATGTCTCGCAGGAATGAGATGGTATTCAGTTTGGATAGCGTGCAACTGGGCAGGCCTTTTCGCTCATCTGTCCAGGCATCAGAGTTCAGCTGAAAGCATGCGATGATGTTTCGTGGTCTTCCCACAAACCTCCAAGGTATTTGATAACGGTCGATGTCTTGTAGACGGTCTGTGCCACAAACAACGCATCTTCGCCGTGAACGCTGTAGTAATCCTGCAAGCCCAGGCTTCAGTATTGCATCCCAGCCGATGTTGTCTGGTCATCCCATATGAACATCCGGCTCTCCGTGCAATAGCTTTCAGAGGTGCGCGCTCAGGGGCAAGCCACGTTTCTCCCAACAACAAAACGCATACATTTCGTTCGAACAGACGAACTGTGGTTTCGGATTTCTGGGCAACCAAAAAAAGGTCAGTGGGCACTCTTCCGAGGCGTGCGCAGTGCGGCCATACCTCCGGCAAGCCCTTGAAGAATGTAATGAAACCCTGCTCACTCGGTTTGTCTAGTATTCATACGATCGCAATCAGTTCCCTGCCAACCTGTACCTCACAAGGCAGGTGATTAATAAGGAGTGGACTTACCGAGAGACAAGTCGGGCCTATCGCTACGCTCTGCCATGCTTTGCAGTCCTGGATGGTTACGCAAATGTCGTTTCAATGTTTGGAGCTCAGCTGCTCAGGCGGAACTCTGCAGGGAGTTGTTGGAGTTGCGTGTCCGAGGTGTCCGACACCTTTGCCCTGTGGCTCACATGTTGATCATGACAAACCAACCGCGACCGCGTACGACGGAACAATTGAATTCCAAAAAAGAAAGCACAGTGAAGAGAAAGATAGGCAAACACGGAACACATATAAGGGCAGAGCGGGCTTAACCTCGGCGGAAGGAGAACAAGGTGTAGGTAAGGGGAGGGATATAACCTAAGCACCTATTCCCCACCAGGGAAGTCCGAACGCGATGAAGCATATCGCCGGGAAGACTATGTAACCCTAGACAAAATCAACAGCGTTTGGAATGTCCGATGCAAAGTCCCAGATGACGATCTTCTTATCCTGTAATAGCGGGAACATAGAGGGGCGCGTAGAGAAAGTCAGTATGCAATGTACTAAATGTTGACGAATTAAGGCAAACCTACCTGGCTGGAACTGATGATCTTTGTGGCGTCCATTTGAACATGGAAGACCCAGCTACTGTGGGCGCCTTTCAACTCCAGTAACTGCTTGCCGGTCTCGAAATCCCACACTTTTATCGTCTGATCGTAAGACCCGCTCACGATCCGTTTCCGGTCGAAGCAGAGGGTCCTGACCAGGTCAGTATGACCCTCCAGTTTTCGTAGGCACTCGCCTGTCCGCGCATTCCATATATTGATCGTAAAGTCGTTGGAACCGCTGACGAGATATGTGCCGTCGAACTGCACACAAGCGAGGCCACGCGTGTGTCCGCCAAACTCTCGAAGGCATCGGCCAGTTGCCACATCCCACAACTTGATGACGCAGTCACCCGAGGCAGATGCGATCAAACCGTCATGCAAATGCACCGCGTTAACTGCCGCATGATGTCCCTCAAGAGTGCGAATGAGTTTCCCGGTGTGGATGTTCCAGATTTTGATTTTGCAGTCCTTCGAACATGAAACAACAATGTCCTGGTTGAAGCGAACATCTAGTACTGCGGCGGAGTGCCCGTCCAAAACATGCAGTTCTGAACGAGTGTTGATATCCCACACGACAATGGTGTGATCAGAAGACCCTGTGACGATGTAGCGATCGTCGAATTGCAGGCACAAAACAGAGCCCGAGTGACCATTCATACTTCTGACACACTGGCGGGATGGGAGATCCCAGAACTTGAGGGTGCGGTCGCGCGAGCCCGACAGTAGTAAATCTCTATCGAACTGAATGCAGTACACGGCGTCTGTATGTCCGCTCAGGTAGTCGACTTTCACCACGCCTTGACGCCAGTTGTCGTTGAGTTTGAGCCGCTGCTGATACAAGCTTTTCCAATTTCGATATCGGGACGAGGGAGAGCTAGGTGATACCGGAGATGTGACAGACGACGGCGCAGCTTTCGGGAAGAAAGAGGAGGGCAAGGGGTATGTTGTTGCATAGGTCGCTCTCCATACGTCGTTATCTTGCACAACCTTCGCCCAGCGGCGTGAAACTTGGGCCATCTTGATCACCGACCTGAGATCCCGAACATGTGCAGCTATGTTCACGGCGAGCTCGTAAGGTAGCTCCAATAAGAAGTCTGTGACGAATTCAACGAGATGGAAAACGTCAGTCTGAATTGCACGAGATGACTGCCATCGATTCCCCTCCCCCTAACCTATTCGCTTAACGTCATCCATCGCCGTGGCCGAGTCTGTTATGCTGTATCTTTTCGAGGCTGCTGATAGAGGTTCCCCTCGTGAATGCTCAGTCGAATCTTCCGCGCCGGTGCCAATGCCACGTCTATCACGAGCGGTTCTCTCGTCATGCTTCGGAACATCGACTTTCAGAGTGTCCCCCGAACGTTTGTTGAAAAGCCTGCCACGCGAGAGAAATATACATACACAGGGAGCTCGTAAGTTCACAATTCAACCTTCCCACGCCACATTATGGAAAACACGACTAGTGACGTTACCTGCTGAAGAACATGACGTGCTTTTGCCGTCGACTAAGACAACCGCCACTACTAAGGCTACGGAACGTTTGAACGGATGCAGGGCGTTGTCGATAAATTCTTCCCCGAGTCCACCGATGAGTAAAATACTGTACAGTAATGTGCAATTATTGGGTTGAATACAGTATTCGAGCAGGCTGAGCCTTTCTAATCTGAGCCCGCGCCGGGAACCGGGGTTCCGATTTCCTGGTCGAGATTCCGCTCCAAGTTGACGCGTCCATCTATATATATAACAGTACTGCCCCCGTAAAATGACGGCAGAAATGACAATCTTCGAAAACCAACCGTTTGGATCTGGACAACGACGCAACCTGCATCTGGCCCCTGATGAGCTGCATAAGCATCAGAATCTCCTGACCGGAACTGAGGGATGCATTTGCAGCAAAAGGGTCAGCGGCTCCCAACTGGCACCGTCCTCTTTGAATGCGGCGGGTGCTTTCTGATCAAAGTTGGTTCCGACAATCAACGTGGCCACGTTGTTTGACGCCATCCCGCAGACTTTCCCAAAATTGATCTTGATGTTGGTTCGTTTCAATCGCTCAGAGATATAGGTGATTGCACGTAAATTGGAGTCGGCCTCGGCAATCAAGTCTGAACTGGCGGTGGTGGCATAAACGAGGTCGTCATGGTTGACCTGTTGGAATGCCGTTTGCGACGAGAGTTGGGCTTCTATTACACGAACAGTAGCATGTGCTGCTTCACGCTGGCGTCGCAGGCGTCGTAGCTGTTTCTTCGGAGAACTCGTCCCGGGAAACCCCAGATTTGAGGCATACAGTTGGTTGGTTATAAAATTCGACAGCCCCGCCAGCAGCCGTCGTTGCCGATTCGGAGGAGCGACGTCCTTTCATCCTTTCATGCTGCTCCACCCTGTTTTTTTGTCCGACGCGTGGACAATCCCCTGAATGTCCGTACCTCCTGTACATACCCTAGAGTGAACTCCGTACAAATCGATATTGTCAGGCAATCGGGGAACCCTCGGAAGCCCGGGATTGCCTTCCGATGGGTTTTCCCTTCTGGGCTTGCCTTCAATGCGGTCCACAAAGCGCATCAACAACGAAAGAGGCACTGCCGCGAGACGGCCCAGATTCTCCTTGTCAACCGCTCCGTCAGACGGCTCCGCCGAAATGAGTGGGGATCCGTCGGTGTGTCTGTCCCTACTTTACAAAGTTTGGCGGGCCTCGGCGGCTTTTAAAGATCCCCCACCTTTATAAACTTTTTGACAAAACGATTAACTTTTGAACAAAACGCGCCCCAGAAGGAGATGCTGCAAATAAACAAGCCGAACCCATCTTCTTTTAGCCTCACTCCGGTTCAGGGGTGTGATGCTGCTCATAACGGGCCGCTTCAGAAGCTTCTGGTTGATGATTTAGTGTATCTCTGAATTCCTCGTTAACTTCTATCCTCTCGTTTGTTTCCATCTATAGCTCTACTTTGCTCAATTCAAGAACATATTGCAATTCCTCCTCCTCGTTCCGAGGCACTCCCTCGAATCCAGCGCTGCTACTAGGTAACCTATTCGCAACCTGCACGTTCCCATGCGAACTCCTCCTTCGCGTCGCTTCCACGTCGTATCCGGTCATGAGCTGCTCCCAGCGCCCTTCATGACGCCCATGCGAGCTAGACGATCCGGCGCTTGAACCGTACACTAAGCCGTGACTACTTGGCCGATGTAGAGATGGGGCAGGGAACTCCTCCCATTCATTGTCGACTCCTTGGTAGGCCTGCCAAGCTGTGCCTTCGGAGAAGGCAAGATCCTCCTCATCTCGGGTCGATGAAGAGTGGTCTGGGCGAATGTCGAGTACACTCCTTTCTAAAGCCTCCATCAGATCGTCCTCGTACAAAGCCGGGGCAGACATCAAGTGTGAATCTTGCAAGCTGACTCTCATCGCGTGCTCAAAGAGCTCCTCCTCGGAGAGCTGCGCTCCAAATGCAGCGGTGCCGTTCAGTTTGTTGGCGCGTCGGGTCAAACGATCCGCCACTTCTCGATCATGATCCCGCGCCAAGCGGTCTTCCTCCACCTCTGTCCGAATCTCGTGACGTTGATACGAATGCATCATGTTGCGTTCGGCCCTCACGTTGGCCTGCCTGTTCCCACCAGTGGCAAAGATCTTCTTTCTCTTCCCCTTCCCTGACGTTGCAGAACCAGAGTACGTTCCAAAGTCCCAACACTTGATGTGATCACCGCTGCCCACAATCACTTGGTGGTGTTGTATAAATATACATCGCACACCTCGCCGATTCTGCCCCTGCACCACAGTTGCGGGCCCTTCGTTTCCATCACGGGCGCGTCTCACAGCCAGTGTCCGGATGCATTGCCCCGTCAGCAAGTCGTGACACTTCACACTGCCATCTGCTCCTCCAGAAACCAATTTGAACGGATCGAGTCGGACTTGCGTTATTCCGCTACGATGGGCATTGATGGCCCGGAACGGTTTGACAACATTGACCGGACCTTCCTTATCCCACGTGGGTCGTCTGGGGAAGGCCCAGATGCATACCGTACCCGAGGAATCCCCTGAAGCTAGAAGCACCCGATCGTTCCCGCTCGTGATTGATGTAGAACCAGGCAAATCGAAGGAGCCGGCCGTTATCGGTGCTGAGTGACCTCCTGTGAGAATATCCATGGCTTGGCCCGTTTGCAAGTCCCACCGACATATGTCGCCCACAACACCTGTGGACGCCATCACTGTGAGGGTAGACTCAACCTGGTCATGTAGCATTGCCACCACGGGACCGACGACCGATCGATCCTTCTGAGGGAGCAGACGCGCGGTTCCAAAAGTCACTGCATCAGCTTGATTCGAAGGTGACGCTGCACTCTGAGCGTCGAAAGCCCAAATGGTTACGTCGCCGTCGGCATTTCCAGCCACTACCCCGTGTTTCTTATCATAAACTATATGTGTGATTCCAGATGTGCCGATTCCTGAAACCTCTCGATATGAGCACTCTGCAAAGACCATCTAATTGCTGATGAGATAGATGCCGTACCTTTGAAAGTGTAACGACACGTCATCGTCCGCATATCCCACAGCTTGACAGATGCATCGGTACTTCCACTCAGAAATAGGTGCGGAACATTTGGTATCCACGACAAGCAGGTGACAGGCCCGGTGTGCGGGCCAGGCATCGATTGCACCCCATAATTTGCCCTATCCTTGAAATCCATTATGATCGATACGCTTCCGGTGAGGCTCCCAATCGCAAGTCGTCTTCGATCAAGCAACAGCGCGGAGACTCGTTGAGGTAATCTATCAGGATGGCAGTAGACGAATCCTTTCTCTACTCTGCCTGTGGAAGGATGGCAGAAGGCCACCATGCCCGTTTCGATTGATCCGCAGTACATGATTCCGTCCTCGTAATCGACAAAGAGCTCGTCAACGGTGCCGACTCGGGGATCGAATTGAACGATGTGTTTTCCGCGCTGGAAGCTCCTTAGCAATTGAACCCGCTTCATGTACTCTTTACGCCAGCTGCTTTCGCCCAGGCGTCTGTTGTGCGTATGTCGTGAGAAGCTGCACTAACAGCTAGGAAGCAGAAGGCGCTTACCTCAAAGGCAACCCTCCGAAAGTAACCAGGAAAGCCGATCGCCAACAGGAGTCGTCCGATAAGATCCGCTTCCAGCGGCGACAGACGAGCATCGTCTGTCTGAGTTCATTGTGGTCTAGGTTCGCCAGTATGCTTATGAAAAGCTCGTCTGGTAGATCGTTGATGTGCCGACTACACTCGTATCAGGATCTCAGAAGCGACGGTCAGGAGACACTTCATACGCACATACCTCAAAGCCGGGGTGTCCCCTAGCCTCAGAACCCGCCGTTCGGCCCAAGCTGTTCCCATGTTGAAAGGCAACAAGTGCCAGGTTACAGTGAGAGCAACGGGGAGTGGAAACTGACTTGGAACTGACTGAATTGGGAACCAACTTCTGTTGAAGCTTCTGGACTTGCCCACGCGTCGCTCCAGGTGAACTCTGCTACGCTTCCCTTAAGGACCTCTATCGTCACAGACCTCCTCATTTCACCCTCAACGAACTTCTGCGACGCCAATGCCAGTAAGAGCAGGACGGGTGGCCGCTGTCGGCCGTGCTGGAAACACGCGAGTCATTGCAAAACCAAAACCGGGTTCAGCGGTAGACATCGCGGGAAAGCTGGTAAGAGAGATGATCCATTTCCCGCTGAGAACGCATGGGCTAAAGCCATACTTCTTCCACTGAACTTTCTTTCTCTTGTTGGTAGCTGCTCGACTGGGCAATCGTTCCCTTCCTCAATGGCTTTCTTTTCGGCGCTCTCAGCTCGGTGAAACGACGACTATGGGATGGACGACACGCGGCCCGACTCAGGAAGACGTCAAAGAGTGGAGTGGTGGCCGAGGTGGCGCGAGAGTCACTTTGAAGAATCGGCAGCCTGACCAGTTGCGACTGACTTCAAGCCTACAAGCGGAGGATCGCTTAGACCGGGATCGGCGTCCCGACAATCGAGGTTGTTTTTGGTGTTGACATCGCACGAAGGCGACCTATCGCTCTTGTCGCATTCGAAGCAGCTTCAACATCACGGCGCACCGGGCCATTCGACTGCGCAAAATTTACGAATGCATGGATGGGAGGTGCTATGTACATTGAAAACTGCCGGCGGGGGGGGGGTCTACATACCGGGATATGTGTATAGGTAGATCTAGACTTCTTACTGCGGTACTATCGACTTAGCCTATGATTCTTGCACTGCGTGACGGGTGATAACCGAGTGCCCACTATAGAAGCATCAGAAAAGTGTCGATCGTCAAGTTAACAGCAGAATAGCATTAACAATCAATCATACCGAAGGATATAACTTACTCTTCGTTTTTTGAAACACGCCAATAGTAGTCGGCATACTCAGATTTCCCCAGAAGGTGCATAAATTCCTCGTCGTGGGTGATAATGATAAGCTGGAAGTTGCTTTGCTGGCGGCGGATTTTGATGATGCTGCAGGTAGGAAGCAAGTTAGCGACAGTCGAATTTGTCAATACGAGTAAACTTCCTTACTTGGCCAAGGATTCCGCTAGGCTCTCAATATTCTCTCTATCCAAATTCGTAGTGGGCTCATCAAGCGCCAAGATTCCACAGTTCAAACCAAACGTCTCGGCCAAAGCCAGTCGGATGATCAAACTCGTCAAAACTTTCTGGCCAGCACTGCAGCGTCCTCTCATATCCAAGCCGATATCTCCCTTCATCATCACAACCCGGTAGTTGTACGACTGGTTGCCTTTGACATTCTCATTGTCGGATCTGATTTCGATCGTGTCGATATCCGAGCCCTGATAGGTGTTCACCCATAGCTCACGAATAATCTTGTTGATTTCTTCCATTTTCATCGAATGGTACTTCATAATGGCGTTGTCAAGGGCTTTTGCGTACTTTTCGAGGTCGTGATGGGCCATTTGCTCGGTTTTGAGTTCGATCAGTTGCAAACGATACTTTTCGTCAACGTTTTGGTAGTCAGTGTTGAGCTCTCGTTCGAGTCGTCGTAACTGTTCTTGCATCTGCTTCGACTCGCCGACCAGTCCAGCACGCTGTGTTCCGATGAGAATCATGACTCAGGTATTGCTGTGCGAGGAACTGAGCGAATATCCAGCCCTTGCTTACCTCGCCTACTAACTTCTCATGCTTCGCCCTCAGGCGTTTGTACTGGGTCTCAACCGAAGCCTGATCACACCGAGCAAGATCCTCATCGAACCCAGCGATCTTTTTATCCAGAGCAGCGCATTGGGCATGCAGTTGTCGAAACGTGATGTTGTCAGCGATATTACGTTGCAAATCATGGAATTTAGCTCCCTGATCTCTCATGAGTTGCAGTTTATCGTTGAATGAATCCACGTCTCCATTGGTAGACTTCAGCTCTGATTCGATAGCATCCAGCTTTTCCGTGCATCTCTGCAGACGTCCTCCTATGTCTTGATCCGCATATCTGTTCCGCAAGTGCCGGGCAGGACATGCAAGTCAGATGTCACGTACCCCATGACATTCTCAACAACTGCGACATACCTGCGGATTTCCCTGTGCACCAGCTCCAACCGCTGTTTTGCGCTTTCTAATGTCGAGAGCTTTGCCTCTAACCCCTGTTCCACATTGTCCATCTCTTGACGGGTTCGCGTAAGTTCTGCCTCTTTCTCCTTGATGATGGTGCGTTTATCAGACGCTTCTCGATCCGCTTCCTAGATAGACAGTAAGCCGCGAATCCCGCGTTCGGAATGCTGCGCCATTGCCAACCTTCATTTGAACTTCGAACGCTTCGACCGCAGTTTTCAATTCTGCTATCGATGCTTGAACGGTCTTAAACTCTTGATGCTGGTGCCTCGCGTTTGAAAGCTGCTCGCGCACATCCCGAACGCTTCTATCCCGGATTTGGAGCTCGTTTTGTTTTCGCCTGCTCTCGCTATGAAGCCGGTCCATCTCCTTACGAAGGTCATGGCTTATGTATCATGTCAGCATTCCCATAACCACGTGTCGCATCGACTGATCATTCAGCTCACCATTGGCTCTGCTTTTCTTCCACTTCCCGGCGAACATCCTCCATGAGCCTGGTTGAACCGGACATGCTCAGCTCCTTTTCAATCTGGGCGATTTCTTGGTGGAGTTCGTCGATGTCCTTCTGATAGCGGGTCAACTCTTCCACCTTCTGTCGGAGACCCTCAGCTACGTGTTTCTCCATGCAGACGGCGGCAATCTCAGCGGCAATCTGCGAGATATATTCGCTGTTAGAACTGCAAACACAGGGCTAGCAGCCGAGGCGAGGGGGGGGGGGGGGGGGGGGGGGGGGCACCTACATCTTCATGTTCCGTATTGATCCTTGCTCGCTGACTTTCGAAATCTTGTAGGCGCCGTCGAATTTCGGGTATCTCGACATTTTTCAAGCGTTCTGCATCGTCCCAGTATTTGCGCACTTTGTACAGGGCATCGCGCTGCTTCTCGACTTGTTCCACATCGCCTTCGGCCGCCTTCGTCGCTTCAGGGACTTTGACAAGGATATTTTGCAACTACAGGAAGTGTGGATGATGTTAAGGCGGCAGTCTCCCAATTCAAGTAAAGAGGGCTCCGTACCCTTTTCAGAAACGCTTCGCCAGAGTTCCCATCAAAACCCCGGACGCAAAGCGGGCAACAGCCATTGTCTTGGAATTTGGCGATGTATTTGGAGTACATTTTCGTCGCACTTGTCATCGACGACAGATTGCTACGACGAGCCATGGTCAGTGATGCATAAGGAAGAACAGACACCCATGGCATAGCTTACTCTCGCTTGTCGACGACAGCTTCTTCTATGCGTGCCAGAGCAGTGGGAAAGTCAATTTCTCCCGTCTCAGCCTTGACGCGCCTCAATCCATCTATCAATGTAACTGTGAGTAACTGCTCATGGAACGTGGGAGTCGGCCATAAGCTCACCTTCTAAATCGGAGGTTTTCTTCTGCAGATTGCTCCTGAATGTCGCAATCTGCGTGTCCAGAGAAGCAAGATCCCGGCTTTTCTTGTCAAGCTTATCCTGGAGCTGTCTTTCTGTTGTTTGCTTCGTTCTATGGAAAATTCGTCAGAGGACCGTGACTTCAAGTAATTGAGAAGATTCGGGGTTTGCCTACTGTAGTAGACGCATGACATCCAGTTCCATGGTTCGAATGGGTGGCTCACGGCCCAACGCTTCCACGAGCTCAGGTTTTGCTGCCGTCAAACTGTAAGGGGATTCTTAGACACCAGGCCGCGTACATATAGCGGTTGCTGCTCACTAACATCCTGTTATAAGCATCTTCCTTCCTCTCCTTTTCCCGTTTCTTCAACGCCAGGCGTACGCGAATGTCAGCTTGCATGTTCAACGCGGCCATTTCCTCTTGGGCCCTTTGTAAAGCGAATTCGCGCTCTCGGAGTTCCTGCGTCAGCTGTTGTAATTTCGCCTCGATATCGTTAGTTTCGTGCTTTTGTTGCGTCAGTTTGTAGATTGCTTCCTAAAGGCCGATGTGAGATTTCAGGGCCCAGACTTGAAAAAGGCAAGACGGACGTATACCTCCTCTTCCAGTTTGCTCTCTAGGGCCGCAATCTGAGCTTCCGACGTATCCATCGAGTTGATCTTTTGCATCAACTCATTGATTTTCGATCTTCGAGCATCCTGTAAGCGCCGCCTACATCAGCAACCTTCTCTGTTGGACCTTCTTCCCCATGTGGAGTTACGCCTTACCCTTTCCCTCCGCGTCAACTCTTTGGATTTCTCAATGGACGCCAACTGTGTCTGATCATTCTGGACTACACGCCTCAGTGCACTTTCCTTTTCCCTATGGTCACGCTTCAACAGTGTCAGTGGCATCTCTGAATAGTTGCGATCGGCTGAGTGAGTACCTTGACACTATCATACTGGGACTTCATCGCCTCCAGGTCCTGTTGCAGGTCCCGAGTGAACTTCTGTGTGTCGCTGGCGGAGAAGGGTCCGCTTTCGAACCCATGGTATGAAAGTTGATTACTCAATCGTATGATCTCTGCATCGAGTTCGCGGAGCTTTCCTTCATAAGCCTGGGATAAAACTTCCATGAGCTTCCGACGTGTGAGGTACGACTTCGTTCACCGATTCTTACGATTTGCGCGGCCTCAAAGCGACCGCGGTCAGTGAGCTCTTGGTTTTGCTCTCTCTGCAACTCGCTCAATCGTCTTTTGCGATCCGATATGTCCCGCTCTATGGCTTCCATCTCTGTTTGCTGCGTGTGCAATGATTTTTCATATTCGGATAACAGTTGTCTCAGTTCGTCATCGGACTCTGCCAACGCGCACGTGAGTTGATGCTGGCAAGAGAAATGGAGCAGCGCAGATAGTACCTTCGAATTGCTGTAGATTTTCCTCCATCTCCTCCATGCGCTTTTGCCTCATTTCCCTCTCAGAGGTAGCCTGCCTTATTGCCAAACTGAGCTCCGCGGCTTTGTTGATCTCCTTTGACAGCGACTGCATTTGCTCTACAGCATGCGCTATCTCGCCGCCATCGAGAGATTCGATTCGTTGTTGAGCTTTGGCAAACTTTTCTTGAACCATCGCAAATGCTTCTCGGACCTGCCCAACGTCCAAATCAGTGCGAACCTCTATGGAGCCACGGGAACCAGCCCAAACCGCACCCGTTCTGCGCGTCCTTTGTCGGTTTTCAGGTGGACGACATTATTCTCTGCCAGTTTCAGCTTCGCTAACTGCTCCTTCCGGAGCTCCTTAATGTTCGCAAGAGCCTTCGTATATCTGAGACCAACGTCAGTAGGCGTTCCGAATAGAGTGTCGAATTCGCAGGGTTTCACCTTGTGGACGCAAAGATATCGTCAAACTTCTTCTTCAGAATGGATGGTTCAGCGAGCGGCCTGTCATTACAAGGTAAGCAACCTGCCAGCGTGCGTAATGATCGAATACGAATGCTGTACCAGAAGGTGTCTTCCTGATGACAAAAGATGACACTCTCCAGAATAGCTTTGGACACCCCAAGTTGGAGAGGCACTTCGGTATCGAGCTCGGCACATTTGGTGCTCAGACTATGCGACTGAGACCTGAGGTTAGTCTGCCTAGCTGTTTCGCTGTGCCGTCCTTCATCTTAACTCACTTCTCCCGTCTCCGGATCCTTCGTCAACAGAAGACTTTCCAACGTCTTCTGCGTCACACCGGTCTTCTTTTGCACCAAAGACATCGACCGAGTGCACACCATCTCTCGCTGATTGACATTTTTGAATCTCAATTTGATCTGCGCCTTGACTTCGGTTTCATGTGCAAGCTGTGCGTGCGAGAATATAAGTCGTGGCCTCTGTAAGAAAAGCCGCCGGCCTGAGCATAAACGATACCTTTGGGTCATGGATGAAGGCTCCATTTCGACTGTTAGGCGGCAGATCTCCAGTGGTTGCATATTTCAGGCATTCTATAACGGTCTGTGAAAACGGATGAGGTTCGCCTCTCGGCAACCTGAGACTGACTATGCCGACCGACTCATACGGTTTTCCCCGCTCCATTGTGACCGAGAATAATCGTCAAAGGGGTATAGAACTCGATGACGTTCTGTACATTGGGGTCGAAAGAGCGAATACCCCTGCGAGATCACATAACATTTAGGAACAGGGCAATGATCTCCGGGCTGAGCGAACGAAGCACCTGCCGTATCAAGAGTTTGTCAATTTGACTCATATTGAATTCTGGATTTCCCTTGAGGACGAGGGTCAAAGGAGCTCACTCGACTATCTCCCCCCAATCTCAGAGGTGCGACTGCTTCAGAGTGCTTGGCTGGAAGAAGCAATTCCGGCCAAGTCGACAGTTGAGGAACGCGAGAGGGGATAAATGGCTTGGGACTCGGAGAGACGCGTGTTTTGGGACGCCGGAAATCAACTTGCCGATCCTCTAATCGTCAAAACCCCCAAATACTAGCGCTTCTTCTCGGTGGGAGGAGCATATGTACTTCATCGGGGTATAGTATAAATCTTCAACGAAGCAGGGCAGTCATGATATCCCTCCACTCGCACTCGGGGCAGTTCTGCTGCCACGCCAAAGGCACTCTAGAGGACGTCGTCCTAGCTGCCATAGAGCGGGGGTTCACAACACTCGGATTGTCGGAGCACGTCCCCAGGTCGCGTCAACAGGACATATACCCCGATGAAGTATGCTCCTCCCACCGAGAAGAAGCGCTAGTATTCCACATCTGACCACCGCTCTTTCTAACAGGCAGGACTCACGCCCTCAGACCTGTCCCTAACTTTTGACAACTACCTGGTGGAAGCTCGACGACTGCAACAGAAATACTCGTCAAGAATCCCCTTGCTTGTTGGAGCAGAGACGGAGCTTATTCACTCCACGACTTTGAAAGAACTAGACGAGCTGCAGTCACGGCACAAGCTGGACTATCTAGTGGGATCCGTCCACCATGTCCAAGGCTACCCGCTAGATTACGATTCGGAAGGATACGCAGTTGCGGAAGCCGCTGTCGGAGGGACCGAAGCGCTGTTTCTCGATTACTTCAACGCTCAATACGAACTATTAAGTCATGTCAAACCCGCTGTGGTTGGACACTTTGACCTCGTGAGGATATTCAGGCCAGACCATGTCTTGAGCGACGATATCTGGGCAAAGATCAAACGGAATGTTTTGAAGATTGTTGAATACGGCGGTCTGGTGGAGATCAACTCGCGGGCATGGAAGAAAGGGTTGAAGGATGCGTATCCTCAGCGAGATATCTTGCGTTACATGATATCTGCTGGGGCAAAATTCACGCTGTCGGACGACAGCCATGGACCGAACGACATTGGAATGTACTACGATAGACTGTATGCATACGTGAAGGAGATGGGGTTGCACGAGGTCTTCTACCTTGCGCTGGATGGAGAGGGACAAGTTCGCCTTGAATCTATCAAAACGGCGAACTTGCAAACCGTCACAGCAGGAACCGGCGACCCATTGGCCAACCTTATGTCTGACTCCTGATCAGAGGGCTCGTCAAGAAGCCTCGCTGGGATAAAGGTGCATACCAGCCTTTTTGCTTTCTCACTAAGGCGGGTTATACTCGAAATTTTCCAGAGGATGCATGGACGAGAAGCGTATTATAATTAGCTGGCTCCCGTTTTGAGAGCGGTTGAGGATGTGAGGGATGGCTGTATAGATATCTACATGAGCGTGGTTCCTAAACGGTTGGGGAACAATCTATAGATGTGCTTGAAGTGACAGAACCCGAAGGTCCGAGGGACGATCGGCAGCGCTACCTCTCAGCAGCAAACCGAGTCACGTTCAATGCAACCGTCGACGGAACCAAACCATGCTCACAAAGCAATGCAGTGATGAAGTGAGCAGGCGTGACGTCGTAGTGAAGGTTGAGTAGCTTCAGCGGATCTATAGATCGCCATGTAGCTAGGGTGCTGTTGTTCTCTCCAGCTTTGGACGAATCGAGTATCGAGGAATGTAGAGGGTAATCGGACGGCGCTCGGTTGGAGTTATCGGCCAGTTCATTTGGGTTGCCTACGAGCTCATGTCAGACAGACACTCAAGTATTGAATATAGACCGTCGTTGCTCTTGCTCACCAATTTCATTCCAAGTGAACGAGTCAAGTCTCGTCTCATCCAAAAACTTGTAGCTTTCACAGAGGACGATGACAGGAACCTGTCGCTCCTTTGCCGCATTGCAAACCACAGCGGTTCCTACGCGAGATAGAATCGCACCGTTGGCAAGGACGGCGCTTGCTCCAATGATCACCTTCGAGACCTGAAACAAGCAGATGGGACAAGGGCTCAGTGCTTTGAAAGGGATAGGAACACAGTCTCGACTATCCTTACCTCAGGCATTAACATTGGAACAGCTGTACATGTCGCATAACCACAGTTGATTCCGGCTTTGACCAGCGATTTCAGCATTTCCTTCCCTATTCGACATGAGCTTTAGTTTAAAACTGCCGTAAGAGCGTAAGAGCCGTATCCAGCAAAAACCGTACCCTCTAGTTTCGGCCGACCATCGGCTACAATCACTTTGAAGTTTCGGCCGTACATGTGGGCATACAGAAGCGTGTTGAGAACCGTGGATGACCTGTTCGCAACGCCAAAGGAGTGAGCAGCCGTGTCTGGAGCAATGTTGTCTGAACAAAATCCCATCTCACCGGCCATATGTTAAGATCACGTCTCCGTCTTGAATCTTATCCGTGTCAACAGCTTCATGGGCGATATATGCGCCGGCTGTTTCTATCCTTTCTTTTTGGAAGGTGTCGATGAATTGAAAGAGTCGCTCTTTTGCCTAAATTGCATGTGTGAGATCCGAGAGCCTGACATGCTGATCTACTCATCAGACAGTAATAATGATTCGTACGTTCTCATCCGTGGCATCCACGGGAATCACCGAGATCTCCTTCTTCAGTTCCCTGATGGCCGTCTTCATGCTGGCTGCCAAAGTTCGTGTGTTGCTCAGGAGATCCACCTGTTTGCTGATGACGGAGGGCAAATGCCGCGGGAGAGAGTTGCCCGGAGGTGTAGAGTAATCGGCAATGACCTGTCACATATGGGTATAAGCTACAGGCCGATAGGTCTGGCATCAGATTGCGATAAACTCACCTTCTTGAATGCCTCAAGCATGGCCAGACACCGGGCGTTCCCACCAGCAATTGTGAAGTTCTGATACTTCAACCCAAGCGACAGCACCAGCGCATGGATATTCTCCTGTTTCTTCAATCGGGCCTGCATGTTGTCGTGCTTCTCGTATTGCGGAAGGTGAGAGAACAGACCAACGGGCTTTTGGGCGAGCTGTCGGTCAACCGATTGCTGTTTCTGGACTTTCAAGCGTTTCTTCGGGTCGTCCAATCGTAGGCTTGTTGCTACTCGTAGGGTGTTGGCAGTCGGTGACTGCTGTTTTATGTCCGGAACGTTGCTTTGCGCGTGATGCGCTGAAAACCCGGCTTTAGCGGCATTGCCCGGCTGCTTCGGTGCACCTTTCTTCGATGCAGCTCCCCCTCCGGCTAGTTTCGCAGCCTCCTTCTCTGCTCGTTGGCGTTCCTGCAGTTCTCGCCGTTCGGCTTTGGTCATTTCCTTCTGCGACCTTCGCCCTGCGTTCTGCGAGGCACCGGGATGAGCTTTTGATGCAGACGCGTTGCCACCGATTTGTGCTGAAAGTGCTGATACGGAGGGGACGGTGCCTGTAGACGAACTGTTGCGAAACAATTGGGAAGACATTCGGTCACCTTCCTGCACAATGAGGTATATGAATCGACGTGGATAACAAGGCCTACCCCGCTCCGTCATCTGTCTGTGCCTGTATAGATGCTTGCCTGCTCCTAGGAGTCTTAGTAAGTGTCTCTCTCTGAAACGGTAAACGGGGTGTGAGTACCAGATCATAGAGGGTTCCCGTCTGGTAATGGACACTCACCTCTGTCTCTACTGTGAAGCCTACAGTGACAGACCGTGGAGCTGACCCCGAGTTGCGGAGTATACTTTCTGACGGCGACGACATGGTTGACAGCTATCAGACCCTATATGAGGTTGTGGGTTCAAAGTTCCTGATGCTGCAGGTGGAAGTGTGAGCGAGAGCTCGTGGCTTTTGGACTTCTTGAGCGGGAGGTGATTTCGAAGACGCGCATGCGTCGAGTGAGTCTTACACAAAGTCAGCGGACATGCAACTGACAAGTTTGCCACCCGCCGTGCACATAGACCATCACCGACGACAGGACACGACACACACCCCCGCTCATAAACTTTTGGGTTGTCTTGACCAGGTTCGACTCGCTATGTGCAACGGTCTTCATATTCCTCTACCCCTTTTCCGTTTGGACCTGTCCGGTACCTGAAAACCGATGCAAATCTTATCCTGCTAGTTCTTTCCGCCAGTGTCAATCCCCGCCGATGCGACAATGGGAGCATGAATATATATACATTACGCAGAGAACAGATTGTATTCCAAATTCAGAGTATTACAATCTAAGCGGTATCGTGGCTCAAGAGAGCGGCCTTGTACTCCTTGTTAAGACCACGCTTGGCGGCAACCTTGGCGTCACGACCCTTCTTGCCCTCCTTCCGTGCCTCCTCAGCCAGCAACTCACGACGGCGGAGAGTCTGAGCGTAGGGGTTCAGGCGGATCAGAACACCGGTGTTGCGGAGAGGGTTCTTACGCTGAGCGAAAGGACGCTTCTGCGTGGGGGCACCAGCAACGCGGACGACGGCTTGGATTTCATCGGAGTTGATGATACGGGGAAGGTCGGGTTGGGAGATGACGGGGAAGGGGAGGTTGTAGTTCTTCTTCAACTCCGAGGCCTTGGTGGAGTCGCCGAAAAGAGCGTCGAGCTTCTCGAAAGCAGCCTGAGTCCAGATGACGAAACGACCAACGTGACCACCGGGAGCGAGCTGGAGAAGGTTGAGGGAGTCGACGCTGGCCTGGAAAGTAATGAGTGTCAGTTTTCACCATCAAATTCTCCATATGACACAAGTATCCGGTTGAAAAACTTACGAGTTCCACACCAGGGATGTTGCGGAAAGCCTTGACGATACCGGCATCCTGGTTGTAGATAACCAGGGGGCCACGCCTTTGCCTGTGGCGACGGTTCCTCATCTTTCCAACGCCAGCACGGAGCTTCTTGGAGTTGATGACCTTCTCGACATCGGTGTAGGCCTGGACAGCCTTGAGGATAGCGACGGCCTCCTTAGTCTTCTTGATGGACTCAACGGCGTTGTTGATAACAAGGGGGACCTCGTTGACCTTCTCGATTTTGTGACCACGGGCAAGGACCAAGCTGGGAAGAGCAGAAGCAGCGATGGCGGACGCGGTAGCGTAACGCTTCTGGTTCTGGTTGGTCTTGACGTGCCACTTCCTCCAGGTCTTGGTAGGCGCGAACATACGACCACCACGGCACATGTTACCGAAAGCGGCCTGACCGGCACGGTGTGTACCACCACCGCTGACACGGGGGATACGAGCAACGGCACGACCAGTACCCCAAGATTCAGCAGAGGTTTGGTGACCAGCCTTGACGCTGACGGCGTAAGCCTGACGCTTGTTCTTGTTCATGTTGGTGTGGGTGATCCTGACGACATCCGCACGGATGGGAGCCGTGAAGACACCAGGCAACTTCACAGTGCCGGCAACAGTGTTGCCATCGTGGGCGAAAACCGAAACTACGGGACGAGCGGCCGCGGACTGCGAGAGAGAGGGAGAGCGAGGATATGGCTTTAGCAAAGGAGCCAAACCCAGTCGCACCGCAATTCGACCATCGTCGGTTCCCACGGTCCACATGTGATCATCACTCGTCCATTCCTACAATCCCACCCACGTCTCCAGCAAAGGCCCAGCCAGGAGTCCTCCATATTCCCGTCCCCTAGTGGTCACGACATTCTCATTCTCCATAAGTCCTGTCGACCTCCATTCCCGGCCATACCCCATGCCCACTTCAATTCATCCATCCATCGACTCAACCATCCATCCATCCATCCATCCATCGGTACCCCCCGAATCGCAGCTTTCGTCCACGATCTGCCCTCCGTCGGCCGTTCCCTCCGTCGTCTCGGTGCTGTGTCTGTTGATATTTACCATCTTCGAGTGGTGTTTGTCGAGACGTTCCAGTTGCGTACTAGGTGAATGTCAAATCAAGTGGCCAGTGAGAGTTATGGGAAGCGTGCAGGGAGCCGCGGCGGCCATCTCGCTTACATAATCACCATTGCATTTGGAGCGAGTGTTCAGAGTGTTCTGCAGTTGGACGCGCCCCTCATCACACTGAGGACCGAGTCACTGCGTCTGAATCTCAACTTGTCTCGTCGTCCTCAAACAAACACACTCGCAGAAGTTCTGAATGGTCAAACCGAAGGGCGCAATGCCACTCACTACAGGACAGAGCGGGTGGTTCCAGAAGCTGATCGTACTCCCAGCAAAAAAAAGAGGGTTTGTCTCAAGTGACAATTTCGTTTTCGTACTCCGCCACCCGAAACTGACGACTCGTTTCCAGATGCCATTTGATAACGTACGAAGCTTAGTGCGCCTTGAGATAGAGCGCGATGCATTTTGAGGGATGAACGAGGCTGACTCTAGATGATCGTGCAGGACTGAGTTGCTAAGGTGGGAACGGCGTCAACCTTTTGCGTAGGTGGAAGTCGGTTTTGACGCGTAACGGTCCTCGCTTCTTCGTGCAACGCGCATATAGAGAGGTAAGATTCAGAAGAAGATGTATGTCATGTCAGACGGGACCGCCTTGGGTGCCTCGGGACTAGTCAAACTCAGTATATGTACCATAGATCCCCGAAATCCATTCGATCAAAGTCGGAATGGCCAACTTTTTCCGTGGGTACCTCATACATGGGAGACAGGACTCACTTCAACAGAACTGACGAAACCGGCCAATTCGCAGTCCAGCACACGTCGGCAGCACTCACCATTAATGAGAACGCCGACTCTGATGTCCGCCGCGATATGGAAGGTGATGCGGAGGAAGCTTGCGCTGTAATGCAACATCTACATTGACACAGCTTTTAGTCACCCTCAACAAGCTAGCGCCAGTGGATCGAGATCATGTTCACACAATGGAAGGGCCGGATGATATGGTGAGGTCGATGTGGAAGCTGACGGTGGGGGGTCACTTACTAAATGGGAAACTAGCCAGGGCATGTCAAATCGTCGTTGTTCGGGGTGTCCCTCAATATCCCCATTTCACAAGGGCAGCTGGCACTTGGGTAAGCAGCTGTGATCGTTTACCTAGAAGAGGCGAAGGCACGGGTTTCTGATTAGATGCATGGCAGTACATGGCAAGGGATCTGGTTGGCCGAAGCTAGGGATTCCGGAGGTCGTCGAAAGATACTAGTTACACTCCAGGGACTGACAGCGTAGTGGCATGAGCAGCGACAGCAGGGGAAACCCGCATAGGCGCCGGCATCAAATGCAATGTCGTAAATGTAGGGAGATATAGGCCGTAGGGAGATCAAGGTGATATGGCCTCGGAAAGGCGAAAACAGCTCTGAGACAAAGCCAGCAGTCTTTTATTTTTTATTCCCTCCGTCGCACTGTGCCGGCGTACTTGATTGTGTACCTCGACCTCCACCCACAAGTACCGCAAATACAACCCCTCACGAATCAAAAGTGTACCACATACTGGTACGGAATGCGAGACGCTTTATTCCGCAGCGACAGCGCTTCGTTTTACGTTGCCTTTCCTCTTGTGTCTGGCGCCTTCCTTTGCAACTCCTTGCTGCTTTTCACGCTTGGATAGCTGCAGAAGGAAATCAGAGTATCAGAACTGGATGCGTTTAATCAGTGCGAGTCCCGCAGATGCCCTACCCCGCGTAATGTCCTCTTCTCAAGCTCCTCTCGAGTAAGCGGTCGGTCATCGTCATCGGAAATCAGATCGTCGTCATGATCATCACTGTATAGAACCAAGTTAGTATCATCTCTATACGGTACGTGTGCCGCTCAAGACAGCTCTCTTACCCGGTAGATGGCGGAACGATCGTGATATTGCCTATTGGTGCAGTCGGGCCATGTCCCAAGAGACCACCCACCACCGGCGTCACCGCATCCCTCATCGTACCCGCCGACCCGGTTGGTCCAGAAGCACTCATCGGCGCAGAGAACGTCACGGATCCGTCTCGCCTCAACGCCGTCTCCCTCTCGCCCTCCACTCCCGCGCTGACACCCCTGTCCGGCGCGGCCGCCGACCCGCTCTTCTTTGGCGCATTCACTAGGTAGTGCAGGCTGAGCAGCTCGTTCGTCTTTTGCTCGATGTGGCCGAGGAAATAGAGGAGGTTGTGGTCGGATACGGAGGTGGGGACGGGTGTGGTGGGTTCGGCGGGTGCACTCGTCACTTCTTCAGCGGCACGACGGGCGGGTGTTTTTGTGCCGTCGGAAGGTACATTGCCATCGTCTCCCTTTGCAGTCTCCTCAACAAATTGCTCGCCTCCCTCTGCGGTGTCTGCCCCGCCTTCTGCAGGTCTTTCGTCCGCGGCGGGCTCTTCTGATAGCTTCTTCTGCGTGACTGGCAAAAGGACGCTGTCGAAGCACGTAACCAATCGCTCGACACCCTTCCGCAGGTCGGTGATGACCTCGACCATATTGGAGTACTGCTTTTCGTATGTCTCGTATTTCTCGGTGCATGAATTCAGTTGGACCTAGAGGTATCACACAGCGTTGTGAGTTTCTGTTTAAGACATCAATGCGCGATCAATTCATGCCGCACCTCCAGCCCCTTCAATTCCCCAGCCATCTGTTCCTCCTCCTCAACATTCTTCACTTTCAGCGCATCGATCTTCTTCTGAATCTCCACAATCTCCTCCACAAGCCTCTCGATGCCGTTGTTCACCTCGTTCACATAGTTGAACAAGGAGAAGTTCTCGTCCTCGACCACCTTCATTCGTTGGACTAGTTCCTTGATAGAGGAAACGCCGGTCTCGACCTGGATCTTGGCGAATGCGACGTTGTAGGTTTCCAAGGAGTCGTTGAGCGCTTCCTGGGAGCCGAAGCGAGTCTTGGTCGCTCCTTTGTCTGCTGAGGATGTGAGCATGATTTTTTCCGATTTACTCTGAAACTTGTTTACGCACCTTTCTTTTTCTTGTCCTTTCCGGTGCCATCGGTACCATGCGTGTGCCCGAGAGAGCCGTCCGCTGGCTGTCGGTCAGCCACCTTGGTTGCCATGAAGTCCTTGAGCCGCCTGTCCTGCTCCAGGGACCGGTCTAGCTCTTTGATCTCCTGTATATATGCCTGATGCTCTTTGTCCGCTTTCTCTCGAAGGGCGATGATTCGTGCCTGCGCTTCATCTCTGAGAAAGGGCACCCGTCGTAAGTCGACTGGGAGGCTCCGTGAGTTCAAGGTTGAGCGCCTACCGTGCTTCATAGGCGGAGTTGCTCGCCTCGATGATATCCGCCATCTGTTTCTTCTGCTCGGCAAGTTCTCGCTCGAACTTTTTGTAAATGTTATCGAACACCAGCCGCTCTCGCCGCAAGTTGTCAATCGTTTGCCGCATTCGCTTATTCACCGCAAGGGACTTGTTGAACTTCACTAGTGCCTAGAGTTACGCCCACAAGTCAGCATGGCAACGTCATCCCCCGCGTGAGTTTGAGTGTCGGTTCCTCACTTTGTCAAGTCGGTTCTCTAGAACCTTTATCTGCTTCCCGATAGCTTCACTGTTCTCATATGCGGCGTTCACGCCTCCCAATTGTGCCCGTTGTTGGTCAATGTCTCTGTCCATATTTGCAATCGCTTCGTCCAGCTCTGATATGTCCGTAAGGATAGCACGGATTTTGCGATTGTACACATCTGCCGATGCTTCAAAATTAGCGCCTTTCAAACAACGAAAAACAGATAAAGAACCGCGCACCAGCTTGCTCGGCCATCGCCTCGATCTTTTTCGACTGCACGCTTGATCGACGACGGTCGTTCGTTCGTTCCTGCAGAAGCGCCAACTCATCGACCAAGTACTGGTTCTCTCGCTTTAGCTTTTCGATGTTCCCCCTGTGTTTCCAGCAGAAATGTATCAGATAGCATGTTGTTTTTGGAGGATCTGCAAACGGCATAACTACCTCTGCTTGGTAATGAGCAGCCGAGATTCCTCGCTGTATGCTTTGCGGTCGCCCTCCATTATTCTATATTGCCGTTGCAGCTTTTGTAGCTCAAGCTCCGCTGGGGTTTCGGCAGAGATCAGTGAATAGATCCAACAGTAAATACTAAACAGAGCCATGCGTACCCATGCCTTCGCTGAGGTCGCTGTCAGCGTTTCCCACCGAGCTCGCCCGCTGGATGGCTAGGCTTCGGCTCATCTTATAAATGCTTGGGTGAAAGATTTACAGCAGATGGTCTGAAGAAATCCTATAAATGCTACGAGCAGCAGGAGGGTTAACAAACGTACAAACATTCTCGCCTTCAGATGTGAAAAGGAGCTCACCGGCTGCCGTTCTAATTGGATAGGCAGTATATTGACGGAATGAGGTTGAGATGACTGGAAAGCGAGAATATATGGCTCGAGAAAAGCCTGCTGCAAGAAACGGAGGCAAATGACCAATATCGTAAGCGCCATCAGTCCGTTAAGCGAACGGTGGTTGACAGGAAGGGGAAAGCGCCTCGTCGGAGAATAGCATCGCGTAAGCCGCGCGGTGACCGGGTTTCGGGAACGTGGTCGCTGGTTCTTGGTACTCTCTTGAATCGCCAGTCCTGATGCCTGATGCCATCACCGTCGGGAAATGATACCACATACTGCCGTAGATTTCCGTGCTTGTTTTTCAGAGATAGACCAGTTGGATTTCGCTGATTGGGAGTACGACGAACGTACTGTAGGTCAGGGTGTATGTACCTTCTCCAAGTTGCAGCTCACGCCGTCACTGCCCACCACCGCAATCTCCTCCTGCAGTTTCTGAGCGGCACCCTCGCGCCATGATCACATTACCCCGGGGACGAACTCTCCGGCTCGTTACTGGGTTTGCCCTGCTTTTTGTGACCTTCTTATTCCTGCACGGGGCCCTAGGAGACACGTCGAGCTCACGGGCAAGGTTGTCTAAAGCATGGAATTCAGGCAAGGCCGCCGCGGCAGGCGCTGCAGCGGGTTTCCGAGATGGCTCCAAAGCTCCAGTCTCTGGGGCTGGAACGAACGGTGAAAAGGAAGGAGTCATCTCTGGCGTGCAGGAAAAGGCTAGTCGGTATCGGCTGTTACATCAGCCGAAGACTCCATACACGAGAGCCGATGTCGATTTCGCCGAAAGGGCTGGCATGACTTTAGTCCCAGTCGACAGCGTCGCTCCCATCCGCAACCAGTCTTTTACACCGCCCACCCCGCTTGTTAAGGGCGTCATCGTTATGCTCGCGCGAAATACCGACGCCGACGGTGCTGCAAAGTCGATCACGGAGCTGGAGAAGCGGTTCAATGGAAGGTGGCGGTACCCATACGTGTTCTTGAATGAACTGCCTTTCGACGATAACTTCAAAAATAAGCTCCAAGCCGTCAACCCGTCGGCGGATATGAAGTTCGGGCTGATCCCTGTTGTTCACTGGTCGTATCCATCATGGATCAACCAGACGAGAGCTGCTGCTGCTCGCAAAGCCATGCACGAAGCCAAGATCATTTACGGTGGTCACGAAGCATATCGTCACATGTGCCGATACAACTCCGGATTCTTCTATCGGCACGAATTGCTGGACGAATACGACTACTATTGGCGAGTCGAACCCGATGTGCATTTTTACTGTGACATCGATGAAGATCCTTTCCGCTTCATGCAGGAAAACAACAAGCTCTACGGTTTCACAGTGTCGCTGACTGAGTTCCGTGCAACAATTCCAACACTCTGGGAGACCACCCGCGCCTTCATGACGGAGAATCCTTCATATATCCGCACCGAAGACAATGCCGTTCGATGGATTTCTAAAGACTTAAAAGATTACAATCTGTGCCATTTCTGGTCGAATTTCGAGATAGGCAGTCTACATCTTTGGCGTTCAAAAGCCTACGAAGGCTACTTTGAACATCTTGACCACGCCGGGGGTTTTTTCTACGAGCGATGGGGCGATGCTCCCGTGCATTCCATTGGGGCGACGTTACTCCTCAAACCCTCCCAAATCCACTTCTTCAACAATATTGGATATGATCACACCGGAATCAATCACTGCCCCATTGATCAACCCGCTTTCGCCAACAAGTGCCAGTGCAATGGGCTCAAAAATTTCGATATGACGGATTGGTCATGTACGCCGGAATGGTTCGATTTGTTTGGAGGTGGGGAGGCGAACAAGGCGGCGGAGGAGAAGCGGAAGGTGAACGAGCAAGAGCGAAGAAAAAAGGATCAGAAAGAGAAGGAAGAAAACGAAGCTCGGGCAAAGGTCGAGAAGGAAGCGAAAGAGAAAGCAGATAAGGGGGCCAAGGAGAAAGCTGAAAGGGAGGCGAAGGAAACGGCGGAGCGCGAAAAAATAGAGAAAGGCATGAAAGCGGCGAAAGAGAACGCGAAGAAAGGAGAGAATGCGAACCGTTGAGTGCCCAGCTTATCCACTACTTCCGAAAATTGATGTAGCGTAGTAAGGTAGTAGCATTTGGCGATGCAGGATCACCTTCAGTCGCTGTTCGCCTGAGCTTGGGGATTGCATAGTAATAGCCATAGACCATAATTTCTGGTATCTTTCGCCACTTTGCCGGTGCGCTCACGCTGGCTATATTCCTTTCTGTCTCCTATTTATTACCGGCAGAGATACGTCCTTTGTGTTTCTAAATAATATATGCTGCCCCAGCTGACCCTTTTCTGCCGATTCAGGATGGAACCGAAACAGCAAATCATTCAAAGTGATGTGAGCCAGGTGTTGAAAATGCGGTCGTCGATGGGAAGCGGTTTCGAAGGGTGGTATTTCTTAGCAAGAGTAGCAGTGTGTGCATCTGCTCGGTTCCAGGCAGAAGTTCCTTGGCTCGGCCACTCGCGCGTGGCCTGGATTGGTATACGGTTGTGCCATTTCACAACAATAGTGCCATTGGAAGGGAGCATCTTTTTCGGTTGCTTCATCCGTTTGAGGGACATGTTTTTGATCCGATTCTGAGACCGGGTACGCCCAGTTCCCTCAAGACTTCTTCTTTTTGCCATTCCCACTGTACCAAATCTTGACCGAAAAGTCCGCAGAGCAAGAAGCCAGTATTGGCTCGGTCGGGTGGAAGTCGACCGCATACACCCTGTCTGTGTGCCCAGACAGTCTTTGGACCAGTTCCGATGTCCCCTCCGGTCCGCCGACGTTGTAAACGTACACGAACGGGTCGGCTGAACCGGTGGCGAGGAGCATCCCGCCAGATGAACTATTGGAGGGGTCTCCTCGGGCATGATGGTGATGGTGGTCAGGGTCCGGATGGGCGCCACGAACGTCAGTTTTCGAGAATATATCTTCTTGACTGTCACCGCGTTTGAGGAGGGGGTTCGCTGAGAGAGTCTGATATGAGAACACGTGGCATAAGGCGCATGTTGTACGAAGGTACTTACTCTCTCTAAACAGGAACAACGAACTCTTGATTGGCCAGTTCTTGTTCTTGTACCCTTTCAAGGCATGCATCAACCTCAACGAACTGGATGGAGGTGTATACCCTCGGTCGTATACTCTTATGACTATAGGAACATCCGAGCATCAGCGTGGATCATCTATAAACAGATAAAATTATGCCTGCTTACCATTGTCATATGAGTTCACCGCCAGGTGATGGGGCTCTTCATCTACGGAGCACGAAATCATCAGACAGAAGCCTTAGCAAAGAAGGACCGAGCCTGATATCTACCTCCGTCGTTATAGCAGACTGTCACATGCGAAATCGGTTTCCGCGTAGGCTCATTTGCAATGACTTGCACGCATTTGCCTGTCCGTACATCCCACGTCTTCAGCTGTCCAGCAGCATCTCCGGAGAGCACATACGTCGCATCGCGATATACATATCTTGTGGCGGTAAGTCAGTATGTGTCCTGGACTAAGGACAAGGTTGAAAGAGCATCAACATACAGTGAGTTAACCATTGCATCGTTCTCCCAAGTCGTCACGTTATCGCCCTGCCGTCTATCAACCATGCACAGGGCATTTCGAGATGTGCCACTGAGGAATATGTTTTGATCTGGACGAATGAAGACAACTACGATGTCAGCGTCCGCGCTTTGGATTCCTCATGCAGAACCAGTACGCACCTTGTGGATTGAACATGACACACTGAACGAAACCCTCGCTATTATAGGACCCAACAAGCTTGCCATTCTTCACGTCCCATACTTTGCATGTCTGATCGTATCCACCCGATAACAGTTCTGTCGAATCCTTCGACCATGACAGATCGGAGACATTCAGTGTGTGACCTTGCAGGACATGAATCTAGTTATCAAGCTCTGGAGTTAGTCCTGATCATTGTGGATGCGAAGCCTCTCGCGGCGCGCACCTCTTTTTGCGTCGTGGACGCATCCCATATCCTGACAGTCTTGTCAAAGGAACCAGACGCGACGAACTTTCCACAATGGGAAAATTGTACCGAATAAACAGCCCCTTTGTGTCCCTGGCGTATGCGCGGCCGGTAAGATTACGGCCACAAGGAAGGACTCTCCCTCTCTCGAGGCACCACACCTTCAAATCATGCTTCAGGTAAAACTGTCGGCCTTCTTTGTTGCCATCCCGAGATACGCCTCCTATCAGAAAATCAACCGTCAGATGTCCGACGTCATGGCGACAAGAGCAGTAGATGCCTTGGTGCAGCCGGTCTATCGTTTGCCTACTTACCGAAGACCTCCGAATCATCCCCGGTGGATGGCTTAGTGGCATCTAATGCCGATTGGAATGCTGGATCATAGACTTCCAATGAATCCAGCGAAAACGGCGACGTTTTATGTGCAACGAGGTTGAAACGCGTGGATAGCTCATATAGAGATTTCTTCAGCGCCAAGTTTTCCTGCGGGAAGGTAAGTTCGAGGAATAGTTGAGCTCAAGGAACGCCTTTGCGACGGAAGGCATAGGGATGGGTACAATACCTTCTCCAGCACTTCCACTCTTTGCTTCAGCTGGCGGCTCTCTTTGGAGGCCTTCTCCTGTAGTTGAGCCGACTCCATGCCGACGCTGGCTTATCCGGGTTCTGCTCTTTCCCCGGCAGAGGAATACCTCAAAGAGAAGTGGCCCTTTTTGCCTTTGCCTGTCAGGCCATACAAATGAGTTCAAGATCTATCGACTCCGTTTCTGTAACCCTGGTCGTTTGACATTCCATACCTGGAACAGAATGGAGCTCGTTCACGGAGGATAAAGCATCCAAGACCAATAATGCCTTGTAATCAGAGTAAGACTGCCTATGCTATTCTGACCGCCGCCCTACCGTACTTGCATTATTATGGTGATGGCGTTGAAGGAGCATTTGACAGGGCCTTCCGCGACGAGAAAGGATTCTGAACATGAACCCCTCTTGGGAAAGCGCGACGGGCGCAAATCTCGGTGACAGCTCAGCTTTCTATCCCAGAAAAAACAACCTCCGCCTCCAAGCTCCCAAACCCCCGCTAACGACACTCTCACTACAGCCAACTATCAACGATGGGTGGAGGAAACGTACGTTGTTCCTCGGTGTCATGTCTCTAGAGCTCTTCCTTTCCGGTTTCGGAATGTGTGTTCCTGCCGGTATTCAACTAACTCCTTCCGCACTTTGTACATATATACAGGCACAAAAAGCCGCTATGAAGCGGGAGAAGAACGCCGCCAGGGCTGGGTTGACCGCCAAGAGTCAACTGAAAGTGGTGGGTACGGGGTTGGCCTCACGTTCCAACTCGCATGTTGCTGATTTACTGTTATAGAACGAGGCGGCGAAAAACACAATGTGCTCCGTATGCAGGCAGACGTTCCTTATGACAATTAGGCAAAAGGTTAGCTCAACTCTAGCGCTGCCAAGCTACCGTATAGAAGTTGAGTGAGGAAGTAACCTCCCTTCTTCATTCAGGCACTGGAAGAGCACGTCACAAACAAGCATGCTGGCAAAGACTTCAAGACATGTTTTCCAACATTCGTCCCAACGGCTTAGACGACACTTCAGCCGAACATCAGACTTTCCGATACATACACCACAGTGATTCGTAATCACCACTTCACAACTATTTGTACCTAGCCGTATATCATTATTCGATCGCTCAATAGCATACCGTTCATCACTCGGGATCTGAAGCACAGTGCAAATTGTTTCATGGTGTCTAATTCGGGCGGTGTACCAGTGTATTATTTTTGATAAGAGGCGACAGTAATGTAGAAAAGATTCCGGGCGAAACAAAATCTGACGGCGACAAAAAAGGTGATTCTTGCATCCCTTTCCTCATTCAAAGCTATTCACATTTCCTTGTTCTTCCACACGCAACAGGTGAGAGTGTTCTCATTATTTACATCATGTCTTGGGGATCTCAGCGATTTCGCCGACTCGCTCCTCGTTCATTCCTTTCATTACGACTACGTTGATGCCAGAGTGGATTGTCGAGAACCTGATACCGCTTCCCGTCGATGGCAAAGTCTTCAATAGTGGATGGAATCCTGTCCGATTCAGCTGCCGATGCGACGAGGTCTTCCAACGTGACAACCTCTGTGAAACACGAAACCTGTCAGCATTCCGATAGTCTGCACAGACGCCAATACATGTGAGCTGCTCATACCTCGCCCATCGAAATTCAAACGAACCCGTCGATTCCCGCCATGTTGGTAATCATCACCCGACCGCGTACGTTTGTTCGGAAGCGCGGCGGGATGCTTCCAGTTGGGGTACGGACGGTTGACCACTTGGCTGTACAGAGACTTTTCGGTTTGCGTGCGAGCAAACGCCTCCTCCTGGTCGAGTCGAGGTTGCCTGTTCGATGCGGGCCCGTTGATGCTCCCGGCTCTATTGTAGCCCTGTGACTGATTGTCGACGAACGCCGCAGGCTTCCTTGCCGTGCGTTGCAGATTCGGCTCCAAGCCAGGCGATGGCGGCCGCGAAGATCCAACCTCAGCTCGAAAACGACTCTGTGCACCTCGACTAGAGGACCTGCTGCCTGATGGACTTTCTTCATCCAATAGATAAGCAGGCGCCTTGCCTTTCCCTTTCGACCGGGACGGCTCATCATAGGGTTTCGTTGGCGATCGGACCTCTTGGCGAACATTGTGATGACCATTGCCCTGTCGGTTGGTCCAGAAAGGAACCGCTTCCTTGGAAAGGAACACCGGCGTCTCACTTGTGGACGAGGGCTGATCCTCATTTCTCTGGGAGCGCGGAGCTGGCGCCTTCAGGCTTGGCGAGCTTAGAGCAACATGGTTAATCCGGTAGCTCATAGCTTCCGGCCTTCTGTTTAGTGAGTGCTGCTCTTCATGTCTCTGAGAGCCAGTCGACGTTTTGCTCTTTGACGGACGCGGCTCGTGATCACTTTGGGGGCTCGGAGTCGGCACCTTGCTTAAGCGCGCAACCAGTTTGCTAGCTGATGAAGTCACATCTTCGTTTCTCTGGATGCTCGGCGTTGATATCTTGCTATTAGGCGAGCGATGCTCCTCGTTCCTCACGAACTCGTTTCCCATAGCGCGCGCAACGTGTGGTGGTGGTGGACTTGGTGGTGGTGGTGGTAGTGGGCGCGAATTTTTGTTTCCCTGTAAGAGCGGGGTGGAAGGCTTGCTGGCTGACGAACGTAGATCTTCGTTTCTCTGAATGCTCGGGGTCGAAATCTTGCTGCTCGGCGAACGCTGCTCCTCGTTCCTCACGAATCTGTTTCTCATAGAGCGTGCAGCCTGTTCGAGGCTTAATGGTGGTGGTGGACCTGGTGGTGGCGGTGGTGGTGGGCGGGGGTATTTGTTTTCTTGGAAGCGTGGAGTGGACGGCTCGCGGGCTGACGAGGGAAGCTCGTTGTCCTTGAGGTAACGCACAGGCAGATCAACGGGCGGTGGATCCAAGTCTGCGTTCCCTTGGAAGCTCGGAGCTGCCTCGATGCCATGTGACAAGCGCAATTCTTCATCCTCCTGGAAGCTGGGAGCCAGCTCAATTGCTTGTGAACGGAGATCCTCGTTTCTGGGCAAGCTTGGTGTGGAGAGTTTGCTGTTTGGTCCCGATTCAACATCATTTTGGAGGTTCACAGTCGAAGACCTGCTGTTTGCCGGAGGGTGCAGATCCTCGTTTCTCCGGTAGCTCGGAGCTGCCTCGATGTCACTCAACGAGCGCATTTTTTCATCCAGCTCCTGGAAACGGGGAGCTACTTTGTTGGCTCGCGAGCCGGGATGCTCATTTCTAGGCGTATTCGGAGTCGCTAGGTCGCTGTTCGCGCGTAGTTGATCATCTTTTCGGTAATTCGGAGTTGTAGGCTTGGTGTTTGTTGCCAAGCGAAGTTCTTCGTTTCTCTGAAAAGCCGGGGAGGGTGGCCTGCTGTTGGGCGATCGAAATTCTGCATCTCTATCGAAAACCGGAGTCGGGGGCTTGCTGTTCGAAGTGCGCACTTCTTCGTTTCTCTGGAGAGACGCGGTAGGCGGCCTGTTGTTTGACGACGCGTGTTCTCTATGGAAGACCGCAGTCGGCGGGAGGTCCTGACGAGAGCTCGGGGTCGGTGGCCTGCTGTTCGACGACCCGTATCCTTTGACGAAGACGGGAGTCGACCGTAGTTCTTCACGCGAGCTGGGCGTCAGAGGCTTACTGTTTGACGAGCGGACTTCTTCATCGGCATCGAACCTCGGAGTCGCGGGTTCACTGAAATGAAGATCGTCATCTCTGTGAGAGCGCGGAGTCGACGCTTTCCTCTCTGGCAAGCGCTCTTGTTCAACCCGCTGAGGGCGCGGGTTTTGTGCTTTGCTGTTAGGTGTGCCCCGTCCTTCGGTCCGCGGAGACCGATCTTGTTCATCCGGTCGAGGGCGCGGAGCGGGCCCTTTGCGGTTTGGCGTGCTCCGTCCTCCATTCCACTGGGAGCGCTCTTGTTTGCCCGGTTGGCGCCGCGGTGATACCTTGCTGCCTGGCGTCTTCCTTCCATCACTCCGCCGGTAAGGCCCTGCTTCACCATGTCGGGGCCGCGGACCTACGTTGCTGTTGCGCGAGCTCCGCTCTTCATTCTGCCGGAGGCGCGAAACGGGAACTTTGTCGCCTGGCAAAGGCTCATGTTCATCCAGTTGAGAACGCGGAGCCGGTGCCCTGCTGTTTGGCGAGCTCCGCTCTTCAGTCAGGTCGTAGCGCGGAATCGGCGCCCTGCTGTTAGTCGCGTCGTATTCGTCGTTGCGCTGGACGCGCGGAGCGTACTCCCTGACTTCGTGCTGTCGATAGCTGGAGCTCATAGCATCACTCTCTCGTCGACGTGATTCGTCCTGTCGATAGCTGGAACTCATCGCTAGGCTGTCTCGTCGCCGTGGTTCTTCCTGTTGATAGCGCGGAGGTGAGGCCTGGTTGATCAGTGAGTCTAGTTCATCCTGCCGATAGCTCCGGGCGGTTGCCTGGCTGATTTGTGACTCCATTTCTTTATCCTGCAGGTACCGTGAAAGTCGCGCCTGGGCCGTGGGCGACGCCGGTTCCTCCTTCGCTGGATACAGTGGAGTGGACGGCCTTGCGTAGCGTTCATTGCCATGGGTTCTCCTGGGCGAGACTGTCGTCGGAGCCCCCCTTGCGGACGCAGAGACCTTTTGTCGGTCGTGGGCCGGCTCATAAGACGTAGGAAGGATCCGCGCACCCGACTTCACTCTATCATCTTCGAAGTCTTCGACAAGGATCGGCTCTGGCTGGGGTCTCTGAAGCACTGCACGAACATCGCGCGGGCGCGCCATAAACGAGTCGGATGCACTGTCGGGACTTGGCGAGGGCGAGGATCTCCGGTGTGCATAGCCCGTGGTCGGGTGGGAAGGACTCACGTAAGGCTTTGACCGAGCCACTGGCGTCGGCGGACTGTGCGAAGCGACTATAACAGTATTTGAATGAAAACCTTGAGCCATATGCACTATATCTCGCAAGAGAAACTTCACTACTACCAACCTGCATGGTCCGACGGTATCTGCGAGACGCTGACATTGAACTCTCGGCCAAAGGGATCGTGTACCGCCCTTGGCGGAGAAGAGGCATAGGGTGCAAGCCATACCGGTTTCGCGATTTGTGGCTCCTGATGACGTTGTACCGTAGCGGCTCGATGAAGCTCAATTCGATCCTCTATGCCCAAGACACTCGGCGTTCCTGTGGCCGTGCGTACTCCCAAAACACTCGGAGTCCGGGCAGCCGAAGTGACTGTCATCTGGGTCGATTTCGATTCCTCAAGATAGTCTCGCCTTATCACTTCGGGTTGCTCTACTGTTTTAAAGGAGACGGTCAGAATAGTACTGTCTGAGCACCGCTCAAACTGACAGCTGCCAAAGACAGCCCGTCATGAAGTCGCAGTGTACCTTCGTGCGCTACATATGGCACCCCAAAGCTCGCCTCCTTACCTCTCAACCGTCGCTTGCCCTCTCCCTCCCTTTCGCTGTCACTCTGATAGTCTGCGAGGTCATCGTGGTCTGGCTTCCACCCCACCAGGTTTTCGACAGCCTCGGTTTTCTGGTCCTCTTCGTCGTCGCTATCGAGGGGGGCTAGCCCTGAGATCTTCAAGAGCTTCCTGAAGGCGTTCATATTTTGAGGGTATATATGCCAACTAGCGACTCTGTCGACGGGTGTGTGAAGTAGTCGTGGGATTCCCGGGCTGAAACCGCGAAACCTGGAAGGAAAACCAAGGCAGGAACTTGCAGGGCGGGGGAGAAACCAGTTGACGGCGAAACTCTGACAGCACGCGTCAACTCGGCGCGGCGTTCTTTCGCGCCGTGTGAACGCTCTTACTGTAGATCTTCTCATCTCATATGACTATAGTATTGCATTTTCTACATACAGTATACACATTCCAAAAACGGCGTACTACAACAATGACTGCAGGCGTATGTCTCACAGGTATCGCAGCACCCCCTTCATCAGCCTAATCCAACAATCTCTGCACCTTGTGGGTGGTGACGTTCAGACGCTCCTGCGCAACGTTGGACTTGTCCAGAATCCGATCCACCTGACCTCGCTGTGCACTCAATTCCTCGTTCATCAGCTGCCCAATCATCTTCAACCTCGAAAGCCCAGATGACAATTGATCTAGATTCCCATCAATCTCCTCTTCGACTTCGTCCCTCTCAATGTCTTGTGCGGTCGTGTATGTCCCTTTGGAGCTACCGCGGTAGCTCTGATGATCTTGCAACTGTTCCATCTTTCCCAAACGTTTTGAGCGCTCCCGATCCCCTCGCAATCGTTCGTCTTCATTTGCGGCCCGCTCTTCTGCTTCTTTCCTGGCGAGGGCTTCCCGCTTTTTGGCTTTGCCAGACCCAAAGGATGGCATCATGAAGAAACGATTTAGCGACTTCAGGTGGTCCGCTTTAGCGGATGATACTTTGACGTGAGATGTGGCGCTCTCCACGCGGCCTTCGGCTTTGTAGAGTTGTTCTGTGAACGGGAGGGCAAGGTTAAAAACACCAATGCAAATGAGAGTACCGCAGTATTTGCTTACCAGACTGGCCACTGAGCTTGACCATGTTCTCTCTTGCAATAATATCTGACTCGTTCAGTCTTTCTACAGCACGTCGTGTGCTCATGAGCGAGTCGTTCTGGACCTTCTTCGTCTTCCTGTCAAGCCACTCGGTGGAGTCATAGTCCTCAGCTTCTTCGTCGACAGTTTCCCAGGAACGGTACCCTGTGGTCAGCGGCCCATTGTGGTGGTAGTTTCCCTCTGCTGCCTGAGCGGCGGCCGACGTCCACTTGTTGGCTGGCTCGGCTGGTTGGTGGTGATATGACATGGTATGCAACTAGTCAGGTAGCAAAGTTGACAGACTCTAGATATGTGCTGGGGTATTCTGCCGGTTGGGGGTTGGCAGAGGATTAGCGGAAGTCGTCGTTGGGAATACGTTTGGACAGGATTCGGAGTGGAGCCAAGCGCGAACGCGTTCAAGTTGAGCGCACAAGCCACAGCTGGGAGTCGAGTTCGAATTTGGCCTGGTTCGGTTTGCACTTTGCGGGATGCGGGAGCAACCCACCAGGAATACCCACTAGGACGTGCAGTTGGTCGTCGTGACTGTGGCATATTCCCAGAAGCAGAGCAGCTGTTGTCCTAGTCATATTCAGCCTACAAAGCCACAATGCCAGCAGCGAAACTTCGTCTGTGCAGAGCCATCTTGAAGGAGCATTTTGGGCCCATAGTGGAGGTGGGACGTTTAACCAGCACCCCCACTCTTTTCTTTCGCTTTGTATGCAAGTCCTTTTATTGAAAGAACTCTTCACCCCACTCAGAAAGTAGGTTATGCTCTTCTTGAGCGGGGCCGAAGTCCCTTGTCTATCCTCATTCGCAGAACCGAGCTGCCAGCGTCGAAAGTCCGAGAGGCACTGTTTGTGCTCATACAACATGGCATAGTTACCTATGCCGAGACACCGGAGGGCGCACGGATGGTGGTGTATTACCAAGCAGAAGCCCGCAGCATCATTGTGAGAGACAGGATTCCAATCTATCTGCAGATTGTCAGGAAACGCTGTGGAGAAGACGTACGTACGGTGAAACCACCCTATGTGTTCCACCATGTTTGCTTACCTGCCGACATCCTGCACAGGCCGAGAGAATGCTCTGCGAGACATTATGGCACGGCCGGGCAAACTATGATCATCTGATAGACAAAGCGAGAGCACCAGGCGTCTCGCATGACCAGCTTGCCGAAGCATTCAGTAAATTGACGGACATGCGCGTGTTGGTCGCATGCACACCGGAAGGTAGTCTATCAATCGATGATAGGCGGATGACGGAAGAAGCACAAGAAGTCGCACGACGTGGTGGCCTCCCTCTGACCGCAACGGAAATGACAAAGCTGCGGAAAGAACTGGCCCTCAAGCGGGATGCGCAATACGACGACAAAGTAGAAACGGGATCGAAGCGGAAGGTGGTTTTGGACCTGGATGAGGTCGCCAATAAGCGATTGGCGAAAGATGAGAAAAGCGAGGAGAAGGATACCAAGTACTATCGCGCAAATCTGGACAAGCTGCATGTATTCCTACGGAACGAGGAAATCGCTCTGCTCGTCGAACGACGGATGAATAAAGGGGCGGGCGAGGTCGTCAAGAAGCTCTTGACTGCATCAGAGAACAAGATGCGACAGTGCAGAGAAGAGGAGAAGTCGGAGCCAGTTAGTCAGATCATGCTGTCTTCGCTTCTCGATCCTTCCATACCGCTGCTTGTCGATGGCCGTAGCGGTGCAAGTGCTACGAGGGAATACCTCGATGCGCTGACGCAGGATGACACTCAACTCATCAAGAAAGCGTCTGAAGGAGGTGGGGGGCAGTACACCGTGAACCTGAAACAAGCGGGCATAGAGTTGCGATCGCGCTGCATGGAGTCGATTGTACAGGAGAAGTTTGGGGATACAGCGAAGAGGGTCTGGCGCATTCTCCTAGCTATGAACAAGTTAAACGAGACTCAGGCATGCCCATGATTTATCTTGACCTTCGATCATGAAGCAATAGCTAAACGTTCGCGTGGGCCTCCAGGTTTCAAAGATGGCCCTCATCCCGCTCAAGATGGCTCGTCATTGTCTATACGCTCTCATGAACGCCGGCCTTGCCTTCATTCAGGTAAGGAATGTCTACCGTCTCCATTATCCTCGTCTATACTCATACTCTGCGAATAGGACGTTCCGAAGACCGTCGACCATTCCGCAGCACGCACATTCTTCCTTTGGTATGTCTCCATACCAAAAAGCACCAGGATCCTGCAGCAGAACACGTATCGCACGCTGTGGAATGTGAAGGAGAGGAGGGAGAAAGAGAGGGATGCTCGGGCGCTTCTCATTCAGAAGATGGAACGCTCGGATATCGTTTCTGGGGAGGCTCAGTTGAGCGAGGCTGAACTCATCAACGTAGATCACCTGAACAGGGTAGTGAGTCAACTGGTGATGACAGAATCGAGACTGTCGCGGCTGTTGATGGTGTTAGAGGAATTCTGAAGGCAACATGTACATACATGTATATCAAAATCCACGCAAGTACGGCAATGTGGTTCTATTCATTATGCACAATCCATTCTACACAGTTGGCGGTCTACAGGGGCAGCTTATTATGCCTATACAGATCTGCTACTAAGTACAGTGATCCGCAAACTACAACTATATCACCTGCCTCCTCATCCCGCAAAAGTGACAAACACTCATGCACACGGCTCGTGGCCGCCCTGCAATCCACGTCCGGAAACGCTTTTGCCACAGCCTCCTGCAAAACTGAAGAGGGCGCACAGCGCACCCAGGGCATCCCTTCCACCTTCGAGAACTCTGAAGCATAGAGCACATCTCCAGGCTTTAACACCTCACGTAGCACGTTAATAAAATCTTTGCCCTGCGTGAAGCCCACAATCCATGTGACACGTGGGCGTCCTCGGCGTAATTCCCGTTGCGAGTTTACAAAGAGTGCCAGCTCTCGCGCGGCTTGCGGATTGTGAGCGCCATCCACCAGAATCTCCCGGCCTTCGATCGTCAGCCATTCTAAGCGACCGGGCCAGCGGACGTTTGATAGGGCGGATCGAATATGATCATCTTTGATGTTGATGACTACTCCCGAGGCTGACTTCATCGTCCGCAGCACCTCCAACGTCTTGATGGCGGTAGCCAGATTGGACAATTGGAACGTGCCGAGTAGCGGAAAGTGTGTTTTCACTTTGATTCCGCCGAACGAGAACTCCACCATATTCTCGCCGCCAGCTTTCGCACCTTCTCCAGTAAGACGTATCACTGCCGAGTCATCAGCATATTGCACCGGTACGTCCCTCGCGTTGGCAATCTCTGCCAACACAGTACTCGCTACGCCTCCAGCTTCCGGCTGCGACCCAATGACGACCCCGCCTACGCCGTGTTTGATTATTCCGCCTTTCTCCCGTGCTATCTTTTCGATCGTGTCCCCTAATATGTCCGTGTGATCTAGTCCGATGGCTGTAAACACGCAGGCCAATGCCGGCTCGCCCCTCAATGAGATACCTGCGCCTTCCTTAGCGTCGATCGTCTTTTGTTCGATCGAAGTCCCTTCTTCACCTCCAGTTTCGTCAAAAACGTTCGTAGCGTCCAACCGCCCTCCCAGTCCAACCTCGACCACAGCCACCTCCACCCCGCCATCCCGAAACAAAAGCAACGCCGTCGCGGTCTGCAACTCAAACAAACTCGCCCCAACTTCATTCCGCGCATCCACCTCCGCCACACGACTGTACGCAGCATCATACGTCTCCCGTTCCACAACGCGTTCCTTTATACGAACGCCATCGTGAGGATACGCCAAGTGAGGAGAGTTGAAGCGACCTGTAATGTACCCGGCTGCGTTGAGCACTGAGGCGATGAGGGTGGTGACCGTGCCTTTGCCGTTCGTCCCGCCGACGTGGACTACGGAGTAGCTGCGTTCTGGGTGGGAGAGGAGGGAAAGCAGCCGGTGGATGCGCTCGAGGCCGAGGACGATTGTGGATGGCGGCATGGTGAAGCGTTTGACTGCTATACTTGTGCGCTGTTTAGGCGGACACCGCTCTGGGAAAGCTAAAGTCAGAACAGAGGGGTCAGTAAAACTCAGCAGAAGCAGAAAAGTCTCCTTAAGAAGCCTCGAGGCGATTCGTTTCGAGATGCTGGATGCTGCGGGCCTATGTGGAACAAAACTGTTCCGCGAACCAAAGTCCTCTGCGTGGACCTCACACGCAGACATGTGGGGCTTCCGCCTCACTATGATAGTTTCGCCGCTCCTCAACCACTGACGGGGAGACAAACTCACCTCTAAAGTGGTGTGCGATACGTATCACCCTCCCTTTGAGCGATGGGGTCCGCTTTGAATTTGAATTCTGAAGATCGGGCAGCCTGAGAACGCGAATACTGTATATGTACTGTACTGGAATTTGCAAGACACCTCACGCGCTCGGGTAAGTTAACGCCGATGGCACAGCTGCAGCAGCTGCAGCTGCATCTGGCCATATTTGGATCTCGCAAAGCATTGAAAACGTACTGTAGTGGCTAACGAGGAGAATTGCAACATGCGCTCTGTATGAATGCGATGATGAACATCGACGTAAAGGACCTTTGCTACTATACTGCTTCTGCTTTGGCTCTTCAAAGACAAAAACTTGGCCTTCAGTCAAACTGATCAGGCATTCTTCGGCCCGTTGAACATGATCCCAGCCATTCCAAAAAATGGCAAATGGGCATCAGGACGAATGTAACCCTTGAGCTCATCCTGTCCCTGAACACGGATGGACGCGACCAGCGCGACCACGCGCTGCGGTTCGTCCAAGCTTCCAGCTGCAACGGCAAGCCAGCTCCCGTTGTTCTTGGACATGTAAGTCAAGGAAGCGCCGCAGATCTCACAATGCGTGCGTTCCTGCCGGGAGAAGACTCGTACGTGCGTGGGGTGCCTGATGTGAGAACGTTGGCCTCCGGGAGAACGGCGACCCACGTCCCAGATGGAACCGACGCACTTGCGGCAATCTTTGCAAGGGCATTGCGCGGCGAAGGTCGGGAAGGGGAGGTCGTGCGGGTGCCCTGTTATCTTGGCAGCGATCGCGCGTTTCACGCAGGGCACGATAAAGTAAGTGAGGAAAAGAGGCACCTCGTACACGCTCGGGTCCGTTGAGAGTGTAAAGCGAATAGCGCCGCAGTGGCAGCCGCCGCCGAGCGGGGGAACAGACTTGTCGTCGTTCGAGGGCACCTCGTAGATGGGACAGTGATGCCTACATGTCAAACTGGTGATGAAGCGCAGAGCATGCGATGGCGGACATACCGTGCGAAACTCAGGCCCTGTTTATATCCGGTGATGCCGCAAAGCTGCCTGCCTCAAGTCGTTGCTGCCCTTTTCCAGTTCACCCCCATAACCCCACCACAAGACCTCCACAAGCCCGCCAAGGCGGCCAAGGTTCAAGGCTGCGTGGATCTCGCGGGGAGGGTGTGGGGAGGAAAAGTGGTTCTAAATTGACAAGCTTGATTCAGGCTTACGTGAGCGCGGTTCTCCGTTTCCGCCCCTTGTTGACCATACTGTCATTTTGAATCCATTCGACGTTTCCAAGACTCGGCATTGTCCTCGGAAGCTGTCAGGAACTGAATTGAAGAGCAACGCTTGACACAGCATTTCCCTTGGCTTTTCCAACAAGTTTGCCAGTGCCCACCGATCTTTCGAAATCCACTCATCCGACTGGCGAATCGCAACGATGGCAACCTCAGGCAACGCTGGAGAAATGGATCCAGATGCGGAATCCACCGAGAACCTTGTTGCAAAATTCCAAATACTCGCAGCGGAGGGAGACCTTCTCGCACAGCGTGGCTCCTGGGCTGCTGCCATCGATGCCTACACGAAAGCTCTAGTCATCCGACCTGCCGACAAGCACTGCCTTGTCTCCAGATCTCGATGTCACATCAACGCTGGCAATGGCAAGCCTGCTCTGGAAGACGCCGAGCTGTCATTGGAGGTCGATTCCGAGTTCTTCAAGGGGATTTACCAAAAGGCGGAAGCTCTGTATGCCATTGGTGACTTTGAGACGGCGTTAGTCTTCTACCACCGCGGCAACCGGCTCCGACCAGAACTAGATGAGTTCAGAACCGGAATACAGAAAGCTCGCGAAGCCATCGAAAACGGTATCGGAAACCCAAAAGAAACACGAATCACAGTTCCCCAAAATCTGCGCAAGCAATTGGCGGCGGCGGCGGCTGTCGAAGCAGAAGCAGCATCAGATCCCTCGAATCGTAAAGCGAACGCCAAAGACGGAGCGGTCCGCGGAGCTCGAATGGCCTTCGCCCAACACCCGCAAACGAAAGATGCGAGCGGCCACCTATCCCCAGCCTTCGAAAACAAACTGCTCGGCGAACTGTACAAAGACAAAATGTACATGGAGGAGCTCTTGTCGGATCCAGACTTCACTGATTGCCCAGACGAGCAAGTCATGAGTCTCGTGACGGAGGGCATTCGGTACCTGCAATCCCGCATCGATTTTTGGAGGCAGCAGAACCCATTGTACGCTAGACCGAAAGAGAAGCGCATTCGGCCCCGGATGGACAAGGGTGGGCTGAAAGCGAGGTCTCGATCGCCAAACGATAGAAGTGGCACAGCTGGAAAGGATGCGCCAGGGAAAGAACAAGAAAAAGAACTGCGGCGGACTAAGGCTGAGTCGGGGGCGCAGAAGGGGACACCTAAGGGTGCTAGATCGAGTGTTCCCGCGAGTTAAAGATATCTTCCGTCCTCCCGTGCCGGACCTACAAATGTACCTTTAGTGTAGCCAACGATATTGTAAGCATTGTGCGGGGCAAATGGTCTGGTAAGCAGAATGCAGGATGCTGATTAATTTCAATGATAGCCGACTATGCATATGTGATTGTTACGCCGTGTTGCTATCCCATGTCAGTGAAGAAGTGAATTGTTTTCCTTTCTCCCTCAACCTTTTAGCGCCTCCAAGCCTCGGTTCGCAGCCTGCACCCCATCAGAATATCCAGCATCAGTGGCCATTTTCCGACACTCGGTAAAGCACTCTCGAGCTCTTCCAAAGTCCTTCAAGGCTCGCGCCACCTCTCCCAAGTTACACTTTGCACAAATCAGACAATCCCCACACGTCTCGGGCCCAGCTTGTTGGGCATGGGTCAGGGATCTTCCAGCCCAAGTCCTAGCCTCATTTGCATATTTTTCGTTGATGGGCGCCAAATCCAGATAACATTCGGCAATATTATTTTCCAGGATGGCCTGCCGACAAAACCGAGCGGGACCTTGAACCGTGAAGTCATTCTGTAACGCTCCCAGCGCCCGCATGTACACTAAATCGAGATGTTACAGCGCAACGAACTTCAGCAAATCAAGAAACGGTTTGTTGCTTACCCGAAAGTGATAGAATGGATTTCCCTTGTTTCCTATATACCGCGGCGAGAGCCTCTACACTAGCGCCCAAGTCACTTGGCGCTACCCACTGTGGTGGAGCCGGCGGCAGCTTGGGCACACTAGAGGCCGTTGGCTCGTCGGCAGCGTCGGCACGGGAATCCGCCAGTTCGTCATCGTCGTATATCAGCGGTGGCGGGTTCTTGAAACCAAGCATTCTCTGGATGCCCCATTCGTAATAGCGTTCTGCCAGCTTCAGCCGCTGCTGATCGTCCCCAGACCTGGCGTAGATGTCCCCGAGTTTCTGAGCAATGCCCACCATCTTCCTGTTATGCTCTGTCCCTGCTGAACCTGCATCTTTGGACAGATCCTCATACAGCAGACCAAGGACTGAGGAATAGACAGTGACGGCTTCCCGGGGACTTTCCAGTCTCTCGTCATACAATTCGGCTAAACGAAGCAGAAGCCCGGTGATCTCGTTCGAATGGTCTGCTAATCCTGCTTTCTTGCACTCCTCCACAGCTGTAAGAAGGGACAACTTTGTTGGCTTGAGTCGATGGCATAGTCATCGATGTCGAGGTAAACATATCCCGCCCTATCCTTCTGCTCCCACAGAACTGCTCTTATTGAACGTGAAATATACCTCTCAGATACTCCACAACAGCTCCTTGAGGATCATTGGTGTAGTAATGTTTCATTGTCGCTCTCCGTACGTACCGCCTGCTACTCGGCGGAAAGGTATTGTACGTATAGGCGTACCAAGCCGCAGCCAGAGCTAGCGGAATGAGTGAGAGAATGATGCCAGCAGGTACACCGCGTTTACGTTCGGTGAAGGCCTCCGTGTGCAGGGACTGCCTTCCCGTGACCGTTTGTCGCATCCGTATTACGTGCGACGGGTGGCTACGTGCTCCGTACAGTCCTGTAAGTCGACATATGACCCGGGTGTTCGCGAGGCGGAACATTATTGAAGGAAGAAGGTGTCGAGGGGCGGAGAATGGCGTCAAAGTGGGGCGTTGGAATGGTCGGTGCACCCCAGCAGAGTAAGACTGTGCAGTTCTATCTGTATTGTGACGGAAGGATGGATGGGATGGAAACGATTACGCTTTGGCCAACTTCGCGAGAACTTCGACGACCTTTCGACGGCCGACGCTTGCACAGCCACCGCGTATCAACTCATGCCCAAAGTGCCCAAGCGTTCGAAGTCAACTTCGCCCTTCGCACACAATCCTCACCACCGCATAAGTCAGCCATGTTCCGCATAGCTCGCAGTATACCCGCCAGTGCCGTCAGGCTCGCCGCAACCGCCTCGAGGCCTACCTTGACCCGCTACTTTTCGCAGGTATGGAAGATGTCCCCAAAGCCCGGGGATGCCAGTCCATAGGCAGCTTTGCCGTGCAAGCCGTGTCGCTTGCGTTTCTTTGCCTCCCTGTCTCCGTTCAAGGGCGCACCAGCCTAGCTTTTGAGGAGGTCTACACGTGTGGCAGTAGTAACGTCTTAAGGCTGACCTCTGACTGCTCGGTTTGCAGACAGCTCCATCACAAAGCCTTTTCACCGACTACGTCGACAAAGTTCGGCCGGCAATCAAGGAGATTACTGCCCGAGAGCTGAATGGCCAATTGACGAAGGAGCCTTTCAACCCTCCTGCAGATTTGCACGTCTTGGACGTTCGGTATGGGGGCTGATCTGAATGCTTCGGCCATTCCAGGGGAAGTCTCTCATATCTGTTGACCTTAGGGAGCCCTATGAGTGGAACGAGTTCCATCTGCCAAATGCGATTTACACTGGACGTGGGACTCTGGAGGGCAAGATTGTATGTGGAAGAGAGATTTGAGGGTTCGATTGCAGTCGAAATTGCTTGCTAAACATAGTCTCAATGTCGTAGGAGAGTCTCGTCCCAAACACTGAGGACAGCATCGTCGTCTACTGTGCTTCCGGCTACAGATCCATTCTCGCGGCAGATGCTCTGAAGAATATGGGTTACAAGAAAGTATATAGCTTGAAGGGCGGAATCAGTGCATGGAAAGGCGCAGGATTGCCTGTGTCGCAAAACCCCAACGTGGTATTGTGAATAGACCGCAGCGTGTGAGCCTGCAGCGGTTCCATGGACGACTCTTCTCAATCCTGGACAACGTCCTTACGGACAAGGGAGGTGGCTGGCCGGGGAACGTGTAAGCGTTCCAAATTACGCGAGAGCGGCTTCATCAATGCTTTTGCGAAAGGGGGCTTAGGCGGCACTTTGTGTAGGAGAGGTCGACATTTCAGGCGAGCACCCACTATCCTTTATATAGTGGTCTGTATAGTACTCCATTGGATGTTTGCTCAGGTTGTGTTTGTTCAAGTTCTGGCGGTTACTTCTTCCAAATGAAATTGAATAGAGTCCTGGTTTCAAATGTCCGAGTGGTCCGAGAGTCATACTGTCCTTGATGAGACGCGCTTCTTTTCCTCCCAGCGCACCGCCCGCAGGGGTCTCACAATTCACACTTTACGAAGCACAAAAAACAGGAACTCTCTTGTCGTCTCGAAAGTAGGCCGTGTTCGACGCCACCTTCCTCTTCGCCTCCCACTGCCTTCGGACGGGCGGGCATGAAGCGAAATGGCCACTCTGACTCGGGCCCGCGTCGGAATCCAATTCCCGGCTAATAACGATCTGCTCACACGCGTCACCGACCGCAAACTCTGCTTCAAACCCCCGACAGCCGAAGGAAAGGACCCGCAACCACGAGAGATCTACGTTGATTGCTTATTCCGAGAGGATGACACGCCTGCGAAGATGGCCGCCTCCTTTGAGTTGGATAAACTGGTGTCTCGAGTGCTGAACGGATATCGAGCAGGACTGTTCGTCGCTGCCTCCGGACGGCGGTTCTCAGCAACGCGGACGCACGTTTTTGCCGAAGCTCTGTCTATCCTCGGAAGAAGCCTGTCGGAAGCATCCGATGTCAGCCTTTCGTACGCTTATGTTGCACTGACGGACGCAAAATGTTTGGACCTTACTGGGGATCGTGTCATCGACGCTCGCGGCAACAAAGCAGCACTGGAGCCTATCTATCGGCCTTTTTCGGACTGCCATGATTTGCTGAGGGTGGTTCAAGGGGGTTCCTCACTACCCTACGCTCTGATGATTCGAGTGGAGAAGTTTGGCGGCGCTAGAACAATGGGATCCCTGCTCTTATGTGACCTCGGCCTCCCGACTTTCGACAACTCGATATCTGAAGATTCAATACGCAGACTTGGCCCGAGTCTCTCATTATCTTTTCGAACGTTGCAGAAAATCATCTTCATGAAGTCCACCGCGGGCGTTGAAGGGCCATTGCCGTATCACGAAAGCAATCTGACGTTGATTTGCAAAGATTACTTGGATGGCCATGCTGCTATGAAATTTGTTCTCTGTTTAGACGCGTCGGCTGATGTGAACCAGCAAGAAATCACAGGAGCATTGAACTTCGCAGAATCTCTCCGGAAGTTTCAGACTTTAGAACAGCCAACGGAAGTTGACCCTCGAATATCTGGATTGGAGGCGGACCGGAAGGCTTTTGCGGACGAAGCGAAAGTATTAGCAGCAACACTACGTGAGGCCGAGCGCGCGCATAAGAAAGCGGCGAGGTTATCAGCAGAGAAACATGGACGCCTAGTTCAAGGCCTTCGCCAAGAGCTAGCACTCGCTTTGAAAGCGGCAGAGGAGCAACATCAGAAAGACACGCAGAAGCTGGAGAACGAGCTGCAGACTGCCAGGGAAGAAAACTCAGCCGCGTTCCAAAAGGCGTCGGATAGCTGGGCGGACGATAAGAGGGCGATTATTGCGGACTTTGATACGAAGATGCAAGCGCTGGAAGAGAATGTAGAGGACGAACGAAAGGTTCTTAATTTGAAGCTTGCAAATACCAAGCTTACGAGCGATGCGGCCTTGAGCAAAAATGCGTCGGAAATGGCTGCCTTGCAGGAATTGCTTAGGCAGGAAAAAGTCCACCTATTGCATCAAACGGAGCAGACGACTTTTTCGGAAGCTGCACGCTATGCGCTAGAGAAGGAACTCGAGTTTGTGAAGGAGAACCTCGCACGCGAAGAGGAGACGAATACCGAGTCGACGGAAACTTTGAGCGCATTACAGGTCGCTCATGAAGCGTTGGCGCGAGATTTGATTCTTGAAAAGGAGACCCGAGCTGGCTTGGAAAGTTCTCTGGCCGAGAGAGAGCAGAAAGCGGATGAATTGTCAACTGAGATTCACACGGTGCAAGAGAAACTGAATGTAACCTTGCAACAGCTGGAAGAAGTTACGGCGAAGCTTGCAGCGATGACGGAGGCATCGAAGGAGATGGACGGCCAATTTGCAGAACAGACTATTGCCATTCATGAGAAACAGTCGAGCATCGCAGTTCTGGAAGCCCGATTTCAAGAGGCACGGGAGATGACGGAACAGATGAGAAACGAGCGTGATTCCGCGCGACTTGAGATTGCGGGAGCCACGTCGCGCGCAGCTGAGGTTGTGGAAATCATGCGTGACGAAATCCGCAGGTCTCGCGCCACGACTGAAACCGCTCAAGCCGAGGTCGCCCAGCTACGCTCCGATCTCGTCTCAGCGGAGAAGGGAAATCGGGAAGAAATTGCCGAACTGAAGGCCCATCTGGAACAAGTTCGAACGGCGGCCGAGAAGCGCGCGAGGGAAGCAGAAAGAGCAGAAGGTCGTTATGAGGGCGAGCGAGAGGCGTGGCAGCGTGATCAGTCCGCTTGGGACCGGGAGCGGGATCGGTTTGTGGAAGAGATTCAGGAGCTGAAGCTCGAAGTTGCCCGCGCGAAAGTTGCGGCTGCTGCAACTAGCGAAGACACCGAAATGAAGGTAGGCGGGCAAACATATATTTCCAAAGGACCATCCCTCGTGACTCAATCATTACTTGTCATTATAGACTTGGCTGACAAAGCTGGAAGCCGACAACCGGAAATTACGGGAGGAAGTTGCAGAGGTCAAAGCCCTGCGTCGTGAACGCCGTGAATCCGATTTTGAGGCGGCTCGCATCAGAAACCAACTCAACCGATTGGAGGAGCAGAATGCCAGTCTCGCCGCTGAGACAGCTCAGAAGCACGCCGAATGGGAACAGGAAAGAGGCAGATTGCAGCGAGAAGCCGAACGGCACCAGGCCGCTCAAGATGAAAACGAGGCTCCAAAACGGGCAGAAGCATTGGTCGCTACTCGGCAAGCGAAGCGCGGCAATCGTAAACAGCCTGCTTCTCCCGAGGAAGTCGAGAATACTGCTGTCACGTCCACCGTTAACGGAATCGAGCCGGTGCTACAAAAGACCCATGTTGCACCCAAGGCTACGCGTAAGCCAAGGAAAGCGAACGCCAAACTTCCGGACGCGGAGAACTCTACCGGAACTGCTGCCCAACAGCCAACGAACAACGACACAGAATCTCCTTCGCAACAGCCAAAATCCGCAAGCGCTGCTGAGCCGCATGAGCTTCCAGAAACGCGAACGAACGGCAGGCCACGCCGAGCTGCGCAAAGGACCGAATGGTGGAAAATCAATGGTACCGGACTGCCAGCCGCAGCTTCTACGGAGGAGGATGCAATGGACGACGAAAGTGAGAATGAGCCACATGGTGGAAAGCAAAGGACAACCACATCAAGGAAAGCCAAGCATGTTCGAGAGCCGCCAGAAGAGCCGATGCCCGCTGAAAATCGCGAGAATGTCCTTCCAGAACGGGGGGCGGAGAAGGAAGTCCCAGGACAGGCACCGAGGAAGCGGAAACGAAAGGCCATCGAAGATGAGGATGTTGCGCAAGAACCGGACGAGCGCGATGTCCCTGCCCCGAACAAACTTACCAAACCAACCGCGAAGAGCAAAAAGTCAGAAGACCAGGTATTGGACGACATCCACTTACGTCGCTCTAGCATGGGTGATTTTCATCGTATTGAATTTGTATCGCTTTTTCCCAGGCGACTGCCTCAGAGCAGGATTTTTCCAACAATGTGGGACAGGAGTCCACGGAGACCCAAGTAGAAGTAAGCGAAGCTACATCGAGCAAGCAAGGCACAAAGACAACAAAGGGCGCGAGAAAGGCAACGGCAAAGGAGATACCGATTGCAGTGCAACCCACAGGGCCAATATCCGTGGAGGACATTCTTGGTTTGGGAACAACCTCATGCAAGGAGGACCCGAAGAGCAAATCGAAAACCGCAAGGGCGAAGAAGCCAACAAAGAACGGCACGAGCGTGGTGGCAGAATCCGCGGAATCCGAAGGTCCGGTTTTACCAACCCTACCAAACGGCAACGAGACCTCAGAGCCAGCAGCAGAGGGCGATGAAGTGACAGGTAAACCCACCAAGAAGCGAAAGCTGAACCTTGCGAAGAAAGCAAAGGACGAAGAAGATACAGAAAATGAGGTACGTCTTCACTGTGGCGCACCACGTCGGTGCAATCCCTCACGACCTCCCACCAGAACCCCGCAAAGGCGAAGATGCAAAAGAGCGTATCGAACAAAGAAGCAGCTGTGACGGTACCAGAATCAACCGTCCCTGCCCCAGTCGCCGCCGCTGCGGAGCCTAGCTCGCAGACAGCCGCCTCTTCATCAACGTCATTGAGCACCTCTATGACCGGAGCACCAACGTCATCAACGGCTGCCCTCGGCTTTGGAAGCCGCAGTCTACCGAACATCAACAACAGCGGTCGAATGGAGTTCAGAAAACGGCCAGGACTGGACCCTGACCGTATGAAGGCCATCCTGTCAGGATATGGATTACAATGGAGTGATAGATCAGAAATGCGATGATCTTCACCCGGTCTTTGAATCATTCACATGGTAACAGATCGATACTAGTAGATGCCCAGTGCCCGTCTTCGGTGTGCTTTTTGGCTGCTTTGGGATTGTGTTTGCTCAAGGGGTTAGGAGGCAACGATTCATGTAGATTAATGTGATTGTGTTTTGTAAACATACGACGTACACCAAACGGGCCCGTGATGCATCGGATCGCTGCTGCTCCTGCCTTTATGGTACCAGGCCGGTCACGACGCTGATGTGGCGACAACTGACGAGCTTGACGCAAACGTACGGACAACCAACCCCTCACATTTCACTCACTACCCCAAAATGGTATTCCAGCGATCTCAATGCGTCGTGTATTTACAGCGATTGCTGGAGAAATGCGACAAAATGTCAAGGATATCCAATATGTACAATATGGAAGGGTCACCCTCCTTTCTTGGTCGAATTCTTGATCCAACCCATTTCTACGAAATAATCATATATCCTGCTGGTCTTGTTGACATCGATCTTGATCAAACGACGGCACTCCCTTCGTCGCATGGAGCCTTGCTTCGCGTATTCTTTCAGTATCGTTTCCTTGATAACCAGGTATGATTTCGGGAAGAGTCTCAGATTACTGCATAGTTGCTGCTCGTTGTGGGTGAGGAGTTCAACTCCCTCGGCGTTGGATATATCGAGGGGCGCGGGGGTATTGCGTACGCCGGTGGCTGCTGGGCCAAGGTTCTGGGCTTGCGGCTGTTGTGGTATTGCAGGCGCAGGTCGTTGTAATGCCATTTGCAAGGCCGTAAGTGGTTGTGATTGTAATGATGGTAATTGCGATGGTGGGCGGCCTTTGACGTGGGACGGTGTATTTGGTACTTTGAATTGTGACGGCGGGAACGGGACTTTGAATTGCGGTTGTGGTATTGACGGGTTGGGAGCTGGTGATGGAGAAGGCGCTGATGAGGATGGAGTGAGGAAAGCGTTCTTGGAGTTGTTGCGTGATATCCCTGGCGTCGGAGTATCGTGTGGTGGATGTGAACCACCACGCCCGGTGGTTCTTGAACCACTCGCTGGGTGGAACTGTAGTGCTGTTTTTGTGAGCTCTCGCTCCTTTTTGTCGCGCTCATAGGCATCAATTTCCCGCCGCGTTCGGAGACCCATTCGACGGTATTCTTGTAATTGCGCAATCTCCTGCCTTAGCTTCATCTCATCTAGAGGCGGTTGAGGTTGTCAGCGGTCAGACCTTCCACCCGAAAGTAAGGAAAACTGGTCTGGGAACTTACTTAATAAGCCACCCATGAAATTCTCGAAGTCTTGTCCTGTTTGCATCTTTGCAAACACTCGCAATTTCTGAAAAAGCTCCCTCTCTTCTTTCGATCTTTTTTTCTCCATTTGCTGGACCTAGGAAATGACCTTTCCCGGTAAGTCCTCGCCTCCGCATAACACCAGTCCGTTCGGAATGAGTCCAACCCAATCCCACCTTCCGGAAATCTACGATATTTCTATCGAGAATGAATTTCTTGCGTTCCGCTCTGCGATCCAGCGCGGAGTTATACATGTCGAACATGGCCATTTTCAGTTCTTCGATAGTAAAACCTCAAGGTGAGTTACTGTTGCCATGGATCAACCCTCCGACGACGACACTGCCTCAATCACCTGTGTCTTCTGGACTATCGCTATCAGAAAACTCCAGATCCTTGATCAGATGCTCGGCATCGTTTTCGCACTCTGTTTCGAACTCTTTCCGTCCGGGCATGTATCCCATGATCTCGTGGTTCGTTGGTTGACTGACGGGCGGACGCTCGTGTTTCGGTACTTTCCGCGGTGGACCTGTTTTTCAAGCACGTTAGACCGCTTGTAACGCACAACTTCGCGGCGATCACAAACTCACCTCGTTCCTGGGATAGCCTTTTATTTCGATCGACTGGTCGGGAAAGGTTCTGCCAAAGTTCCAAGTGTCTCGCATCAGCAGTGGTTCCAAGCCCTACTCGAACTCCACTGTTGTGAAACCCACCGGTATTGGGAACGAGTCGCTGTTGATGTAGACTCTGTTGTAGTGTTCCTCGCACTGTAATCTGTTCTTGGTCCCCATCTGCTCCGCTATCTGCTCCCAATTCCCTAATCCCCAACTTTCGATGGCGGTTACGAGTTTCAACTCTTCGTCTGCTCCCCATCCATCGTCGTATATCTCGAAATCTAGCATTTCCTTTATCATTCGAAAAATCCGTGCGTCAGTTTCGCAAACCCTTCCATCTGCCGGAGGCTCTGGCAAAGAAGTGACTAACAGACTTCCTCTGAACTCACCATCACTCTATAGCTATGACTATTTCTATGTAGTGTATTTGGTGGTTCTGCACCCGAACAGAAGCACGCGACGCATAGGTCAAAGTCGGCGCATTCGGCACATCGTACGCGAATGAGATTTGTGATGTCCTGGCTGCAGCCATTGCAATGATAGCTCCCGCCAAACTCCTCTTCCACTATACGACAGTAAGGGACGCAAGCACTTAGTATCACTAAGCCTTATGCATACATTGTGGCCAACTGGCTCTGCGAAATGTGGCGCTTTGCTGCTCTTGCTTTACCTTGCTCGACTTCTTCGAGTTTCCGCTTCTTCTCATTGGTCATTGCGACTGGTGAGGACGGACGAATGACAGGGAGAGGAATATGGACGAGCTCCTCTGAATAGGTTCGTTAATGTCGGTCAACACAATTCCTCCCTTCTCGAAATGTGAACGGCCAAGAACGCAAAGTGTCAGAGTATCGGCCTGACCGTGTTTCTATGACATTACGTGATCAATATGGTCTGGACTCCAGATACAAAAACCATCTACACAACGCAGTTACCTACTGTCTATGAAATATGTGAACTCGGGCTGGCTGAAATATGTTTTAGGAGCGGTCAACTATTGCTGTGATACAGAGCATTGTGATGAATTAGGTACAAACTTGCTACAGGTACAGATAAAGTGTCAATTTGTCGAGTTGGTCTCCGACACCCTCATCCATCGTTCTTTCTTGCGTCGGCCTTCGATATAACGCATACTGTAGAATTAATGTGGTGTAAGCGGTTAATTTGCGGCTCACTACTTCATGAAGTGACTGGTCTTTACATACCTTTCATCGTAACTCCTGGGCATAACCCTCGACACGTCGTGATCCGCCTCGAACGTCAAATGAAATGTGTTCGTGGTCGATTGCTCATCCTTGATAGGGTCAATGACGTCGGCTCTCACTTTCACTTGGAAGGTCCTCCCCGACGAATACACAACTTGCGAAGTGAGACTCAACAATGCCCCCACTTTCACCGGTTTCTTGAACTTGATGTCATCGAGGGCTACGAAATTCGCGCGGGACTTGGCGAAGATCATTCCAGTTGACGACGCCAGTTCGAAGGCCAGTCGGAGAAGATATCCACCTGCGACAGTTCATAAATGATTTTGAGTTCCACCATACAGCGTTGCGGTGTCGAGAGATGCAGCACTTACCAAAGACATTCCCATGGATGTTCCGGTCTTGGGGCATGCACATGACAAGGTTCTGCTGGACGGTGTCCTTCATCCACTGAACGTTGCTTGGCATCTCCCGCTTGTACGTTGGGTCGAGGTATTGGATGTATTCCTTGTAAAGCTCGTGAACAAGGTTCAGCTGGAGAATAGCCATGTCATGAGTAAGTAAGTGAACGTGATACCACGAGCGACTTCAATCAATGGTCGTCTTACCTCCTCGAAACTTGGAGGAACAGCGGATAAATCAAACTGACTGTCCATCAACTTCCTTGCCTTGTGTTCCGCCCCAGATCGGAACAGCCGCCTATCCTCATCCGTCTCCAGAATCAGCTGGTTGACCTTTGCAGCCTTGCCAGTGATGGGATCACGCGCAACCATCGAGAACTTTGCCGTTAGGATCTTTTTTCCAGGGACACGCTTCTGGGCAGCAAGGACGCCAACCCCGTAGGAGGTCTCCCGAGGATCTGGTGGTGGAGTCGACATGGTTTCCAGCCAGCAGCTGACTTCCATGGACGAACTTCCAACCCAGGTGACATGCCCACTGAGACGCAGGTCTTGATCCATCGGTATACTTTGGAGTAGATCGATTCGATCAAGACTTGCTGTGACGATAGTCAGTGGGATCGTCTCTGCGCTGTTATCGTCACAGTGCATATATGCTATCGATCCCGCCAAGGCATCCAGGTCCTCCAGCACTTTCCCGATCCTGACAGTCCCGTGGGGGTTAACGTACTCTTCCCTAATGTCAGGATTGGTGAACTCCAAGATCTCCTCGAGATATGAGTCCTGCATGTGCCTGGGACGATTTGGGCGGGAAACGCTGGCAGTGACGCCGTCGGTGCGGCCGGTGGTCTCGATAGCTTGCTGCTGCTTTTCGGCAAGGAAGCGATTGAACCACATCCTGTGCGTGGCGCTCGTGCGGCCCTTCACATACGGCAAGACCGCCCTGAACGTTGCAACATGAGACACGTCCTCTAAAGCATCGCTCCCTCCTGCCAAGGTCTCACCATTTCTTTCGAGCCTCAGCTTCCTTCTCAACGGCAGCCTGCCATTCCTTCAGTTTCCCCCGGCTGTCTTCTACTAGCACCTTCGAAGAGGAGGCACGGAAGCCCCGCGTTTCCTGGCGGCAAGGCTGTAGCGACTCTCTTTCACGACCGCTCGGCGTTGACCGCAGCGCTGTCCTGCTGGCAGCGAAACTCCGACACGGAAGGCATGTCCATGGCGCCTTCGCAGGAATGCGTAGACCTTTCGACGCCATTGTTCTTTGCTGGTATATGTAAGTATATTGCTGATATGTATATATGTACGTATATACGTCAATATTCAATCGTTCCCGTTCCCTGAGCAAGCAACTTTTGAGGGGTTCCCACTATTTGTATGGGTGACTTCAAAGTTCAAGTTATGTGAGAAAGGTCGGCAGCGGAACGCCGGACTCCGATTATCAGATGCAAATCCACGAAAACACGCGGCGCCGGGATGACGACCACATAGATACGCGTTCCGCACCGTTCACACTTCATTCGACTTTCCATCGATCAGCAACTAGTTAGGAACAACTTCCATTTGCAAAACGGCGGTGTATGTACAAAATTCACCAAGACTCGAGAACAACGATATTACAGGAACTAGACGGATGGAGTACAAAATCGGGAGACCGGAGATTGGGAGTTTGGAGAGGAGGCGACGCTTGATGGGCATATGCCGCGTAGGATGAAGTGAGAAGGAACGGATTGGCGAGGGAGTTTCAAAATGTTTCTTCACGGTGGCGGGACTTGGCGAAAAGAGCCCCGCAGGACTTGTACAGGGTTGGAACGCGGCGAACGAATCCTCTGGCGAAGAACACAAGGCATGTACAAGAAAGAAATCGTAGCGACAAAGGTGTTTTCGTGCTCCCACCGGTGGACCGGCTGGCGAAAAAAGACGGAAGGGTCCCCGGTTTGCAGCCCGCTGCTGCATCCAGATAGGAAACGCTTGCCTCAACGACATTCCAAAAAGCCAGTCGAGGACGGTTCTTCCATGGTCTTGGGCACCGGGACGACGCACGTAACGGGAACGGAATGCTCGCTCCACCATAGTGTTCGGTACCGTATTTTCCCGCGAATGGTCAGTGTGTAGGGGAATTCCATATATATCCTGGCGATACAATGAGTATCAGATTCAATGCGTTATATCTCGATTAGGATGGAATGAGCCGTCTCGGACTTACATTTTCCCCATAGTATTCTCCGGCTCGCGAATGGATATATGTCCAACCGGTGTAGTCGGGGTGGACGGGGTGAACGCTGGAAAGCTGATAGTGGTTGTCAAATGGTGGACGTGCGAAAGGAGCTCTTTTGGAGGCGATTTAGTGGGATCCGGAGGCGGTGCGGGCGAGTCTTCTTGGGATGGTACAGTATCCGCGAGTCCTACGCCTTCCACACCAAGAATATCTGGCAATATGCAAGTAAGATCAGAATGCATGATCCCTCGCTTCCACCGATCAGGTAATCCATCAACCTACCACTTCCCACAAACACATCCATGTCCACGTTTCGAAGGTAAACAGGAAGGATATTTGCGTTGGCAGCGCCCAACACAATGTCGAACTCGTAGATACTGTATTCGGCATGAATATTGCCGACACCAACGATAGACACTTGTGACAACGGCTGGATGCAAACCACAAACAGCGTAAAGGATCCCAGCAGGATTATGGCGATGGTCAGGAGGAGGAAGAGGGCGGAGCGGGCTTGTGTTCTGGACGGGAAGTTCAAAAAGTTACGCTTTGACCAGATCCTTGCATTGACTTTCGCGGGAAGGCTGACTTACCGTGCGCAATCAGCCTCTGAGCCTCCACGCTCGTCGGTGAGCGGTCTCCGTCGATATCTGTTCGTCCGAAGGAGATACGTGCGTTCGTCGTCATAACCGGACCGCGTCGACTGCTCATTCATGAACGGAGAATCTTCTCCTTCATTCGATCTCGTGGGTGTAAACGGCGAGCCCTCCCCATCCGTGAAGGTATCATCCAGATAGCCTCTGGAGGACGACGCGTACCCTGTGTATCCGTACTGCGATGGCGGGCCAAGTGGGAGAAACGGGGCCATAGGTGAAGACTGCCGTTTGCTGTGAATTGTTCGAAAATCGCCACTCTTTTTCAAACGTGGCCCTGTCGACCGACCTCCATCGGCCAAGCCCGGGGAGCTTCGCGCATGTGCAAGCTGGGCAGAGTAGTCGGACATCGAGAAATCGGACCGCGCAACGGTCGAAGCAGCAACCGGTACCACTGAGGTTGGGGCATCCGTCGGGGCTGGGAGCAGGTGATGTGAAAAGGATCTGAGAGTGCGGCAGTGGGTTGGATCAGGAGAGCCGCTCCACACGAAATCCTCAGTATCTTCTTCGCTTTTGTTCGCTTTAGAGGTCTTCAGAGGAAGCGTCGCAGATTTGAAAAGCGGTGGCCGTGAGACAGTGTTCAGATCGGTATCCGTCTCCACGACCAACTGACGATCCCTCTCCCTGTCTCGCTGTTCTGCGTCGGTGAGGACACCCATCAGCGACCTTAGCGAGTCCCGGCTTTGCATCTTAGCTGGTCGCCGAGACCTATCGGGAGGTGGAGGAAGCGGTAGATTTGTATAAGCCACCCTTTGCGCTGACAGTCCTGGTAAAGCACCCTCAGACTGCGGCCTACTTGGCAGCGGGGTCGTCAGCGTAGGAGCGTGCTGAGCGTAGCCAGGAAGTTGGTACGGTCCTATCATCGAATGATGATTAGGGGCGACATGCCGAGCAGGGAGAGAGGTCCGTGCGTTATTGCCATTCGTGTTCGTTTTCAAAGCTGAGAACGATGGGACCTTCCGGAGCATCAATCCACTGGAAGCAGGGCGGTCATTCGTTCCACTCCACTTGTCTTCTGAGCAGGAAGTGCTCATGAGCATTCCTAACGTATTTCCAATTGAGGGCTTGAAGGAGCTACTCACCACCAGTTTGATCCGATTCCCAGCTTTGACGTCTGGCGAGACGCAGCTCGTGCATGGAGTTCCTTCTACCCTCCTTATCTCGCGGGGGAATTGCCATGTTTAACGTGTCATTCTCAGTTGGCGAGCCTTGGCCTCGCCCACCTCGTGCCGAACCATCCACTTGCCCTAACGCAGAGGACGAGGTGGATGAAGATGACGTCGCCAGCACCATGCTCACACTCGTCAGCGGGAAACCGCCCAAATTCCGTTCAACTGTCAACCGTCAGACATGCGTTTCTTCAAACGCAAACTCACGGTCCAACAGCCCAGCTATGAAAGTGACAGCCCGCCTTCCTCCCTACCGCTGTGGTATACTCTTCGTCGTCGAACGGAATGCTGCAAACGATGTAGAACGTTTGCAGGTGTCAGTCACTCTCTACGCACAGTCGTTGCCGAATCACTTGGTGAATGGGACACCCTGGAGTGGAAGCAAACGTGGCGGGCCCGCTTCTCATTTGTCGCAGTATGAACACTCAGACGATCACCAACTTCCGACGATACAACCCGGTTGCTTTATCCCGTCCTGTAAGCCGGCGGATGAACCCGTTGAATGTGCGCCGTGGGGGCAGGAAGATATCGATAGGTCCCACCCACTGGCACCCAGGCTCTCGCAGGGGAACGCGTTCAAAGTCGACACAGACTGTCAGCAGGGGATCGGCGCTCGAGATTCATCAACAACCGTCAGTGTAACGATGTGTCATCCACAAGGCACAGAATAAACTACTGTTGAAGGGACATTGATTTATGTAAGGAGGACAAGATCTCATTGGAATCCACTGCGATGAAAGTGTCTAGATACACATTTAATGTCGATCAGACTTATTAAAGCCTGCGCAACGCTCACGTGATGAAACCCACGTGATGGAACGCTCTCTCGGACGCTCTCTAGGACCCTCTGAACTTCTTGATTCAATTTAGGGTTAGGGTTAGGGTTAGAGTCCTGGTTCAATTGAGAATACAATGTTTACAAAGTAGGGTTAGGGTTAGGGTTAGGGTTAGGGTTAGGGTTAGGATTAGGGTTAGGGTTAGGGTCTCTATTCAATTTAGAATACAGCGTTTACAGCATCACAAATCTGCCACATAGTAAGAATCTTGCGGCGGCAAGCTATCGTTTCAGAATAGCTTCATTAATCGTTTCATACAAATCAATGTGGCTCATCCGTGGGTGACTCAGCGGTGCCGTATTAAATATGGTGGCCGCAATAGCGCGGGATATGTCGCGCTATTGCCCAGCCGCCCTTTCCCCCCTACACCCTCTTCGCGCTAACCGCCTTTGCCGTCGGATCCCTCTCCCTCTTCTTTCCTCGACGGACGGCGAGCTCTCAACCATCACCGCCGACCGCTTTGACCGACGGCTCCCTGCTGCCAGCGCTCCCTGCCACGGCTTCTGCGGTTTTCGACTCTGCCGCGCGGGTGGCTGCACTTGTGGCCGCCGGTGGTTTCCGTCCACCGGCCACCCAGCTGGCCACATCGCACAGAGGGGCCGCCCAGCCTTCCGTGCCCTGTCAGCAGGGCGGCGGGGGGGGGGGGGGGTGGGGGTTAGCATTTGCCATCCATCAGCAACAGGCGCGCGCGGTCTTACCCCTTGATCCTTGCCCACGGCCGTAATGTTCGAGGCTTTCCCGTGCAGAATGGTCCACATGATAGTCCAGCGCGCAACGTGGACCTGACTGGTGGAATACGTGGCCGGGAGCACAAGCGCCCCCTTCGCATTGCGCTCCCCCACCGTGCCGTGAATGATCCAGCTGGCCATGCAGCACGAGAGAACCCCGCAGGAGTCCATGTCCTGCTGGCGGGGGTGCGACACATAGATGGGGGGGACGTGGGCCCACCTGCGGGCATAAACCCACAGTGGATCATGTACCGCACCCTGTCCACGATGCGCCAGCGAATGTCCTCGGTCCATACGGCCGCGTTCATTTTCCCCGATCGCTTGCCGAACATGGAGTCGTAAAAGTAATGCCGGCCATCCGTCCGGTCATACCAGTACGAGGCGAAATGGTTGCGGTTTCTGTGGAGGATGAAGTGGGCAACGTCGTGTTCTGCTGGCGACTGTGGAGGGGGGTTGTTAGCGCGGGATGTGCGGCAGTGCCTCGAGAATGTACAGCACTTACCGGGTGAATGTATGCGGGAGCCAAACACCCCTCACCGATCAGCAGCGCCTCGCCGGCCGTCCACATGCGTTGTAGGGGTTGCCCTGTCTCCCTCCGGGTCACGGCCGCCGACTTTGCCAGGGTGTCGACGTACGTGTATATCATGGTCAGCGACAGCCAATTGCTTGCGCTCTTCGGCCTGCCGCCCATGTTCCCCACTAGGCCGGCCTTGTCGGGCGCGCCCATCCACCCCCTCCCCGCCTCCTTCAGGTTTGGGTAGAGGCCAAGCACGGTCGGCGGCAGAGTGAAGGGGCCGACGTCGCCATACTGGGCCAGGCGTGCGCACTCGTCCATCACAGCCTGTGGCGGCATCCAGAAGCCGGGCATCTCGCCGTGGCCGGTGGCGCGCGCATAGGGCACCACTGAGGCAGGCTTCGGCGGGCCCTCCCCCCTCTCCACCTCCGCTCATGACTTTGAGACACCCTTTGCATTGAATCCGATGCTTGTCAGCGGCGCCACCTGCCAGTGCTTGCGCGCCTCAGTGTTATTGAGCAAGTACTCCTCCCCTTTGGCCAGTTTCGGTGCGGCCAGCTTGGGTTTGGGTGCCCGTTGTTTTGCCTCTTGTCTCCCCTGCGCAGATACCCCGCGTTAGCGCAGCACCGCGGCAACGTCCACTCACCCAACTCATACCGGCTTTGCCGCTTCCTGCATGCGCGTGTAAGTGTCGTCTGCGACGCCCCTGTAGCCTTCCCATATGCGGTCCGCCGCCTTCCCCAAAGTTGCCACGTTTTGCCTGATGGCCTTCTTGCACCCTTTCCCGCCATTGGCCTCTGAGCGCGCGAGCTTTCTGAATAGGTGCATGGTTTCGTCGAGCAGCTTTGAGGCCTCGGGGCCGCCTGTGGCTTCGTACCTCCCCTTGAACCCTCCGTGATAGTCCGCCATTTGGCGGGCCTGGGTCAGGCGAAGAGATAGCGTGGCCATATCCTCCGCCCAATTCCTATCCCTGTCCGATCCCTCCTCGTCTGACCCCTCCTCCTCCGATCCCTCCTCCTCCGCGGCTGCAGTGGGCTTGCCCCTCTTCTCGGGGGGCGCTTGCTCCGGCTCCCCCTCCTCTGCGCGCTTGCGCTTCCCAGCCTCAGCCTCCCCCGGCGCCTTCTCCGCCGCCTTCTCCGCCGTCTTCTCTGCCACCTCCTCCCCCACCCCCTCCGCCGCCTCCATGGCCACCTTCCCCGATGCCCCCTCGCCGACCCCGCTGACTGGGGAGCCAGAAAGCGCCTCGACCTGAGCAGCCGTGGGCCCTGCCCCTCCCAGCCGTTCTTGGTCACGCCGGCCACAGATGCCAGCGGGTCCGCGGGCCTTTCTTCCGCGAAAAGGTCGTCGATGCTCACGTCCTCGCGCCGACGTGCTGAATGCAGTCCCAGTACAGCGAGAAGCTTGCCACTTCCTCCTTGCTTGCCGTCTTGCCAAAGGTGCGGCCATACAGCGAGTACGGTGGCCAGCCCTTGACAAGGAGGGGGTTTGTCAGCGCGCGGATCTCCGGCCAAGGCGTGCGCCTGATGTCCCTGCCGGATGCCTTGTTGTACTTGTCCCAAAGTGCATCGCGGAGGCCCTCTCTGTTTTTCCAGATGGGCACGATGGGCGCCAGGGGTTTCCCTGCACGGGGTGGGCGGAGCCTGAGACAGCTTGGTTACGAGCGCTAGCGCGGCGGGTGACGTTAACGCGGGTCACGCACCTTCTTTTTCATCCCCGTCTTTTTTAGCCCCGTGTTTTCTCTTCCCCCCGTTTTTCTCCCCCTCAACAAACAGGGAGCCTACGTAGGTGTCCAGAGCACGCCGGGCTGCGCGGGCGGTGTCGACGGGCTGCCCCATCAGGTCCCCCGCCACGATCCGCACTGTGTCGTCGCTGTCTGTGACCAGGTAGCTGCGGCCTGCGCTCCGAGAGGATGCAACGATGAGTCGGAGGGGCTCGCCAGCCAGCTTGCAGATCTCGACCAAGCTCTCGGCGGCTGTGATGAGCGCCCCCTCGGCGACGACAACGTCCGCGATGGTCGCCGATATGCTCCCCACGTTGTCGCGGAGCGCCCTCCTGTCGTCGGGGTCCAGCTGGTCGACCAACGCCAGCGCGAGGCTACGTTGTGCGCTGTGGCCAAGCAAGTTGGCGGTCGCGGGCCTAGCCTCCGCACCGGCAGCCTCCCTCATCCGCCCCATGTCAACGTTGGCTGTTTTCCAAGCTTCCGCCATGCTCAATGACTTGGACCAATCAGCGGGGTCTCCCGCCCGTAGAAGCTGCAGCATTCGGTTGACCATTCTTGTCTTCTCTTGCTGAAGGATCCGCTTGGCGGACTTTCCACTGCGCTTCTTGGGCGCGGCGCTCGCCTCCTCCTCCCCAGCCTCCTCCTCAGCGCGCCCCTCCTCCTCAGCGCGCCCCTCCTCCTCAGCGCGCCCATCCTCCTCCGCGTCGCCCTCCTCCTCCCCGTCGCCCTCCTCCCCCCCTTCCTGCTCGTGCTCGCTCCCCTCGTCGCCGAAGGCAAGTAGCACGCTGGTGGCCATGTCCGCCAGCGCCTCCTCGCTCGCGACGTCAGAGTCGGAGCCATCAGCGGCCTTGTCAGCGGCCTCCGCCACCTTTGACCGGCGGGCCGGCATCTAGAAAAAGCAGTGGATATGCATGTGTCGTTAGCGCCCGTGCGCGGCAGTGCCATATATATGCCCGCTGCACACGCCACCCCCGTGTGCGCGGCGGTGCCCGCGGTAGCGCCTCCCCGCCCGCGCTATCGCATCCTTATGGCGAGTCTGTGGTGAGGCTATATATATATGCCAGCTGCACACCCCCATACCTCGCCGGCCGCTTCCATGTTTGACCGGCTAGGGCCGGGCGCCTTTGCCGCCGCTTGGCTGCGAGTCCCCATCTTTGTGTGGGTGTGTGGGTGTGCGTGTGTGTGTGAGTGTGTGTGGGTGTGTGTGTGGGGGTGGGTGTATCTCCGTCTTCCAAGAGCCGGCCGCACTTAGCTGCTTACCCAATCCGCTGGAGGTGGCGCAGTCGCGGCGCAGCTGTGGCTTGCCGGTCACATGTCCACACTGCTGCTGTGATGATCGCCGCATCTCCAAGACCACACTGCCACACGAAACATCAAGCGCTTGCAGCGGACAACAGCCCCCCGGCCAGCGCCTACCTCCTTCCAGCTCAAGCCCGGCAACTCACACAGAGCACGCTCCGAAAATGCTCAGCGCTGACAAGGTGAGTGGCCGCTGTGTAGCCGTGGGCGTCTCTGCCGGGTGTTGACCGCCTGGGCTCGCAGCCCATGCTGAGCACGACCGCCGCTTGCGGGAGGTCGAACGGCATGGGGCGCGCTGTCTGGGCGTGTTTGCCATGCGCCGATCCCGCAGCCCATGTTGAGCACGACCACCGCTTGCGGGAGGTCGACCGGCATGGGGTGCGCTGTCTGGGCATGCTGCTGTGCGCTGATCTCGAGCATGACCGCCGCTTGCGGGGGGTCGACCGGTATGGGATGCGCTGCCTGGGCATGCTGCTGTGCGCTGATCTCGAGCACGACCGCCGCTTGTTGGAGGTCAACTGGTATGGGATGCGCTGCCTGGGCATGCTGCTGTGCCGCGTCGGTGATTACGATTGCGCGGGCTGGGTCGCTAACACCTTCCCCCTCCCCTTCCCCTCCACCGCGCCGCAGGCCACGCCCCCCGTCGCACCCACCACGGTCGAGGCTCTTCTGATGGGCATGGGCGAGGGCCGCGCCACAGCTACCTTCGGCAACATGGTGGCCTTTTTGTATCCGCTGCTGGTAGACGCCGGCCTTGCCGCCTGGGACGCTAGCCTAGAAGACAAGGGCAAGGCCATTGGCCTTTTTTCAAAGAAGATCAAGCAAGACAACCCCACCCTTTGGGGCTGGTGGATCAATAGGCCAACGCGGTCCCGTCACCACAAGAAGCGCGCCAAGCACCATATTGGGCTCCAGTCCGACATCATCGCCGCGATCACCGATGGCGGTCTTACCGCGGCCGACTTCTTGGTCGACCCCCGGCCCTCCGCCAGCCGCCCGGCTGTTCACATCGTGGTGCCAACGCCCGCCTCGTGCGATGGCTGGGAGGGCAAGATGGTCTATGCGGGGTTTGGGAAGAGGCCGGCGAAGGCGAGGGGCCTGGATGGGCTTGAGCAAATTGAACCCCGGGGGGGGGCCGACATCTACATCCGCGACAAGCACGGCGCCCTTGTGGCCACAATCTTGTACAATAGCGTGGGTCGTCGCGAACATGACCTGCGGCTGGGGCTCATTGTCGAGTCCTGTGGATCCCGGCCGGCTCTGGTTCGATGGAAGGCTTCAAGGGGCACAATGCACGCCACGGGGCTTCGTCGTGGCGTCAAGCACTCGGGATATGCCAGGGGGACGTCGCACTATTCAATGAAAGGAGGGGCTGACATTTCGGCAAAGAAGTTTCTCGTTGCCACGGAAAAGGCGTTCACCAAGCGACTGCTGCGGGAGCTCACCAAACGCAACCCCACCGCGGCGGCCTACCTGATGATGTCCATGCCAGAGGTGTACGGGCCACACTCCGATGAGTTCACCCTGCTGTTCGCCACGCGACCAACTATCAAGTGGTCGTTCACTCCGACCCGTCGGACGACGGCGTCGCCAGCGAGCTGAACCCGCACACAGGCCGCGCCATATGGAAGCTGACCCCCAAGGAGGAGCTTCCGGAGGAGCTTCAGGCCCGCAAGCTATGCACGCAATGGGTGGCAGGCTACGCCGTCGCTCCGCCAACCATCGTCGGCGAGTGGATATTTGCGCTGCCAGAGCAAGGCTTCTACTTGGTGCTGCAGCCCGACTGCATATGGACGTGGATGTCTGACAAGCTCCACGGAACGGCGGAGCTTGACACGTCCGGCGTCAGTGGCCACACGGCTGTTGTGACGCTGCCCCTGGCGACGGCTGCGGCCATCCGGAAATACGGCCTCCCAGATGAAGACGAATAGCTGCGCCGCCCCCAGCAGCAGCGGCCCCTCGTGCGTAGATTTTGTAGACCGTGCCTGCGTAGATTTTGTAGACCTTGCCTGCCCTGCCTGCGTAGATTTTGTAGACCTTGCCTGTGCAGAAAGGCTCCATCAATAGGCGAGTTTGGCGCGCAAGAGTCCGATGTGGCGAGGGGCTCGCTCCAGTAGCGCGGGCAAACGTGATGGACCGGACCTCGCGGTGAAGCTTTGGCGGCTGGAGGCCTGAGCTGCCCGTCCAGACCTCGCCCAGGGTATCTCCGTCCTGCGGGCGCCGCGATGACACGCACACACGTTAGCGCTGGACTCGTGACGTTAGCGCGGGGTGGGTGCTAACGCCTGTAAAGCCACGTTAGCGCGGGGTGGGTGCTAACGCCTGTGAAGCCACGTTAGCGCGGGGTGGGTGCTAACGCCTGTGAAGCCACGTTAGCGCGGGCGTGGGTGTCGCTCACCGTGCCCCGGGGCTCCGCGTCTGCAGACTTCTACCTTCTACATGGTCGTGAGCAGACAATTCCAGACCGCCGAGACCGAGCTCATTCTTACAATTGCGCGCAATTGCGCACACTTCCACCCTCGCACAGTCAAGGCAAACCCCCAGCCAGTCTCTGAAAGCCTTCAGCGCTTCGCAGGTAAGCGGGAGTCCTGGATCCTCCTCGAGAGCAGGCCCCTTGCTCAGCCCCCTTGATCTCATCACCTGCCTGCACAGCACGGCACAGCACGGCCATCATGTCATCACACCAGGCGCTCCAGGGGCACCGGTGGGGTGGCTTCATTATGGGAGCAACCACACCACGGCGGAAGAGGAGGAAGGTTGCTCCGGTTACCCCGCGGCTGCCCATAAATCCGCCAACCGCTGTGCAGACACCAATGCAACCCCTGCAATTCAATTTCCCACCTTCTGTCCAGCGCCACTTGCCCCAAGCAATTGCAGACATGGTTGGCGAGAGCTCCGGCGATGAAGACGGGCAACAGCACCAGCAGCAGCGAGGGCTTTCACCCGTGAACAGGGGTCTGCAGTGCCCACCGAACCTCCCCGCGCCCATCCCTTTCCGTTTTCCCAGCACACCGGGTGGGTCCCTGGTGCTTGAACCCCCGCCACCACCACCAGTTCAACGACCCCGCCCGCAAACACATGCCGGCACCAAGGTTTCCCTTCACCAAGTCATCCATAATCAGAATCAAGCTCAAAGGGAGCGCCTGACAACGTTCATCGGCAATGTTCACGTCCTTGCGCGCCACACCACCTTCTTTCTCAAGTACTACCTTGGTGAGTTTTTGAGGCACACTGTATATTTCCCATAATATTTCCCATAACAATGTCCTGACTACTACGTCTGCCCACCGCAGCTGATCATCCTCTACGCGATTTCCCGGACATCACCAACAAGCACATCAGTGTGATGTTTGAGCTGCTCAACAATCCAGGCTACAACGGCAATCCAGTCATCGCGCAAGAGGTGCGTCCACGGGTTCAAGAGTACTGTGATGTTCACGGATTCGCCCCCATCCGCATGCGATATTGCCAACAGACCGCAGCGTACACGGCTATGAGCATCTTCACAAACCTCAAAGTTAACGTACAAGAGCATTTCATGCAAATGTTTCTGCGCTACGTCAATGAAAGGCTTGGTTTGAAGCAAGTGGAGCGGCATCTCCGGAGAGCGCAGCAGCGACACTATTATCGTTGTGTCCGTCAATGTACAAAGTACGCGACGTTTGAAGAGTACCCAACCGAAGAGGAGCTTGCCCGCCTCACACGACTTGAGCGGACCATCCTCGACTAGTTATGGGCTCTGTTTCCTCCCCAGGATGAGCCGCTTGCGTACAGCCTTGCGGTGGACGCAATGCCATATTTAGGTGAGCTATGTCCCGTACATTTACCCCCCCCCCCCCCCCCCGCGGCTTCCTCTTTTGTCTAATCATGGTCCACACCTGCCTCGCCTCATCACAGGTGCCTATTGTGAGCTCTCACGCCTCTATGAGCGCTGTGGAACGCGGCTGTTTTCCGCTATCCCGCTGCGCAAATCTCGAATCCAGTCATCTGTTCGGATTGACACGCGGATCCTAGCCATTCATATCCTGGGTTTGAGCCAACGTCGCATGGGGAAATTCACCGATGAACGGAAGCGGGAGCTGTGGGGGCAGTTTCTCAACGTGAATGTAAGTCTCTATCCCTCTGCGCTTATTTCACTCACCTCACCTCGCCGAATGACGGATTGCAGGACAAGGTCTTCAAGGCTCGAACGAAGCTTGGTCTCAAATTTGATGGGTCAATCAGCACAAACGGGTATTCCGCTACCATCCACTTCAAGAAGCCAGGGCTCAAGTATGGGCATCGGGCCCGGAAGCGCAGCAAGGCCCAAATGCGGGAAGAAGTCAAGCAGCTGTATTTTGAGCACCACATCGCTGAACTACGGGAGGCTCTAAACATCGTCAGCATTGATCCGGGCAAGCGTGACCTCTTGTTCTGTTGAGACATCAAGAAGGAGCGGCCATTTAGGTACCTTTCAGTTGATTACTACTGCCTCGCTGTCCCCGCTGTCCCTCCCCGCTGTCGCCGCTGTCGCCGCTGTCCCCGCTGTCCCCGCTGTCCCCGCCGTCGCTGCTGTCGCTTCTGTTGGTTACGCCATCAATTTTATGCTATCAACTTCCGCCATCGCTGATCTCAACGCTTCCTGTGCTGAGCACGACCGCCGCTTGCGGGAGGTCGACCGGCATGGGATGTGTTGTCGCTTCGCCATCGTAGTCGTGAAGAGCGAATCGCGAGCCCGGCTCCTACTCCAAGCTGGACTCAAGCGATCGCGGAAGTTGGCGGAACGTTCAATGAGATCAGAATGTGGACGATGCATGGCGACTGCGACTGCGACGGCGACTGAATTCGATCTGCAGTACCTCCGCTATCCCCGCTGTCTCCGCTGTCCCCGCTGTTCCTCCCGGCTGTTGCCGCTATCCCCGCTGTTGCCGCTGTCCCCGCTGTTGCCGCTGTCCCTGCTGTCGCCGCTATCCCGATCAACGCCCTCCTCAACCCTGTCCCAGTCCCCATCCCCACCATCCCCCCCCGTCACCATCCCCACCATCCCCTTTGTTCGACATTCCGTTGCCGCGTTCTCACAATGCACCACCCCATACCAGATACACATCCAATCAACGGGCAGTCGAGACAAAGTCTCGGTACTTTTGAAGAGACATGACAGAGCGAAAGATCAATGCCGGCATCGCTGAGATGGAATCACATATTCCGTCGCACAAGAGCATGAACATCAAGGCGTTCTCAGCGTTCATTGTGGATCACGTACATGCGGGTATGATGTATCATGCATTGTCTTCAAATTTGGTAACACGTGGGCTGACATCCATCCATATCCCAGATCCCGCCCTGGATGAGTTTTACCAGGATGAGATTCACGTAGCTCGCAGATTCAAGGCGTTCTCACTGCGGCAAAAGTCTGAGAGCAAGCTCATCAAGAACATGCGACACCTGTATGGAAAGCATTTTTCGGTCATCATGGGTGATTGGAGCGACGCTGGAAAAACCATGCGCTTTCAGGAGTCATCAAAGACCGAGGGGTGAGTGACCATCATTGTTTTTTATGTATTTTAATATGCTAACTCATCATCATGGAAATCAGATTCCGCACACTCTTTGCAAGAAACAGCATTCCATGCTACTTGCTAGATGAGTATCGAACGTCTTCCGTGTGCCCAGACTGCCACGGGCGTGTGAAGAAAAACATCCGATGCCGGCTGTCACCTCGGCCGTGGCAAGCTCGAAAGGGAAGAATGGAATTCGTCCATGGATTGGTGGGTTGCCCCAACCCCGAATGTATCAACCAAGACTGGATGCCATTTGAGATTCCTGGAAGAAGACAACCACTACGACTACGGATGAAAGTGCACAATCGGGACGTCCTAAGCACCAAGAATTTCCTCTCGATTGTGCGCTCGGTGGTGTTTGGCATTGATGGCCGCAGACCAGACGCATTCTCCCGTAACCGGTAGTCTAGATTTCACCCCATCCCATTTTCCGTGGTGGTTATCTGCCATCCACATCATTGTACCTCTGCCTGAGGCGTCGCCGATGATGGCAACTTGTAAATCTACTATGAGAGAGTTCGTGCACAAGCATTGGTGAGGTGATTGCGGTGGGGCGTGTTCGGGCGGGTACATGCGTTTGGATACTCCAGCCAAATACGCCATAGGCTATTGAGCTGTCAAGAGGTGGTGGACCTGTGCAGGGCAATGGTGGGTAGTCGCATCTGCAGTATGGCCGTATATGAGAAGACCGTGGGAATGAAGGAGTTGTTGAAAGTGACGCCGATCCTCAGCTCGCTCCAGGTTTAGCCTCACAGGCCAGCGAGGCATTGTAGGCCTGATCGTCATCGAGGTTGACATGATTTCGGATGTAATCCTGGATCTCGGTGATGGGTTCTAACGCAAACGGCACTTGTTGATATGCTTCTAATTCCATCAGCGTCCGAGATATGGACTCGAGTTTCTGGTAATTAATTAGACCGCCGTCGATTTTGTTCTTTTGGCAGGTGTCGATGAAGACCTGTGCATGCGCGGGAATACGTTGGCAAAGTGAGGATAAGGCGATGCTTTCCAATCATCCTGTCAACTTACCAGGTCACCTTGATATAGTCCAGGGAAGGGAATCAGGGGCGGATCGCTGGCGCGTATTGCAGCTCGCAGATGCTTGTAATTCAACTCGCTAGAAACAGATTTCACGAGCTCGTCGTACATGCGCATATACTTGCTGCTCACAGCCTATGTTTGGGATAGAGTATAAGAGGTCGCGAACGGCCTCCGGCGTGCCATATATGGAGGCTGGTACGCACCTCTTTGGTCTTTTTCAATCTATACACCGATGACGTTTGCAGGGCAGCTACAATCTCCTTCACTCCATTGAAGTTCTTCAACTTGTCGAGAGCCTACGTCGGTGGGAACGTATTGGTCAGTGCATGATTCAGGAGGCCCTACTTGGATCTGCATACCAGATCGATACCAACCTGCCCTAACGCGACAGTCTTCTCAAAGACTGCAGCACGTGTCTTCACATTATCCTTCGCGGTCACTATCTCGGTGACAAGCCATTGGACAACATGATTCGACCACCTTGTCATCCGTAAGATGTTCGGGGCGTCGGTCTCTCTGTTGTCGCCTATCCAGTTCAAATCCAGATATTCGCTGGACTGCACAGAAGAGTTAGATGAATTCACAAGGAGATCAGAGTCGGCGAGACATACCCGTATGCTCTTGAACAGGTCAAACTCCAGTAACGTCAGTTGTCTTGCCAGCTCAATAGCCTCCAGGTCCAGGAACCTCAGTTTAACCTCTTCCACTCCTTCCAGAACTTTGCTGCCTTTCCCCCCTCCAAACGGCACCCAGCCGCTCGGCTTATCGGCAAGTATCGACAGCGTTTTGCTGCTGCCTGACATGAGGCTCGATGAAACGTCTTGGGAGTACCGTTTCGCTAGAAACTTTGGGAGTAGCGGCTTAGGTGCCACCGGCAAGAGGTCTTCCGATTCCATCACTTCGGAGGTCTACGAAACACGTTTACGTCACTCTTATTGGAGGCATGATAGTAGAAAGCGCCGTTACCTTGCGTTCAAAAGCTATTCGCAGACCGAGACCCATCTTGCTCTCTTTGAACGAGTCCTCGATAAAGTCCCCGAGCACCTTCTTCAGATTTTCATCATCCTCGAAATCCCTCCAATGATGCTCAATCCAGAACTTCAGTAGGTTGACGATGCTAGAACACAACCATAGAGTCAATCACACGGCTCTCTATCCGGGCAACTCAGGTAACACTTGCACGCGTCAACGAACCGAAGCAGGATAGGCGACTGCAAGGAAGCTTCTTCATCTTTGCCTTTCGCAATCTCCCGGTATTTGGCAAGAATCGCTTCCAGCATTTCGCCGGTGGACATGAACGATCCATGTGTAAGCAGAATCGTCTCCTGGAAATGGTGATCTGGTGATGTTGGTCCCGAATGGTGAGCCAGCCTGCAGATTGGGTTCATTGGAAAGCGCTGCGCACTTCTCGTACCATGGACAGCAGGATCTATCAGCCGCTCTAAAAGCTTTTCTCGCGTTCCTCCTTTCAGACGTTTCTGGCCACCTTCACCGCGGATGAAGACGATGTTCCCGCTGGACTCATCCACGTCATCTTTTGCCTCTCGTGTTGTTTGCAGTTGTTTGAGGACCTATGATCGGATAATGAATTAGCGATGCATAGGAGAGAATTCAATTATGTTGTCGAGCGCACCTCTTGCTGCATCCTTTGGCGGAGCTTGCCCATATCTTCTCGAAGTGCGACCGTCTCCTCCTCGCTCAGCGCCTTTAGCTTCTCGGTCAACTGAGCAACAGGTGGACCCTTAGTATACGCTTAGGGCCCCGAGCACTACACAGAAGTCTGCGCACCTTCAGCCGCTCATCGACAGCGACCTTCTCCGCAATTACATCAGACAGTTGCTTGCGGAGAGTCTGTGTTTCTGCAAGCAGCGTGCGTTGCTTTTGGACATATGAAGCGTGCAGAACATCAGACAGACTGTTGCCTACGTCGGGGAGCCTAGCATGCGCACACTACCTCGGCGGGAATTGCGGTGGATCTGGGCATTGTTTCTCTCGCTTTGTCCTGTAGATTGGATTCCGTTCGCAGTCTTTGAAGCTCGGCTGTTTCAAGAGAATGCGCTTTCTGATATGCCTACGCGATTGTGTCGATGAGCATCTGCACGACGGCAGGTTTGCTACTTTCTACTCTCACATACCATAAATGAGCTTTCAGTCTCCTCACTCCGCCGCATGATGGCCTGCAACTGGCTGTGGTGCTGCTTTGTCAGATCCGCCATGTTTTTCCGGTAGTACTCGTCCTGTTGCGCTGCCGCATATTCGAATAGCTGGAGACTGGTCTTTTCTTTCAATTTATGAGGGAAACACATGCGTAAGCTTCAAATCCTTATGCGTAAGACAAATGCTTGGGCGTGCATACCTCAAGATACGATATAGTGTTGGCCTGTTTCTCGATGTGATCTTGCAGCGAGTGGAGTTGATCAATGAAGCGTTCGCTGGTTTCTTTATCCTGGATCCCCGCTGCTGCCTGGGATTTGTGAGTAAAAAGCCATCGACACCAGCCTCACGCCGCAGTTTACCTCTAATAGTCGATTCTTATGCAAAGCAACGTGCTTCTCTTCGAGCAATTGTCGGACTGTTTCCTACGGATACATGGGGTGAGCGTTTTCAGGGACGTTTTCAGGGAGACAAATGCATTCCACTACCTTGCATCTAGCCTGGAAGACACTCTGCGACACAACGAGATCTATGCATAGCGCTTTCAATGTGTTGAAGTCTTGCGGTAGTTGTGATTCCAGCTCGATGAGATGGGAGCTCTTTCGCTACTCGGAAAATATGTGAGGTCAAGGATCAGATCGGTAGTTTCCGTGATCTGGGTGGAGGTACCTTTGGAGGGACAGGCCTTGGCACCGCAATCTGCTCTAAAGTGAAGGCTGCATTTAAGACCTGCCTTACACAATCCACCAAGACGCAGCAATTGCAAATCACAAACCTGTCAAGTACGCTCGGATTTCCGGGTCTGTGGCACAATCTGCTGGTCTGGTAAAAGGTTTGGTACGGACACCATGGCGACTGACATGCCGTGCATCTTGACAAGCTTACCGCTTCCCCTCTGAATCTGCGACTTGAGCATTGGCACCAGCGCGTATCAGGCGCTTAACTATCGCCATGTCGGCTTCGGCGGCCGCAATATGGAGTGGTGTCGCACCACTCGTGTTTGGCGAATTAACGGCTATGCTTGGCTGTACTCAATCATGTGAGGCCAAGACTTTCACGCTTACGTCGACGATGGAAAGACCTCTACCTCTGATAATAGTACGTCAAGACACTCCAAATTCGATGTTACAGCGAAATGAACGGGCGTGTTCCCTTCCGAGTCTGCTCTGTTCAATTCTTCCAATTCAACGGACTTCGACGACTCATGACTACCGGTGCGAATCCGAGGCGGCCGACGAGAATCGGGACCTTCGTCATCTGTCGGAGCGGTTAGACTTTCCCCTTCAGTTTCCGGTCGGTTCGGCTTGTAGGTGTTGACATCGTGCTCATCTTGGACATCCTTCAGCGACTCGATGTATTCTGAAAGGCCTCGCGCATCCCTCTCTGTCAGTAACCCTATAACGGTGCTCATTCCTGGACGCTGCTATGCCTGTCGAAGTGATCTACATATATTTGTTAGTCCAGTGGGCGCAGGAAGGCTAGGAAGAGGGTGAGGGCCTTGCGTGCAAGTTTCAATACGCATTGGGAAGCTCTTGAAAGAGGGTTTCGACGCGCCGTTCGGTCCCCAGGAATCCCAGGATCACCGCCGCATGTCCGGCCGGAACCTGTTGCCTCCGGCTGTTGTTCAACCACCGGGCGAAACAACAACCCCATCTCGGGATTCTCAGCCCTAGGTCCTACACTGAACCAATAGTCTAGCGCATAGGGAGTGCTTGTGAAACATCGCCCCAGATACACAGAGCCACCGGATATATGCGATGGTCGCACACTTCTTGCTCGCCTTCATCATAACCTCGTGCGCGTGCTTCAATGCCCAAGGAGCAGCAATGCCTCAACAACCTCTTCTCAACGGCGCACGCAGGAAACCTATCCGCTACGAAGCCGTACAGGGCTACTTCGAGCAGTCCGACCCGGGAACAGACGGTTCCGCCTTTCCGCTGATACCCGTAGCACTGGGCCTGGTCGACAAGTCGGAGTCTCGCTGGGAGAAAACGTTCCGAAGATTGAGGGTGCTGCAGGAGAAGGTCGGGAAGAAAGGGGTGGTCAAGTTGCTTTTTCTGCAGAGACACGGACAGTGCGTATAACCAGATGGGCGGCTGCTTCTTCAAATTCCTGGATACGCGTGCATCTAATGATTTGGTTTCCAACGACATGAAGGGGCGAGCATAACGTGGCCGAAGCGAAATACGGCAAAGAAGCGTGGGACTCTTACTATTCCAAACTCCCATTCTACTTTGATGCCTCCCTGACTCCCCTCGGCATCTCGCAACTGGCTCAAAACGCCGACAACCTGTTCGCCGAAATCAACGAACACAAGTTGGCCCTCCCGTCGCTGATCGTCACCTCGCCATTATCCCGCTGCCTGAACACCACGCGTCTGGTCTGGGGAAAGATCACGCAGAACAAGTATGACCCGAAAGCAATCGAGTTCCTGAGAGAACAGTATGGCGACCATACCTGTGATCAACGGCGGACCCGGACTGAGCTGAGCAAACGGTTTCCCGAGGTCGACTTTACCGATTTGGTTACCGACGAAGACTCGCTGTGGGAGAAAGATGTGAGGGAACCGGACGAGCATGTCATCGAAAGGGTTAGAGCGGTTTTTGATGGGTTATTCTCCCTGCCTGAGACGTCGAGTGGAGAGACGCTGGATGTCTTGACGTCGGAGAAGCTGATTGGAATCGTGTGCCATGGGGGAATAATTGAGTCCAGTATTCACATCACCGGGCACCGTGATTTCCCTGTGCCTCCCGGCGGGATGCTACCCATGGTCGTCATTGGATGGTTCGAGTAGACGTATCGCAAGCTGTGGTTTACAGTAAAAGAGAGTGGATGAAAAATGAGGTTGAATCCATCCACTGTAGTGTTTGGGGAAGGTTCGACCAAAGTACCTCCGCTATGGACAGGTTAACACGTCTATGAGCTTTGGATTTACATTTTGCCAACCGGCGACATGACAGTATATACATCAGAACAATTCGGAGAAAATGAAAGGAGCCAACTCGGAGAAAATGAACGAGACAGACAATGGAAAAAAGAAAAAGGTAACGAAAGAAGATTGGCGATATGAATGCCACCTTCGGGGTATCTAAATATGCTACTCAACGGGATATAAAACGACTGATATAAGCTCATAGACGACCTCAGGGTGCGCCATGCGCGTATCCATCTTTCTATGCATTTGAAGCGGATGACGACATGTTCTACGCCTTGATATATTGTGAGATTTCTTGACAGACGTTGCCTTCCCCAACGATTCAGAACCAGTTGTTGTTGTTCATGTGAGGATGCTGGCCATTGAAATGATTGAAGCTTTCCGGGTAGGTTGGACGCCAACCAACCCCATGCTGAGGGTGGAGTACAGGTGGATACTGCTGGCCGTAGTGCGAGTTGTGATTCCCGTGAAACGCGTCCATGTATTCTCCAGGGTAGCCTCCATTGACATACCCACCACCGTGACCGAAGTGCTCATACCCGGCCGAAGGACCATGTGCAAAGTTGCCTGTGACATGGTTGTTGAAACCGGCTACATTCGCCTTGCGGTAGTCGACGTTTCCTCCGAATCGGTTGCCGCCGCGGGCTCCTCCACCGCGAGATTGGCTGGACCCGCCGCGCTTCCCACCGCGACCGCTGGCCTTTTGACGGTACGCTTCTTGCTCCATAACTTTTCGGCATTGCTCGAGCCAGCTAGGTATCTCTTGATGGGCCTCGCTGAGAATGTTGAGCAAATCTTTCAAGACACCACCATCCCGTTGAAGGTCAAAGAACGCGGTGGCTTTCCCAGTGTTGCCCACTCGACCTGTACGACCGATTCTATGGACGTAGTCATCGATATCGTTTGGCATGTCGAAGTTGATGACATGACTAACATTCGGGATATCGAGCCCTCTAGCGGCGACAGCGGTTGCGACCAAGATAGGAGTATGGCCTGATCGAAACATTGCTAGGGCTTGCTCGCGTTCTCGTTGTGTGCGATCGCCGTGGATGGACGTTGCAGGGTAATGCCTTTCGAGCAAGAAGCGACATAAGAGATCGGCCCCGCGTTTCGTTTCGACAAATACAAGCGTCAACTGAACGGTTCCGGGTGATTTCGCAGCTTCGCCATCCGCGTAAAGTATATCCAAGAGTACCGATCGTTTATCCGGTTCTTCGACATATTCGATTCGCTGTGTGATGTTCTCTGAAGTGTGCCCGACTCGTCCGACGGTAAGAAATATGTAATCGTGCAAAAAGTCCCGAGCAAGCATCTGAATATTGCGAGGGAAGGTGGCTGAGAACATTAGCGTTTGGCGTCCCTTTCGCGGCATATCACCCTGCTCCACAATCCTGCGAATCTGAGGCCCGAATCCCATATCCAGCATGCGATCAGCTTCATCAAGAATCAAATAGTGGATGTTACTGAGTGAGATACGCCCGCGGTCGATCATGTCTACGAGGCGTCCAGGGGTGGCTACCAGTAGCTCGCACCCACGTTCGATGTCGCGGAACTGCTCGCTTATCGATTGGCCACCGTAACAAACGCAAGGTCTCACCCAAGAGCGGTAAGAGAATTTGCGGGCTTCTTCGTAGATCTGCATAGCGAGCTCACGAGTAGGGGCTAGAACCAGGGCCGAAGGCGTAGCGACTTGGTTTCGACCATGTCCGACATGGTTACGGGCACGAGGGACATTCCGAATCGTCTGCGATATGGTCGGAAGTAAGTACGCGGCGGTTTTACCACTTCCAGTTTCCGCGCAAGCCATCAAATCTCGTCCGGCTGTGACGATTCCCACCGAGTGCTTTTGAACTGGCGTGGGATGATTGTACCCTGTCATCTTCACATTGAACTTTGCGAGGTCGTCCAGTTCCGAACTCAGAAAGTCTTGGATGGGCGGCGGAATGTTGTTGCCTGATGCTTCCACCGGAATCTCATCGTATTTCTCGAAATTGATGCCTGTGTTGTTGTTCGCAGAAAATAGGTGAGCCTCCAGTTGAAAGTTCCGTGGGCCAACATCCGATCGTTGCGCGAGCAAATCGTCCAGTGTTTGTCGGCTGGTATGCTCGACATGTGCAGGGACCTTGCCTCGTGGACGAAGCCCTTGACTGGTGGTATCATAGCATGGCTCAGCACTCCTGGCTGCAGAGCTACCTATCCCGTGGTGCTTTCCGGCGCCGGGGTCTGAGAAAACCCGTTGAGACACTGATCCATTGGGAGATGACGGACTGACTCGTCCTTCGCTTCGTTGTGGACTGCGAAGATGAGGAGGAACGTCTAGGCTCGTGGGAAAGAAATCCTTTTAGAGGCCATGCCCACAAAAACATGAAACAGGGACTACTCACATCGCGGCGGGGACGATGGCAGACTGTGCCCACTTTCGCCTTGACGCGTCGACCGTGCATCGTCCAGAGCGAGTGACTTGAGCCGATCCTCAAGCGGGGTGGCGCGGCCCGAGTTCGTTGCGGGAGGCATGCGGTTGTTGGCAATGCTTCTGCGCGATTGAACCACATAAAAAGGAATCCTGTGGCTGCGAAAGACCTCCCAAAATACCTTACGTATAGCTTCACAACTTTCTTTGACCTTCTCGTATGGATACCCTTTCCGATGTTCTTGGACAAGATTGCGTTACAAGTACCAGCGTGAATTGGAAGAGAATCGATAGAGTCCCTTGTTTCTGGCAAGCTGGTGTGCGGTGACATGTGCTAAAAAACGCGTGGGGCAACCTTCAAGGTCATATCCTTCCTGTCAACGCTGTTTAGACCACAACTGTCATTTTCTGGAAAATATTTACACAGGGTATACAGTATGTGTCTATATGTCTGCGACCTCACGTGACTTCCAGGCCGTTTACACTCTGATGCGGTTCATTCGCTTTGATGGAGGCAACATAGCTTTGATGTGGATGGGGACGTCAGCATCATCATCAGCCGTCTTGTTGAGCATCGACTTCAAAAGGCCAAGAACACTTTTTGGAGTTTTCCTCGGAAAGTCTCGCGACAGGAAGACCTCAGGCCGACCATTGCTGCGCCACCCATTTCTGGACGTTTGTCGCGACGGCGGCGGCGCCGTTTTTGGCCTTTTTCCTTACCCACCATTGCCAACATCATTGCCATCGCTTCGACAGACATACACATACAGAACCTCTGCCGGCGATATTCGGGCTCAGGACCTCCTAGGCTTGAGGTTCCCAGTTAACAACACTCAATTTGAATCACAGGCTGCTGAGAAATATGGATTTTAGTGATGAAGGTAAGCAGTAGAGCATCGCCGGCATTGCGTGCCTGATTGCGGTGGACAAGGGTGTCGTACGGCTCCAGGAGTTCACCACAGTGTTCTGATATGCATGCTTTCGACCTTTTTATATTTGCCCAGGACAAAACGGCGTGCAACAGGCCCTTGGGCAGCCGGAGCGGGACGAAGGGGGAGAAAGTAGGGAGCCGAGGCCAGGGGCAGCGGTGAGGCCGGGGGCAGTGCAACAGGACCTTGGGCAGCCGGAGCGGGACGAAGGGGGAGAAAGTGAGAAGCCGAGGCCGGGGGCAGCGGAGAGGCCGGGGGCAGCGGTGAGGCTGGAGGCAGCGGTGAGGCCGGGGGCAGCGGTGAGGCCGGGGGCAGTGAGGGTTTTGAAGCAAGGGAAGCAGTTTCGATACAGCGCGGGTTGTATTGACTGCCGGGTGAAGAGCTCTTCTAGATTCTATCGTGCGCCGTGGCCGGTTTTGGCTTGGGCAGAGGCAATGGGGAGGGATTTCTTCTTCGGCAAGGGAGCGACGCAGGAAATTGTTTGTGGGGCATGTTGGACGGCTTGGAGGCAAGTGGGGGTGTTTCAACATGAGGAGGGCCTGGGGGTGAACAAAGGCATACAGACAGATGTTATCAACAACGTCTGTTATGGACGACGCGCCCATACCATAAGCTTACCTACTGACAGCCGCCAATGTCAACCGCCAAATGTCAAACGCCAATGTCAATGTCAATGTCAGTGTCAATGTCAGTGTCAATGTCAATGTCAATGCCACTCCCCCTCTCTCCTCTCATTTCGCCAATCCTCTTGCAATATTGCCACTCCTCCTCTCTCCTCTCATTTCGCCAATCCTCCCTCGGCTTCTCCACACCCCCCACTGCTTCCCCATAGCCAGCAGCTGTAGCAATGCTCTCTACGCTCGCCACGCACGCTCTAGGAGCATAGCTGGCGCCCCCCAGTCCCCTCTTGTTGTTGTTGTTCTCTGATCTGCTGGGTTGCCTATCTATAAATAGCCAGCCTCTCTTCGTCCATTCCCTTCCTCCCCAGCAGATCAACACCAGTTCTTCTCATCTCCTGTTCTAGTCCTTGTTTCTTGTTTCGCCAATACAATCTCTTGTTGCCTATCACTCTCGCCTTGTCTTCTCTACTTCGCTTCCGCCTCAGTCGTCGAGATCATAACAGTGCTATCCCGTAATAAGAAGTTTGAACAAGCTTCATCCTGGGCAACGAGCAGTGTACTCACCTTGCATCTTGGTGCTCGCCAAATCTTTCAGCACAGGCCTGCTATGTAGAGGAGGGTGCGCTTGCCGAGCAGAATCTGATTCACTTAACCAGGTGTTATGGACGACGCGTCCATACCATGCGCTTACCTCATGACAGCATCCCAACAGTCAGTCAATGTCAATTCCCTGTCAAAACCTGACATCTGCCAAACCTCGCAGCCGCACGCAGCCGCGCTACCCCACACCTGCCACTGCCTTCATTTCTCCACGCAGCCGCACGTAGCCACACCTCCCAACACTCGGCGCTTACAAACCCTTCTTCATACTTCCCCACGTACCCGCCCACAGCCTCAGCGTAGCCACCCCATCCCCAGTCTTCTGTTTCTATGCTTCCCCACCCTTGGCGCTTCTCTTGGCTTCCCTCTCATTCCGTACCCTTCTGCTTCCCCACGCTTCCCCAGCCTTCCCAGAAAAGCATAAATAGCCGCCTCCCCTGAGCTCCCCACTTCCTGATCCCCCAGCAGATCAACACCAGTTCTTCCTAGTCTTGTTCTAGTTCTTGGTTCGGTCTGAATACCATTACCTGTCAACAACCTGCACCACAAGTCGCCTCTATTTCCATCGGCTCCGCCCAGTCATAACACCAGGGAGAGACTTCTGCTCTATCTTCGTTGAGTCCCAGGCCCAGTGCGTCGCGTCGGTTACTCTTCCCGCCATCAGCATGTGTCTGCTTGTCTGCCAGCATGGGCAGCCCCCTTGCTCTTCATCACAAACAATCATCGTCTCCTATTCGCCAACGACATGGTCTCTGCCACCTCCACATGGAGAGATCCTTTCAAAGCGGCTTCCCGCCTGCCAATTGATTGCCGTTTCTGTGGCCGTACAGGAATATGCTTTGTAAACTCTATTGAAAAGGGGGACTGGAAATACAACTGACATTATGATTTGGCTGTATCAGTTGGCCTCAAGCATGTCATGCCAGTGCCTGTCTTGACTTTCGTCCTCTGTCTGCCTTCCAATCATTCCATGAAGGCGTGAACAGGCCCTTGTAACGATGCTGATTGAACATATGCCAGCGGTCTCGAAGCAAACCATCATCGTTGATGGAGGTGTGTAACAGGTTATGCCTGTTAGATATTGCAGTACAGTCCCAATGGCCTGAACCGCGATGCTGCAAACTGTCAGTCGCTGTCAAACTCCCGTCAGTTTGAACAGAGTTCCTTCTAGCCTCCCATACGTTTATAGTCCGCAGCTGATCGCTAGCGGGCACGAGGAGCATGGATCCCAATCATGCTTACGTTTGCCGTTACGTCAGCCAACTCCGGTCTCTGAAGATTCGGCGGATGATATCTTTGGTGTTTACCAACCCGCAACTCCTCTTCACCTTCGCTCGATCCACAAACACCAATCCGCAACTGCTCTTCACCTTCGCTCGATCCACTCGATACAAGTCGCTCGCATATATTCTTGCCCGCAAATATGTCGTTCCCTCAAATTCAATACGATCCGGCAAGCGGTCATAGACATATACTTCTCAATCCGGGCGAAACGGTTCTCCTGGTGCCAACATCAGTTCTGGCTGCGGGCGGCGCTTGGACTATGCACAACGCGAATCCAGCGACTACTTATCCATTGACTCCAAGTCTCGTTAAACTCTGCCCGCGACTACCAAGCAAGCAGACGAGAGATGCTCGCCATTGCGAGATTGACCCCGACGTCTTGACCTCGGCCTTGACACATGCCGAGGAGAATGGCTGCGGTGATAGCTGCCAACGGGGGAAGCACAAAGTATTTAGGAGACTGATGCCGTGGTCGACGCTGTCAATTCAATGGCAGCTCGCGATGGACACTGACTTAATCACGTGAGGTCGCAGACATATAGACACATACTGTACATAGATAGGTACTACGTATACATACATATGTACATGGAGGATGCTTACACATATAGCACACAAGATAGCAGACGCAGAAACTTGTATGGTATGTACTGTATATGGATGATAGCCTGCCATATCCCAAGTCGTCGCTCTCGGCAAATAGCTGGATGTCTAGATTTACTGGCAGCCGGAAAACCACCGAAAGACGAAAAATGAGTCTCTCGACAGTCACCACTCATCGTTCATCAGGCAGCAGCGCACAAATTTGGTCGTGCGTTGTAGGTGTGCCAAGAGTAGCCACGGCGTACAAACGCACGACTGTGTGATTGCGCGGAGTCAGGGCTGCGCATCCGCCGTGCTGATCCACGTAGCCAGCGCAGTTTGAATAGGTATACGAGGGAGCCCTGGCGGGGCATTCTTTATACCTTCACGCACAATTCACTGCAAGCCCTTCATCAACCGTCATACTTGTGCGCGGGGTCGGGCCATCGACAAAAACACACAATCATCCTGTGAGATGTCGTCGGCTTCCGTTCTACCAGCGGGAAGTGACATGGATCATGCACAACCATGAACAGAGTATATATCGACCTGCATGCTTAAACCAACTTACAGTATGATATCGTTCGCCAGAGGTGGGAGATTCCTAGCCCGCCACCAGTCGTCCAAGTTGGAACGTCCAAGTCTTCAAGGCCCCGATAGTTGAAGTCCGAACCACCATCGCCGAGTGATATTCAAAGCAGGAAGGAACAGTCGAACGCTTGTTTTTGCCATTTCTGCCGTCCATCCCAAGTGACACGGGAACGATTGACGAGATGAGCGGCGTATTCCAGCGGGAGCAGGGAAGATGCGACGATGAGCACTTTGACGCGCTGCTCGACCAGTTGGAGCTGCGTTTTGGAATGGATCACAGGGTGTCACCCTCCATACATGGCCCTGATACAAGTCCTAGGCCGAGCACTGAAAGGAGCTTCGGCTCGTACAGTTCCGGAAGCTCGCATCATGGCTCAGACGTTGATTACCGTCGGTTGGACAACGATAGTTCTGGATCGTGGACAGATAGCAGTAGGAGCGATCGGGACCGGAGGTTTAGCCCGCATGGCAAGAGGGGGGACTCGATGGTCATGGCACGACGGCCGCCATCCTCGGAAGTGGAAATCGCATCTCGCGGCAGATCGATTGCCCCCAGAGAGCATATCGTAGAGATCTCCTGGACAAGAAATTGTTTTGTACGGATGCTCTTCAGCGATGAGGCTAGCTTCAAAGCTTTCTTGGAATTTCTGAAGGTTAGTTGTCTTGAGGCGCAAAGGTCGTTGAACACAACATTGGCATTAAACCGGATCACCTCCCAGTCCGATTCCATCACACTCAATGCTCTGCGATTCCATACGGCGTACACCGACTTGGTCGTCGCCCTTGCAAACTCCCTCCCCCGGAAATACCGGGAAGGTCTACCGCGCAACACAATCCCAACATATGGGATCGGAAGATTCATCTCCCCAGAGCTTCCGCCTACCGCCCCTCCACTAGCCGTACCGAGCTCTCTCATTGGACGTGTGCGAAAGATATGGGAAAAGTATCTCGGAGACCCCGACCTCCCGTCGTCGCTGTCCGTCTGGTTGCCATACGATTGTCGCGTCAGCGTAGCCGTGGCAATCAACGCTAAAGATGCGGTTTGGTGCGGGGTACTAGATGAATCTGTCGCCCGCATTCTCGAGCGAGTATACACTGGGCAGTACAAGGCCTTTGTAAACTCTCGACACAGTTTCCAACCTCAATATCCTACACCTGAGACATCGCCACTGATGGCGGACGCCCGTCTGCCAACCTCTCCACCTCCTCCATCCGTGATTTCCTCGTCCCGGATGCTGTCCTCCCGTGCTTCCTTGTATTCGAACACATCAACGCCCCTTTCGCCCACAGACAGACGAGAACGGTTCGATTCCGTGGCAACTCCCCGTGCTTTCGCACCACAGGTCAGAGCACGGTCCTCTTCGTTGCGCCCACCGCCAAAATGGGCCGTATGCACTCAGAAGGGGTCCACATTGCCACACGGCAGTCCGGCGTCCCAGCAACGCTCCTCAAGCGCTGTCCCGGCCGGTAGAGTCAACAGGCACACCGCACCGCCTATGCAGTCCCGACCGGAAACGCCGCGCGATTCGGCAATTTCCGTAGGTGCGCCGTACCAGAAGGGCAAAACCGGCGGACCCGTACAACCAGGCCATCCCCATCATCGGTCGTTCCAAAGCAAATAAAGGACTTGAAGCCCTGCGGGGTTTCCGACGTTCGGACTTTCCCACTCAAATCGCCCACGAGTCCTTACGTAGTCCGGGCCCCAACCTTTGTGATGATGCTATCGGAACACTCTACGTAGTCTCCGACCGCTCGTCACCGTTGCTTGCACTTCTTGTATACCTTTCAAAATACCCCCGGTTTTGTATGTTCCCTTTTTTCCGTAAGCTACCCAAGGTATTTAGCCTCCTCATCCCTTCTTGGGTCAAAGTGTAAATAGTGTTAATTTCCCTCGGTAATGTTTGTATTAGCTGGATTCCAAAAATTCTATGAGCTTCATCTGACACTATGATACAACTATTTCAATACGATCTTTAATCCATTAGCAAGGTTTCAGGATCTTCGTCCATCAGCGACGTGTAAACACGCTTCGAAAGCACGGGCCCAATATTCCTCATGTTGGAGTTTGCGTCTGTGCCCGAGTTATACTGCGTTTGCAAGAACGAGAGGGTGTGAGCCTCCCCCTCTCTGGACGGAAAAACAACCATCATTCTGGTCCCGTACCTGTAGTTTCGCCAGCAAGTTCCCTGCCGTTTTCGTATCTTGTCCCAAAGCCTCATATGCTGAGACAAGACTCTGCAAAGTTGGATACACATTCACGATAGCTTTCGCTCGGGGCAGAGTGCACATCTGTATCTGTTCCAGGATCCGCAGCCATGTTTCTGCTGCTGTATCGCCAGATTTGATCTTGTCACCGAAGCCGAGCTGCCAGGCTTCTTCGCTTCGGTGTCTAGGTAGCAGAGTAAATTGTGAGCTTGGTACATAAACCAGCTGGTGTGGCAAACCGACACATGATCCTTACTCGAGTTCCGTAATCATGGAGATCTGCTCCGTGAAACTCCCAATCCATTCCATAGCTTCAGTGAAGTTTTTTCCACAATGTACCCGAACCGTAGATTCGTACAATTGCAATGCGACCAAGTGATCTTCCACGTCACCGCCTGACGGAAGCGACTTTGCGCTCGCACGCTTTTTCCTTCCATTCGCTCTCACATTCGGGTCCTCGCCGTCAGAGTTTTCCCGGTCAGGGACAGAAGCTGCTTTTCGCGTCTGCTTTTTCGCATATTGCTCCATTCCTTCAACAAAGTAAATCACCTCTTTGTTGGGATATGCTTGCAGCAATGCTCGGTGGTAGGTGATAAGCGGGGACTCTGTGGATCGCGCGGGATTTGCGGACGGCGCGACAATCTGAGCCAACGACGCTGCTTTCAGCCGGACCATCATGAATCGTTCTTCCTCGACGTGTTCGGGACAAGCGACCCAGATATCTTGCTCGTCGTCCCATTTCCGTGCAATCTTACGTTTCCAGCTCAGAATGGATTTTGCGAAATCAACTGATCCCGCCACATCGCTCATAGAATTCGCAGCCCCGGCAGGCCTACAGTGATGGACGAGCGCGTCGGTTCCTGCCAGTCTTAACGCAGCGACCAAGGTCTCCACTTCTGCTGCAGAGGCAAAGTCAGGCGACACCTCCACAATCATCTCCTTGACGCAATCCGTCTTGGTGCGGATCTTGTTGACAGAGCTATGCAACTTCTTATTCATTGTTTCCTGCTGCTTGGCTCTAGCCTTCTCCTCTTTCTCCCGTTGTTTCTGCAGCTTTGCAGCTTCCTTGGCACGGGCTTTCTCCTCCTTATCCTGCTTCGCCTTTTCTTTGCATGTTAAATCGAGTCCCGCGCCAACCGCCGAATCAACCTCCCTAGCTTTTTTTGTCGGTGCCTTTCGCTTCGGTAAGGGCCGAGGCTCCGCCATTGCACTGGTGGCTGCAGCGGCAGCATTGAGAACCGCTAAGGATGAGACGTGCTTCCGCAAGGGGACTCTCTCCCGAGCAGATGAAGACGTAACGTCTTCTATCATTCGACTGACGGTTGGGACTTCAACATGCGATGCAGAGCTGGCCGTTGCCACAGAAGACCCTTGCTTTCTCAACGCAGGCGGCATCCTCGGAGGTGGGGAGGAGCTCATCTGCTGTGATGGCCTGAACACATCTGGCATGTCGACCAGATCGATAAAACTGGGCGATTCGAGCTCCACAGGCATTGACATCGTCTTCCGCAACGCAGGAGTGCGTTGGACTGGTGGCTCAACATATCTGCTTGTGCTGGGTTTATACGGAGGGGCTACACGACCGGGTGGTGGTGGCGGTGGGGTAACGGAGCTATCCGCTGGAGAAACAGTTTTGGCCTTCTTCCGTACTTGGGGTGGCTTGTCATTGGCCGTAGGCAAATCCACTGGCACTTCCGCGGATTTCCGCTTGTTGATAACGTGTGCAGATGGCATGGCATACCGATCGAGGCGTCCCACAACCGAAATTGGGGATTCCTCCACAAACGGGGACGCGGCTGTTGGCGTGGCACTGGTCGCCGGTGGCATGCGAGCCTCGGATCGGAGTCCAACCGCCGGCGATATCTCAACATCCGAGTCCCTGAGGAAGCCACCAGCAGCCCGCTCTGTCCCCCCTCTAGATCTCCGTTTCGGCACCTTGGTTCCACCATCCACCCAACGACGCTGGGCACCTTCGCACACACTGTCCAGCCAAAACAGGTCTTCCTGCAGATCCTTCTTCAGCGGGCTCATGGACAGATCGATCACGTTATCAATGGTGTTGTAAACGTCGCAGGTATAGTGTAAATCTGCGCCCATGTCGATGTCATCCTGGCTGAGATCAATGATTTCCTCGGTGTCATGAGTGTCCAAGGCCACAGTGTCCTGGCTCAAGTCCATCACATCGCTGTCGTCCGCCTCGTTCCGGACATCTTGTTTGCTGCCCTGCCCGATCAATAGCATGAGCGTCTCCCATCACATCATACACGCGCTTAGAATGCGGTTGAAGGTAGATGTCACTTACAATCACATCACGAGAACGCCTCGCTTTGCGAATGCTATCCAACATCGGCCTAGTGCAGATGATGTAATCAATAAGCATCAATCCCACAACTGAGTAGTTCTGATGCCACCTACAGATCACGAGTCCAAGTCCAATCGGTCTGCGGCAGCGGTGGGATATCCTCTTCGTCGTCCTCCGAAAGCTGCTCCTCTTCTCCCATTTGATATGAATCTCTTCTACCGCTTCCCGCAGCCCATTCTCGTCCAGCAAAGCTAGCCGCGCGGAGGAAAGTCGGCGTGGCGGCTCCTCCAGTTGGGAAACTGATCGACCGGGAGAAGGAGGCGGGCGTCCGGGCGGCGCGTTTCGAGGGGCGTTGTGGCGTGGGTAGTATAATCAGATTGTCACATACGTCGCCGCCTTCTAGGAACTGCAAAAGAGGGGAGTGGGGTAGGCTTTAGTCCCTGATGTGTTTTGCCGCTTAGTAGTAAGCTTAACACTATTGGTGAAAAGCTCTCCAGGCCGGAGCACCTGCCAACACCCCAACTGCTAGCTGAACTTACGTTTCCCTCCAACATGCGAAGTATCGTCTCGTCTTTGCTATTAGTCGTTTGCAGCACTTGCACCACACTTGCCCTCGGGTGGCCAGGGCAGATAGCCAAGACTTCATCGGCCCATTGCTCGAATACGGATGCCGCTGTCATATTCCGATAAGGTGACGTCCCCTGACTCTTCTGCGCGGGGTGTTCACGGGCTTGTTTGCGGGGAGATAATGGCCTTCTGGATGTGTGAGATTGGAGGACATCACCAGGATACGTAATGCGCTTTCAGAAAGGACAAAAAGCCCATAAGTCGAGCTCAACGCGCATCTCCAGAGTGCATCCTCAAAATATTACGACAGTTGTCTGCACAAACAACCCAGGCGTCCTTTTTTGAAAAAGAAGAAAAACAAAAAGCAAGCAAGACGACGTTCGTATCAGTTTTGGCCCCTTCCTGTTTGCTTGCTCAGAAGGCAAAACACATCGTTCGCGGAGTCACTTGGATTCTTCTGTTAGCTCAATCAAGGGAAGATCAATCCAACTGAACCCTATCCGTATTGATGTGCAGTCCTGTTCCTTGACAGTTTAGCATGGCATGGCTCTTCACCGCGGTCTGAGATTGTTGAGCGGTGGGTAACGCAGGCATCCAACTATCATATATCAACCTACGCCTTCTCGCAAACATGGTTCTTTCATGACCTCCGACGCAGCCTCTGACCCGGGGAGTTCCCTGAACTTCCCTCTCGTCTCATTGCAAGGATCGACAAGGAACGCGTGGTGTGATGCCGTCAAATTTCGACTCGGCCGTCATCATGCCACATCCACCTTTTTCGCTTTTGCGGGCTCTGCGGGCATGACAAAATGCCACCCCCACTACTGCCGACCCAGAGGTGCCCAGCCCTGCTAAAACTTCTGGCGTCGTCGCCGACTCCCACCACAGTTTGCTTCCGCCGTCCCCTTGTCCTTCCCGTCTCCTTCACGCCGAGATCTCTGCGTGCCACTGCCACTACGAAGTCAATCCCTACCGCCATCCCTGCAGCATTCGCCATCCGGCCGTGGGTGAGAAGAGCGAGCACAACAGCAATACACAGTTCACCGACAAAGACGAAAGCAATGAGTGTCGACTGGGCTGCATATGATGTGGAGCAGGTACGCCTCATGGCCGAACAATGCATCGTCGTAGACCACGACGACAGGCCGCTGAATGGCGACTCGAAGGAGAACTGTAAGTTTTCCCTGAGGAGGACACCCCCAACCCTTGTCTAGTCAATTGCTTATTTACGCTTCCATTTTTCGTTTAGGTCACCTCATGACAAACATCGAGAAGGGCCTACTCCACCGGGCCTTCAGCGTCTTCATCTTCAACTCGGAGGGCAAACTCCTTCTTCAGCAACGGGCGGATGAAAAGATTACATTTCCTGGATACTTCACGAATACTTGCTGTTCACACCCACTTATGACGGCGGAAGAGACCGAGGAGGAGGATCAGATCGGCGCCAGGCGGGCGGCTCAGAGGAAGTTGGAGCATGAGCTGGGCATCCCTCCCAGCCAGGTTCCATTAGATCGCCTTGAGTATCTGACTAGGATACACTACTTGGCGCCATCGGATGGCTTGTGGGGAGAGCACGAAAGTACGTTCCTGGTTGCAGGTTGAAATATTCGGAGGATCACTCTGTGCCGTATCCGAAAATGCTGACCCTCTTCCCCCCCTCGCTGCAGTTGATTATATCTTCATTTACCAAGGGGAGGTCGAATGTAACCCCAATCCCAATGAGGTCAAGTCCATTCGCTACGTCAGCAAAGCTGAATTGCAGGAGATCTTTGCGACAGCAGGTATGATGCCTTAGGTTTTCGGGCTAGATTCATTTGGCAGTTTACTTAGTGAAAATATGCCTCCCCACAGATCAAAAGGGAATGAGCCTTACTCCTTGGTTCAGATTGATTGTAGAAAAGTTCCTCTATAAGTGGTGGGACAACCTGGACAACTTGAAGGCATTCAAGGACGTCAACACCATCCACCGTATGCTTCCCCAGTAGATCCCTAGAAGCTCGTCCTGTATAGTATAGAGACTGTGCATACATGAAACCTGTTACTATGTGTTCGAGCGTAAGCCTTGGGATAAAGGATCGTACAGCAGGCGTACTTTGCGTACTACGCTAATGGCCACGAGAAGGGAAACTTGTTTGCAAAAAGCCACGATAGTCCTATAACAGCACTCGCCGAGTTTCGTCGATGTCCTAAAGCGACGATGGGCAGTTTGTCATGGGTGACGTGCTGCGCCACCCAGATGCACCGCTTATGACCGGTCGATCGTTTTCCACCAAAACGACCAACATTCACCCATTCCCACACCCACTGACGTTGAAGATAATTGAGACAGCACTCTGGCAGCTCTCTGACAGAAGTGGTTGAGGAAGCTATATGCATGGCAAAAGGTGTATTTGAAAGGGATCACATCGAGCACTCCCTGCTTTGTTTGCGGGAGGCGTAAGTTTCTTGAGCGAAAGTGAGAAAGACAACCTGTAAGCAGACTATGAATGATCAATGAAACGAAGTGGGCCTAGTCAGGGGAGGCCACTGTGACCGATGAACGCAGACTTTAACGCTGTCTTTTTCTCCCTTTGATGTTTCATGGAACGGACAAAAAGTATAACGGTGGCTTGAGACGGAAGAGCCTCGTTGCGCCAACAGTATTCCTTCGGAAAAACGATTCCTGCACTTTCAATATGAACAACGAGCAGCCTGAAAACGGTCAGGAGCAGTATGATAGTGCCACTCAGTATTCCAACCTCCTGGCCCTGCTCGGCGCCGCTTCCCAGGCAAGCCCTACGAAGGAAAAGTTTGGAGAGAAAGAGCCGACGAATGGCCATACGGGACTTAACGGGGTTGAAGAAGCTTCCGATGCCGCTGCGAGCAAAGGCCTAAACGGAGGTGATGCGCTCGGTGCTGATGCGTGGCAGAATTCAGCTGCGCTGTTGAATGCTTTGAGTGCAGCGGCCTCCAATATGGATGACAAATGGAAGGCCCAAACTCCCTTAGATTCTGCCATCTCTGATGTTGCTGCGAATGGATCAGGCTCTGAGGAAAATGGGGTAAAAGCCGACGATGCTTCGCTGTCACGGGAGGCAACGGAATCGTTCGTCTCGGGTGTTTATAAATCGGACGAAACGAACGATGGACCCCATGAGGACAGCGAGCCCAAAGAAGATGGCGAGCTTGAAGACGGCGAAATCTCAGATGATGGAGAGCAACCTATGGTCGTGACGGATGCCGAGGTGGCGCCTGCCAAACCTCTCACAACGTCTATATTTGATGATTATGAATATGATGCTGCGGCGAACGGGCTGACTGTTCCTCTCGAGAATCTGGAGAGCATTCCGAAGACCAAGAAGCGAAAGAAGAGCAAGGGCGAGGGCAAGGCTGCGAAATCTGCGAAGCGCCAGAAAGTCGCGAAAGAGCCTACTCTTGACAGCTCGGCCAGCGCGGCGGAAGAACAAGCGAGGCGATTACAACAGTTGTTCGGCATGCCTGTGCAGAATCCAAGTCTGTTCCTTGACGGCGGTACAAGCACCGCAACCGCCAGCGAGAACGAAGACGACGACTCGGGTGCTACCCCCGAGGAGATCGCACGGAAGCGCGAGGAAGCCAAACGTCAAAAGGACATGAAGAAAGCCAGCGCGAAACGGGAGGCAGCTTTCCGCGAAAAAGCCGCCAAGACGCCTTGCGAGTTCTGGCAACAGGGCCGCTGTAACCAAGGCGATAATTGCCCTTACTCGCACGACGGCGAAGGGAGCAGCTTTGCCGAGCGCCTACCGTGCCGGTTCTACAAGTCGGGCTCGTGCCAACGCGGCGATGAGTGTATTTACAGCCACGATCTGAAATCAGAGCCGTGTGTCTTCTTCCACCTCAAGCAACACAAGGGAGGATGTCAGAAGGGCGATGAATGCCCCTTCTCGCATGAACCTATGACGGACGAGCAGAAGGAGATTCTGAAACATGAGCAGGAGCGATTCGAGAAACACCTCAAAGAAGCAATCGCTCCTCCGAACGGAACGACGATGCCAGCAGACAAAAGCTCATCTGCAGAGTCATCTAGTGATGGCGACTCAAGTTCGGAGGAAGATGACTCCGACGACGACGATGAGGAGGAGGAAGACGAGGACGACGAAGGAATGCGCGCAATGCAAGGTCCCGGTTTCCGCAACTTCGGTCCCAACGGCGCAATGGCTCGACCAGGCCCCGCCTACCAGTTCAACCAACAGCAGCGCAACCCCATCAGCCGGCACTGCGTATTCTACCACCTCAAACAATCCAGCGGCGGCTGCTGGAAAGGCGCCTCGTGTAAGTTCTCGCATGCGCCCATTAGCCAGGAAGAACGGGACGAGCTGTGGAAGATGCAGTCGGACCATGAGAAGACTGTGCATGCGCAGAAGGAGGCGGAGGATCGGGCTGCGGGACGTGAGCCAAGGAAGCCGTACGGGAATCGCCAGACAGGGCCACCGGGTCAGCAAGGCCCGCAATTCAAGCAAGGTCCGCAAAATGGCAGGCAATATCAAGGCCCTGGAAATCAAGGTCAGGGGCCAAATGGTCCAGCGGTACCGGCGATTCCGAACGAGGCGGTGGGCCAAGATCTCAAACCGGCCGTCCCCAACCAGCAATTCGCTCCGGTCATACCTCAACCATTGCCGATGGGCCAGTCGTCACCGTTCGGCGCCCCAGCTCAAATGCAACCACAGCCGCCCGCTCAACAACCACCGCTGAGCCAACAGCATCCCCCTCAGAACGTCCAACAGCAACCTCCGCAAGATTTTCAACAACTGCATCAACAACAGCAGGCGCCGTTTGTCCCACAGTTCAACCAAAACGGTCCAATGGGTGCTCAGCAGTCATCGCAGCCAATTCCCGCTATGATGAACCAGCAACAAGCTCCCTTCCCGATGCAACAACGACCGCAACTCGGTATGGACCCGAACTTTTTGCAAGCTGCGGCGGCCCTTCTCTCCGCGCTTGCCAACCCCATGGGCGCAATGCCCATGATGAACCCTATGCAAATGGCCGGTGGCATGCCGACGCAGCAGCCTATGGCAAGCGGCGCGGCGGGAGATTCGATGCAGCACAACCAGCCGCCCACATCTTCGTCGTCTTCGGCTGTCGGTACGCCTTCTGACCCTCGTTTGGGAATGGGCCAACAAAGTCAGCAGCAACAGCAACAAACGATGTCATCCCTCGGCGGCGGGATGGGCGGCCAACCCGACCTATCCGCCTTACTTCAACTACCCGGCGCAGCCTCACTCCTCGGCGGCTTCCTCGGCGGCGGCGGCATGCCTGGATCCATCCCCGGTCTTCCCCCAGGCTTCCAAATGCCCAACATGAACGCCGGCATGCCGTTCGGCGGGCTCCCGCAGCAGTCGCCAGAACAGGCGTTGATGATGATGCTGCAACAACAACAGCAGCAAGGACAGCAAGGACAGCAGCAGCTGCCGCAGCGGTTCGGACAAAATCAGAATAATCAGGCCCATCAGCAACGGAATTTCCCGGGGTCGCCCGGCGGACGAGGGGGACGGGGAGGACGAGGAGGTAGAGGTGGGAATGGCGGCGGGTTTGGCGGGAATAGGGGCAGAGGCGGACGGGGAGGTGCTGGTGGAGATCGGGGGGGTTCGGGGAGGTAGGAGAGAACGCGTTGGCGAAGGTCGTGTTTGACCATCCCAGATTATGGTCATCTGATGCGATGTCTTTTGTGAGCGATTTCGGCATGCCGAGTCGGAATGTGCAATACGTAATGAAATTATGCAAGGTTTTTGAGATTACGATTTTAGAAAGTCTATTTCAGATACATGACGAAACCAATAAATGTCCACGAAAAGGAAAGTCTAGAAACAAAGGGGGGAACAGAAAATTACACAGATGGGGGAATAGAGGGCCAATCGGCTACGCCAAAAGGCCTCCGGCTACGCCGTCGCCATCAAATGAGCACGCTGAATGTCCAGAGTAAGCGTCCCAGGCACCAAAATCTCATTAGTCCTCTACTTTTTGATGACATCGAAGTCGGCAGGGGGCAAGATGATGCCGTAGATGACGGCTAGAGCTTCCATGATACCCGCGATGAATTGCAGCAGGAACGTCAGTGGGATCCTGGCCAACATGATCAAGGGATTTACCCTCTTGTCCATGTCCTGTACGAGGATACCGATGAGGTACAAGTACACGAAGACACAGAAAGAGAAATCCTTGATGAGACCGAACCACCGAGGGGTCAGAAGACCCTTGTAGACGATACCGAGAGGAATGGAAGCGATGGTGGTGGCGAGACAGACGATACCGAGGGTCCAGAAGGTAGCCCAAAGCTTGGGAAGGAAGGCAGGAAGACGGCGAATACCGACATACCAACGACGACGTTGCTTGAGGAAACCGATCAAGTCCAGAGGGGACTGTTCACGAATGATTCCCGGCACTTTACCGCACTTGTAGCCCATTTCCCAGGCGTGGACGGCAAACTGGAAATCTTCCGTGAGGGATCCCAAATCCCAGGTAATGGAGTTTTCGACTTGACCGTTGCTGAGCAGGAAGGAACCGTGGGCACCGAAGACGGGACGACGGAAGTAGGTGTATTGAAGATGGAAACGAGACAGGTCATCTCCGACACGGATGGCATCGGCGACGGTGAAGATCCAGTTCGACCAGTAGCGGTATTGGTTGTACATGATGACACCTTGTCCCCAAGTGCATTCGCGTTCGTACCAGATGAACTCCAGCACACGCTTGACGGATTCGTCATCGATGACGGACTCTTCGTCCAAATGCAGGACCCAATCGTGCTCAGTGTACCTCATTGTTTGACGGTACCACTCGAGAGCGCGAGCCTTGTACTTGGAGTTGGCGGTCCTGAAGTTCTTGGGGCAGGTGTAGCAGTTGATGTTCTCGAAGAAGTACGGCTCATCGGTCAAAACGTGGACACGCACACAGGGGTGCAAACGCTCAAGGTGCTTGTGAGCGTTCCATGATCGGTAAACAGCTTCACGATTGTCTCCCTTCGTCACCGTAAGAATGTACAAGTTGTCCACTCGGCGCTTGGGCATGTCGCTGTCGTAGATGAACTTCGGGGTTCGGAAAGGCAGGGCGAGACCGAAGAAGCAGATGAGAGTGTAGGGGATGGGAAGCAACCAACCTAGAGCGCAAAAGATACAGAGAAAGGTCAGAGCTGATACGTAGACCCCGACTTTCCCATGCCGTACATACCAAGCTTCCAATAGCAAGTGAAGTTCCACAGCTCAGCATCAGTGTACGTGTAATCCCAAATGTGGAAAGTGAAGGCGTATGTAGCTCCAAGGATGATGACAACGTGCATGATCCATGCTTCGGCAAGGAAGGCCATAACAAACTTGGTGTTTCCCTTGTTGGTACGTTCGCCGTTCTCATCCAGAAGAGCGTACGACATGCCAGGGACGTTGGGGTTGGCTGAGCTGCCATCGCGCAAAGACTTGCCATCGGCGTCCTGCTGACGGCCACCACGGAAAGCGGGTCCGGCCCTATACGATTCAAGCAAAATAGGAGGTAAGAAACTGGACATTTCAGGCCGTGGGAAAAAAAGCGGTTTCTCAAGGAATTACCTGGCCTCTGGAGTGTCTTCGACAACAGTTCCGTCACTCTCACTGGCCGAGTCGTCCCACTGGTTCTGGTACGGGGCCTGAGGAGGCGGTATCCTGGGGTTCACCTGCTGAGGGTGTGCGTAAGACGAGCTCGATGGGCCCTGGTACGGAATGCTGGCGCTCTGGACCGGGCTGTGGTATGGCAGGTTCTGCTGGTTGACCGTCTGCTGCTGGGGAGCACGAAAGGACTTTGCTTGTGGTGGTGCCGGAGCGTACTCACTGACAGGCCTGGCGCCGGACGACGACGGTCCAGGCTGCGGGAGGGGCTTCGGGTAGCCGGGATGCTGCGGCGGGGGGACACCCCATTGCTGGGAGGATGAGCTGCTCATCGTTGCTCAACGGCAGATCTCTTTCTGGTGTGGAAGAGAGATGGGTCGTCGCCAAGCGATGCGAGAGAAGCCTTTTGTTCTGCTTGAGGAATCAGATGTGGGAAAAGGGGTGGGAAAAGGCACAGGTTGACGTACGGCCGCTGTTTTTGTTCTCTTTCCTTTCGTCGCCTGCGCCGCTTCGCAGCCTCTTGCAGCCTCTGACTCCCGCTTTGCTTGGCCTCGGCTTGGTATCACAAGCAGTCTGCCCCTTTCCTGATGGAATCGGGCAGGGAGGGAGCAAAATCTGCAGCGCCTTCTCCGCGACCGTGGTCCGAGGTGGGGGGCACTATCTGCTAAGTTCAGCACTTACGCGGTGGTTATGTTTGGTTGGATCATGGATGCAGAACGGGATCCCGGCTGGGGAATATTCAAATTAAATATTATGGAGGAGAATCGAGATAGCCGTTGAAACGTCACCGCCTTGTTGTTTGGCCGCACTATTTTATTCGCTTGCACATGTGATTGCACGCCACCAATGATTAATTCCCTTGTGCTGTCATCGCGTCGTGTCCACATTTGTGACGGCGTCCAAACTTCCAAAGGTGGTCAAAGGTGTCCCCGTGAGGAAGTGAGGAAAGTGCTCGACTTGCAAAGTGAGAATAACTGAGGCGTAGAGTCCCATTGGAAAGGTCCAGAACTGGTGTTAGCATCGTCAAGAATCCGGCCGGTTATATACTCTCGTACGGAAGGTCTTCTTCAATAACGTTTGTCGCTGTGTGTAAACCTTCAGTGTAAGGGCAGACGATGATGGAAACGAACAGCAGCAAACAAGCTATGCTAAAACACATCGTTTAGATGGCGCAATCTCCGCTACTTCACATACCGACCAAGCGAACGGACGAGGTCGAGCTCTCGGGAGCTTTCAAAACCTACATCGCGAACGTCTACCAAGATGATCCCGAAAAGTACGCATCGGAGATCGCCACATTGTATCGGCTTCGCCAAGACACTCGTGGCGCTGGAAAGGACATCACTGGGCGAGATATTCTGTATCGATACTATGGTCAGCTAGAGCTTCTGGATCTTCGGTTTCCTGTTGACGAGAAACACGTCAAAATCTTATTCACATGGTATGGTGTTTGTGTTTATGGACGAGAAAGTCGCCTTAACTGATCAACTATGGAACACGCACACAGGTTTGATGCATTTACGCAGAAACCTATCTCCCAATACTCTATCGCATATGAGAAGGCCTGCACCATCTTCAACATCGCAGCAACATGTTCCTCGATTGGTGCCCTTCAAAATCGATTTGAGGCTTCAGGGCTGAAGATGGCATTCAACTATTTCCAAGCTGCCGCAGGCTTATTCCTGTACATCAATGACAACTTCCTACACGCGCCATCTGTCGATCTTTCACGCGACTCTATCAAAACACTGGTTGATCTGATGCTTGGGCAGGCCCAAGAGTGTTTCATGGAAAAGGTGCTCCTTGAGAAAAAGAAAGGTGCACTAGTCGCCAAATTGGCGGCCCAGGCATCGCACGTGTATCAGAGTGTCGCGGACGGGATTATGAGTGAAAGCATCCGAGGTCAATTCGATCGTGCATGGGTCGAGTTGGTGAAGGTCAGTCTTTGAGCATACATTATCGCTGATTTGTGTCCTATCTGGAACTCATCGTCGATCTTCAGGTCAAAGTAAAGTACTTTCAATCCCTGGCGCTCTATCACAAGTCGATACAAGCGGAATCCGATACCAAATACGGAGACTCCGTGGCTTACTTGACGTCGGCCGAGGCGGTTGCAAAGGAAGCCATGAAGATGGCCACAGCCTTCTCAGGGTCGTTCCCTTCCTTCACGACATCCACCATCACCAACACATCCTCAGGCGGAGGTTCGTCCGGACACACGACTGCCGCTGCGGCCGCACTTCTGGAAGCCACCAAGACGAACCTGAATGTGATCAGTGAAAAGAAAGCGGTGGCTATCAAAGACAACGATATGATCTATCATGAATCCGTTCCCAAAGTTGAGACTCTGCCTCCCGTCGAAAAGCTCAACGCTGTCAAACCTACTAGCTTTGCCGACATCTGCGCCAACGGTCAAGCTGATATTCCCAAAATCATTGGTCCGGATATCTTTCAAAAGTTGGTGCCGCTGTCGGTCCACGAGTCTGCATCTATGTACTCCGAAGAGAAGGCAAAAGTTCTGCGTAGTGAACAGGAAAGGGTGGAATCTGCCAATGAAGAGCTTCAGGCCACACTAGAGTCGTTGAACCTTGTCCCAATCTTGGAGAAACTCAAACGACTGGCCAAATCGCCCGGCGCGCAACCCGAATCCTTGGCGGTTCCCGACGAAGTCTTGTTCTGGAACAAGACAATACAGGGAACAGAGCTTGGGAATTCCAGTACGGATGAGCTGCTTATGACGATTGATGGAGCAAAGCGACGGGTCCGGGAGATGCTGGATGAGTCGGGCCTTCTACTTGACAAGGAGCAACATGAATGCGAAGCCATGCGGGTATGTCCTTTATGCTGAACCCTAGCGTTATGCATCTTGCGCTCATGAAAAAGCTGGCCTGCAGGTGAAGTACGGTGATCTTTGGACTCAAGAACCCTCGGCGCACCGTACTGGAAAGATGCGGGACGATCTCCGACACCATCGCGAGTCATTAGAGAAGGCGGCTGGGACGGATACACTGCTCTTGTCCGGATTAGACCAGTCAAAGCAGATCGTCGACGTCCTTCGGAGACCCAGTGACGACGTGCAGACGTGCTTTGTGGATCAGTTGATCTCGATGGGCCCTTCGAAAGCGGGCCAGAAAGTGGGAAATCTGATCGATGGTGCCGATAGCGATGGTGCCGGACTGGGCGTTCTCGATGAGCAAGTTCTGATTCAGAAGGTGGATGGACTTCTTTCGAGACTGCGAGGCTTGAAGAGGGATCGCGAGGGTATCGTGGTTGAGCTGAAGACAAAGGTAATGCAGAAGTGATGGCTTGTTGTATATACCTGAACAAACGTAACTGATGTCCGCTTCACAACAACCAGCTCCACGAAGATGACATTTCGTCCTTGTTGCTGCTCAACAAAAACAAGGAGAGCCAGGTGTTCCAAACCGAGCTTTCAAAGTTCAAACCGTTGCAGGGAAGACTAAGTGCAAACCTGCAAACGCACTCGCAGTTCTTGAGAGATCTGGCAACAGACTTCTCCAAGCTCGAACAATCATCCCAGTCGATAAAGAATCTGGATTTGATCGACAAACACAGGAGCTCGTTGGTCAAGGAATGGGGTCGGGCCTACGAGCAATGGAAAGAGGCCCACGATGGGTTGAAGAGAGGTGTCGAATTTTACACGAGCCTGTCAAACCTTGTGGAAACATTGCGATCGTCGGTGCTGGATTTCGTGCGTCGCAGAGACGAGGAGCGGGTGCAACTGGCGAAACGAGTGGAGGAGCTTGACGCTGAGCGACGACAGCGCACCTTGCGGGAGCAATTGCAAAAGCTCAACGTTGGCCTGCCTCCCACGCCTACAGCCGGTCCAGGGCCTATGTCGCCTGGGCCGATGTCTCCGCCTCCTCAGCAACAATTTCCGCCGCCATTGCCAGCAGGTGCTTCTTACCATTCGCCGGTATCGGCGCCCCCTTCTCAGCAAGCACCACAACCTGTCGTACCCCCAAACTGGCAACAAGGACCCCAGAGTCCTCCATCCGGGCCTGGAAGTTACCCGCCCAATGCTCACCAGCAGTTTCCTTCCAGTCCTCCAAGTGTTGCCGGACGTGGTGATGTTCAACCGTTTGCACCGCCGCCACCGTCCCCACATCCAAGTAGTACGTCGCCCACCGGCTACTTCTCAGGACATCAGCGATCTGCGCCGCCAAATGTGCAGTACACGAACCCAGTTTCCCAGCCCGGATATCAAGGACCGACTCCGTACCAGACCAACGCACCGCAGCCAGGACCCTCGTCTGCTCCTCCGGGACAAGTATCATATCAAACGGCGCCACCGCAGGCATTGCATGGACAAGTCTCTCAGGCCCAGGGATACTACCAGGCCGCCTCCCCCAGTGGACCGACGGCGGGTGGATATCATCAGCCGCACCAGGCAGGGCCTGGATATCCGCCTCAAAGTCAGCCGGGACCCGCACCAGGCCCACAGTCGTACCAACCTCCGCAAGCTGCTTCGCAGTACCAGCCAGCTCAGCAGTATTCGAGGCCGCCTCCCTCTTACGGCGCCCCTGCGCCTGCTCCTGTCTCTAACCCTCCGCCTGGACCTTCGTACCGGCCGACAAGTCATCCTGGATACGCACCAGTGTCCGCAGCGCCGTCCATTCCTCCGAAGGTGTATCAGGAGCCTCCACGGCCTAGTACGGTGCCACAAGGCGGTGCGCAAGGGTATAGCGCTCCTCCGATTCCACCCAAACCTGGCTACGCTCAACCAGGATATGGTGGGGCTGCGCAGTATTCTCAGCCGCCGCAACATCCGGGATATGTGTCGCAAGCTGGCGGTGCGCCATATGGTCAACCTCCGGCGGCAGGGCATCCTGGTGGGTACGCGCATGCCGCGCCCCCGAGTCAGTATCAGCAACCAGGCTATGGCAACCCACCTCCGCAGCCACAACCTGGGCAGAGTTACTACCATAGTCAACCTTATCAGCAGCCTCCTGCTGGACAAATTCAACAACCGCCTGCTCAACCCAATCCCTATCAAGGCCAGCAAACTCAACAATATCAGCCGAGGCCTCAACAGGCTCCTGGACCCCTACAACACGCTTCCCAACCCCAACATGCTCCCCAGCCGCAACATCCCGGCGGTGCTCCTCCACCGCGACAGCAGTATGCCCAGGCCTATGAACAGCCCTACGGTTCGCAGCCGCAGTACGCACAGCCCCCCCAGCAGGGTCCTTCAGGCCAAGTACCGTACGGAGGAGCACCTTCAGCGCAGTACGGAGCTTCTGACCAGCAGCAACAACAATACCAACAACCGCAGTACCAACAACAACAGCAGTATCCGCAGCAGCCATACCAACAACCTCTACAGCCTCAGCAGGCGCCGCAGCCGCCGGCGGGGCAATGGCCGCAGCAAAGAGCGAACTCGTTGCTGGATTGAGGTGATCGATCTGGGCGGAACTTTTGCGTAATTTGTTTTTCCGCCACAGCGTTTTGCGTGTTAGGTAGTGTCGCGCGAAAAAAAGGGCTGCGGTGTCCCAGCTTTTGCTACCCTTCATTTTTTTTTGATTTGTATAGTAGCGCTATATTGCTGCAACAGAATCTTTCCCGAGAGCTTTCTCTACCAATATTTGATCGTATGGTTCGTATGCGAGATATAAGTAATCGAAAATAACGATATCAAATCCTTCTGCTCCCGTCTACTCAAGTCCGAACCTATGGTCCGCTTTCTCACCACCATTACACGGCAAGTGGTGATGAGAAATCTATATCTCTATGTGGGTATACGCCAAAAGGGGCTGCTCAACTCTCCCGCGAATGGGATAGGTCCGCCCCGTCGAGTCATTTTGCAAGGGTGACAGCTTCCGATCGCGCTCCTAGTTGTCGTTCGCCTCGTCCTCCTCCAATAATACGACATCCCAATCGAACTCCTCATCCGTATCTTCATCGTCTTTCCCGGCCAGTCGTTGTGCTCGAGCTGCCTGCCTATGCTGCCCATCGCTCAACCACTTCTCCTTCTGCCCCTCTGGCAAGTACCCTAACCGTCCATTCACATGTCGCAGTATCCTAGTAGCCCCGTTATCCGGATAGTACATAAATGTACCAAACTCCTTCCACGCAGCCAGCTTCCCCTGAACATCTTTCGGCGCTTTAATGGTGTTCAGCATGTGTTGCCCATAGGTGTCTTCGATGAAGTCGCCCCTCCGAAAGAACTTCTGGCCAAAGATGTTCTCTTTGTAATGTGCTGACTCACACAGATGCGGTTTGTCATAGAAGAAAAACAAGGGTGTCACGGGTATGGAGTATGCGCACGGTATTGAGCAGGGCAGATCGTTATGGCGTTTGCGATGTGTATAGTCCAGGGAGCGCACCGATGGGAACGTGATGTACTTGACATCCGATGAATTGTCAATCATCAGCTGAACCAGCTCTGCAACCGGGACATCGTGGATGAAAGCCCAGTCGTGCTGCAACACCAGTGTATACGGCGTTTGGACGTATTGCAAAGCCGCCCGCACCGCCAGCGCAAATCCCAGATTTTCCTTCGCGCGGATAGTGCGGAGGGGCATGTGGGACGTTGTTGTGGATTTGAGCGTGTACATCACGGCTGGAATCCCTAGTCTGGGACCCGCTAGGACTTTTACGTCTTCTGCGCTCCACAGGTATTCCTCTCCCGTCTTCCTAGCGACCCATTGTCGCAAAACGTCCAGAGCCGCAACGTAAAACTCCTCGTACGCTTCTGCTCGGGGAAAGGCACACACGTTAGCTCTTGTGTATGAACAAGCGTTGAAGCTCCCGACAAACGCAAACGTACTTGACAGAGTATCGCTAACCCACCCTTGCTTCAGCCTTTGATTGCTGCTGGTCTTATAACCGTCGAAGAAAACTGTCAAACTGCATTTCTCAAGGCCCGACGAGTGCCGCAATGATGCTAAAACCGTTTCTATGAGGGTCGTTTGAGGATGGAATGGCGAGGGCGAGGTCGTGAGGAGGAGTGTCACCTGGTCCGGTAGTGACAAGGTACTGGCCGCATCGCTGGGCATGGTGAATGGAGGATTTCAATTTCAAAAAAAAAAACGAGGAAGCGCGCGGATTTCGTGTCCGGTTCGGGATTTCCCCGTTTGCTTTGCAAAAGCCGAGCCAACGACCCCGCATCAATGTCTCGGCTTGACGCTCCCATCACTGTCTCACGGACGTTCTTATTACTGTCCTCGGTGGACATCAAGAAGTGAATACCTCCGCACAACTGGGATCTGGAGGTGCTGCTCGTCCCAATTCCATGACAAGTCTTTTATATACGGACATACGGGGATGTTTGGATTTGGACAAGGGACACTGAACTCGAGAGATCATGCCTTGAAGTTTGAGCGGACGGACTACTCCGATCTTGTGGGACAATTGTGACAGAACCAAACAGTTTAGATGAGATGTCCTCCCTATGGTTTTTCTCAACCGCAATGATCACATAGTGACCAGGATTGGAAGGGCGAGCCCAACCTCCATCACGGAAGAGATATAGAATATAGGGGAGCGCCATATGGGACTGCTTCGGAGCTTGCCCAAAACGCTGGCACACACACACGCCGGAGCGCGGCATGCCGTTGCCAAAGCGAAGTCCTCTACATGTCCCGACATTGATTTTCGATGCACTGACAGCGAACTATACACCACGGAAGAGCGATCAGAATGCGAAGGAAGAAGCCGAAGCTCCTTCTCGCCTCCCAGTGTGCTTCTGAGCCAGCTAGAAGTAAATTCACATCGGTTCGAACAGAATAGCCTGACACCCTAGACGCTGCTACTTTGTGAAGGAACCCTGCTGTGGAAGAGGGACATGCCGGGCAAACGATATTCGTGCGAGTTACCGAAAAGGAGTTGGCTGGGCGATGAGATCTCCGTTGGGGTCCCTGTGCGAAGGTTGGTGGTGTTGTTGAAGAAACTGAGTACGTTTCAGCGAGACAGCGTCCTTTTATACGTGCTGTGGGGCAGCTCGATAAGTCCGACGCGACCGGGTCACGTGAGTGGCTTGTCAGGCATGGTGGCACACAATCAGCTCATCTTGAGGTGGTCGCCATGGCAACGCATCTCAAATGACAGTCGGGGGCGATCAACACCGGCTGGGTCACGTGAGTAGGCACTCAGAGATCGCTGGCGGACGGCGTTTGAAGCGTTTTCCCCTCCCTTTTCTTTTGGCCTTAGGCACATCCGCGAGATTCTCTTCGTGGTCGCACACCTTAATTAAGGACAGGTACGTAGGTCTGACTTTTCTAGCCGTCGTTATACCCGTCAAAAGTCCGCAGAGGGCATTCAGGCGGGTCGATCGAGGAAAAGGAACGAAATTAGACCTGGGAGAGATTGGGAGAAGAGCAAACGCGAACTTCGCCTATGAATTGCACCTTAGTGGGAAGGCCGAGTGGGAAACCTGGAAGGAGGGGGACTCTGACAGGCTGATGGTTGGATTTTTTGGGGGAAAGAAAGCTGGAATTAGCACCGATTCTCGAGACACTCCATGGAGCGAGGCAGCAGCTGACGGACCAAGGAAGGGGTGGGAACGGCTGGGAGAGGCTCGCGAGGTTGGAGTTGACAGCTGAGGATACCTAGCGATTACTGGGCAATGGGGAGCTGATGACAGCTACTGGCGGAACGTTGACACACGGAGGCATATGGATTCGCATGCAGTGGGATTCTGACTTGCATTCTCCCTTTCTTGCGCGACAATAGCCAAAATGAAGCACAACAACGTATTGCCTAACCAGCACTTCCGCAAGGACTGGCAGCTCCACGTTCGCACGTGGTTCGACCAGCCTGGCAAGAAGAAGTCCCGTCGTGTGCAAAGGATCAAGAAGGCTGCTCGCGTGGCTCCCCGCCCCGTTGATGGTCTCCTTCGCCCCGCTGTCCGCGGTCAGACCGTGAAGTACAACATGAAGCTTCGTGCTGGTCGTGGTTTCACTTTGGAGGAGCTGAAGGTAAAACAGTCGCATACGGAGGAGGATTATTGCAACGGGTTATTGATGCATGACTTGTCTCGAACGTAGGCTGCTGGTGTCCGCCGCAAGGAGGCTCGCTCCATCGGCATCGCTGTGGACCACCGTCGCAAGAACCGCTCCACGGAGGGTCTTGAGGCCAACGTTCAGCGTTTGAAGGAGTACAGCGCTCGTTTGATCGTCTTCCCCAAGAAGGCTAACAAGCCCAAGAAGGGTGACGCTGATGTAAGTTTTGGAGCGATGTTTGCCGCGCTTGCTGCTCAGACACCTGCTTGAGCGCTGACACTCACATATCACCACAGGCCGCCGCCGTCTCTGGCGCTACTCAACTCCGCGGAGCCATTCTTCCTATTGTTCAACCCGCCGCCACCGAGACCGAGCGCAAGATCGGTGAGGCCCCTAAGGTCCACGCGTACGCTGCCCTCCGCAAGGCTCGCTCCGACAAGAAGCTCAAGGGTGTCAGGGAAGCCCGCATCAAGGCGAAGGAAGAGGAGGAGAAGGCCAAGAAGTAAAGAAACTATATCTCTAGGTCTTGTAAATACAATATATGGGCTCAACGGACTGATATCTCAATCGGGGGCTGGAGGATTGATTGGCGGCAGTACGACCCTGTAGGCAGACGGCGGGGGCGTCCTTGGTGAGGGATCCAGAGTGACGGCGGTCGGTGTCTCGAAGACGGGGAGTGTGTGTCGAGTTTGTCAAGTGTCAAATTTCAATGTGCTTGCTGATGACGGAGCGTGTACTGTAACAGAACGGCGGACGCCCAATTTCTGACCTTTCGACGAATTACAGAGCACACCCCATCTTCCCCCCATCTGCCAGGTTTGACCCTTGCGCGAAAGCAGCCCTTCCCAGGAAGTCGGAAGTTGTGTGCCATAACAAGCCCTGTAAGTAAGCTTGATAGCCCTGCCTGTAGATCATCCTGGCATTGTCACTACTCGGAAGGTTCTAAAGTATATTCCATGTTCGCCGACAGCCTAGACACGATCACTGTCCGTCGAAAATGGTAGCCGTCGCCGCTTCGTCTCCTGGCCTCCAGGACCAGTCGAAGCTACTAGAGGAAGCTATCGCCATTGTCAAAGTTCAAGCGTTTCATATGAAACGGACGTTGGTAAGGATGAGTCTTTGCTGAACGCCATTCCGCTTTGGTACTCCTACTGACACCTGATGGTAGGACGCACACAAGCTCATGGATGCTCTGAAGCACTGCTCAACTATGCTGGCCGAGCTGAGAACGTCTTCGCTGACTCCGAAGAACTACTACGAGCTCTGTGAGTTTGCGCTTCTGGTTTGCCGGATACTATAGCATACCAACCGTCGGGCACACCTTTCTCCAGATATGGCGATCTTTGACGAGCTGAGACATCTCAACACCTACCTTTACGATGCGCACATGAGCCATCGCCATCACCTATCCGACCTTTATGAGTTGGTTCAATATGCGGGCAACATCGTGCCAAGACTATACTTGATGATCACGGTTGGATCAGTGTACATGAGAGTCTCGAAGGAACTCATCCCGCAAGGATCTTTCGCAAATGGCGAAAACAATAATTTGTCAACCGAAAATGGAGAAGGGGAGGATGGCCATAAAGCGGTGGATCAGGAAGATGTACCGCCCATCAAGGAGCTCATGAAGGACATGTTGGAGATGTCTCGTGGGGTTCAACACCCGACACGCGGCCTGTTCCTGAGATACTACCTCAGTGGAATGACTCGAGACTTCTTGCCAGACGGCTTGGTGGATGGACCGCATGGAACAATCCACGATTCCATTCAATTCATCCTGCAAAACTTCATTGAGATGAACAAGCTCTGGGTCCGTCTACAGCACCAGGGCCACAGCAGGGAGAGGGAAAAGCGGGAGCAAGAACGGAAGGAGTTGCGACTCCTGGTTGGATCCAGTCTGGTCCGTCTGAGTCAGCTGGAGGCCCTGGATCTGGAGACTTACAAGACCCTCGTCTTGCCCAGTATCCTTGAAGAAATCGTGAGCTGCAAAGATGTCATTGCTCAGGAGTACCTCATGGAGGTCATCATTCAAGTGTTTCAAGACGACTTTCATTTGCGAACCTTGGACGCTTTCCTGTCGGCGACGGCACAACTCCAACGGAGCGTTAACGTCAAGCAAATCGTTATCAGCCTTATTGACCGGTTTGCTAGCTACGCTGCCCGAGCCCGCGACGAGTCTGCCGAAGAGAAGCCCGATAATACGGAAGAGAAGACGGGCACCCCAAGCGGCATCCCAGAAGATGTTCAACTCTTCGATGTCTTCTGGCGGCAGATCACCGATTTGATCAAGGCGCGGCCCGAGTTTACGATCCAGGATGTGGTGGCGCTCCTCGTGTCGCTATGCAATCTTTCGCTGAATTGCTATCCAGAACAGTTGGACTACGTGGACAAGGTCTTGGGATACACGAAAGAGAAGGTGGTGGAGGCCCAAACCGCGAAATCGTGAGTAATTCTCGATCATCAAGGATGGCTGTCATGGGATGCCAGAACTTACCTGTTTATTGCAGACCAGAGCTTCGCAACAGCAAAACTGTGTCATCGCTCCTACAGTTGCTTCTCGGACCGATTCAGGCGTATCACTCGAATGTGTTGACCATCCTTCAGTTCCCGTCGAGCGTCACGCAGCACGACGGAGCGGGATCGTCTTTAGCGTTAGCAGGGAATTACGCAGATTTGCTGTTCCTCCAGCCTTACTCCACGAGGCGTCAGGTTGCTCACGCATTTGCTTCCACCGCACTACGAGCATTCAACACCTCCGGTTTTATAATCGATTCGGAAGAAGGTGTCAATGCGGTGTTTGGGGAGGTCTGCAGTGTCATGGTGCGGGAGCAGAACGATGGTGGGCTATTTGGACCCAAAAGCATGCAAGTTGACGAAGAGCGAGGGCCCAAGTATGCTGGGCGGCAGACCGATGAGGAGCTCCCTCTGGATTGGGAAGACGTCCTCGAGGAGCAGAACATGATAGCTAAGCTGGTGCATCTGGTCAAGACGAGAACGGGAAATGCCGAGAAGGAATTTGCGGTAAGATTTTCGGTCTCTCACACGTTGATTGGGTTTGCCGCAGTCACTGACAAAATCTCGATTACAGCTGCTCTCAACCGCGCGCAAGCACTTCGGAGAAGGCGGCGACATCCGTATCCGTTTTACCCTACCTCCGCTGATAATAGCGTTGATTCGTTTGGGTCGCAAATACAGGACAGGAAACGAAGAGGTAGGAATCTGACCTTTCTGAGGGCTCTTTTTTGGCTGAGTAGAATGCTAACAGGACGTGTCGGGGCAGGAGGACGAGGCAGCAAGCGAAAAGCTTTCTTTTCTTTTCAAGTTCATTCACCAAACTATCTCATCCATGTCGAAAGCCCGGGAGCACTTTGGTGATGACTACGATGCAGACTCCCTATTCAAGGACGACAACCCAGGGCCATCGAACTCATCGAAGATTGGTTCTGGTCTCATGGCGCCTCCAGAAATGTCCTTGCGTCTGAACCTCATGGCGGCCACTGCCGCGGACGAAGCTGGGTTTGAGGAGCTCAGCTATGAATTTTTCGTGCAAGCGTTCACAGTCTATGAGGAATCGATCTCGGAATCCAAGGCACAACTCCTAGCCATCACGCTGATCATAGGGTCGCTTTACTCAACCAGCGTGTTCGGGTATGAGAACTACGAGACTCTTATCACAAAAGCCGCCGTTCACTGCTCCCGATTGCTCAAGCGGGTCGATCAATGCCGCGCTCTCATGTTGGTCAGTCACTTGTTCTGGGGAGATGACACAAAGCCCAGGGATGATACGAAGCCAGTGTATCGCGACGGACGCAGGGTGATGGAGTGCCTGCAAAAAGCCCTGAAGATTGCCGACACGGTAATGGAGAAGAACCTCAACGTCGAGTTGTTTGTCGAAGTCCTGGAACGTTATGTGTGGTACTTCGAGAAGCGCAACAATGCGGTAAGTACCTTCTACTGGTCATGACCGCACTTTTGCGTTACAATGTAGCTTATCAAATTGTGTCTCAGGTTACCGTCAAGTACCTCAACTCCATCATCGACCTGATACAAACCAACCTGTCGAGCATCGATGCCGCGCGATCCGACGTCCCGTCCCTGAGTCGGGCTACCTCATATGCCCCCGGACCTCTCTCCCCAGCGGGAAGCACAGGGTCTCTCTTCGACGACGACGCCACTCGGAATAAGCTCTCCGAGTCAGTCCTTAAACACTACCAGAACGTCATGGAGTATCTGAAAGCAAAGAAGGACGAAGACATTGATGCTGGAGGTGGCGGTGGCCAGCAGCACGTCGCTGGCGTTCCCGAAGGCATGGGTAGCGCGTTCGCTGATACGGAGGTTCGGGGTCAAGGAAGTTGGAGAGACGTGACCATTGCGACCACGAGGTGATCGAGGCCCGGCTCTAGAAACCTATACTGGCCAATTTGTACATTCATTTTTTGTCGTATCATCGCGTATGTACCATTGTTCACCTTAAAATCGAAGGTGCTTCAATACGCCATAATTCTGCTGCTACTTCTCGTCACTCCTTCACCATGATACATCATTTCTCTATCGAACTATCCTAAACCCGTTCCCAAATATGACTGAGTACTCAGGCGATCAGCTCTTTGATCGCGTCCTCGGTGTCCTCCCAAACATTCTTCCAGAAATTGTCCTCGTAACAGTTGGCGAAGGCCTCGGGATCGCTATTGATCTTCGTAGGCGGGGCGAGCCAATAATTTAAGGCAACATGCAGTGGCACCTCCCCCTTCTTGTTCGTCTGCTCACTCCTCGACGCCACCTCATGGAACCATCCAACCGGTAAATAGAGGGCTTCACCGGCCTCGAGAGTGAACGTAATCTTTGCGGCACCTTCCAAAAGGGGAAACTCGCTCAATTTGTCTCCGTCAGCCGCTCCTGCATGAAGAGCCGCATTTGGAATTCTCGAAAAAGATGCGGGAGGGGTATCCACATCTGCGGGGGTGGGCGAAGACGACTGTGTTGTCCTTGATTTTTTGGTCGCGGAACTGGAGAGCGATGAGGAAGCCGACCGCTTATTGCCGGGTTGTGTAACTGTTTGCTCTTCCTCGGCGTCTTCGCTCTCGGCCCCGCTCTCCTCGCTATTTTCATCTTCTAATAATAAATCACCATCATCGTCGCTATCTGTGTCACCCGACTCGCCGCCTCCGACTGCCAGGAGCTCCTTCATAGCTTCTTCCAGTCTCAGCTCAGCTTCGGCCAGACCCTGTCCATCGTTCTCTTCAGCAATCACGACATCCTGCTCAGCTTTCTGCACTTTCCATGCGGCGACGTCCATAGAGTCGGCGCCGTCGTCTCGTACGCGATTTGTGTAATGGATGTACCCATTCTTTCCGACCCTCTCAATGATTCCGTATGTGTAGAGCTTTTCGGTATCCTTCGGCGAGAACACTGTGAATTTTTTGGTACCTTTCAAGAGAAGGTAAAGGTTGTCCTGGAAATCGTGATGGAGGGTGGACGATGTGAAATTCTTCGCCGAGCCAACCCACAAATTCATCGTCTGCGGAATCAGAGGTCCAAGAATCGGTTGCCTCAGAGGTATATCTTTCAGGAGGGCCGGGAGTGGATTGGGCGCAAAATCACTGATGTCAGGATCCTGATTGTCAGAGTTCAAGTCACTATCGCCATCACCGTCGAGGTCAGCGGCGTCGTCGTCCTCCTCATTATATTGCGTTGTTAGATAGAGGCCCTCTTCTCCAGCCTCTATCTTTTCCAAAAACCCTCCAAAAGTCATTTCGATTCGCTTCGCTCCAGATCCGAAACCACCCGTCTTCAAGTCACGCTTCTCCACCTTGACTTTAGCAGCTCCAGCTGTAGCTTTCAGATACGAAAGTGTCCACTTGGCCTGAAGAGATGAAGATGGACCGGGGCTGAGGACGACCGGGCTGCGAGTGGTGATGTAGCGTTCAAAGAACTGGCGGGGGGTTATAGTCCTCGGGTCGATCCGGTCAGGAGTCCACCCTGCGGACGGATGGAAGCCCGCATATTCGTTCATGGCTGTGACTGTATACGCAGATGCTACTAGCAGCTTCTACCGGAGATTGGTGTATTTTACGTCAACCTCAAGCTTAGCTGTCTGGGGAATTCTTTCTCTTACCCGTGCCCCGTAAAAAGCGACAGCGCGCCCTGGCGCGCCGACACCCTGTCAATGCACAAGCCAGCGCTCCGGCGTTCGTGTTCAACCCAATTTTGCGTAAACTGAGCTTCTACCAGCTTGAGTCAGATTTCTATAGTGAGCGATCGCTCATCGTACGCATTTAAACTACATCTGCTGAATGTTCAAGGAGGACAAAAATCGTAACGAGATCAGTCCATATGCTACAGTTTGTCTGTGGCTCTTGCCCAGAACGACCCCACAATTGCTCTCGAATCGCCCTCAATATCTTCAGCGGATCGCATAGCGGCATTGCCTTGAATAAACGTGGAAAGCTCCATCGATACGCTTTCGAGGAGAACGAACTCCACCGTGCCATCTTGCGTCACGAGCCGGAGAGACGTGAGGGGATCTCCTGCTCGTGCAGCGTCATCGTTGTTTGGACGGTGTCCGGGACCATGTCCATTGGCACTTGCTCCGATTTGTGATTCATCACCTGTAATCACACTAAAATTGGTGGTGTCATGGCGCACGACGGCGTTCGCCGTCCGGTAAACATGCATCTTTGCTATGTCCCGTTCACTCTCTGCCGTTGACTCAACGCAAAGATATCCGCTCACAGCAGTGACGTTCGCGATCTTCCACCGGGCGGCCCAGTTCCAATTGAACGCATGCGAGCTATTTCCCGAAATCTGCAACGTAGGCACGTTCGAGATGAAGAGCGATTGAATTCGGCGGACAGTGGTTGGAATCTGCTTTGAAGGCGAGATACCGATTTTCGACACATTGATTGAATTGGGATTGCGCCCACTTGCATTGCCCGCTTCTTGTTGCAAGCGGCGCGCCTTGTCAGGCGGATTGATTAGCACCACAAACTTTGGCATATATATGCATATCTGGGTCACCGTGGTACCCCCGAGGACGGCAATGCTTCGGAAAAGATAGGCATACTTGGCAAATGCCTAGTAAAGATATCCGAAAACATATCAGTCGTTGGTGGGAGCCCTATGCACATCACATCAACGCCAAAATGAACCTTACGGTAGTGTAAACCAACGGCAAGAACAACGCGCAAGCAGCAACGATATTATAAACCGATATGCCAATCCATTTTGTTTCATTGTATGTCGATACCACCCCTCGAGTCTTGTAGCTCAGAATCGTGGTCAAAGTAAGCAGGAGGCCATTGAACACAAGCGAAATTATCGTCATCCCGTGCTGGACAGACTCCATGGGTGATACGCAGGCTTGCACCGTTTCGAAATCGTTGACAGTCAAAATGGTGGGGACTGGAGTGCTGGCGGTGACCCAGACGACGGAGAGAAGAATTTCTACCAGCACGATGCTGACGATGGCAGCCCATTAGAAAGTTGCGCGAATACGAGATATGCCTGAGTAACGAACACTTACAAAGCCACAAATCCAAACAACTGAGAGCTTGGTATTGCTCTCTCCATCATTTTCGGGTTGTTGAAAACCTTTCAGTGAATGAGATTAGAACAATTCAATGTTGACGCAGGTATTGATAGTCATTCACCTTGTACACACGGAATGTCTTCGCACTAAGATTCGCAAAGACGAGACCGAACCCGACATTCAACACGAGCGGTTGAGCTATGCAGATGGCCCTCGTCAGATTCCCAACGTACAGCAGAGGCGAGACGTCCAACAAGATTAATCCGAGGACGATCAGCATCAACGACTGCCCGCCAGCTCGTTTGATTACGATCTTGTCACGAAAAACGAATACCAGAGTCATTGACACAGCGTTACTAAGGAGAACGGTCCCTGAAACGATGCTGACGATCAACCCTTGCCCTTCCGCCCAAGTCGGGTTCAGTAGCTTTGAGGCAGGAAAATCGATGGGGATGACCGGTGAACCCGAGAAGAGCAGCGCGGACGCGTTCAGCGAGACCTGATCGTTCACAAACGTCATTGCATTCGGATATTGATAGCCTTTGGCATAAACTTCTCCGTTGAGCTGTGGGAAGAGTACTACTGAACGTTCGAATGTGTTAACGAATCGCTCTACTGTCACGGTTAGAGATTGAAGATGAGCCTTAACCATCTCACTCACTCCTCTTCCTTGCGTAGTCCCCGTTATCAAAGAATACGTAAGGACCCTGGAGTCCTTGTCGATTTGTTGTGAAGATGGAAATGTTTGCAAGATCGCGCATAGTCGGGAGTGTGTAGTTTGGGTTCGCGAGTACTGCCGTTGTAAGAGAATGGTCGCGAAGGTACTGAGGAAAAATGGCAATTAGCTTTTGACCTAGATCCTTAGCAAAAGGGAGAACGCACATCGTGATAACCATAGAAAATGGCCATGGCGCAGTCAAATATGCGACTGATGATAAAAGAGCGGTAATCATGGTAAGAGCTCAGCCATAACCGCTATGGCGGAATACCATCCACTTACTCTTCCGCGATATACTCATTGCCGATGTCACGAGATGGATCCTCGGTAAGCGCCACTCTCTGATAGTAATCTCGGAATAAATTATATTCCGGCGAGGTGTAGTTCGGATCGGGTACGCCAATAACGTACGTCCCAACGCTGTTCGCCGCTTCAACGCCTAGAACTTTTGCAATGCTCTGATCATACGTGTGATAATCGCCCGGGAAATCTATCACCCCTGTGTGGCCCGCAAGATTTTCGAAGCAGTCAGCAAAGCGGGAAGGCCCCGAAAGGCGTGAGTGTGCGAAGAGTGTATAGTACCATTTGCTGTGATCCATGCATAATCAGGGCCGGTGAGCCCAAGTTCTCGCGCACGCAGCCAGAGTGGCGTCAATTCATCCTCATACGCTAGTGAAGCAATGTGCAGAGGTACAGGAGATCAGGTCGTTTGCTCAGAAGTACAGGTGCCGCAAAACGGTGGAAACCTACCGGTAACAACAATGATTCGGCACTTAGATTTGAGGATCGACTGGACGCAACTCTCCAAATCAGAGCCAGCCCCATTGCCGTTCCATCCTTGGTTCACAACGAGGTCGATGCCGTGCTTCTGTGCGGATGTGATGACCCCTGGACCCCAAGAGCCTCCAAATTGTTGCTGACTATATATGTAGGCCACTTTTTTCCATCCCATTTCATTACAGAAATCTATGAGACGGGATCCGAGCACTCGGGTGGAAACTTGCATTCGAAATACGTTCCTACAAAAGGAATGGGGTAGCGAGCATGTCCAGCAGGTTTTCTAATGAGAATCTGCATGTGTTCCTCTCTCGAAAGCACCCTTGCACTTACGGGTAGTCAAAGCGATTCTCAAACGCGGACGTTCCCACGTCAGCCAGGCAATTCGGCAGGTTCCGGCCAGAAGTCACTAATGCTGAAGACGGTGCGAGGGTGGAGGTCTCGGGCCCAATCATTGCAAATATCCCTCTTTGAACCAAATTGGTTGCCCCAATTACGGCTTGAGCTTTCGTGTCTCCACTATCTTCAGCAACAATGGACACGGTGGTGTTTGGCAGGATGTCCGTGCGGTCATTGACAAAACTAAGAGCGTAGATCCTAGTCAGCAAACCATTTCATCCGCTCTAAGAGCACGACATCTTACGCGACGGCAGCTTTGAGAGTGCGCAAGGCGACCGCGCCATTTCCTGCGAGATCATTCCAGAGGAAGCCCAACTTCAATTGCGTTGCATCTGCCACAGTAGGGGATGCAAGACCGAGGAACAGAGCGAATGCGCTCATCATCAACGACGGGAGCCAGGACATGATTGGGCCCCGCTACGGAATTCCTTTCCGATTACAATGTGTCCAACAACCCGAGTGTTGCCCCGACTACGAGAGACTTCACGCAGATTGGCAGGCGTCTATCCCTTACGAGAGACGCAGATTGGTAGCCTCCGCAAAGTGTCCTTTTGTTGCCGGGTTTCTGGTTCTGCGGTTTTGACTCTTCCAGTCAGTAGGTATTCGTGACCCCGTCTTCCATAAGGATGTCTGGGTATCCGTAGTACACTCTAAGTGTACACTATACACTATACAATATACACTATACACTATACACTATAAGAAGCACACTATAAATGGGTATGGACTTGAAGCAGGGTCCCGAGGCCACGTACTGTACAGTACCTAGGGCGGAGTTCGGCCATGACGCGCTGTCGAATTTTGAATTCGCCTCCCCATTGACAGTATGTCCCTTGCCTTCGGTCCATCTACTACGCACGGAAAAACAATACAGTAGAATGGACACAATAGCTGGCAGAGTGCTCCACGTCCTCAATGTGTTTGTTGGGTATGAACTTGTCGGTTGTTTCCGTTCAGTCAGGGACACGTACATCAAATTTGATTCATAACTATTCACAATCCTCAACCGCAATAATCCCACCGACAAATGCCTTGGCGGGCCTTCGCCTATCTTCCAAAACGTTTAGCAGCTGATCTGCGACTTCATCGAGATCAAAACGCTCTGCGGAGTTGTCAGGCTCCTTTTGATCTTGTTTCTCTGTGGAGTGATGGCGTTGGTCGACACAAATGTGAAACGCCGTCTCCTGTCTATGTACTCACCTAGCACGTCAAGGATAGATGACTCTAAATTCATTACCACGTCCTCACTCATTATTCTTGCTGGCGCAGACGAGCTGGGATGGGAGTCGAGTGAGCCACCGCCCTGACGGAGATGGTACATCAAATTGACTCTTACCACAAGTTATATAAAGTTTTCAAAGCAGAGATTGCCAGAGGATAGTCGAATCCGTTTAACGAATGAAATATCACCTCTACCAGTCTGTATTAAGCAAAGCCACGCGAGGTGAGAAAGACGATTTAGATCCCCAGGAAAGACACTTCTTCTGAAGTTGAACTCACTTGTTCAAGCCACCGTTCTCAACAACGATCACAGAGTGTTCGTCCGTTGACGTTGCTCCAGATCCCAGATTCATCAGACACCCACATACTTGGAGAACAACCTCTCGATCTGTGTGGTCCAGCAGAATCGTCAAGGTTTCCGTGCCCCTCTTCCGAGCCATTATGGATCGTACGTCGGGATATCGCGACAAGTTGGCGAGAACGCGCGCTGCTTCTACGACCATCTCCGGATTTGGCTGAAGCAAAAACTTGATCATTTCTGTGGGGATAACGTTGCACAAACGTTGAATCCACAGTAAAGGTTTCGGGGTAAACGATCCCTGTGAGTCGAGCTGTACCTTCCGCCACATTGATCCTCATCCTCAATATACAGTTCTCGGGAGTATGATAGTATGTGAAATTGGCGACCGCACCAACAATATTCAGGACGAGTTCTGAATGCTGTGCTACAGGTTTACAATCTGTTAATCACCACGAAGTTCTTGTGGGTTAGCGTTTGGCGGGAAGAATCCTCACGAAGGACAATGTCATACGTAAAAGATGCACCAGGTCTTCTATTTCAATCATCGCAACAATTGCCTTCCCGGCTTTCTCGTCGATGGCAAGGTTGGCCAATAACCGGATTAGCTATACGCAAAAACGTCAGGCTGTTAGATGCAGCCTGATTCGGGTGGAAATCTAACTGGCGACTCTACCTTGACCAAAACTTCCTCATTTTCCGGTAGCCCGACGTCTTGCGGATCATCCTCATCCGCTTCGTCTGTTTCGGTTCCCAATTCGACCGAAGCATACACTCCAAATAGCGCGACCAAGTCCGCGATTCCGGCGCGCAGATGCGCGTGGTTCTCCGAGAGTTTGTTCGTCAAGTTGCCCAAAATGAAACATACTCGTGTCAGGAGAGCCTGTGGTTTGCGCTGAGTTAAATGAGTATGACTCGATGTGAGTCTCGTCACAAGCCCATTTTCAGGCTCAACGCCACCGTACCTTTTCGGCTTGGTACTTGATGAGGATATGGAGGAAGAAGTGTGTGCTCGAGCGTCCGCCAAGATGTGGTAAGCACTCCGGATGCAGGGATAGTTTGCTGCAAATCAGCAGAAGTTTGAACATTCCTGCGAAACCTTTGCGAGAAGGGGGCATGACGGCCACGTACATTTACCTCAGGATTCGGCATATGTTCAAGATCACATCTTCGGAGTCGCTCAGACCAGACTCGTTATCCAAAGCTCGAATCAAGATGTTTATCAGACGCACATCCCTGGTATGGTCCAGAAAAATCTTGCATTGCTCGTGGGAAGTTAACAGGTTGCGCAGCGTTGCGGTCGTCTAAACGTTTTGGAGTCCGCTAAGCTTTCCGATCACTCCAACGGATGCTTGGGCATATAGAAAGAGCTGTGTTTTACCTGCGTTGTGAGCTGGATAATCACATTATAGACTTCATCGGGTAGTCCTCGGGGATCGGCTTCCTGTAAATCACTAAGTTGAAAGGCGGCGCTCGAATGGATGCCAATGTAGGAATAGTCACCAGTACCATAATTCCCCATATAAGCCCACAGAGTTCGCGCGCCCCACCAAATTCGGATATCCTTTTAGCAATGTCGTCGCTAGCAGAGACATTTCTCAAAGTCCCGACGACTAACAGCATGAGATTGCATTTCACAGGCGTCAATGAAGAATTTGCTTGATCGCTTGGATAAGCCGTCGTAGCAAGAAATTCAGGGAGGGTGTCTGCGGTATGGGAATCTCAGTCTGAGCAAACTCGAAACGGGCGCACGACGGATGGGACATCCAGGCTCTTACCCAAGACAGGGAATGACTTGAAAATGGGATCGTTGTGCTCATTTTGACTCAATTTATAGAGCAGCTTGCAGGCGTACTTCAAAATCCGTTCGTTGCGTGTGAGCTGAATGCAAGGGTCAGGCTTTGTGCATGTACATACATCCTATGGACAATCTGGTATACCTTCAGCACAATGGAGCACCCCGCGACGGCGTTTTCAGGTTTTCCGGTCGAGTTCATCCATTCGATGATGGCCTGCAGCGTATGCTCCCTCCGCTTGCGGACGTTCTTTCGATCTGCTCCCTGGGAAAACCACCCGTCCGCACTCAGCGCCGCCCATAATGCGTCATAATATGTACGAAAGTCCGCCTCCGTTGCTTGCAACATATTCCGCAACAAATCCCTAAGGCTGCTCCATTCAGTGTCATTGCCCAAGTCCGGGCCTTCCTGGCAGTCCATATGCGCGGAAGCCAAATAGTGTTCTGGAGAATTTTGCGAAGGTGTTGGTACAGACACCTGAATCACTTTGTTGAATCAGATGACAGCTTCGTGGAAGTAGATTCGCGCCCTATCAGGAATTGTCACCTTTCTATGCTCTTCTACTCCGTCGTCAAGGTATTCATCTGGCTGGCAGTCGGCGCCATTGAGGTCCTCGTCCGGACACGTTATCGCTGGGATGTCCGTCCCTCCCTCTGATCCAGAACTGCAGATTGGCTGCAGCTTTCGTGGCCATACAGGAGGACCAATGTGTGTCCTTGCAATCAGTACAGATCTTCTAGGAGACCTTCTGCACAAACAACAATCATATGAGTTTTGATGACACAAAATCGTCATTTGCCTAATCCAATCCAGTTCTACTCTCACACCTCGTCCGTGGAACCTCGTCTCGAACCAAATCGCTTCGCCTCCTCGGATCTGCCATCGGCGTAAACGGCCTAGTCGGGTTTTGGAGTGAGGCGCGTGCCTCTTCAATCACATCGGATGCAGTCTTCCTCCGTCGCCATACGCGACGGGTTATGGAAAAGTAGCCGTTCTTAGAATGACCGTCCTCGTCATCGTTTGGCCTACTCAGACTATCCGGTGGACGACACGAGTGCTGGTTGAGCAGCGCCATTCTCACCGCGCAAAGTGAGTCCTTGCCGCTTTACAAGCCCACCCTCCTGTGACAGCCGAAGGAATTGTCATGCGTCGGCGGGCTCAATGTTCTGGTACCCTACGGTTTCTTGATCGAGTTTGCTGGGACAAACAGCTTGACCCCCAAAAAAACCTGTCGGCCCAGGAAAGGAACAGGTGGTCAGAATCTGTGAAGGATTTACTATGACGATTTCGTATGATCGCCTGACTGTGCCGATAATGGTGCTGCAGGCTGGGAGTTGGCTGGGCGTGGGACGTGGGACTGTGGCCGTCTCGACCTAGAACGGGAACGGGAACGGGACTTGGATCGTGATCGCGCCCGTTGGCCATTACGTTTTCGAGAGCTGCTGCCTCGGCGGTGTCTTCGACTTCTGACACGTGACCGAGACCGAACTCGCGACCTAGATAACCAGGGTGCATTGCATCTTTCATATTTATATTGGTCCAACAATTTGGTACAGGTCACACAATGTTCCACAAGATCATTTCGAGACTGCAGAAGTACGGCCCCTGATAACTGACTACGTAACAAGCGCAGTTCAGACAGAAATAACGGACTTGCTACCTACGTCAGAATTCTGCAGGTCGAGTCCGCTGTGTTTCCACCAATCCAGGACTGCGTCGCTCGCCGCCGAGTGGATTGCAGTGTTAGAGTAGCGTAGCTGGAGCCCGCTGTTTTGCCATGCGGACTTGTCTCTGCCATGGCACGTTTCCAACATGCCAGACAACGTGAGATACCTTAGGATCCTTAGGATCCTTAAGCAGTTCCTTAAGGACATACTGCCGGGTACCTGCGGACCGTTAGGTACCTTAGGATCCTTAGAATCCTTAGGATGCCGCCGTCCTAAGGTGAGATTGAGCCCACAGCTTTTCCACCAATCCAGGACCGCGACGCGGCCATAGCGGCTCGCCAAGTAGATTGCAGTATTGTCATAGCGCAGATCGAGCCCGCTGTTTTTCCACCAATCAAAGACCGCCACGTTACAATGCAAGCTTGCCCAGTCGATTGCGAGGTTGAATAGCGCAGTTCGGGTCCGATG